TCGAGATGGATTTTATTACCGTGGCCTTCCGGGGAATCGGAGTCTGCGCAGGAATTGCTGCGTTGTCCAGCTTATTGAATGCGTGAACAATCGCGATCTCTCAGTGGCCACTGGCGTATCACGCAGCCTTTGAATCCGGTACGAGATCAATTTCGTGCTGAACACGATGATCAGTGAGGGTTTCTGCTGGAATCTAATCCGGAAAGACATCTGCGTATTTACGGGCAAAGTTGTAAACAGGAATACTGGAATCGCGCAGAGCGCCCTATGATTATGTCGCTGAACGTTCTTTATGGCTTACATAGGCTCAGAGCTTGGTGGGCGCTATAGAAGCTCACCATCGGACACGGTAGAGATGTATTCGATTGTTTCGTCGGTGATCAAGCACACTTGGTCGATGCGCCGTCTTCAGGTTACGCAGCAAATACTTCCAGGAAAGGCTTGGAAGGCGCGTAATCGATAGAGCCTCGCAATATGGACTTTCGACTTCAAGAACTCGACGCCGCTGCGGATCGACATCCGCGTAATAAATCACGCCAGCAAGTGGCCACGCTGGAGCACCAAAACGTGGTGTATCGTGTTGCTTTGAGCTAGAACTTGAAGCTGGCGAATTGCAAACACGAAGCGATACATCACTCCCCTCGAGGCACAGAGCACGATCTTTGACCGTGCCGTAAGTGCTTGACGTTTGCTTTGTACACAGACAACGCGTCAATGCAAACAGTGGTGAAGAGCCCACACTTTTATCAACGTATGGCTCGGTGGTTATCGCTCTTCTCTGAGCATAACGTCGTCGTTCGCTTCAAGCCAGGAAAGAACAAAATTCTTGCCGACGCTGTGTCCAAACGTCCGGATTATGATCCTCGTATCGACCAAGGGGACGGGTCGCCATCGGGGATATAATCAATATCTGGTGAAATGGCGGGACTAATCATCCTCTGAGAACTCGTGGGAGCTTGAGGTTCCCTTACGGCAGGGCTGTCCTCTGTTGTAGACGTTTTCAAAAGCCTTGAGCAGAGCCGCCAGTCGACTCAAGATCGCCCAATCGGATCGTTTTCGCTGACCACCAATGGGTAGGGTCGCCGGCGGGTTATTCACGGTGTGTGAGGCTTGATCTGGGCTGAGGAAGCATTAGGGGCACTTTACAGGCTCGACTAAGCCTGAAGAGGGGTTTTGTGATGGCAGGGGAAGATAGGCCGCAGACCACCGACGTTTTTCCTTTAGCCTGGCAAAGTCAAAACGAAGCTTTAGCTCAAGTCGAGCACCAGCGTCAGCAGTACTAGCTTGTAGAACGTAAATGTTACCAAGATGACGGGCGTTTTTAGCCCAGCGAACGAAGCAATCGTCGTCATCTTGAAAATTTCCCCCCTGGTACCAATATGATTAGAATTTCTAATTGATGGAACAGAGGCACCCTGTTCCTGAGCCCAATGGCGATCCTTGTACTCGCGAAGAGTAGTTATATGTGGAGTCAAAAACCTCTGTTTTGAAAGGCTCCCCCGCTTAAATGCCTTCTGTTGTTGTAGCATATGGGCCTGGTACTCGGTGTCAAACGATGGTTAGCAGGCTTTCAGACAGTGACGTTAATACCACGAGGTTTGAAACCATACTCGTGTCGCATTTCCGGTGTGTGACTCGAGCTTTACGAGCGCGTTTGACTTCTTCAGCAGTAACAAGTTACTGCTGCACCTCGTCGATATGTTCGGTTATTATACCAGCCTTCAGCTTGGGAGTAACGCGTAGCGCTGTAAGTCCAGCAGCGGCACGATGTTCGATATAAACACCCTAAAGTAAAGGGGATCCCTGTTGAAACACCTATGCACCTCCTAACAAGAGTTCGTCACAGTGGGCATAGCCGGTGTTACTTTCGTAATCCACCACCTTCTCCTCCTTGAGGTAATCAAATAGTTCTTGTGAGGCCGAGGGGGAGATATTGCTCCTCTGGAGTCTTTGACTCATTCAATGCCTCAATCATGGATGCTTGCAACCTTTCTTGCTGATAGGAATGCTCAGTCGCGGTCAGTGCTCTGCTTATGAAAGCGTGGACGCGGGCTTATACATCCCAACCTCGAAAAAGTAAATATCCGATTGTAGATATGTGTATCAAGAGTAGGGTGTTACGGGATTACACGCCGCGTTACGATACATGAGAAAGAAGTACACAATGTACACACCATATAGGAGGGGTGTGATACAGCCTCCATTACATATATATTACATAACTCTATCAGGCTATAATTAAGCTTGCATGATGGCCAATCAGCGATGGTCGCAATAATAAAATTCAGCTTACGTTTTAAATAATAAAGCTTGTTAAGGAATATGTCTCTTGGATATTTGACCGTTATCAAATCTTAGTTCTTATAACTAAGAAACTCAATGATTCTAAGTCTTTCTATGGCGCTTTCCACTTGCAGCCAGCCTGCTGCACTTTATGTAGAACAGTAAACGTGAGCTTAGAAATTAATTTAAGATGGATCTCGGCGAGCTGAAGTGTTTTTCAGATTGAAGCTAAGCAAGATTGCACCTAGACACCATCAAGGGTGTTGTTTCATTTAGACAGCAAAGCTCGGTGTATTGAGTATGTGGCAAATTATCTTTCTAAAGTCTGTTCACATCAAGTTCGGCATCGAAGAGAGCAGACCTGCCTTGACAGTGTCAAGATTTTGGGAGATTGATCAAGAAAATGCGCGAAGGAGGATGCAAGCACACAGAATTGATGAAGAATGCAAAATACTATCAGTGACATCATGTAAGTGATGGTGGCGACTCGATCTGGCCTTGCTGCTGCTGTAACAAGGTTACACGAAGGTGTGTATTTCACATACACACCTGCCGCACCAATGTAGTGTGGCTGTACCTTGGGTACAAGAGTAGGCTCGATTTGACCGGACCTAACGTACGAAGGGTCGCATCGTGGCAGAGAGCCACGTGGTCGCTATACTTATTTAAGTATAGTGACTATACATGTTTGCATAATAATAATAGGCTATAGAGCCAGTAAATAGTGACTAGCACTAAGTATGGAGTTGGTGCTTCTATATTTAGTGTTATAATATAAACAAAAATCTAAATCAGTTCCAAACCTGCTCTATAAGCATCACTGCTTGAGCCTTCTATTCCTCCTGAGGAATCGTATCATTGATACTAGTATCTTTGAGACCCGGTTGCAACAACCGATAGGCACAAGCTTACGAGCTAGCCTAGGAAGGGTTAGACACCCTAAGACGTAGAAGCTCTTTGAGCTTGTCTTCCTCTGCACATAGTACATAAATAGCTTGGCTACAGTAGCTCGGCTACAGCTGCAGTAGCGTTTCAGCCAATTTGCCGCTGTCCCGTGTCCGACGCATTGGTACGCGATGAAGTAAGACGGAAGACAACACCACAAAGCTGTACCACACGACGTTTTATACGAAGTCCTGCAGCGAGGTTACATCAAGTGTTAGTGTACTCCTTGTGCTTTAGTGTGCAAACCGTGAGCTCATCAATCGTGCAACACATCACTCCGGCAGCCAAGCCGCTTTCTGGGCCTTGCTATTGGTAGAGAGATGTTTTCTACAAATCATAAATTAAAAGTAGTGGTGTGCGTCCAGTACAAAATTTGCATAGAAGGTATAAAGGTAGGGACCATAGGTCATGTCAAATGGATGACTAAACAAATTTAATAAAACCGTTCCAATTTGCTAATAACAAATACGTTGTTTTTGGTTCCTTTTTTCCAATGTATGTATACTTTCCGTACAAATCGGACGGAGGCAGCTTATACTTTTAAACCTGGCTCTTACACGCGCATGTGTAAGTGTGGTAACTGAGCCTACGCCTGTTACATCAGTCGCCCCAGACTACAGTTTCTGCTTGCCGCAATTGCAAACATTTGGAACTACTACACAGCAAAACCCGCTTTTTGTTAGAACTGTATATGTCTTCTATATGTCTTCAGTTGTAGCAGAGCTACAGCGGCGCATAATGTCAGAGGAAGACGTCCTAACGTCTAAAGAACTTAACTTGAGCTAAATATTCACAAGTTCTATGGACGTAAGGATGACTAGGATCCAGAAATAATCAAGTAATAACTATGAGTCTACCTGCCTACCACAGATGGCCTCAACAAGGTACGGATCTCCACGTTTTAACGCGAAACGTAAACAAAATTTCATTGATCTTTTTATTTCTAACCAAATTTCATAGACAGTTTTGCTTTACATCGTGTAAGTGCAGTGTCGATGATTGGAACGGTTAGTCACGACATGCAGCACGATACATCAAAACAATTGGTGTCGGCGTCTTCCTATATGCATGAACAGACGGGTATACTGCCGCGATGGGTGAAGTGCGTGCAGTTGGCTTTGTCTAACGCGGTGGTGCAAGGAGAGCACAGGGAAGGTAAGTCTACCAAGTTCGCGCGACAGATACAAGAAGCTAGTGCGAGTGATAGCAAACAAACAGGTAGGGAAGAGCAGCACAATGTACATATCAGTTTCCTTTCTGCCTTATCATCCACAATGGCCAATATCGGCCAGCAACTACTCCTCAAAGGTATATCATCAACACGATATCTGCCACCACAATGGCAAAGCGCACTGAATAGCCTTATACTGCAAAAGTTTGTATAGTACATACGTGCCGTTTCTTCACCCCAACGACCCTAATTTCGATTGTCACCAGCGTAAATGCGTCCAGCTGCGAAGTCCGATAAGTTCTCATCTCTTTCGGGCAGTTGTCGAAGTGGATGCTGACGAAGTCGCGTCATCACCTTTCAGGCACGTCATCGTCATCGCCCGACGGCACGTATACTCCAAACAGGACCTCGCCTGAGTACTGGTCAAGGAAAAGAAAAGATCTACATACTGGGTGGAAGCTTTATACATTCAGCCAGGAACATATCATTCGAGTGTGGGCGATATATATAATCTAACCGTTTCTTGTTCTCAGATCTGAGTATTGTAGACTTTGCTCTGATAACCCACTGATACCTCTTCGCTCCATCCAATTTGTTGACAATGTCTAATAAGAAGCGGCCGCGCGCCGATTTACTGTCGTCACTGGATGCAATGTTTGAGTCTGCTGCACAGTTTACATCCTCCAAGTACACGTTACAAGCTGCAGCGGAAGCGATAGGGAATAAGCAACAGATCTATCAAGGCTTAAAACGAAAGCGAAAAGATAAGAAGCGCAACAAAGGAAAAGGAAACGGCAAAGATGCAGATAAACCGAATGAAAATGACGGAGATAAGCATTTGAAAAACGAGCTAAGAGCTGATCCACTATATCAAAAGATGAACGTGGAGCTACTGGCTATAGGGCTTAAAGACTGCTCCCTGGTGAGGAGGACCAGGGCCTGGAGGCATGTTTTGGTGATGTAAATTGTTAAGCTGACATGTGAATGTTACAGAAATCGCAGGTCCATGCTCTGCAAAATCCAAGACAATTGCGCGAAACACTTCAGAACTATTTGGAGCTTGTGACACAAGGCACGAGAGCAGGCTTGAGTGCTGTTGGCAGTCTTAAAAATAAGGTTCTGTCCTTGGACAACCCCTTCAAGATGACTGCTACAGAAACTACGGAAAAAGCGATTGCGTCTACTAGTAAGAAGCAGACGGCAAAATTGCTGAGCGCGCGCCGACGTCGACAACTTGGTTTACACCTGCTCAGCGGCGAGATAAAGTACAGTGATGCCAAGCAACTCAACGACATCTGGATCCGGTATGTCAGCCATGTGATTGAAAGTGAACTTTGCAAAGTTGAGCATATTACCGACGAGGCTCAGCTAGCGCGTAACACGAAACTTCAAACTAAGCTAAAATATTTGGATCTGTCGGGATGTCCGGTTGAAGGTAAACGCGGAGATGCGTGTACATCATGATCTTTTCGAGGTATATTGATACTAAACGGGTTGTGGTCTTGTGCTATGCTCATGTGCAGTGATTCAATCAAAAAGGCCATGTAATGTCGGTCTATGTGGTATCATCGTTGCCGAAACTCAGCACACCGTGCAGATTTGCTGTCGTGTACCTTTGGACGATGACGATACGAGCAACGGTTCTATTCGAAGTACGTGGCAAGTTTTAGTTTTGATTTAGGGTCAGTACGGATGCTAACTTGTTGCTAATGTTCGTAGCATTAGTAAAGTCTGACTCGCGCTTCAAAGTTTGTATCAGCTCAACTCGAAACTTGTTGCTTGATGGCGCGTGGCTTGCAGAACGTGGCCAGTAAGTAGGCAGGACCTTTATTATGTATATCAGGATGTAGCCATTCTCTTAATCTACTTTTATAAGAGCAAACTGCCCCTCAATTGGATCTCAGCTCATTCCAAAGATCAGCGTATAAATAATAATGAGTAGCAGGAATCTCATGCAATTGCTCTTACTAGGCGTAACGTTCCACCTCTTGTGCATTTTTAGCATCTTTGACATTTATTTTCAATCAAATGTCGAGTCGTTTATTCCCACTACCAAAAATTACACCTCATCTCCTCCAGCTAAACGTGTCATTATCTTTACTCTCGATGGTTGTCGCGTTGATAAGCTCTTTAAAGTCGTTGCTGGTTACACAAATCATTATGATCTGAACACAGACAGCAGTATAAATACCACATTTCGTCATGAGAACCAGATTCCTTTTCTAGGTAATGTAATGCGACATCGTGGTAGTTGGGGCGTCTCGCATAACCACGTACCAACTGAAAGTCGACCATGCCACGTGGCTCTCACCGCTGGAATATACGAAGATCCGCATGCAGTCTATGAAAACTGGAAACAACACCCCGTACCATTTGACTCGGTGTTTAATCAGAGTAGCAGTGCCTTTCTTTATGGTAATCGAGACGTTGTTCCTATGTTGGCAAGACATGCGCCACAAGCAATGGAAGAGCACTACACGGCACAAGAAGAGGCAAAGATGGTACGGAAAGACACGACACTATTGGATATATGGGCATATGACAAGGTGGAAAAGCTCTTTACTCGAGGAACGGAAGTAAAAGACCTGGAGTTGTACAACCAATTGCATCAGGAAAAGCTTGTGATCTATTGTCATTTCTTAGGTACCGACGTAACAGGACCAATATATGGAACAGACTCGAGAAAATATTTGGAGAATATTGCAGTTGTTGATACATTGATTGAGAAAGCGTACAAGATGATCGAAAAGTACTATGGAAATGATGGACGAACTGCGTATGTAGTTACCGTGGATCATGGAATGGACCTTCATGGTAACCACGGTAATAATGCTCCCGCTGAAACGCGGACGGCAATCATTGCATGGGGTGCTGGGGTTCAAGGACCTGAAATGACGATGACGAACAATTTACGCAAGAGTGGTTTTGATATTGAGTTACCTACACAATCCAGAGAGGAAGTGCTGGCACGTCTAGAGTCCCAGGTTCAAGAGGAACAAGCTGCTACACGCGAATGGGGGACAGTACTGAACTATAAACGCAAGGATGTTATGCAGGTTGATGTGGCAGCTCTTATAAGTGCCTTGGCTGGACTTCCGTTTCCCCGCAATTCGGTAGGTATCATACCGTTTACATACTTGAACAAGGACAAATATCGTACCAAAGCCATGCGCGCGAATGCGCAACAGTTGTATAATCACGCATTACGCAAAGAAGAAGTAAAACGCGCTCATCGGGGCTTACTATTTGTTCCATATTCGCCACTTTACCAGCGTATACCAGACCTAAAAGCCCATATTGATGAGGCTATCAGCAGCATAAGTGAAGGTCATAATAACGCAACTCATGACAATGCGCATCAGGTTGTAGAGATGTTGAGTCAAGAGATGATTGAAATTTGCCGGAACGCGATTGTGTACTACCAGACGTACGACTGCTTTTTTTCTGCTCGGATCTGTTGTTTTTGGTTACGCTGGTTGGACTCTAGTCATGACTGTAGGCTACCTTCACCCCGATACTTTTCGTGTACGGCGGTTGTTCACTCATTCAATTGGTGTCAAGTTTATTGCGCTGGTGGCAGCAGTGATGTGGTGGCGATATCACGCTAACTCACCACTTACTTACTATCTATACGGGTTGTGTCCTCTTGTCTTTTGGAATTTTGTTTGGAATCATCGCGGGCAACTTCTAGCAGTACTTCCTGCTGGACAAACATCGTGGCGCAAGTCGAGCATTCAAATCACATTCCTTTTCATTTTTCTAGAGCTTGTAGTACTCGGCTATCAGCGTCGTGTCATGTTCAGTTTATTATTCGTTTTGCTGGCGTTGCAAGCGATACTTGCGAATGATGAAATGGTCAAGTTAAGCGGTGGCATCTTGAGCAAAGATTGGTGTGGGAGAAGGTTAGTTTCACCAAGCACTTGTTTGTCAGCGAGTTATCTTCTAATCGCTATTTTCCCGTCTGTGCCGAGCGAATACGACGAAAATACATCACTAGTTCATATCGGTGGGTTTATGGTCTTGGCCTTTGCTTGTATAACAATTCGTAGCGTATCAACAGTTTCCGCCCCGATATCTCAGTGGAAAGCAGTGCTATTATGTGGAGTCTTTCCTGTATTCCTGGCACTTCTAACCCTGCACTGGACCACAAGTTATTTTGATCGCAAAAAACTCCCACCGTATTTTCTCGTGGCCGCAAACTGGGTATTGGCTGTGATGCCATCAGTCTGGATGATAATTGAATGTAAATGTCAGAGCAACAAAACGGTGGGGCTGCACTTGGTCAAACAAAAAGACGAAAATGACTTGGAATGTCAACAAACAGGTAGAGGGAGTAGTTCGCGTGGCGGTTGTGCGGCTTATAAGGGTGATACTAGCTCTTACTCCAGCGCTTGCGTTGCTCAGTACAGCGTACGAAGTGCTGTTTTATCTGGCTCTTTGCAGCGCTCTCGTTAGCTGGTTGATGATGGAAGCAGAGGTGTGTATTACCGAAGGGGTTTCCATAACTCGTGAGGTACAGCGAGCCTTGATGCTTTTACTGTTTGCTCAAGTGTCATTCTTTGGTACCAATAGCGTGGCCAGCATGACAAATTTCCAGCTTCGATCAATTCGACGCTTCTCACCCGAGTCTACTCCATTCATGGCGTCTGCACTTGTCATATTGAAGCTCTCGATCCCTTTTGCTGTTGTCGGGTGTGCATTTCGTCTTATCCTGCTACTACCGTCTAGAGTTGTCTCCATGCGAGAAAAGGGTCAGTTTGGTATCTACGTTATCTCCTCATCGCAATGTCGTTTGTGGATATGATTGCCATGCAAATGCTTTTCCTTGTGAAAAATGAAGGCAGTTGGAAGCAAATGGGAAATTCCATTGCGAAATTTTGTATCATCAATGCCCAGATTGTCATTTTGCCAATGACATTTTTTTTCGCTTGGATGTACGTTCATGATCTCGAGTTTCTCGGCAAGGGGTACTACTATAAAACCTCGATAGAAAAGGATGAGATGAGGATGAGAAAGTAAACTAAACTTCATCATAAGATGGTTTTTATAGTTTAAAGTCAGAATGTTTGATCATAACTTGTGCAATCAGCAAATAGAACTCTAAATATTACTGCCTCTTACTGTTTCTATGACAATATAGTCATTTTTAAGACTCCCCGAAAAGATAAAAACAAATATAAGGTCGATTCTATCATATGATATCTGATTGATTGCCTTACCATGCGAAGCCATGAAAAATCCAGTAATCATGACAAAGCAGATGGCTTTTCATCCAATCATGTCTTGTTCCTCAACTCGAAGGTGTATGTATGTGTCTCTTCCGACTTCATTTCTTTATTTGCTGACTTATACGTAATCATCAAACAATTATGAGCATTGATTGGTCTCTGGATTGTTGCAATGATAAACAATTTTTATCCATTTTTCTCATTGTTTGCTATGCAGTTCTTATCTTTAAACTGTAAGGAAAATATAGAATATTGCTGGAAAATTAGTCTAATTTTTATAGTTTTTTACTCGTGTATAACTCTACTAATTGTTTTGTTTTTATTTAGATGGCGCGTGTCAATTCTCCATCCATTCAAAATTCTGTACGTTCTGATGGTTTATTGTAGTTATATGTTTCTTATTATAGTAAGTTATAGGTTACTACCATAGGCGGTTTATCTGTTCTCAATGAAAAAAATAACGTTTGTATTTTGTATTGGCCGTTGATTTTAGAACAGTGTTTCTTCATGAACTGGGACATGCAACAGCTGCATGGCTCACCTGTGGCAGTGTACGACTAACTACGTCAAGGGTTCTATGACTTTGATGATTGACGTCCGTACAAACCGATGCATTTGTTTGTGCTGCTATGGTGTGTGCTATATCTATAGGTTAAAGGAATGGAAGTGCATCCAGACGAAGGCGGTGTTACAAAGACTGTTGGTGGATTGCAGTGGGTGATTCTACCGGCCGTATGTTAATTCTCTTTTGTTGTTGTTGTTGTGAACAAATCTTTGTAGTAGAAGATAATCACTAACTTTATCGTATTGTGATATACTTTTGATACTGACGATAGGGATACTTAGGATCAGCCGTGTGGGGTATGGCACTGACAATTGCGAGTGCTGACAAAACAGCATCTGAAGTCGCAGCAGGTGTTCTCATCTTTTTCCTGCTCGTATTTATCGTCTACGCCCACAACGGTTACTTGCGACTCTTGAATTTCTGCTTCGTTCTGTTACTTTCGGGATTACTGGCGTTGAACATTTGGACAACGTTTGATGCATTGAGCTATGCGACGCTTTTTCTTGGAGTCATGAGCTGCCTCTTCTCGGTTTACGATATATGGGACGACCTCATTTCCCGCCGGATAAACGAGAGCGACGCGTCAGTTTTTGCCAAGATGACGCACACTTCAAGTCGTTGCTGGGGAGTTATTTGGGGTCTGTTTGCGCTCGTTACACTGGTTGCTGCAGTCTACTTTAACTTGCTTGTTGCAGAGGACTTGGGTGAGTCTCTAACCAACATCTCAGATGCTTCCTTGGGCACAAAAATCGCGTTGGCCTGCGCTGTCATTGTTGTGGCTCTCGCTGTGGTTCACACAGGGTTTACGCGGAGATGTATGCTACGGAAGCGTGTGGGACTGAACAGCTACTTCTCGTCCGCATAGGCTTTAGAAAGCTTAGCGATAATGACCACAGCTATTCAAAAAGCTGCTTTCTAGTGGAATTCGGCCAAATACTATTTTCACCTTCACTGATTCTTTTCCTGCATTGTGATCTCTCTGTGGCAGCTAAACACACTTCTCTACGATATCAACCTATACACACACACATACCAAACGTTACGCACAAACGAACGCTTATGGTTTGTTTTCTATCGCGTAAGGACATCCCCACCTAAGGAAGAATACCGTTCGTCATACGCTGAAAGTTATCATATTGACGGGTGCTGTAGTTGTTGTTGCTCTTGCGAATGAGCGCCAGTACATGCGCCACAGTCTCTTGTTTGGACAGCGACAGCTTGAAGCGTGACCGCAAGCGCAATAAAATATATTCAGCGTCGATGCCCAAGAAGCACGGGTACGGCGATTGGCGTGACATTACGTTCACGAGATCACATATTTCGTCGCAGCGCTGTTGACACGCCAGAAAACCTCTCGTACAAAGCGTAACATACTCCTTAAATCCCTCAGAATCCTGCCCACCCATGGTTTCCACCATCTCGGCTGTAAGCTTAAATGGTGCTGTCTCGATGCTCAGCATTCCTCCCGGCGCAATTCCAAGCAAAAATCCATAATCAATATGAATAATGTGACCTTCGTCATCCAGCATAATATTACCGTTATGCCGGTCCTTAATTTGAAGGAAGTAGCACACAAGTGAGTATCCTGCCATCGACTGAATAAACTTCCGCCGAGCTTCCTTAAATCGGTGCGAGCCTGGTGGCCCATACGATTTTTTGAAGTGATGGAGTAATGAAACATAGCATTCACGCTTCTTCAGACCGTCCAGCGAGATCGCGTTGACCAAAGTCTCGATTAGCCCAGTGGATGAACTTGTAGCGATGATTCGGTATCTCTTTACCCACATAGGAAGATTCGCGCTCCTGAAGATTTCAACAAACTTCTGAATCAATTGCAGAGTAAATACCTCTTGCCGAAGATCATCGTTGCTTTTGCCAATCATAGACACAATGTCCCATCCAGGAAGGTGGCCGTATGGCGATGCAGCCTTCAGTCTTGAGCGCTTTGAGCTCCAAGATTCACCAAACGCCGCCTCAAAATCTCTTCGGCGTGCTTTTTCACGCTCAATCGCCTGTGCTGTTAAATTGCCCGTTGCTAAGTCCATTTCAAACGATGCTGATGGCGTGCCCTCTGCAGTCGGTCCACCGTCTGCATCCATCGACTTTTCACTAGGCTGCATCAAGATTGGAGGTATCGTTGATGGCGTTGACACAATGTCAGGAACATTGCTTGGTGTCTCAGGTACCCGCGCACGACGAGACGCGGAAATTGGGGTATGATGCGTCTCGAGCACAATGGGGGGAGGGTGTATAACTTCCGGTAGAACTTCCTCTACATCCTCCACATCACCACCAAAAGCTTCACTTGCCTGGTGTCCAATTAGCTCTCCAATCTCATCATCTTCAACATAATTGACCTCGGAAGATTCAAATGCAGAATTGTCGTTCGGAACTTGCCTTGAAGGAGAACGTGGTGACTCGGGAAGTACGTGGTCATCGTTAAAAGGGTTACCGCGTATCACCTCAAAAATTAGCAATATAGGAACACGTGCCTTGGTCGAGAATGCGGTGCCTTCCGTTGTAGGTATTCGCACAATACGCTCAAACGGATCCGTGGCTTTCACCAGCGGCACATATGCCATGGGTGGAAGGTGTAGCTTCACCAAATATGACGGCAATTGAGCCTTACGATCCTTAATAGATGGTACAAAACGTAGCGCATCTGCAATATCGGTGATCTGCTCTACAAAGTCGCATTCGTCAGCAAAATGCTTCGCTAACAGAGACTTGTCCGTCTGACTCATGCGTCGAACAGACTCGCTAAATATGCTTGTATCTTTATCCTCCTCTTCAAGAATGGACAGCCGCTCATCTTGCTCATAGTCGTCACATGTAGGGTGCGTGATCAGCATCGAGTCTAAGTGTTCCTTAGGTGTAAGCAAATGCTGTTGGAAGCGCGAAAAATCGCGGAATCGACTGTCAACATCGGAATCTACCGAATTGCTACGATTCGTGGCGTTCCGTGCAATAGATGGCGACAACTGCAGCACTAAATCTCTGCTTGGAGGTAAACTATTTTCGGCTGCGGAACTATGCGCTTGCCGACGATAGTTTGCTATCTCCTCCGTTAGCTTCACAATAACCTGCAGCTGGTCATCTGTGGGCAAAGGTAAATTTCGCTTGTGCACCTGCGGTGTTCCTAGCTGTGGGTCACGGCTAAGCACAGTGGCTCGGTCTACACCAGCGACCTCACGCTCAATTTCAACCATCAAACGCACTACACGTGCGTATTTGTCTTGCATCTCCTTGGGTTTTCTTGGATCAAACGAATCTTCGAGTGCGCCTTGTAATTGCCATCGAAGCAGTAATGCGAGGTGGATGGAGCGCGAGCACACCGACAAAATGAGCTCATCCAACCAAAATATTTTCTCAAAATCAAAATTTGGAATCGACAAATACGCGTGTACAATCTGGGGCCAATAAAACTCCACTTGGTTGATGCGTGTGTACGAAAAGTGAAGCAACTTTTCCACAATAGGCTTGAATAGCAGAGGATCACTATCCAAGTGACGATGCAACAAGATAACTGCACGGTACACGCTAAAACTGCGTGCACGAAATTCACGATGCAGGCCCAATATTTTCAGGTCAAGTGGAATCTCGGGATGGTCCATTGTATGGTCATAAAATCTTCGATCCTTGAGCAAAATTTCCTCACATTCCTCTGCGGTAATCACTTTTGCCTTAAGCAAATCGATAGCGATTTTTGCTGACTCAGTCTGCAGCGGACGCTTTGGCATCATGAGCTCAATCGGTGCCTCAGGATTCAGCTGACGTGGATACAAGCAAATTCCAGCCTTCAGACGCTCCACCATAGCACGCAAATAGTTAATGTAATTTTGTGCTTCGTAGCAACCATCACATACACGTTTCGCATAGTAATACGATCTCTGCGGCAGTGGCACCTTATGCGTCGCGAACTTATCACAAAATAACCCGTCACAACTGTTGCATTTGTACAAGAGCGTCGCGGCAATCGGTACCGGTTGCTTTGCAGTAGCTGCTTCTGCTGTCAACTGTGCGCAATTGGGACACTTGCACGTCACGTCTGTTTCGGTGCACGGAACCGTCACAGTGCTCATTGGTGAGACCGCAACATCCTGCGATGCATGCTGGAAAAATACTGCTGCAAGTCGAGGTACCGTCGTCACGACTGCAGTTTGGATTGCTCGGATCCATTTTTCCTTGTCCATTGCCGTGTCTGCATAGGCATAAAATACCTTATTCTGCGTTGTAGCAAACAAGAATCCATGCTGGTATATGTGCATGTTACCTTTACCGTCCCATTCCTGAACTCCTAGCACGTCCACCTCGCCCTTGATCCGTAGCATGTGATATGCATCCTCCTGTGTGCTGTAAATACAATACCACATATCCACAGCATTAATTCCACATTATTCTCAACATAGTGTCACTATTATATATAAATTACCTATAATAATGAAAGGAAGTGCCAATAAGGAAGCAATAACGACGTAACATTGGTGGAGGTGACGACGGACTCGTGCGAAAGGTGAGGTAGCCCTCACAGCTCGTGCGCGCGGCTTTCATGACGCTCCACGAGATCAAACGTGGTCTAATACGGCTACGACGTCGTTTCGTGGTGATATTCAGCGTCAATTAGCGCTTAAAACAGAATGTTTATGCGTTACTTGACACAGCCTTGGACGTTGTGGGCAATACGCAATTACTCGTCTCCAACAGGGACAATAGAGACGTTGAATAGCTCTATTAGATATACAAGATGACAGAGAATATGATTATGTTAGTGTGTGCGATCGAAAGATACTTGGAGGGAAAGTACAGTGAGAGAAAGATGCAGGAGACCTACGGCGTAAGCCTTCTCTCTTCAAGTCGCGTTAAAATGTTTAAGGTGGCTTTATAATAGGGAGGGGGTCCAGTTTTGGTGACATCTGTAAGGTATTCGCTAGAGAACCCAAACAATGGGTTAATTTAACTTATTGATTCACCCATATATATGGCCGTGGGTTTTTTATCACAGCAAGTACATAACCGATCCATGTAAGTTTTGCTGGTTGCGAGGCTTCCAGTGTCAATAGTGACGTCCAGACTTGGAGGATTATATGGGTCGTGGAAAGAAGACAGCAATACCAATGAAGGCGTCTACGCCCATTACCAATCGCAATAACAAAGGAACAAACAAAAGGACGTCAGGTGTTTCACTGAAGAAGCAGAACAAACAGCAGGCACAAAAGCAGACTCCGATCAAGAGCTTGAAAAAGCCCGTAGAGGTTGTGAAGCAGCTCGTGAAGAGTGAATATGAGAAAGAGAAAGATGAACAAGTAGAATATGAAGAGAATAGTGAGACGGAGGATAGTGATGAGGCAGAAGATGAGAAGGAGGATGACGAGTTTGAAGACCAGGGATCGTCGTCCGAGGATGACAGTGATGGTGAAGAAGACGATGATGCAGAGCTCACGGAGTTGGAAAAGAAGACGCGTCATTTTGTTGTAGATCGGGAAAAAGAGATACAAAACATGCGTGTAGACGGGTCTCTTGCAGTGGCATCGCAGCTGCATGTTGACGACCTATCGTCGGATGATGAGGTAAGGTGGAGGAGGAAATTGCACGGATGGCTTTGAACTGATGTTGACAATGGTTTTTTGCTGCAATTAGGAAAATATCAACACGATTGGCAACGTTCCGCTGCGGTGGTATGAAGACTATGACCATATTGGTTACAATGTGGAGGGTAAGAAGATAATGAAGTCGAACAATGGCGATGGCATTGACAATGCAATTGCTGCGAAAGATGATCCCAACTACGAGTAAGCTGACCTAAGTATGCCCAAGCTAATAAGGTGCTACATAACTGACATTGCATACTTTTCCTTAACAGCCGCACAGTGTACGATGCATACAACGACCGCAAGATCGTTGTTTCAGACCGCGACATGGAAATTATCCGTCGTATGCAGGCTGGCGCATTTGCACATCCAGAGTTTGAAGCTTACCCGGACTATGTTGACATCTACTCGTCAAACAAAATGATTCATTCTATGGGCAACGATATTGAGCCAAAGAGTCGATTCTTGCCTTCAAAGTGGGAACGTATGAAAGTGATGAAGATCATGAAGGGTATCAAGGAAGGTCGCATCAAACTTGACAAGGATCCTGAGAAAAAAACCGAGGTTTACCAGATGTGGTTTGACGATGACCAAGCGCAAACCCGTAAAGGTCCAGCAAACGTGCAGGCTCCAAAGATGCCGCTTCCTGGGCATATTGAATCATACAATCCTCCAGACGAGTACTTGTTCACTAAGGAAGAGCGTCGTGCTTGGGAAGAAGCCGAGCCGGAGGACCGTGAGACTAATTTCATACCAAAGAAGTTCAAGTCGCTTCGTGAGGTGTGCGGCTACAACGGTTTTGTGCGTGAGCGCTTTGAACGGTGTTTGGACCTGTACTTGGCGCCTCGTGTTAACAAGCGCAAGCTTAACATTGACCCAGAGTCACTCGTACCAGAGCTGCCAAAACCGCAAGATCTACGTCCGTTCCCCAACACGTTGGCTCTTATCTTCACTGGACATACCGGCCGTATTCGCTCGCTCGCTGTGGATTCATACGGCCAATATGTGGCTTCTGGCTCGGATGACTCTACTGTGCGTATCTGGGAGCTGGAGACTTCACGCTGTTTACAAGTGTACAACGTTGGTGCCGTGGTGCACAAGCTGACGTGGAACCCAAACAAGGATCACCAGGTGCTTGCTGTCGCGGCTGCCAAGAAGGTGTTTATTATTGCTACTGGAACGGGTAGCGCTGACCAAACAGAACTTACTAATGCTCTCGTTGGCGATGCTGACGATAGCATTCAAACGACTGCTTCGAAGGATAGTACGGTAGATACCATGGATGGTGATGTCCAGTTTGTGGACGAAGATGAGGCCTCTGTGGAGGCTGAAGCGCTGAAGAAGAAGGTACCTGTAACTTGGCGGTTTTATAGTGGAACGAAGGACAAGCACAAGTCGAAAAATGCTGCTGAACGGCCGTGGCTTGAGCGTCGTGTAGGCACTGGCGTTCGTGTTGTGCTGCATCACACGAGTGACGTGAAGGACATAGCGTGGCATTACAAAGGGGATTACCTTTCCACAGTCTCCCCTGGCGCTGGATCAGGAGCAGTGCTGATCCATCAGCTCTCAAAACGGAAGACTCAAAACCCATTCCAGAAGAGTGTAGGCCAAGTGCAGTGCGTTCTGTTTCACCCGTCCAAGCCTTTCTTCTTCCATGCTACTCAGCGCCATGTGCGCGTGTACAACCTAGTAAAGCAGTCAATCGTTAAGAAATTGTCATCAGGTGTCAAGTGGATCTCGAGTATGGCCGTACACCCGAACGGTGACCACTTGCTTGTGGGTAGTTACGACCGAAGATTGTGCTGGTTTGACCTGGATCTGTCCTCGACGCCTTTCAAGACACTCAAGTATCATGAGAAGGCTGTGCGTGATGTGTCATTTCACGCCAAGTACCCGCTCATGGCTTCTGCATCGGATGACGGCACTATCCACATCTTCCATGCTATGGTCTACTCGTACGTATGCAGTTTACTTGTATTATTGACATCGTACATCATTTTACTGAGACGAGACGGTTGAGTTGACTCACGACTAAATTTCTGATCTTTGCAGGGATCTAATGAAGAACCCACTGATCGTGCCGCTAAAGATCTTGCGCGGTCATGAAGTTTCTGGTGGTCTTGGTGTCATGGCCCTGGCTTTTCACCCTGTTTTGGTACGTCTTCTGTCTCCTTTACCTGAAATGTTCCCGCTTCGACACTAACCTCTATTCTGTCGTTCTGCATTCTCTTTTTGATTCATTCAGCCGTGGATTGTTACTGGCGGCGCTGATGGGACTATTCACCTATTTCAGAATATTCATTAAGGTGCCCGTCTCCGAGTAATGGCCGCTCACATAACAGTTTCTGAAAAAGTTAGGGTTTCAAATGCAGGAATTAGACAAGGTGCGCTAATATTTTCTGTACCCGCTAAAAATTTAGACGTGCATAGTACTGATTCTGAGACTCTAGCGTGCTAAATCTGAGAACTTGAAATCGACATACAGGTCCAAAAAGATGAATTTGCGTTTCAATTTGGGCTATTTCACGTAATTTGAAGCCGTTTCAGACAAAGAGTCGACACAATTTTTCGGACGGACAGGCGCACAGATGTAAGTGCTCTGATTGGCCTGAATGCTAACCTCTTTGATGGACGAGAAAGATGAGTCACATGTCGCTTCGATTCAAGACAAGATTCAGGGTAGGGACTGGCAATTCTTTCTCCTTAAATGCATGTTCAATCTTCTTCTACGCAATAAGCTTGCTTTACTCCACTTCACTCTGCCAACATTAACTCTTGCCATTCGCTGGTCTCATTTTACCAAGCGCTGGGTACAGCGAGTAAAATAAACAGGACATGATCCTGGGTTAGTCCATTTTTGTTTGCTGCATAAACAAGCCTTTTGCTCAGCTGCAAAAGATGTGGCTTCATACTTTTAGTCAAATTACGTACGCACACTACGACGTATTCATCGCAGCGGCTGAACGTGGCGCATAAATTATTCCTTTCTGTCATGTTTTGAATCATTCCAGCACATTTCAAGTGATGGAATGACCTTTTCACTACACATGCGCTCGCAACTTGCAGTGATATACAAGCACGTTTGTCTACACCCACCTCAGTTGACTTGCTTGATGGTCGCTCCAAGAGGGGGTGTCGGTGACAAGAGTTCCTGCAAAGTCTTTACGTTTACTTATACTTGGGACGTGGTTTGAATTGCCAAACAATTGACTGCTTGGCAAATATTCCCAAGGGCGACGTTTGCGACTATGGGAGAGTTGGACGGTTGTATTACCTCGTTCAATTCTCTGATGAATGATTGTCCTCAAGAATCAGCTAGCTGGTAGATAGTTATTTTGGTGTAAAATAGTGAATGACAAAACGCTCGATTGTTCTGACATTTACCTCGAGTTAACCTCATGCAACGGTGACTTGTAACGAACACAGTTAGGCATATTGCCTTTCTACGACCATCATACGGAGAGCCAGCGATGACAAATGACTCTAACGTCGTCTTATATTGTAGCTTACTCCTAGCTAGTTTAGAAACATGATACATTAGCGTACCCAAGTGGAGGAAGAAGAGACGATAACGATGACATGTAAAGTCCTTAATTTATTTAGCTATGAAAAGAAAGAAGAAGGTTACAGCTACATCAAGTCGAAAGCTAACACGACTCAGTCCAAACGGACGGATCAGGGTCTACCCACTACCAGGACGCAATAAGAATACACCACGGAGGCTCTATTCACCGCGACGGAATGAGACCGCAATACGTGTATCTATGACACCCACCCACATGGCCCTTTTCTCGGCGAGTGCGCACGCAACTTTTATCGAACCACGCGTCAACATCTCAGTTCTTCTTGCCCATACCAGGAAGACGGAACCGTGAACGCTTTGGTGCAGCCGTTGGCATCGGAGGAGGCATCTGGCCGTATCGTACTGGGTACTGATACTGTCCACCCAGCGTCGTGGGAGGGTACTGTTGCTGCTGACCGAAGCCGTTAGACTGGCCGTACTGCGACTGCTGTGGCTGTCCATATTGCTGTGGTTGATGCTGTCCATATTGCTGTGGTTGAGACTGACCGTACTGCTGCTGCAATGGCTGCTGTCCAAATGGCTGTGGTTGAGGCTGACCGTACTGCTGCTGTAGAGGCTGCTGGCCGAATGGCTGTTGTAAAGTTTGCTGTACGAATGGCTGTTGAGGCTGCTGTCCGTACTGATGCTGAGACTGACTGTTGCCGTAGCCATACACGCCCGATTGCTGCTGCTGGTTGCCGTAGCTAGAATGATGCGGAGGATTCATACCCGTAGCCAGCACTGGTGGGTATCCAGCGTTTTTCACGAGATTAGGGCGATTTTCCTCGTCCGAATTGCGTTGAGTGTGGCTCACGCGTTTCCCGTTAATATCGTAAAGCGAGCCCTCCGTGGGCTCTCCATCACCATTTAGTAGGCTGGTGTTGTCAACCTTACCCTTACGATCAAGTACCGTGTCACCCGAAAGAACTGCACGGTCCGATTTTTTCTTACGAAGAAACCCTACCATTATGTAGAGTAAAGGTGTGGCTAAGAAGGACTAAAGAAAATGACGCTTTGTTATTCTCTCTTCTTAGTACTGTGGACTGCGAGGATGATTTGAGTATGACGCGCGGAAACTGGTTCTAACCGTGCCCCCCCCTCCCAGCTCCTGCCGCTCCTCTTCTATGCGGGCAAGATTTGTCGCGTTTTTTCTGAAACCTAAGCACTCAGTTTTAATAAGCTGCACTTGGAGTTTGTATGACGCAAACCCTGACCCAAATCCACGTGCCAATTGGAGGATGATTGACTGAGGTTGACTATGCCGAAATATTGTCGTAAATTGTGTCAAAGGTTTACATAATGCCTTCTCCAGCACCATACAAAGCAGCAGCATCTGTAAACGCAGTACGGCTACGAGAATTCCAACGTCACCTTGTCAATGCAAATATATGTAAACAATTTCATTTCTTGGCGTTGAAAATGAAACACAAATTATTACAATACCAGCCGATTTAAAGTCGTTTTTCTTCGTCAAAATCGCGCGAGGGAGAGCAAATTACTAGCTACGATTATCTGTTTCGGTACTGGCAGCTTGTTTGGAAAGCTAACAACAGTAAACTGGGTATGGACAGATACCATATGGTACATGGTGCCTAAAGGCATATATTGAAACCACAGCTTAGCTTTGAAACCTTGCAAGGTATTTCATGTTCCAGATGCATCCAACGTGTCCAATTGAGACTGACACATTTTGCTACCAACCCAAGCAATCGTTGAAGCCCAGGCCATTCAATTCCACGCTCACGCACAAGCTAAGAAGCTATTCGCAATGGCAACAAGAAGCGAATCATTATTATTTTCTATTAGATTCCACCGCACGAAGCGGCGAGAGTACGACTGACGATGTCTCCTTGCCTCATCAGTGTGAGGAATAGTGATGAGCGGAGACAATTTCAATCGCGCATAGTTTTTGCCTTAATTTGCACACTTGCATGCATCAGTCAAGTGCCAGTGCTTGGAACGAAGCTTCCAAATTTCTAGGATCTCGCCAATAAACTCTCAATGATGTTCAACAATCAATGCTCTTGATGTGTTAAACGATAGCAGGCGAAGACTCAATGGAGAAAACATAAGTAGCTGCTACTATTAGACGCTTCGAGCCCACGAGCATTGCATTCAACAGGGCATGTGTCCTGCAATAATGAATTACGATACTCTGCATATTGCGTATCATGGTCTACGCTATGCAATAGCAGGCTACTGTAGCCGCTGCATTAACATGAAGAATGCCATTGACTATGCTAGCCTTGAGAGATATCAGACTGATCTCTTGCCGTTCACTGCGACCTTGAGGACAATGACGACAATCTAGCACGTGAACCATGCACACAACAATACTGGCATTGCTTTTATTGCATCTGTTGTTTGTGTCTGCTGAACGACCTCTGATAGCAAGCACCGTGCGCCTGTCTTCACCATGTTACGTGCGTATCGAGAAACTCCCGTGTCATCTCTTCGATCTGTGCTACAGTCTCCATGTAGGTATCGTAAGACATGTGCCATGGGTCCTGCACGTCTCGAGTAAAGACACATAGCACGCCATCCCGTTCTTTAATCCCTGGAAAATTTTCCGTCACTTTAAATGCTAAGCCGCTCGCCACACATACCACATAGTCTGCCTCCAGACACATTGTCTCGGTCAGGAGCTGCGAACGATGCTTCGACAAGTCCAATTGGTACTTTTTCATCACGTCTATCGCGTGCTTGGACGCCGGTGAGCCCTCATGTTCAAACATATCCGTTAATCTGCACGTCAGACAATATTAGACCCTCACATTGCTCAGTGTAAAAATAGTGTTCATGTTACGTACGCCGCGGACCGGATGACAATTCCTTTCTCTTCCTGTTGCTCGCGCGACATATTGAGCTTGCGTCGAAAGTATTCAACAGCAAAAAGCTCTGAGACCGGCGAGCGGCACGTGTTACTAGCGCATACAAATACAATGTTCATTACGTTCGGCTTGGCTGGAGCAGTCACAATTCTCGTCTGGAAGTCACCAACAGCCGCGATTGGCACAAAAATGACTCCATAATGTAAACGAAACAGGTTGAGCTTCTTTGACTTTAAGGCTTTTGAGGACCGTGATAGCCATCGCAGTGTGTAACAAAGATGTGCAGAAAGACAAACAAAGAACAGAAAATGATGCACTGATTAAAGAATTGGCACTGTTATCATCAAAATTCCATCCGCGCAATTGTCTTCTTGGTACTTTTGCTAATGATAAAAGATTTGATGTGTACAGTACCTTCTTCTGCCTTGCTGCTTACAACTGCTTTTTGTAACATTCCAATAGGGTAAATCACACTATGCTCTTTGGCGCTTTCGTCTTCATTGCAGATGTTTGCAGCCCAAAGTGAGTTCCAGCTGTTGCAGCTGAAGTGTATTGCTACATATGAATATTTAATCCGTGACGGATAAGCCATTCCCCCGCAGCCCCTGAAGTTAATCCTTACGGGAAAAGGCCAAAGAACTTGATACTTAATGCGATTCTGTCTCTACGTCAACAGTCTCCAACAGCAAGTCTGATGCCGGTCTTTGTTGGCACTGTACGTTTTGCGGGATGTCAAAACTGTTTTGCCAAAAAGCCCTGGCTGGGCAATCCACTCGCCTAGTGCCACGTATGGATAAGTAGAAACCACATTGCTCTGTATTGTTTTCTTCACCTCCTCCAGCTTAATTCAATGGCATTGGCGGGAGGCAGATCTCACGCACCGCATTTTCTCTCTCTAACGAGTAATCTTACAAGCACATGACAGTTACGCGGTCACACCGGTCTGTCAAGTCGCGAAACGAGTAAATATTCCCCCCGTACGTACGACAAAGGTCTAGGTCCTTGATCTATTCGACATTGGTGCTAGTGGAACAGCCAACATATTTAGAGCAAACCAAAGAGTACACCTCCTCACCTATGCCCACCCTCGCGCAATGATAATTCTACGTGCCTGTAGCTACTAGGACAAACGACCGCTACTAGTCGGACGCCTCCCATATTCAGTAGGCAAAAGAATGACTGTCCGATTGCTTCAGCGTTTCTCATAACTAGTCCACCCGTGAAGACTATTGCGCATTAGGAAAGCGTCGCAAGTTGACAAGAAGCTACATAGCAAACGAACACAATCATGTACATATTATTTCTCATGGAACGGCACATTGCCCGACAGTGTTCAATCAATATGCCCCAATGACTGAAATAATCACCTTCGAGGTTGTGGTTTCGACATTGTCTGGAAACACAGCACATGTTTCCTAGGCACAACGTGTACATTTCAGCTGGCAGTAATAGACGCAAACAAACACCATGGTGTAAGGATAGCAGTGGGTGATCATTGCAAATGGGTACAGGCATCACCTTTCGATTCTTGCAGCTGAAAACTTCTCGCACAGACATGTTTTTATAATTTATGCTCCGAAAACAATGCGCCTGCAGCGTTAGTTCATTACAGAAAGTTTGAGCTCGTGTGGGCGCTTGCGCAGCTTACTTTCTATATTTTTGTGGAGTATAGCCACGCCGCACAGTCCCAATTGTAAAACCTAGCCGAGTCTCCGCTTCATGCTTCATACAAAACAATGCTAAAGAACTGAGCGTCTTGTGAATAATATACATTGTATAGCGGTATCGTATACAAGTAGGAAGCGCGGACCCTATACGTACACCATGCAGACAGATTGTGATTCCAGACGACTGTAGGGTGGTGTATTGAAAAGTGCACTGCAAAAACAGCATGAAGAGCGCAATACGATAAACACATAGAAATGTCGTTTAGAATGAAAGTGGAGGTACTATGCGATGCTTTTGAGTGACGACTGACTGTAGATCGATGCGAGTGAACTAGCAGCTGATCACTGTTATTGTTTATTTGAATGCTTTTGCAATGCATTCAAACTGGATTCCAAATTCTACACTACAAGTCATCAAACCTGCAATTGTAACAGAACCTGTCGCACTTGGAGCCGTAGCGAAGCATTAGCCTGCGATTTCTTGCATCAGTGGACCGTGTCATATTTATCATGCTCTAAAAAGAGGAGCCGAAGAGATTTCGACCTGAAAGTGTTCATATCATGAAGTACGCATTAATCTCAGGATTACAAAAACGCAGTGTATCAATACTAAGACAACAAATAGATGGATACTACCCGTACAATTGCTTGACATCGAGTTAACTCTTACGAACAATATACAAGAGCATCTAATCCTTACAACCGTCACCACCAGCAATGACTAGGCACGCAGTGGATTCGTAGATACTCATGATATTCGTCGTAACCGACCAAATAAGCGCGAACACTAAATAGACTGTTGTGATGATACCCATGAAGTAGCTAGAACCACCCAAACGTTTCATGATCTGCGTCTGCTCCTTTTGACGAGGAAGCATTAGCAAGAATAATAGCGACGCCAAGTTGAACACCCACATGATCAAAACTGTGACGGTCACGTCGTATCTAACACCGTAGCTGTCATTCTGGATCCGCTCGGTCGACAAATCAAATTGACCTGCAACATTTCGTGTGATAGCAGCTGAGAAGGGAGTACAGACATTGTAGACCGTTGTGAGAAGGCCGTACATTGCACCCTCATGCCCTTCGGTGGACAGCTCAACGATAATGAAAGACCCTACAATGTAGATTATTCCCTGGGGAATTTGCTGAAGAAGAGGAATTCCGAGCCAAAACCAAGGCGAACGGGTAATATCCCAAATCGTCACTAGCTTCAGCACCATATCGAGCGCTACGTTGCACACCATGGTCACGACGGTCGTACGACGCCAGTCCCAATCGCGACCATAGTTTCCACCAAACCAGACAGATGACGCGAAGATGGCAGTAGTAAAGAAGCCGGCAATCTTCTCTGCAAGAGGCGAAACATTTATCCAGTTGGTCTGAATAGGATAGCTGGATACCCACGTGAACATTGCAAAGATGCCCGAAAAGGTTTGATACGCGATGTACTGGTATACGGCTCGAGTCTGCACAATATCCCATAACTCGTGCATGTAATGCTTAAAACTCTTGTGGTGGTTGGAACATTTTTCCTCGTAAATGAAAAGCCACGTGATCGGAACCATTGGACCGATAACAAATGCCACGACCAACATCAACATCGGGAACGGCAGCGAAAAATCAAAGTCACCACCATATTCGTCACCGTTGAAGCAAAAGCCAACCAGGATAAGAGCAATGATAGTGAATGTATAGCGCGTCGTGTAAATCACTGTCTGCGTTCTTCCTCGAACCTCGAGCGGTTCGCGCTGGGCCAGTTCCACCACGATGCCGTCGGCACACACATCAGCCATTAGATAGCCAAAGACACATCCCATCATTGGGACGATGTACATGCTGCCCTGACTAGCAGCATCATAATTGATCGTCTCGATGATTTCGGACGTGTAGTCCTCTGGCTTTACGTTTCGGTACTGTGTGTCTGTAAAGTAAGGCCTGCCCTCAGGTGTCAGCGCCATTTCCAAGAGCATGACTAGCGAAATCATCCAACCGATGACCATATAAGGCCGGCGACGGTAGCCCCATAGTGGAAAACAGTCCGATACAATGCCATAAAAAACTTTAAAACTCCATGGTAATTGAACTAGCACGCTGGCTGTGGTGGTTTGTGATCCTGGAATGTTGAGATAGTTCTGCAAGAACGGGTAGATAACACTCGGTAGCACACCGTCAATTAATCCAATCGCGGCGTATTGTCCGATGAGGCCAATGTACTTTCGCGAGAAAAGATCTGGTGCACCTCCAGTACGAAGTGCACCACCTTCAATGTAGTCATCGTACACGTAACGCAATTTATCAAAGTCTTGCTGTGATTCTGCTGGTGAAAAGCTGCATCGCGAAGAGCCTAACATAGCCGTAGTATCTGGATTGTATAGCTCTCCGAGTTTAGTATCAGAAACTGGCATTTCGGCCTCGTTGGACTGAACAAAAGGTTTCAAAACGTTCATGTGCAAGTAAACGCAAATTGAAGACTTAGCAAATTGTTTATACAAGTGCTAGAAAAACATAGAGAAAAGTTACAGTGGGAGAGATTCGTACAGCCGAAAGACTGTTCTCCTGTTGCAGAGGAATACAGACGTTGAACATTACTCCTTACGATGGGTATACATTCTATCCAACCATAAAACAACACTTTGTTTACTTTCACTTCAAACATTTTAGGAAACAAAAGAGCGAGTACGTGAGCTTACGCGTTTTAGCATACCACCACTGCGGCTAATGAAGAGCCGAAGAGGCAAGTATTCGCGATTGAGATGGACTGCACCTGGTATTAGGAGGAATACTAATTTCCAGTCGCTTTTATTGTCAGCCGCAAGTCTTCTTCGACATTACTTCGTTTTGTCAAAGAAGCATCACAACTAAAGAGAGCAACTCTTGCCAATTTACAAAGAAATACGAGAAGTTAGCTAATGGCTGTGAGCGTCTCACTTTATTGCAAGCTCATTTACAAATTCAGCACAAACGTAGAACTTGATTCTTGAACGAATTTAGATGAACAAGGTCTCGATTCAAACAGGTCTGAATTTTTCGTATTTATTTTGACAGTAAGCCAAGACTTCGGACTTGGTTACATAAGCTCATACCATTTAATTTACGCGCCTTTGTTAAGGGAACAAGAAAGGAACGTCGATAGAGACAGCTGCGTGGTGCATCAGGCTATAATACGTACAAGAAGCCCACAATCTTGCGTGGTTACTCTCAGGCGTCATGCAAAAAAATGAGCTTTGGAGACGTGGATGCAAAGCGTGAATAGAGCGATTTCTCGAATTGCTTTGCAAGTAGTGAATTGTATATAATGCTGCATACGCGAATGTCTCGCATAGAAAAAAGCCGTTTGACAACACGTGCCTCAAAGGTTTTCTTGATAGCGCTTTGTCTGTAAGAATGGCGATCTATTCGTACAACGTAGTCGCAACAGTGTTGTGCGGTAGTGATAACGATTCAATTGTCGTTGTTTCGTCTCCTTTTCGCCAATCATGGCGTGCTGACCACTGTACTGCAAGATTTGGTATGATTGCTGAGTTTATGTGTTTGACGTCCGCATACCCTCCACTTAATATCGATGTCATCTGTAGTATGTCGTCACTCCAAATTATAATGACTCTCATTCATACCCCTCTTATACAAGTGCATGAAGGAGAGGAAAAATATATGTGAAGTGTCCGTTTCAAACTGCACGAAAAATATACATGACACGAAAGATGCTCAAGGTCTCTTTTTCTCTCTTTCGAAAACTAAACAGCAACACTACGAAAATAGGACGACAGATGGCAGCGTCGTCAGTGCTGTGAGTTCCTATTTGATTTGATCGTTTCTGTTCGTCCTTCAAAGAAAGACGAACATGATTTTAGACGACGAGCAAAAAGCAGCCTACATGCGACTTGTTGTTTAGAACGTTTGTATGGGCGTGCGGCTATATACGTCTCAGGTTGGACAGAACCTAGTTTCATGTTGCAACAACGTAGTATTGCATTCGTCAATTTACGTGCACCCCTTGTTGTCTTATAGGAATTGCTTGAGCTGTATCCCGTCTGAATAGCAGATACCTTCCCAATCCTTCCTCCCTCCCTCTCTTCCTCGCTCCCCCCCTCCCCACGATGAAGACAGAACGGACGGACACTTTAACATTTCAGCAGGCACCCATTGAGCTGTGCAGCATGGATTCTGGCTCGTGGATGATTACAGATTCACCAGTTAATGAATCTCCTTTTCCCATGATGCACGAAGACAATAATAAAACGGGGCGCTATGTATTTGATGACTGTCTAGAAGGTGGTGCGCTTCGGAGTGGAAATCTACCAAATCTATTTTCGCGATATTATATTGGACTCGTTGCTCAATACGCTGGCGTAGGATTTATTGATGGGGTGCTTCCCAATGTCATCTACCCTTTTTTGCAAAACTATCTGAATTTACCTGGATCGCAGACTACCACAGCGTTCGCGCTCGTACAGATGCCATGGAGTTTTAAGGTTTTTTACGGTATCATTTCTGACTGCTATCCGATCTGGGGCTATCGCCGGCGGCCATACATTCTCGCTGGTTGGGTGTTTGCGTTAGTCATGCTCGTCATACTGTCGCTCACACCCGAGGGTAAGCCTTACTTTACGGATCCTGAGTACCGAAATGTAAAGCCCGAAAACTACACGCCCGAGATTATTGCAACAATCAACTATGATTCGGTAAACCACGGAAGTATTTACATTATCTCAATGATGGCATGCGCGTTTGGGTACATGCTTTCAGACGTGTGCGCTGATGGTCTCGTTGTTGAGTTGGCCCAGAGAGAGCCTCTTGAAGTGAGAGGCCATACGCAGACGGTAGTATATACTACGCGGACAGTGTTCAATGTGTTGGCCTACTTTCTTTTAGGTTTTTGCTTTAATGGCGAGGAATACGGTGGCGATTTCGACTTTGCTCTATCATTTCCGATGCTCATGCTGATCGTGACTATTATGCTAGCACCGATAGTCCCAATCACCTGGTTTTTCCTTCACGAGGAAAAAAGTATCTATGCATCTACAAGTTTCGGCCACTACATGCACACTTTTTGGGAAGTCATTAAGACTCGAGCTGTGTACCAATACATCGGTTACCAGTTCTTCGCGGGTATTTGTTCGTATTTCACGTATCTTTACAAGAATCCAATTATGAGGAGCTGGGTCAACGTCTCACCTCTTGCCGAAAAGGTTGGAGCACTCTTAGCCACCTCCGTCTACGCTACATCAATTTGGTTCGCAGGCAATTATGGACGTAGTTGGGACTGGAGGCGCACGGCAATAATCACTATGGTCTGCTATGTAGCGCTGGATGCTCTTTGCAAACTGCTGACCATTTGGGATATCATCCGCTCGCAATATTTCTGGCTCGGCATTCCCATCGTTGAACAAATCCCGCTAGGTGTAGCATTTATCGTGAGCTCGTTTATTATTGTGGAGCTTGCCACTGTGGGGCACGAAGGTGCGATGTATGGCCTACTTACAACAGCCTACAACCTCACAATTCCTTTTGCAACCGCCATCACTCGTAACGTGGATAGTATGTTTGACCTGACAACGGAGCGGATTCAAAACGACAGCACTGATGTGCGCACTGATGTGACCATGACGGTATTAATCATGTGGGCGGTCAACTTGTGCTCGCTTCTGTTTTTAGTAATGTTGCCTCGACAAAAGGAACAAACTTGGGCTATAAAGCATTCAGGTGGCTCCAGCTCTTTCATGGGTGCCGTGACGGTGTTGTATCTGCTGTTTGCTTTTCTGTGGACATTCACCACGAGTCTATTGTGTATCTTCGAGGCCACGTCTTGTCTTGTCATCGCTGGTGGCAACGGCTGCGACGAACCATCAGGTTCGTAAGAAGTGAAAGAGTTGGTCATTCATTATAACGAAGTGTAAAATGAAAGCAGCGCTTGGCTTTCTTGACTAAATTCATGGTCGATCTCGCGCCTTCATAGGCATCACAAAGCTATGCATCGATAGCCGTCTTACGATGACTCATCGATCAAAGATATTACAACAACACAGGCAGCAAGCATCCGGCGCGTCTTCATGTTTTATTGGAAAAGTGACCAGTCCAAGACCACAAAGGACTGCAGTGCCTGCGTGAATATCGCGGCAGCAACTTCCGCATTGCTCTCGGACTGAAAGGCATTGCAACTGCTACTGGCTGGATTGATACGCATAGGTGCTGACACTGACAAGACGACATCCGTTGTCACTCCAGGTAGACGGATATTCCCCAAGTACACACGCACCACATTTCTGGCGTGATCACCTTCCTTGAACTTGGCCACGCACTGGTCACCTACAATGAGCTGCGTCGTATGCGGTACTTTAATCGCAGTAGGTGCGACGTTGTCAATATAATCTGCCTTCTCTTCGAGCAACACTGTCACTTCATCTGGACCACAGCCATTGGATTGTGCAATCTCATTAAAGAAATAACGTGCGCTATGTGCGTCCTCAACATTCTCTTCATACTGCAATAGCTCGATGATAATACATTGATCGGTGACAGCATTTGCAAACACTTCTTGGTTATCGGGTACTTGACGAAATGAGCTCACGTCCGCAAAGTCTTGGGGAATCTCACACATTAAGGCACCACCAAACAATGGACGCAACATGTTAATAAGCTGTCTTTTTTGAGATTGTAAGTAGCTCTTAATTATGGCTAGCTGATTTTTAGTACACGCTAAATTTTCAAGAACCTCGTTTTATACAAAGTATGATCATGGACGTTTTTATCTCGTATAAATGTACTCTTTTTGTGTAAAATAGAAAAAAGCTCATTTTAAGCATTTCAAGGCACAGCAAATCTAGTTTGCTCTAAAATTGTAAAAAAGCTTTGGTTATAAATAGGATTCAAAGTATCTAATATGATGCTATCTCGTTTTTGATTGGTTATATATAAATCCAGGCCATGACCATTCGATAAACATCAATTAACAAACATTCACGGCATGAAGATTGAGGAAGTGCGGTCTACGGCAAAAGCTCAACGCATTGCGTCGCATACGCATGTAAAAGGTCTAGGATTAGAAGCAAATGGTACAGCATTACCCATTGGATCGGGTCTTGTTGGCCAAGAAAAGGCTCGAGAAGCTGCAGGTCTGACCGTGGAACTTATTAAATCTAAGAAAATGGCAGGTCGTGCATTGTTACTTGCTGGAGCTCCTGGAACTGGAAAGACTGCATTAGCATTGGGTATTTCTCAGGAATTGGGACCTAAAGTACCATTTTGTCCCATGGTTGGATCCGAAGTCTATTCGTCCGAGGTGAAAAAGACGGAAATTCTAATGGAAAACTTTCGTCGTGCTATTGGACTTCGAATCAAAGAAACAAAGGAAGTTTATGAAGGTGAAGTCACGGAAATGAACCCAGAGGAGACTGAAAATCCACTTGGAGGATATGGAAAGACCATTTCTCATGTTATTGTAGGACTGAAGACCACAAAAGGCTTGAAACAGCTGAGACTTGATCCGAGTATCTATGAATCACTACAGAAAGAAAGAGTATCAGTTGGAGACGTTATTTATATTGAAGCCAATAATGGTAGTGTCAAGCGGGTTGGTCGCTCGGATGCCTATGCCACGGAATATGATCTAGAAGCGGAAGAGTATGTGCCTATTCCCAAGGGTGATGTTCATAAGAAAAAGGAAATGATTCAGGACGTGACACTACATGATCTTGATATTGCAAATGCACGTCCGCAAGGTGGACAGGATATTATGTCCATGATGGGACAGATGATGAAACCCAAGAAGACAGAGATTACTGAGAAATTGCGGACAGAGATTAACAAGGTCGTCAACAGATATATTGACCAAGGCGTGGCAGAACTTGTACCGGGTGTGCTGTTTGTAGATGAGGTGCGTGATGTATATTGGAATGATGAGTTGGGATATCTTGATGATTCAAATTACATTTGTGATATCCTGGATTAGGTTCACATGCTGGACATCGAATGCTTCACGTACCTGAATCGCGCGCTTGAGTCAACTCTGGCTCCGATCGTTGTGTTTGCCACCAACCGTGGTGTCTGTCAGATCCGTGGCACTAATATTTCGTCTCCTCACGGCGTGCCACTTGATTTGCTGGACCGTATGCTCATTATTCGCACGATGCCCTACTCTGTGGAGGAAATGGTGCAGATCATAAAGATTCGTGCTGAAGCTGAAGGGATCAAACTCGTGGACGACGCTATTGTGAGACTGGGCGAGATCGGCTCAGAAACATCACTGCGATACAGTGTCCAATTGCTAACACCTTCTCGAATTCTTGCGGAGACACAAGGACGCTCGGAAGTGTCGGTGGACGACATTGAGGAAACGAATGGACTTTTCAACGACGCCAAGCGCTCGGCGCTGGCGCTCGCACAGACCGAAGGATACCTTATGTAACGACAAAGACACCTGCATCTCAACGCGTCTGTCCGCTACAATAATATGTGAAGGGTCACGTGCTCACCCACCATAACCTCTTTGCTATATGCTGTTCTCTTGCTTCCAGCTGCTACGGAACCTGAAAACGGTGAAGTTGTACGAGTGTCAGCAATATCCACGGCTCGACCACCGCGAATTTACTCACGACAACATCGTGCACTGGATGCCGTCATTTTACTGCAGCCAGTTCTGGCTCCTTTCCAACAGAGTTGACGCGGTGCGAGCAGAGAATCCAGAGTCCGGATTCTCTGCTCGCACCGTCGTCAGCTCTGTCTACCGATCGTCGTGATGTCATATCGACCACGACGGCAAGCCACCTCGCGTGACAATCCTTGTACGACTGGGTCAAGATGCCCATATGCCATGGTTATGACCCAACGTCCACAATGGCATGCATAATACAAGCTAATCGGTGACTTGTTGTAGCTTGCGACGGAAGCCCCGGCGTCGATCTCATATCGAGGCATTTCAATGTAGCAGGTCATACTATATATTGTAAGCCGCACACTGAATGATTTTGCATTTGCCACTGGAACGAACGACTGAACGTGGCCAGTCACATATTGATAATGACAAACGAACGGTTGTCGCAAAGTACGTGAGACATAACCTTGAAGCAAATATGGTAGGATTGTTCTTTCATACAGCTTTGACAGAGGACTATTCGTGACTCTATTTACCATCTATCGAATTGTTTTCGCTCACTCAGCACAGATTGAATGTACACTAGCTTTCTATCGTAGTAAACTTCTTATCCTGGTAAAATCAGCTCGTAAAAATAATGAATCTGCCATGCTTATTACAGTCTTGTTTGGTCATGAAAAAAGCTCGAGTACCTCATATTTACTTAAACTTAATTCAATCTTATACCTAATTTTATATTAATTATTGCAGTCAATTCAATCTAGCAACCGCTTTTCGCTGCACGAAACCCTTTTTAGCTGCGAAATACCGCGACCATGGATACTCAAGCCGCGACGACGTCTACGCTCGTAAAAACTCAATCGTTAAACAATATTAACGATCATGAGACTATGATTTCATCAGGAAAACCATCACTCTCGATACCTCATTCTGCACCGGTAAAGTCTTTCTCCACTAGTGCAATTGACGACCACGAAAGCTATGATCTCTTTGGGAGCGGTCCAGAGATCGCTGCAGCCATAAAAGAAGCACCGCCTATGGCTAGCACAGCTCCAGTGGAAGAAGGGGGTATTGGAGAGATGCCCTTGTCATGTGATAAAGCAGCGTCTCCCATGAACTATGACCTTTTTCCAGCATTGGCATTAACGGACAAATCCGATAAAGTTGAAACAGTAGAGGACAAGTCAAAGATGCGGCCGTTATCAAAAGAATATATTCGTAGTGATAGCAATAGCAGTACTGCTACTGGTACGAGTACGAGTGTTTTGAGCAGTAATGGATGGTTCCAAGGAAATGTATCAAGTGCCAATAGTGACGCTTTGCAGGTGGCTTCAGTGAAAAATCAAGAGACTGCATCACCAGCGTACAAGATGTCAGGAAATGCAGTTGATATTGTAGCGGTGAAAAACATCGACGGAAAGTACCTGACAACGTCGTGGCATGTGTCGTTCTCATGGTCACGCTTTCGAACGAGTTATGTTACTGGTGTGGGTGATATGGTGAGGATTCTAGTGAATGGTAAAGAGCTGCCTACTAAGATGGTGCTACTAGAGCGTGGGAGGTGTATGTTTGTTACAGGTGGTTTAGTAATTCCACCTGAAGACCTGCTTTTTGCTGATATATCGGAAGAACATCCGAATCATGTGCGATTCGAACACTTTCAAAAGTACACAAATACTGTTCGCTATGTAGACGCGAAACTGCATTTGTGGGGACCAAATGAATCGGTTGCTGTGGTTGACTTGGATGGCACACTGACTATCAGTGACGTAGAGGGACACATCCGTACCCTGCGCCTCGGTCAGTACGACTTCCTGCATGCAGGAGCCTGTGACTTCTTTACCAAGTTGCACGAGCTAGAGGTGCGAATTGTGTACCTTACTGCACGTCCACTTGACTGGGCTTCCGCGTCACGGACACATTTGGAGAATGCGGTGCAACAATCAATCTCGCTGCCCCCAGGAGTTCTCATCACAAACTCGACTGGTCTTACTGGCGCACTGTTCACGGAAGTTGTGAATAAGACACCGCACCTTTTCAAGATTCAAGTGTTGAACGAGCTGCAGCTTACGCTGATTCATGCTGGCCGAGTGGTTGAACATCCAGTGTTTGTTGCAGGCTTCGGCAATCGCCCCACCGATATCGTAGCTTACCAAGAGGTGGGTATGGACCCTAATCTAATTTTCATGTTAGACCCGTACTCGAACGTGAAGGCCGTGTCCGATCCACGTCTTTACGAATCGTATAGTGATCCTAACGTATTACTGTGGCTGCTGCCTAAGCTTAAGCACCGTGTACCTATCGAAAAGGTTGGTCGCATCGACGATTATACAGTGCGCGAGCTCCTTTTGGCCGAAGATCGAGAACAATTACGCATAGCCGAGATGCAGGCTCGTCAACTGCAGCAAGAAGAATTCGAGCATGCTCGTCAAGAGGCAAATCAAGCTCGATATGCTTCAAAAAACGCTCTTCGTGCCAGCAGCAGTCAGAATTTCTCACGATAACTCTTTACGCGAAAGTGGTTAACCATTTCGTATTATATATTCCACGTACAGCTAACGGCGAGAGCTGCATGTACATGCATGTGCTTTTTATACCGTGTTCAACATCGCTCTACGCATTCACAAGTACTACTCGATGTCGTTCCGTCTCTCTTTACGTGACCACCACACCACTCCAAGTTGAAGCGCTGGACAAACAATAATGATACCTGCGCTGCAGAACATCAGCGTTATTACGGCATGAAATGAAGCTGGTCTACAAAACTGAATGCTCGAAGTTGAAGAAAGCGGTGTTGTTACGAGTTAGAAGGGAGACGAGCAATCAAGCACTTCAATGTATGCCAAAAGTCAAAACAAAAAAGCTCGGGAGTTGTTGCCCAATTCGTGGTTGATTCAGTTATAAAATAGCAACATCTCACATCAACATGACGTCCCACCACTCAGCATCCTACACTCAACTTGCTCAGTCAGCTCGTCCTTCGTATGGAGAATGCGTTTTGTAGCGATGAGACGTTAGCTTCAGATGCTCGAGGCAAGCTCCACAATGTGCGGGTAGCACGGCAGCGTGAGGAAGTCAACCATGTCGTCTCCCGTCAGCACCTTACTCATAATCTCACCACCTAGTACCCACTTATTGTCTGGAGTGGCCTTCATCGAACGCTTGCTTACGCACTCTTTCAAAATATCCAGAACCAGCGCCTTCGACACCGTCTTTCCCTCAACAGTCTTGCAGCTGTAGCGGATCCACTGCCATACCTGAGCGCGCGAGATCTCAGCCGTAGCAGCATCCTCCATTTTATTGTGAAGCGGGATGCAGCCACTGCCCCGCAGCCACGCCTCCGTATACACCAATGAGACATCAATGTTCTCCACCAAACCGTTGTAAGTAATACCACCCTTCGGAGGCTCAAGAAGTTGAATTGCAGTGATATCCTTTCCTGCCTCGGGGATGAACGAAATCTGGTTGGGACCCGACATCTTACTAAACGCATCCATAGCAATCTTGACAAGGCCAGGGTGTGCTACCCACGTACCGTCGTGACCCGCAGCCACCTCGCGTGACTTGTCTTCGGTCACAGCAGCCATAAACTTGTTATTCAGCTCCGGGTCGTTCTTGACGGGGATCTGAGCTGCCATGCCGCCCATAGCGTGGGCACCACGTCGGTGACAAGTGCGGACAAGCAATTTGACGTAGGCAGCCATGAAGGGTGTAGTCATACCAACAGACGAACGATCAGGCACTACAAACTTGGCATGATTGCGGAGCTTTTTAATGTACGAGAAGATATAGTCCCAGCGACCACAATTAAGACCTGCCGAGTGATCACGCAGCTCGTACAAGATTTCGTCCATCTGAAAGACAGCCATGATAGTCTCCACTAGAACTGTAGCTCGGATCGATCCGTGTGGAACTTTCACGTATGCCTGTGCAGCTACAAAGACGTCGTTCCAAAGTTTTGCTTCCAAATGATGTTCGAGCTTAGGCAAATAAAAGTATATACCAGACCCACGTGACAGCAATTCATGAGCATTGTGAAAGAAATAAAGACCAAAATCAAAAAGTGAACCAGACATAATCTGATTATTCACAAGCACGTGTCCCTCATCCAAGTGCCAGCCACGTGGACGCACCATCAAAGTAGCGACTTTTTCGTTCAATGCGTACTTTTTGCCTGTTTGCGGGTGTGTGTACGTAATAGTCTTACGCACAGCGTCAATAAGATTCACTTGACCGTCCACCTGGTTGAACCACGTGGGAGCTGTCGAGTCTTCAAAGTCAGCCATGTAGCACTTGGCGCCCGAATTAAGCGCATTGATTACCATCTTGCGGTCCACAGGGCCCGTGATCTCGACACGACGATCTGTCAAGTCAGTAGGAATCGATGCTACTTTCCAGTTACTCTCACGAATGTATTTAGTCTCTGGCAGGAAATCTGGAAGCAAGCCAGCATCGATTTCCTTCTGACGCTTTACACGGGCGGCCAGTAACGCCTGGCGGCGCGGTTCAAATTCCTCGTGAAGAAAGTAAAGGAAGCGGAGCGCGTCTGGTGTCAACACGCGGCGAAAGGAATCCGAGCAGTGGCCCAACACGCGAATGCTGCCAGGGTTGATGTGAAGCTCCGACATGATGTCTAAATGGGGTTTCGAGAATGATCGTCAATGATGAGGATGTTTGCGATATGAGGCAAATTGGAAAGTGAGCGGAAATGGAAATGCCAACGTGGGCGTGTTAAAGATACAGTTATAGTGGCACGGAGGGCTCATTGAAAGCACGGCAATCGACATTCTCTGTTCCAAATTTAATTCTCAGATAGAAGACATACGTCGCCTGCGTCACGAAATCAGCTCGTGCCGAAAAAAAAACAAGTCAAACGGACGAATCGACCATCACTCTGATCGTGCGTTTTAGCTTTTTCCAAAAAAGGTGTATAATTAATCAAATAAACACTTTTTTCTGTCCAAGCTGTGACGCTAGAAAGACAAAAGCTTCAATTTGTCTTTCTTCTCACATGAAGCAGGAGACTCTCAGTGCTTTTTGACAGTGTCACGGCAAATAGCAGACCGTGAGCACGTACTTCTTCGCACACTAGAAAAATCCCGTATTTCGTTTCCAGCCTCGTTTGCGAGGTTGCTGCGATGACTAATAGGAAGACGTCTTCAACGCTTCATGTCAACAAATTTCAGCACTCGTCATTGAAACGCTCGTGATAGAGGTCGATTGCCATCTGAACACATCAGCCTTGCAATGGATAGTTCTCATATCATCCTTGCTTTTTCACTGTTTGCTGCGTGATAGGTGTTAATTGTCATATAGTACAATGTCGATAACATTAACACATAGCCATTACAGCTACAAACCATTCAATTTTGACAGACTTGAAGATACCTGAGCTTAAAAGCATGGCCTTCAGCAGACACACATTTGCCTAATGCTGACCGATAATTAGTACTATCTGCATGGCCCAGACTCTCGACTGAGGTTGGTAGTGCCAAGCGAGAGAGTGCTCGGCAGATATATAATATACCACGTCTGCAATTTACGACTGCGCAGTAGTCCAGATATTCAGACACTATTGGTGGGGATCTCGTGCAATATTGGCAAGCTGCATCGCCAACACAACCGAAGTGATGAATTTTTGAAAGCAGTAGATATGTCAAAGACAAACAGCTGCACGACCTGTTGCCTGGCCATCAGCTAAGGACACGTTCGAGCAGGATTCGTCTGATTCTGACGTACACTTTGTGCAAAAATGTAGGTGTGTATCATCACGACAAACCCATCAAGTTTTCTTCCAGTACAAATTCACTCATAGCCGTGAACAGAACGACACACTGGCTATACCGCTGAAGCGGACGCGCAATTAGAAACTTTCAGGTAGCAGTGCCGCAGTCGGACCAATATTGCGCCGACAATAGCTGCCATAGAGTTTTGACCAAGTGTGTTGATTGTGTCGAGTCACCACTACAACGCATACATTGATCTTTTGTCGAGTGCACCACGGCATATACTTACCGACTACCACTGCTCCTCGGGTTGTAATCTAGTGAGTTATTCAGACCTGTTTGGATGATGGTGTGAAACGAATGGTCTATCTGCAGCCTTTGCCACGCAAAGTCAACCCTGTAGTCGGCTTACTTACAGAATGCTTTGACGTTAGTTTGTCTGCCGATGACACAAGCATATACAGGTCAAGTTGCTTAGAAAGAGTTGCTACCGGTGGTACATGACTATACTTTTCACAGATCGACATGTGTACAGGGATGCTAGGGTGGGTCGACAACGTCTATTGTTTCTGGCACGTCTTCAAAACGAATTGCTTACTCCCACCAAAAAAAACAATCACCAAAGTAACAAACTTTTGCGCCATTGTGCGGCGTCTCGAATGGTTGCGGAAGCGACAGGTTCTATGCACACAGCCAATGACTCCGTCGACACATCAGATATCGGCGACTTCAATCCTCTACTACGTGCATATGTCCACATTGATGCAAAAGTCGATGGTGGTGTCACCTCAAAGCCATTTTACAGCATTGTCCAAACTGATGGCTAAATACATGCAGGACGCCTTTCATCTTCAATACTAGCAAAGAAACGTGTCATTGCATCCGGTCCCGCGTGTTTTGCTAATATTAATACCAACAGGAGCGTCACCAGTCGAACTGGCCATCGGGGACAGACGTTGGCACCCATATCAATCAAAGAGGTAAGCCTTCTCGTTGGTGCAATTCAAGCGTCTATGTCGGGCGTAAGCTGGAACTTAATGTCATCCCAACATTTGCCGACGAAAATGCCGAGCAGCTCGAGTACAACTGCGAATGGACCGTGTCGAAAGTGCAAAATATATACAGACTTCTTGATTCTGTGACGTAGTACTCGGCCACCCACTGGCATTTGTAGAGTTCCTATGCCGTCCATGGCAGACTTCGTCAACAACAGCATCGATTTTTGCTTCACGGCGGTTAGTTACAAACATCAACTCAATAGAATCGTCCAGTTTTAATCGAGGCAAACACTCGAGTTATACTGCATAATAAATGGCTCAACAGCATTATTAAGAACACTTAGTGGTAAAATGACAAAATTGTCAATCGAGCAGTGTCCAAACATTTGGTCGATTGCCAGAAGTTGAACGTGTGACATGAGATTCAATCTATGAAAACACAGTATTGCTCGAAGAAGAGTGTAGCAAACCGGCCAATTAGCAAAGCTATATGTTGTACCGGCCATTAGCAAAGCTATATGTTGTAATCTTTGGTCTAGTAAGATGCTTACAGCAGATCCTAGTAGATATACCTTTTCATTAAAGCAAGACCCACGTGGCAATTTTCAACGAGAATAGTCCGTAAAACAAAGTCGTAACAGGTTGTTTGCAACTGCTAATAAACACCATTCGTATACGGTAGCAACAGTAACGACATTAAACATGTGGCATGTGCCACTGATTGAACACTTCACACTGATAGCATACACAATCTCCATCCACCCGCAACCCATTTGCTATCCATGCAGAAACGGAGAACATGACGCTGAGAAACGACGGAACTTTTGCTACATACGCGAATGTCTCATACATCTCATACGCAGGAATGAAAGCAAAAGTCCTCAAGATGTCGAAGTTTAGCCGTCTAAAAGTCAACTATAGCAAGCATAGGAAAACTTTTCATCTCTACGGCCCTATACGCAAAATGTACTGCTTTTTCTTCGTCGGAGCTGATACTTCTTGACTCCAAAAAAACGGCACGTATCGAATCTCGGTCTGCGTTTCGTGTGTCCAGTTTATACTTGGTTTTAGTATTGGGCAAACATCCTGCGAATCTCGAATCTCGATGCCCTTTTTTTAAAATAGTTTCACACGACTAAATCGCCTTAAAAGGAGTCTAAATAGGCTTCATACCTTCATGCAGTCCCCTATTTAAGCTTCACTCCGATGAGCATGGGTTCGATAAAGTTCTAGCGTGCTGTCGCATGTGTCTTTGGTGAATCTTCGTTACAGACGTGAAGCTAAGAGTGTTGACACTTGGCTAGCGGGCGACGTTGCACCTTAGCAAAAGAGTCTTGACAATTTAACATGAGTATACACCCTTGAGTCATTCAACGTTTCAGAATCTCTCATCGTCCTATCGCCAGGCCAACACGATGGTATTCTTCATCACTTCTCAATCGTAGCCGTGTACGAAAGATAGAAAGACCTCGGATCTTTTGCAAGACGCCGTTCAGCTATGAAGTTTGGAAAAGGTTTATTGCATGAGATTCTTCAGAGCAATCCGGAATGGGCACCATTCTGGCTCAATTACAAAGCGCTCAAAAAACGCATCAAGGCCGTGACCCGCGCAGCCCATCACGCTGCAAACCAACGTGATATCTGTATGTTTTTGTAATGATATTGAAGTTTGTATCGGTTCATGCTGACTTGATATCTCTTCAGCTGAATCCAAATTAGAGGTGGCTTTTTTCCGCGATCTCCAGACCGAACTCAAGAAGATTTCGCTCTTTTACGCGGCAGAGGAGAAGCGCTGTTCCTTTCGCTACCAGCAGTTGCAGTCTGTGCTCCAGACTCTGAAGGTCCGTTTGTGTTCAGCTATGCTACTTAGTTTCGTGTTCTCTTACTCATTGCTGGTGTATATCATTGTATAATGTACAGAGAAAAGAGAACATTGATGCATTTGAAGCGCAACGACTCATGTATGCCTCTGTGCATTTCTATCGCGAATGCATTCGCCTTGAAAACTTTGCTGTGATAAATTATCAGGGATTTTCCAAGGTAAAACAATCATTGTGGGCTGCTTTCAGAAGACAAGACGTAACGAATTGTCTTATGTTTTTGTGTTGTAGATTCTTAAAAAGCACGACAAAATAACGGGCTACAATACACGCTCCAAGTACATGCGCCGTAAGGTGAACTTGTTGTCGTTCTCAAGTTATCCAAATTTGCTCCAAATCTTGTCGAGCACTGAAAAAATGTTCCATGAAGTAGAGCGTGACACTAGTATGGTCATGTCCAGCATGAAGTATAACATGAAGTCGAAGGGAATAAATACCGAGAATGGCCGTGTACCGATTCCAATGGTGCATCTTTGGGCTGGAACGAGTAGATCGTCGACGCCCATTGCCTCATCACTGGCTTCCAATTGTTCATCTCCTCACGTCACACGGTCCAACATTTCTACCAATGGTGCGTCATTTTCTGGATCGATGCTAGAAAAAACACGAGACAGTCAAGACTTGGACAATGTCTAACTACATTCTATCGTAATAGTTTGACTATGAGAAGAAACATTGGGCTTAATTATCACTCTAATCTTTTTTGTTATTCTGTCTAAAGCCAAAACAATACAATAGGTCAATCCAAATATCACCATAACCTCGCTTTGTCTATTATAATCTCAATTCAATTGTCATTTTTGACATTATGGCAAAGTTACTTCGAGCTGCAGGTATTATTTTCTCTGTCTCCCTGCTTCGTGTATTCATCCGTATCGTGGATTTTTATACACTGTTCTATTTGCATTCTAATAGCAAATGGTAACCTTGGGAAAGTGATCGAGTTACGCAGCGATTGGGCCTTTCAGAACAAGAAGGGCGAATCTGGTACGTTGTTGTTACAGAAATTACACTATTATTATTCCTGTGGAACGAAATGTCCCACTGATTTTTCTACTATGTTTATATACTGGAAGTTTTGCACGTGGCTGTAGCTGAAGATCAATTGGAGATTGTGCAGTATCTTGTGGCCAATGGTGCAATGCTCAATTTACAGGAGAAGAAGCACCGCTTTACACCGCTGATGCTAGCGTTAGCTCAGCAACCACCGAGATTTGAAGAAATTATTCAGGCTCTAGTCAAAGGCAAACCGGATTTGAGCTTGCAGGACTCTTCGGGTCATACTGTCATGCATCTGGCTGCAGGTTACATTGCCTGCTCTTGATGTTGAGTTTTTTTGGCTTCTGGGAGTTCTGTTTGGCTTCTAAACTGTGCTGTGGGTGATTTAGAGTATGAGGAAGTGGAGATGCTGAAGTTGATGCTGCAATCCAAAGCTAAAGTCAAGGTCGATGCAGCTGACAACAACAAGATGACGGCGCTCCATGTCGCTGCTGGAAAGGGAAATGTCGAAATTGTTCGGCTGTTGATTGAAACGGGCCAGGCCAACGTGAACGTCGTAGACAGCAAGGGCAACACACCACTGTAACGATCTTGCATTTTTTGTTCATTGTTGCGAATTTCAACTGGTGTGGTTCTGAGAGTGTGTCTGAATTGGCAGTCACTGGGTGTGTATCAAGAGTGGCGACAACCAGCTCGAGTTGATAAGCTATTTGATTTCAAAGGTTTGTATAGTTAGTGAGGCAGGGGACCTGGCACTCATGGCCATGTCTTGAGGGTCTTCTTACATCAGTCTTTACTGTTGTGTTTTCCAGGGTGCAAAGCCGGTCAAAAATGCTCACGGAAATACGCCTCTGCACTCGGAGGGGATGCACTGTGACCCTACTGCAAATTGGCCCACCGCGGCTGCAGAGATACTGACTACTGCATTCCCAGATTTGATTGCCGAGGTTAGCAATATTGGGTTGACTGCACAAGAAACGTTTGAGCAGGACATTGATTCAGAAGTGCCAGTGGAGTTATCTCCGGTTAAATCGTCAAAGAAGGGTGGAATCCGTCCAGTACGTTGCGGCAAGGGTGAAGATGATGAGCAGTATCAAGACAACATTGCCGCAGCACGTGCAGGTACATATTAAGATTGATTCTACTTGGATTGTGTTTTTCATCGATCTAATCTGTTGGCGGGATTGTATAAAAACTACGTAGCCGCTATTGCTCACTCTAGAAAACAGGTTTCCAAGAGTACCGAGGAAGGCAGTACCATGACTCCGTACATTTGGGTTGCCATAATTTTTGCCGTTTTAGCTGTCTTGAACGCCATGTTCTTGTCATAGTACTGAGCTATGTTTGTCGTGTTGGGGAACCCATGCGAGAAGCATTATAAGCGGTTACAAAGAGTTACCAGTTGTTTGAAAATCTAACACATTTTTTGCGCTCTTCAACATGTCATCAGTCGGTGTTAGTTGAAGACGACGCATCATCATCAAGGCGCTCTTCCTCATCTACGTCGTCGTCTTCGTCACCGACATCCGCCTCATCTTCAATAAACTGATTGCGGCCCCAAGATCGACCTGAGATCTCAACTTCTTCCTCTGAATCAGTCTCATCATCGTGCAAGTCCTCGTCGTCTTCACTGGCATCTGCGTCTATATCTTCTTTAAGCTCCCCCTCTTCGTCACAGTCACTATCGTCGTTGGCAAGAAATCCTTTCAGGTTTCCATTCTCATCGACGTCTTCCTGATCCAAACGGCTCGGAAAGTCCAGTCGCCCGGTAAGGTCAGGCAAGTCTAAAAGAATGTCATCCTGATTGCCGTCTAGATCATCAAATACGCTCGACAGTAACACTTGCTGCACCAGAGCAATTTTACGCTCTAATTGCCAGTGTTCACACAGCTGCTTTATCAAATAACTGACATCACGCACTGTGGACAAACTCTCTAACAGCGGATACAGTAACTCCATCACTTCAGCGTTCGACTCCATAAGCGCGACACGTTGCTCTAGCGCCGAGACAAAGGCTGGATCGCGCACGCTCAAATCGCCGTTTTCCACAGCAGACGCCAGTTTGTTCATCAGCACTCTAGAATTTCCCGACCCAGCTTCAAAAACTTGGACAAGCTGCTTTGCGGACAAGCTCACACCCAAGCCTTCTACAAAATCGACGTTAACCAGTTCAGGGCAAGTCTTACACAAGAATCGTGCTGTCTTGCTTCCTTTAAAATCCCATTCCGCAGCAAAGAGCCGAACTAGTCGACCAACTTCCACAAGCTGCCATTGCTCTCGTGCAGCTGAATCGATGAGACGTGAAAATAATGACATCTTATCCCCATCGGAATGGTCAGAATCAGATTTACCGTCGTCTTCGCTTTCTGACGAAACTTCATCCGCAACTTGGAGTATTGCAGCTTTCTCTATGCGTTTCGAGGAAACTGGAGATTGACGTGACGTTTCTTCTTGTTTGGACAAAAACATGTCATTCTTCTTCTTCTTTGCTGCCTTAACGAGAGAAGCCGCAATCGGCGTTAAGGATGTTGGCGATTCTGCAGTATTCTTTTCGTCATTCGAGCCTGCCTTCGTAGAACGTGCTGCAGCAGACTTGCTACCAGTTTTGGCTTTCTTTTCTCGCACTTTTTCAGTAATCTTGGGCACAACTTTGTTTACGCACTTTGCTGCATCGCTCCCGAGTTGCTTTTCTGGGATACTAGAAACAGTGAGTGCCGTGTCTTCACTAGGCTGCACAGAAGCATGTACCGTGGGTAATACGCTGCTCGTCGTCGTAGCCACTTTCGAACGATTTTTTCGCTTTGCGGAAGATTTTGATGACGGTGTGGTGGATATAGCAGCTGTCAAGGAGCCGTTCTCTCTCAGCGCTGCACCCGTGTTTTTGCTACCCGACAAATTAGTTTCATCTTTATCGACATGCATTACCCGATCGTCAACATGTTTCTTGTCTTTAGCCTCTTCAGTAGCTTGTTTCCGCAATTTTTTCTTTCTTTTTTTCGGCTTTGTCATAAGCTTTTTCGGTAATTCATTGCCACCATTATCACTTACCACTGCTTGTGTCACAAGACCCTCCTTTTCAGCAGCTTCCACATTCTTTTTCAGCTTTTCCACCTTTGGACCAGCAACTGTCTTACCAGTCACCGTCTTGTGCTTGTTATGCAACGACGTGTCCACCTGACACGTCGCAATCTCGTCCATAATTTTCACTGCCTCTACTCCATCATCATGCTGTGCGTCATCCGTTTGCATTGAATGCAATTGCAAGACCTGCTCTCCACCTGTCTGCACTTGTTTCGTCTTCTTTATCATCAAACCTGTAGCATTCTGCTGCTTATTCTTCTTTGTCGTCAAATGCTCATTCGTACTCGCCTGTGTCATCCTTTTCTCGGTCTTTTTCTCCTTACTCTTGGACATCTCTCGAGTCTTTACAATTGCTACATCCATCATCATCCTCTTCTCCTCCTTCTTCTTCTTCTTTTCATTATCCTTGACAGTATTCTTCACTTTATTTTGCTGCTTCTTCATTACATTAAACTTCACAATTGGTACAACTTCTCCATCGTCTATGGCGTCTCGTTTACCTGTAACATTCTTCTTGTGTTTCGTCTTAAGCACTACGCAAGGTGTTTCATGAGACATTTCAGGCATAGTCTCAAGTGGTAACTCAAATACCTTTGCATGAAAAGCTTTTAATCGTTTACGCGCATTCTTCTCGTCATTCTCTTTACCTTGGAAACTCTCAGACCGCTGACGCTTCTTCTTCCCCATTGATAAGTGAGCTAGTATGATTGATTGGCTGGCTGGAGGCTGTCGAAAAATTTGACAAGCAATAGCGTTATTGGCGTGGATAAAAACCTTTATCTATCGGTTAGCGTACTATAACTAAAAAGAGCCTCTAACTGCGCTTGAAACACGACGTTAAACAAACGTACTGTAACCTTAATTGCTTCCTACGTTTCTATTTGTAATTCCACCCTGAAAACAAAAATATACTGTTTTTAGGGAATTGCCACCACCACGAAATGAGACCGTCAATTGTAGCCATAAGTATCGTGATCATCACGACATGTTGTATCTTCAGTATCTATCGTTATGATCATGATCCACCATGTACAAATAACAAGCAGCAATATCGTCGTCATGTATTGCATACCAAGCGCCGTAATAGCAAAAACAAGCAGCTGAAAAGACTTCAGAAAATTACTTTGAGTCAAATGCGATCGATTGAATCGGTCGAAATGATGACGCATGAAGAGAAAAAGGAACAACGAGAACGAATTTGTATGCAACGTGTCGAACAATATGTGCGTGTCCATCGGAGTAACGGAGTAAAGGAGATAGGGGTTCCTATTGTTGGATTGATGTCGAGCTGTTTTCATAATATGTATCATTTGTAGCAAAAATTGGCGTATGCTCAGATAAAAGGCGTTCAAGTGGTCGTGGACTTGGCATTTGTAGCTGAGCAAACAACACGAGTTTGTCTTGTCTTGTCTTGTTAAAGGTAATTAATTCTGACGGATGGGAATGATATGTGGGTGTATTGTGTTTTGTTTGGTGGAAAAAAAGGAGCGTCATAGTGTTTTCAAACAGCTTGGATGTGTGTATGGATACTTGAAAACGTGTCCGCTGGACAAACTCTTGTCCCTGCATCTTACGTCTTGTACCCATGAACTTGCACCAATTTGTGCTCAGCGTGGTGTGTTGAGCTGGAAGGTATGGACCACGATGTGGAGTCAACTTATATAGTTTTGCTGCTGCTGAACACCATTTGGGACTTGTGCTGGTATACTTGGATAGATACAAAGGCATGAGGAACCACTTGAACAGCTCTATGACACCCTTGATCTTGTCTACTTATCACCAGACTCGGAAAATGTCCTCACGCAACTTGATCCAGCCTGCATTTATGTCGTAGGTGGCATTGTTGATCGCTCCGTGCGCAAGGTGACGGTGTTTTGTCCAATGTAATGATGGACTTCGTTCACGTTCCAACTTATGTGTTTGTATCTGATGACTGAAAAATAGGGAGAAACAATGGCAAAAGCAGCTTCACATGGCATTCAAACTGCACGCTTACCACTTCAAGAGTATTATCAACAGTCGGGAGTACGCGTTCGAACTCATGTCATGAATATAGATTCTGTCATCATTGCGCTGAATGAAATGGCAAATCATGGAGATTGGGTACGTGCATTCAAGCGAGCAGTTCCCCCACGTATTATTCGCAGTAAGCGATGGCAGACAAAGTAGACCTGCTTGGATGTACATCATTGTCGAATAAAACCAAAGCTACGGAGGTCAAGTCAAAACAATCGTTCAAACACTAGAAAGTGCATTGCATGTGTATTTTCGTACTGACCCAATCGTAGATGGTCACTCTCCAGTAATGCTTGATATGTTGACACTAGCATTCGAGACTGTAGCGGCTGCCGTAGATGAAGCTGCAGTGGTCCAGTTAACACCTTGGCCGGCTCGTTGAGCTACAGTCGTGTTGTCCGCATCAATCGACTGGCAATGTGTGATGGCATACACAAGTTTGTCATGCATAACTTGACGGCACGAGTAAGCAGGCAGGTCGATCGAAAAGAAGCCTAGATACAAAGCACCAGAGAGTCAATCACCAGCTAACAGTGGCAGGCACACTTTATAAAACCTTACAGGTATGCGCAATCGGCAGATACATATCAGCGCGGCCCTGAGATTTCGGCAGCCCTGAGATTTTGAAATTCTGTGTGAAGTCTACAGCATGCGTAGGTAAACGAGATCGTCCCCTGCAAAAAGTTCACAACAGCGTATTAGAATGTGTATCCGTCAGTCACAAAGTTGCGTTTTGTGCCGGCTTACCAGACAAAGCGGAGAAAAGATGATTTTTGCTCATTACTGAACTCGGTGAGGACGTCCCAAAAGTAGGCAATATGTTGGTCGGTTGCCTGACAGCCATCACCGTATATCGTACGCCGACGTAGAATATCTATATCGACTGTTGCCTTACCGCATACAAGAGTCCGCAGTTCATGCCACGAGAAAAGGCCCAGCGTAGGCGCCGGTAGGATAGTCGCTAACCCTCGAATCATATCCCCACACACTGGTGCAAACTCCGTGAAGCGATAAGTTTCAACAGCGCGCGCGTATTCCTCACGATCATCCCATGTGACGTGTAAGTGGCGCCCACCAGGAACTAATTCAACTGTTTCTCGCGCGCTTGATAACACGGTGAAACTTGCGTCTACAATCTCTTCAAACATCGCGTCCGTGACACCATAGACATCAAGGTTAGCGATGGTATCTACGACCTGAAAGCATCCTTCATTGATTGCTTCAATGTCGCAACGTGTCACTTGTTGTCCGACCAGCAACTTCCATACTGCCGGTGGAAGGTTTAAATCTAGCGGTGTTTTAGTCCGTACAGCTACACCCGCGAGCTTTCCAAGAAATTCTGCCATCTCTATCCGTCGTGACTTTGTGCGAAGATGCGGGTTTGGTACGAAAAGCTCACGGTTTTTGCCAGCGCTCATTAAGGCGTTGGGGCAAGGTCGTAACACAGGCAGTAACGGTGTAAACGTCTGCAGCTCGGAGCTTAGTTGCGCCAAACATTCCCGGTATAAGCCACCAAAGTCATCACCAAATTCACCCATAAATTGGCACTTAAATGCACGGTCAGCTCCTCGCAACAATGCTGGTTGCAGGCCATGTAGCTGCTTGAACGTTTGTGCAAATACACTGTCTCGCTCTCCAGCTTCACTTGCTAGTGAATCACCACGTTCTGAGAGCTCAAGTGCATCATGAGCGCGGCGACGGTCAACCTCGATTTCTGGACGAGCCGCAGCTGGTGCTTGCTGCTCTTTAAGAACGCCTAACCACCATGCAAGTTTGACGTGCTGGAATATCACGCCTCGGAGTTTACGCGCACCACGAGCTAGAAGGGAATGCTCATCGTGGGCCGAAAAGTCAATGAAAGCAAGGGTGGTCTGCAAGCGGCAATTGAAGTTGCGCAACAACAAAAAGCGGCGTTGGAGTGCTTTGAGAGGAATACCTCGTAGTATCGGAAACGCGTGAATCTGGTCTTCTGTTGGAATAAACTCCTGTGGGCTCATGCGGAGAGGGTCGCAGCTCAACAACTTCTCGGCACGTGACTCGCATATCTCGTTCACAAGTTGGACAAGAGCACAATCACGTTCGAAAGTAAACAGACGTTGTGATGCGTGCAGCTGACGCAGTCTGGAACCGAACTTGTTTGCTAGTAGACGGCGTCCGGTAATTGAGAGCTCTGGCACGGCAGTAAATGCAATACCCCATTCATTGCTTCGGGGTGACTGGTGTGACTGGTTTTGGGAAAGCGTCGATACTTTAACACTAGTCACGTCCTCTACATTTTGGACGACGGTTACGTCTCCTTCAACAGGAGACAGAGAGGGCGCAGGCGTTGAGTTGAGCAAGTCTTCATCTAGGTTTTCGGAACGAGATAGAGCTCGTTCTTGTAGTAGTTGGCGATAGCGTGCGCAACATGCTACCACTTCAGTTTCTTCGCGAGCAAGTGCGTCTATAGTATGCATATTGGCGAGAATGTAGTCTGTAGCCTGCTCAGCATCGTCTTCGCAGTGGCGCAAAGCGTAAAGACACGATTCCATAGGAAATCCCATTTGACTCAACGTGATAGCCAAATCCATGCGGAAGTTCGGAATAGCCCCGTCACCAAGTCTCACATCATCCTCACTGAAACTCTGTAGGTCGAGGTCTTCCTCTTCTTCGCTGTAGTACGAGTCGTCTTCACTCGCAAGCCCACTACCTGTTCGCGGTAGTTCCGGCTCTGGTCCTCCATCTTCGACCCGGTGTCCACCGATGAGATCAATCAAGTCCCGTTGATTGTATAATGCAAATCCAGGGTAGAACGTGCCCTCGAGCTTAGGACCTGTGCCACCGGGACCAAAGGCAACACCTAAATCCTTGCCATTAAGCGCATAACTGAGCGTGCCACGACGCAGATTCAGTGTGAGTCGAACGATGTCTCCTGTCTTAAACTTGTCACCATAAGCACCCCTTTGTTTGCTTCCATTGTGCCAGAGCGCACGATTGCCAATCCAGCCCCATCCTCGATTATCTTTTCCTAAATAGGAGTCCATGCGAACGTCTCGGCGAGCAATACCCAGAAAGATATTAGAGCTTGCAGTCACAAAACTAATCCGCACCTCCCAGATATACACACCACTATCACAACGCGCGACACCTATAGCTACTTGCCAGCCTTTATCGCGCACAAGCGACAATCGTTTGTCTCGAGAATCAAGTTTGAGGTATGGTCCTTTGTGCATGCGGTCCACACGGCATTGAAAGTTCGACTGCACCGGGAACCGCCAAACGAAACTGTTCCCAGCAATGGTGACCTCCTGCCCTCCACAAGCACCTGTAAATGCTTGCACTTCGGCTTCGCCACTTCCACCCATGACGCCATCAGCTCTGCCTCCACTGGCCGAGGTGCTTCCGCCTTGTAATATTTGCAGGCAATGAGAACTTGCCGTCTTGCTTTGTACGGCCAAGCGCAGACAAATACTAGTAGCTAATGGAAAGCTAACGAGAGACTCTTGCAGGTTGAGATCATAGGGGTGTGCGCTCTCTATGCGGGTGCACACATCCTCTGAGATATCCGACAAGAAATTGTCGGCCGAAAGTAAGAACTCATCCGGCAGCTGAGCCGTTTCGCTCGATTCCTCTGTTGGCGCAGTATCAACATCCACCTTGTCAGGCCTGCATGGGTCTATTAGAGACTTCATCACGCCATAAACTTGACTAAGTGGTTCAAACCATTTAAAGGCACTCATTAAGTTGTCACAATCAAGCGAGTGGAAACTGAAGCTGAAATTGGCGTCTTTTGCTGATGTTGTTGAGAGAGATCCCAGGTTAGTCAGCAATTTACACTTCGTATCAAAAGAAATAGTGGGATGTAGCTGCTGAGGACTCGAAATGCTTGAGAAAGCAGTACCTAGCATTTGACCATTTTTGCAAAAGAACATTTCTTGAGTGTCCAGGCGTAAGCCACAGCCGAAAACATCACCAGATGTCACACCACCTGCGGGCTCAACCCATCGCCAGGAATCTACCTCAGTATCTCCCGTACAAAGCACTTGGCCATTTTCTGGCGTGAATGAGTAAGACCGCAGGCCGTCCGCACTACCACCAACAAGTACTCGTTCCAACGGGAATGATGGCAGCGCAAACCCCAGACTGAACAAGCCCCCTACACTGGCACAAGTTCTCCACTCCACAATAGTGACCTCAAAATACACAATTTCAGCCTTTATTTCGTCCCGCATCGTCATCACAAGAGCAGGGGTATGCTCAAAACGGCAAGAATACACACCTCCGGTGGAAACACCAAGTCTTTCTACAGCAATTGCTTCTCGTGCAGCAGCACTCTTTCCATCTTCAGCTTGATAATCAAGCAAGAACTTTTGCTCTTCACCTGATGACAGGTCTCGACTCACTGTTATCTTTGACGAGTGACTCGCCACCGTCTCCACGAACGGTTGCTTCGAAAAGTGGAAGCGATAAGGCAAACTCAGCGAGTTACCATCGTCGCGTTCTAGGCAGGCGGCTAGCTCTTGCACCCGCGAGCTACGCTGCTGATCTTCTACAGCCAGCATTAACTCCACAAAGGCTTGTAATAGGGCGTGCAACGTAAATCCACTGTCCTGGTCTTGGCTTAGGGTTATGATCTTAGAACGGCAATAGAGCAGAGATTGCTTGTCATACCAGTGTGCACCACGCTGAACCACGGTAATTAGCGCTCGCACAACTGATACGGCAGCTTTTTCACTTGACACACGGTTTTCACGTAGCAGTTGCTGTACCAGCGCAAACAAAGCGGCCGGCAACTCAGGACGTAGCTCTACCGAGCTCATGTCCGTCTTTGACTGCTTGCTCAACATCTGGTGGTGCAACAATACCTCGAGAAAGGCAAGCGCATTTTCTACGCTAACTGGCGCGCACATAACGATATCGTCATCTGAGATATTGAGCGCAAACGGTGTGCTAGCCTCTTCAGCATGGTTCAGTGTAACCACGGGTATGAGGAGACCATTGCAAAAGTCCGAAGTTACTGTCCAAAGAGACGTATTTACGACTACATCGTCGGCAGAAGGCAACAACAAGTGCATTTGGGATGAGTCAGCTGGCAGGGTCTTCGTACATCGAGCCTGTAATGTTTGCTTCGAACTGTCGTTTTCTCCGAGGATTTCATCCTGAGCCCCAATGTTAACCTCAACGGTGGAGGTGAGTTCTGTACCTCTTCCACTGGTGGACGCAGGAGATGATGTGCGCCACACGCAATGTAAAGCCTCAACACGTTTCACAATACCTTTACGAAAGCAGCGTACGCTCGAGACTTTTGGAGCCTTAAATGGGTCTTCCTTAGTTCCAGCCACGATTCCGAGCGCAACGTACCCAGGCGGCGCAACAGGCCACCAAACTGACCTTAGTTGCTTGTATTGAAAATCTGAATCGCTTTTGGAATTTCTTGGCAATCCTTTCCCAGTAACATCTACTCGTTCAAAACGTACAGGAGGTGCCAACAATCCTTGATCATATCTGTCGCTAACAAGTAGCATTGGGGCATCCGGAGCGCCATTACCGCATTTGACGACGTCACCAAGGCAAAACCATTTGACACCTGAAGTTGCACATTCGAGTGCTTGGGGTACTATTGGACGCCAAAGAGTCACAGCATAATCCGCTGTTGACTTCATCCACCTGTTGTCGCTCGTAGCAAACCGTTTTCGCCATTTATGACGGTGCTTCAGCAGTGGGTCAGGTGACGGTATATTCCACAACCTCTCGTACGTGTCCACTACAACAACTTCTAGGCCGCATGAAAGCACCATCGGCCCTTTAAAAAAACAACCATCACTATCGCGAAAATGCAGCGGAGAGCTCTCCCGGGTCAGTGGTGCGGCCGGCACAACGTACGTGCGGGAAAATATGTGCAAAATCGTTTCAAACGTGAGATTATCCAATGTACTGCGTTGATCCTCAAAACTGACTTCTTTTCCAGCGTTGCTTTCTCTAGTTTGTTCACTTTCAACGAGAGATTCAACAAGCTGAGTGACACCAGTCCACCCTCCCATAGTTGGATGTTCTGTCACTTGGTCAATTGATCGCTGCAGACTGACAAGGTTCTGGAATGAGCTCAAATTTTCAGACAACGTCAGAGAGGTAGAGTGCGACACCACGTTCCGCATCATGCGTAGCAGTATCAGCTGGATCTTTCCGCTCTTTTGGACACCTAATTGCCCGTGTATCTGGTACTCTGACTTACACCATAATTTGCTTTTGCTAGCTTGTCCGGGTGCCTTCAGAAGCGAAATCAACGGACGAAGCAGTAGAGGGTCACTGAGTTCACTGAGAAGCAACTTGTCGCTTTGTAACGTATTTTCGAATAGCCTCACGATCTCGTTAAGGCTCTTTCGTGCGTGTATGGCAGCAAGACGCTTACAGAGAATCCTCTCCTCGATGTCGATCTCGACTGCATTCATTTTTCGAATCCCATCGTCAAAGCTACTATTGCTCTCGCTCCAAAGCGTTAGATCTGGCTTTGTTTGCAGCTTACCCAGACCCCCGCTGCCACTGTTTACCATCTTCTTCGTTTTAGCAGGACTGCCATACGCTCTGGCTGCAACTGGTTGAGTTGCAGGAGGACACATTGAGCTCGACTCCATTAGAGTATAACTTGGGTTTTCGTCACCGATACCTTGCAAGCTAACCAGAGGTGCGCTTACTCTAGATCTCATCATATCATCCCTTGGTGTCTTGCGTTCACAACTCTTGGATGACAACACCAAGCGTTCGAGCTCATTGCTTGCACTTGACAAAAGTAAGCGCAGTGCATCCGCATAATTATTATCAGTTTGGCGTAATGCCTCCGCGCATACTGGCTCCGCCCTTCCTAAAACCATTGCCAAGTGACGCACACTTAAAGGATATTTGCACTGCATTGCATCAACCAAGTGGTGCACAAGTAAGCGTTAGACTTGGTGATCTTCACATTATATATAGTTCACGCTATCACTTACCGTGTCAAATCCGGCCTTCCCTTGAATCAACCTCAATGCCTCATCCATATTATTCGATGTCATCCAAAGCGCTTCCTCGCAGTCAGCAGGACTCACAGATAAGTTTGCTTCTTGGGCGCGCGCAAGAAGGCGTAGCGCAAGTAATTTCATCTCTTGAAGGCTTGGCGATACATTCTGTGTCGGTTGTAATCGATAAAAAAAAACTTTAGAATCCTGCTATCTCAATGTACAAATAAAACAATAAGCAAGCACAGAAGAAAACGTACCGAAAAGGAGGACAAGCTGATGTCACTGCTCGAACGTCGCACGTTTGTCTTCATAACTTCGTTCGGTATCCTACTGGATCGCTGCGCAGATGATTCACGATTTACGCTGTCGCGACCTAATGCAATACGAAGCATTGACCCAAAGCTCCTGTCCTGTGTGCGAGGCGATGCTATGCCCGCAGCTTCGTTTGGCGAAAAGCTTTCTCGCTGTTGGTACGATGCAGGAGAAAGGGTGGAATCTGGAATCAGAGTAGAAAACGTGTTTGCAGCTGGAGACCTGATAGCAGGAGTACCTGGAGTCTGAAGCATAGAGGAGCGAGGAGTATTATATCCGCCAGCTCGAGGCGAGTCGACCGCAGGATTCGGTGAGAGCAATGCTTGAGCTTCATTTTCTGGTACAGATGCTATTACTCGCAAGCCTTGTGTTAAGGTGTGACGGCTGCGACTTTCAATGGGACCCCCTAATAAGGCAGAACCACCATGAGTTCCGCAATTCTGCAGCTCTGCTGGACTCCTTGGTACAGCTTGAGAAGTAATGTTGTAAGGTTGCGGATACTCCTGCCCGGGAATCAAAATATTTAGATCGCCACGGCTTTGCTGCGCCGTGGTGATAGCAGGCGGTACATGGCGATTTCCCACAATAGACACCCGACTTTGAAATTCATAGGTTATCAAACCTCCTCGGGACAATATTAGCGAGATACGAGATCCCGTAGATACGCGTGTTGTTGACCCATGAATCCTCACACCGTCAACAATAGTTCCGTTCTTACTGAAGTCCTGAAGCTCAAATTCTTCTTCCTGTCCCTCAGCCTCGCGCCTTAATCGCCGCAAATGGAAGTGAGAGCCACTGACACTTCGGTCGTTTACAATGAGATCGCATGCGTCTGCGGCGCGACCAACCCGAACGATAGGTGCAGTGAGCGGAAAAGGTGCGTAGCTGACGGCTGAGCGCGCAGAAGACCCAGCTGCCTGCCCTTGATCATTTTCGTCTAGCGGTGGAAGCGGGAGTAAAATCCCCCAAGCACCAAACGGTACGTCTCCTTCACTCAATTGCTCTGATTGCTCTCCAGCTATGCGTAAACCGTTTGAGGCAAAATCCACAGAGCCAGCACCTGCAAACGAACGATGGCTCGCGTTAAGGCGAGGCGACTGCATGTCATTTCTCTCCCAGCTCAAAGCATTTTCACTTCCCAACTTTTGAATGACTTCATCGCGCGTTTCGGCTTCCAAATGGTCCAAGGCAGAATCGATCACTTCCTCAGTATCCAGGAATATTTGTCTTTGTTTCACACAAAGCCATCGCTTCTGAAAAATGTTTGCATTTTCAAGTTCCAGCAATTCGGACTTGCTTACCGACGACAGCAAATTTTCCGACGACAGAAGCGTAACCAGACTTGATACGAGTTGTGAATCCATCGTCAGAAACTTTGAGCTGAGATTTGGGATCTGTTTCAACAAGGACGATAACGCCTTTGATGATCGCCATCGTAATTGCTGTTTGAGCATTTTAAGCCGGTTCCGCAATACTTCTTGTACAGCGCTATTCTGAGGCAGATCGAGGTCATTGTACGTGGCACACTCTTCCTCCACAGAAGAGATTGCAGAAATCATCGACAATAGTGTCACAATTATGTCTTCAACATCATTGAACATATCGATAGTAGCAGGTATCCGCTCCACACCCTCTAGCTTTGCCAGCGCAAATGTCTGAGATCGTGCGTTCTCGTCGACAAATGGTACGACGGGTGCTTCTGAGCTGGACTCTAAGACTACTTGGGCCAATAAATCACCTGTGCGTGGATCCCTTGTTATTCCTGTGAGCATGCCCAATCGACTCGAGCCCTCAGTCCCATCCTTTTCAATCGTAACATACCCGCCCTCTCTGAAAGCTTCAACGTGTCCGCCAACGATACTTACTGATGCTAGTACCGTTGCTAACCCGTCAAGAGCAACCCTTGCTTTTCGCCAAAGCATCAGGGAGTGCTTATCTCGCGTCTTTGCTTCCAAGTCATCAGTGCGGGTATTGCAATTGGATGTGTTGCTGATCAATTCGTCCGTTTCTGACAATGCAGTGGTTGGCTCGGGTTTTCTCAGCGATGAGGCATCATTTTCCCCACTAAATTCTTCGAATACCGCAGTTTGCAACTCCATGCCATCAATCTTTTGAACGCTACTATAGTATGCGCAGACAGTATCCAGCAACACATGGACCTTATTTGACTGGCTAAAAGCTCGATTAAGCGCACCATTGACTGCTACTTTCCAGGCAGGATAAAGCGTTAGGTACCGTAGCAATGCCACAACCTCAGCTGCCTTTGCCTCGGCAACATGAGCTTTCTCGAGCACAACTTCTTGGAGGTGAGCGATCTCGGCGTCATTGGTCATAGTTACCCCTTTTCGACACTGTGCTGAATGGCATAGAACAGTGCTCGTGCATTCCAAGCCTAATTCGTGTGAGCAAAGTCGCGGACGCAGGAGGAGAGGAATACCTACCAGTTTCATCAGCATATTGAGAACATCTCCAGAGAAAAATGGAGTTGACTGTTGAGATCGGTAAATTTTGTTCAGCGCGGACACCGAATGATGCGGGAATATCACCATAGCAAGACGAATGGATATAGTTGCTAATGCCAAATCAGAAGAGCTCATTTCACTGATAATGAGGGCCGTCACCACCGAGTTCGATGCAATGATGGAGCCTACACAAGTGTTTGCAGAGGCGCACGCTAAAAGAACGCTTAGAATCTGATTCTTGTAGAAGTATCCATGTATCGAGTCAAGAGTAATGCCTTCAAGTGTTCCGGAAATTGGTGCGGGTAAAGTATACTTTATACCAAAATATTGCAGAAGGCCAACGCAGACCCGCTTCCACGAAACGATGGCATTTAACTCGTGGATTGCTTTTGAGGTCATCGTCGCTCTGATGTTACTAGAAGAATTCACTTGCAATAACTCCAAATTCTCCAACAAAAAGCTAAGAAACAAGGATAGCACTGGATTCACAGGGCTCTTTGAAACCGCAGAGCGATTCGTAGTACGATTGTTAGCATCTTGTAGAGATCGGTACATAAGAGCGCGGGTCATTGCCCATCCGGTAGCATACAACTTGACCAGCAGCAAATTGGGTTGGGCGTGCTTGATTTGGAGTGGTTCACGCTTTGTCGCTAGGGAATTGATGCGCTTGGAGTCAATCTCCTTCATCATTAGCTTGATAAAGGCATCCGAATTAACAACACAACTAGTTTTTGGACGATCTTTCGCCTGAATGGTGTCACCAAGTCTATGGCTCTCACTTGTACTCCCTGTCAAGATGTACGAGCTGTAAAATCCAGCAGCTATACAAACCACCTCATCGTTTGTCAGTGAGTTTGGAAGAATCGATAAAGGTAGGTCTGCTGACGAAAGCGTTCTTGATCCTACCCCGAGCTGACCCTTGTTATTTCGCCCAAAGGCCATTACCCTTCCGTTCGACAATAGAATGAGTGTATGATAACAACCGCATGATACAGATTTAACTCTGGATGACAAAGGAAGTGGCACATACTGAGCACTATACTTGTGATCCTTGCTTCCAATTCCCAGTTGCCCATAGTCATTCCGCCCCCATGTGATAAGTTTGCCTTGCTCGCTGATTGAAACGGTGTGATAGTAGCCACAACTTACAGCTACAATTTTTTCGTCACTCTCCCCAGGTGACATCTTCACCCGATTTGGTACTTTCGTATCGCGAGCATGCCCTAGACCCAACTGACCATAGTCATTTTTTCCAAACGAATATACTGCTCCGCCAACAGTAATCGCAACAGTGTGATAGAGCCCGCACGCAACCTTCGTAATGACTTGATTTGACAGTGAGAGTACCAATTGTGGTGTGTGTTGATGTTGCGCGTGGTCTAGACCCAGTTGCCCAGAATCATTCATACCAAACGTTAGCAGCTCACCCGCGCTCGTTACTACTGCACTGTGATGGTAACTAACTGCTGCCGTTGTTACGTGGTACTTTTCGCGCAAACTGTCAATCATGCGCGGTGTATGACTCTTTACAACCGTCAAGCCAAGTCCTAGTTGACCACAATCGTTGTATCCCCATGAGTATACAGCACCATCGGACGAAACTGCTAACATGTGCTCGCAACCATTTGCTGCAGCAATCATACTAATGGCGAATCCTCTTAGTGCATGCACAGGAGTAGCTATAACAACCCGCTCTTCAAATGTACCATTGCCACATTGGCCACTCTTGTTAAGGCCACATGTGTAAACAGCTCCGTCCTTCATCACTACAGCAAGAACCTCATTTCCTCCGGCAACATCGTGAATTGCCTTCGTAGAGAATAAGGGTACACGCTCCAGCTTGCCTGTCGAGTTACAGTGTCCCAGACAAAGTTCTCCGTAATTGTTTTGCCCGCAGGAGAACAATTCACAATTACCGTAACTGACCACAATAGATGGCCTTTCGGGAATCCGTGTTTGTAATCGTGCGGTTGCTAACGTGTTTTCATCGCTGACAGTACTCGGCAGTTTCAACCTCTGAGAGACGTTGCATAAGGCGGCAACCTTGTCATTCCATGACCTTCGTCGAGGGCACAACAATGAACTTGCTTCCAAATGGCCATCGTGAGACTCATCAGACGTGTATACATAATATGCAGAGCTCAGGTCACCTCGGTTGTTATCGTAACACGCGGCACACATTTTAATGCTGCTATCGTCACTGCGTGCGTAAAATACTCCACGTATTGATGCTTTCTTACATTCTTCGCAAGTATAAAAGCCTACCATGGTCTCGTTGTACGCAGGCCCATTGTCACGATCGAAGATACCAGAAAAACCTATGTATCCAATATCAATGTTTGTTCCAGCCGACGGGCATACTGCTTTAACAAGAATGTACCGACCAGTAATTGGATAGGCAATCTGCTTTGAAATCTGAGCGCAGCTATCGTTTAGTACAAAAAATGCGACTGGAACAGTTTCATCGCGAGAGCAGCACCCATTGCTGGGAGGAAATGGTAGAGCGGCAAATTCCTCCGCAGTCATGCCGTCATATTCCTTGAAGCACGATACATCAGGAGGAGTGCTGGTGATAAAAATGATGGCGCAACGAAGAGGACTCGAGTAACTTAACCCAGGACCTCTTACCTGGATGGAGCTTACGCACATAGGAGTATCGATCTCATGCTTTAGCACTAGGTTAACATTTGCTCCTTTGGAAGAGCTATAAACTGTTGCATCATCCACGAGACAATGACGCATGACACGTGAACTGCTAAGCTCTCCGCCATCGCAGGAATGTACTTGAAGCTGCAAGCTCTTCCCCAGTTGTGAATCGTTGAATGAAGACATGTGATGATTCAAGGGCTTTGTTGCGGGGTAGAATACTCGCGAAGGTAATTTAAGACGAGGTCGAGGGTGGAAATTTACGTCAAACACAGTACCGTTGCATAGTACTGACACTGCAGGAAACAGAGGCTTGTTTAGTCTTGCAATATTTAAATGGCATACCTCCAGGTTTGAGCGGTCAGAATACAAAGATATGGTCGCCGCTGTAAAATCAAACAAGAGTCCAATCGTTCCCCACTGTAGAACCTCCTCCGCGCTCGTCCACGTGACATCTAGCTTTTCCCGCAGCGGCCCTTCGAAGTCTAAGAAATCATCGCTAACTATACCAAAACTGAGTGCTGATCGTCCGTGTTTTCCCGCCGCAATAACACGGATCTCGATAAAGATACTTTCATTCTCGAAACCCTGGCTTGCAGCAATAGTCTCGAATTGATCTTGAGATAAACTGCAGTCACCGGCACACACCGTCATTCCATTTGGCAAAACTTGTAGGTGACTTCCTTTACGATTAACATTCCAACTGATCGATGCTCCATCAAAAGGAACTGCTATAAGCCCTCCAGAAACAACTGCTTGGGGCAGTCGAAAGTTAGAGGCAGCACACCACAACTTTGGCGGGATAGAAGGCACGAGATGCCAGTGCACATCAGCATCCTTGAGACCAATTGAAGGAAAAAGACTGCTTTCAACTGGATTGCTTGAAGCTATAGAGACCACATGACACCTATTCCCGTTGTTGTAAAATTCCAATTGCTCTTGCTCACAATCTAGTAAAACACCAAGAATATTCAAATTATTCCAACGGATTCCTGTTGTAATATCTCCCATAAAGCGTTCGTGATAAAGAAGCACGCCATAAAGACTGCAATCTCCCGAGACATACGTATTAACATCTGCTGTGCCAGGTGTGATGCCAACAAATACAGGAGTATCACCAAGTAGACGCACTGAAACCTCCCAATACCAACGACCCCTGTAGAAACTTCTGTCAAACACCGCAAGGCCACCTCGGTTTTGGGATTTACCCAATGCCTGCAGATTTTCATCGCTTCCGTCAAAGCTCTTATGAGTTATAGACAGTTTGCGCAGATCAGATCCAATCGTCACATACCGTGAACAAAGAATTTTTGGACATTTTAATCCCGTCCCGGCTGGAAGTATGGTATATGTGTCGGTACATCTACGATCCATCGGTGAGTACCTGGATACATTGTACTGGATAAAGCTTTGCCATCCTTTCCAACTTGTTAAGTCTGTCACCAGAGATACTAAATTGGTAGACTGAAGATGGTTCCAATCTTGCCCCCTATACGGTAAACAGCAAGTCTCCAGCACAAGTAACATATCATGTACGGCAAGATGAATAGATGATGGAGATGGTCTTGTCTTATTCTTTTCATCGTCCACCCTGGTATCAATCAGCTTCTGGACTTGCTGGAAGTGGCTTGCTGTTGTTTTGAGGAGCAATGTCAGCAATTGAAAAAATTCTCGTCGAATGGCATCCAACAGCTGCGGCCCAGCAAATTCAAGATCCGTCAGATAGTGCACTTTAACGATTGACATTTGTTCTGCTGCTATTTTCTCCACGCGTTTATCTCCGGTTATACAAACGCGCTTAAAAGCAGAAGACAACATGGGAATGACGTGGAACCGCGACATTGGGAGATTATCAATATTCTGTAGTAGACGGACAAACGTCGTAAGCCCTCGTAAGCGATATTTTGCTCGATTCTGATGTAACATCAATATGTCTCGCATTTGGTCATCAAAATGGCGAGTCGATGCTTTGTTATCTGGACTGGAAAGTAGCATAGGTTTTTCTGAATGCTGCAGGAATGAAAAGATATCAGCATGTATCTGTTCGTCTTCTTCTTCCATCACCTCTACCGACTTTGTTTCCATCAGCTTCTCAAACTGGCGTGCAAAACGCTTTTGCTTGTGCTCTTCGAAAGTTGTTTCAGAAGGTTTGTCTTGAGAAGCATTTGAAAAATCTGTCACTTTATGTTGGTTAGTATAATAATACTGATCAAATGAAAGGAGGGAAAACAAGGGGTAACAAACCGTAATTTTTTGCCATCGAGATTCCGGGGAGAAGCTTTATAGGAGAGGAGGCCGATTGGGCATCTTGAATTGGCGCAGGTGCCAGCTGGAGAAGAAGGAATGCTCGGCGGATAATAGGCTCACATACTGCATTATATAATACCTGCTGTCGGTCCTTTGCCGTCATATTAGGAGAAAAGCCGCTAGGAGCTCCCGCCTCACTACAATAGCAAGTGCAATAAATTCATAAACTGTGTATATGGTTCCAACATAGAATGCGTTGTACTTTACCTGAAAGCTGCAGCTAGTTTTTGCTGCTCTCTCACAATCCTAGAAGCAATCAATACGAGTGTGTGAGCAATATAAGCAAAACAGGTAAAAATATCGCGTGGGACAATGTACCAACGACGTAGCTGTAGCGCAGCCTTCCAGGCATTAATCACTGATTCTGCTAGTGCACCTTTACTTGAAATTGGTTCATTTGTGTAGGAGACATGGGTATGCTTCAAAAGAGCAGCAAATGTGGCACGGACCGCACGGTTTACTGCCTCAATTCCATCACTTTTTTCGAGTATCGCCTCTACACTGTCTTTCCGTTTCAATCTTACAGCTCGAAACTGTAGATTTTCGTTCCCTCGACCCGATTCAGGATCTAACGCATTACGTACTTTATCCAAAAGCTTCTTGCCGTTGCCAACATTGTCTATCACTTGAAGCAGCAGCGCTTCATTTCGACCAACCTCATTATCTTTCAGCGCAGCTTCGGGCCATGCTTCTTCCAGCCCGCCCCGGAAAAGTGTCGACTGCAACCACCTCTCGCTCACAGCGACTCCGGTATTCAGCGAACCACCAATTACCAAATTCGTGGCGTAGTGACTTCCGACCCAAGCTATTATGTTTTGGAGGTCCTTAAGCCACTCGTGGCTCTTTGCAATGGTTTCTCCAGGGCACCATACGACTGAAGAATGAGTCATTGCCAAAGATTGAGGTGCTGAAGAAGGTCCCATATCAGTCTCGGCTTTTCCTGGAGTAGACAAACGGGGATATATATGCTGCGAGAGGATAGTCCGGCTGGGCGCAAATGAAATTTTCCCGGGTTCATAGTCCAATAAACCAGATTCTGTTCCGGCCTTTTGAACCTTAACAAGCAGTGTTTCAGTCCCAAAAAGTTTTGCTAGATCCACAGGAATAGCAATCCGACGGATCTCTGCATCCACCAAGTTCTTTACTTTCCAATGTGCGTATCCCTTAGACTTGATAATCTTATCCCATAAACGCTTAAGGATTTGATTATACGTGACGGAAGATCCACTAGTCTGCTGCAGATATGCTGAGAGCTCTATTGAAATAGATGCAAGCGCTGTATCTACGAAGTCAGTCTCAACCTTTAGGGTACTAAGTGTCTCAACACGCGGGTTGCATGAGTACGACACACTACGCTTGCTGAGGATCGCAAACGTTGTATGAAGTTTTGTCGAAAGAGCTTCCAATTGAGACCAAAACGGATCGAGTAAAGCGGGAAGTGCGTCATGAACGGAGGGTAGCGAAAACATGCTGAGCAGCACAAATGGCAGTAGCTTGCCTGAAAAACTGTGCTGAATAGCCACTAGAAGATGTTGACTCTTTTCAAATGGCATTGCATGGCATTGATCCAGATACTGTGATATGAATGCAACCAGTTTCATGCATGCTGATTCAATGATCACCCAGCCACGATTGGTGGAGCGCGAACACCAAAATATTGTTGCGCGCAGCAAGACATTGAAGCACTTGAATTCGTAATTTCGTTCAATATCGTCGAGGTCATCCACGAGCTTTGTGAAATCTTCTGGCGACAAATCTATCACATTTTTCGTCTTCTCCCACAGCCCATTCAACAATGTGTCCATACACGCGATCACAATTTCTGTAATTACCGTATCTGATGAGCTGTTTGCCTTGGCAAGCACGTCGGGGTCACCAATTAATTGAAAAAGCATCTTTGCTGACGTAAAGTAGGGGACAAGCATCGGAACTAATAGCTCCTGCGCTGGTGTCGACTTCGCTTCCAAATTCTGTTTTTTTACCATCAGCCGATTCATGACTTGTATCCTGTCCAAGAGGGACGGAAAAAGGGCTGAAAACCCGTGGCAGATTGCCGCTGCAGATTCGTTCTTCACTGCATCATAAAGCCACACCACTTCACCTGACATTGGTAGTTTCGGTTCATGATTCACTATCATGAACAGCAGCTTACAAATTAAATCAAAATGTCCTTCACATTGAGATGATGCAGATGTTAGTCCAATTGCTGAACCGTCCAAGCAACTCCGAGAAAACTATAGAAGAAGTACGTAGGTCAGTACATGCGCATAATAGAGCGCAAGATGTAAGTGAAATAAGCAATCATACCTCATAGAAATTTATCTTGAGCAGCCGTATCGTTACGAGCAACGGATACATCACGTGAACTGCCGATGATGTGGTGTTGGATTCGTCTTCAACGAACGTGGTCAAATCGATAAATCGAGACATTAATTTGTCCAACAGTGCATACAGTGCTGAAAACGTTGCCTCATTAGGATCTATGCAAAGCGATCGGTGCAAGCACCGTGACAGCTGCACAGAGTCTGCATCTTCTTCGGGAACGCTATTTCCAGCTAAACGGTCCAGATGAGAAAGCAAACAAATTGCAGTGTCCAAGGCTTCTGCCGCACAATGTTGAGTCGACCGGTTGCCAGCTTTCGTGCGAAGAGCGCTCACCACATGGACCGCATCACCAATCATCGACACATTTTTGGTCACGTGTAGTCTGTACATTCCTGTTGAGCTTGGAAAAGACATCTTGCGAACTTTGCTACAGCAAGACACTTTTCCTTGCAGGTTAATGCAGCCCCCGAAAAGAAACAAGTTCCCGGATTGAGGGGCAGGTAACTCGGAATTAGGGATGCTGGGCAGCGCCGTCACTGCACCTGTTCGTAAATGCAATGCCGCTGAGCAATATCCGTTGATTTCTTCCTGAAAAGTCGTTTCAAGGTCATTCCATTTTTGCGATGTCGTGGAAAAATACCAAATATCGCACAAGTAGGTGTTTGTCTGGTTGATACCCCCAAATATCCAAATGTTTCCAAGGTCAGCGCACATACTATAGCATATTCTACCTTCAGGTAGCATCAGCTGGGATTTATTGCTCGAGCCGCGTAAACAACTTTCTGCATCCTTTGAGCCTCCTCCAATATTGTCGTCATAACACAAGTGCCACACACGATCAAACGTACTATACTTCCAAAGGTCAGACCTGAATCTTCCAGCACGATCTTTTCCTCCAAATATGTATACACACTCCCCTATGGCAGCAGAAGAACACCCAGCTCGTGGACCAGGATCTAGAGATATCGAACCAGGCAATCGAGACCAAGCGTAACTATCAAGCGACAAATACCACGAGTCTCCAAGAATCTCGTTTTCAACCGATTTTCCACCATACATGAAAACGATCGTGTCAAGGCGAACGTGAATCTTTGAGACGGTATGGAATGCACGAGCCTGCGGCATAGATGTCGCTGCGCCAATAGAAGCTTGAATCAAGTTCCATGCTGGAAGTGAGCCGTCTACGTCTCTTAACGTTGAGCACTTATACAAGTCCATGTGCCGAGATGTCGCACAGGTACTCTCACCACCAAGGACTAGAATGTGGTAGTCATCGATTGCCACAACTTGATGGTTGCAAATTCCTATTGGAAAGTCAGCCCATCTCTCCCAAATTTTTGCATCAACATCGTACACCCACACTTGATTTGTTACTTCGGTACGTTGAGAAAAGGACGATCCTTCACTAAGCATTCCACCAACAACAAATAGTCGATTGCCAACTAAAGCTGATGCGGATCCTTCAGCTGGTAAGGGATGCGGTGATAAACCATCTAATTGATCCCCTGGTGAATGAATTACTACGCTAGTGGAGGGTACTGCGATGGCACGGGAAATACTTTTTAAGTCATAGCCAGTCGCTGGAGGATACGCAAAAGCTTGATGTCCCAGGTTAATGCGGATGATTTCGCCTCGTTCAAGACTAATGCCAGGCATCATACCTGAACGCCTGTCATCCGCTGAGTACTTAAGTTCAGAGTATGCCACGCCCAGGTTGACTCCGTTTCGAAAATATGTCATTGTTTGTGTAGTCAGGTCCAGCAGGCAACCGATGATATCACCAACTCTCCATTTCTCTCCATACGAAGATGATTCACTATTCCAGCGCCGCTGACGATGACCATCATAAGACCATGAGTGAGCATGATCGCCAACTCCTTTTCCCTTGTCTGAGTTTCCCTGGAAGTAGCCATCGATCCATCCAACTTGGATTAAACCGCTAGTGACGACCTCAACCTCGTAAAACCATGTACCTTCGAAAAGAGACACGCCTACCGTGGAAATCGATCCAAAATTACTAAGCCCCTCAATCTCTCCCGAGCGGTCAATATCAACACGACCGCAAATGACCACGACACCAGATTGGTCCAACATAAAGAGATCGCCATCATCGTTCTCGCGATTTCGTTCCACGATTAACGACGTAGTGTAAAACCCAGCAGCAATATCCACACAGCGACGGGGATTTTTCTCCGGGCGAACTTTTAGAGGAACAGGCAACAACGCATCAGCGCTACCTCGATTCCCAAGCTGCCCTTTGTTGTTTCGTCCAAAAACAAATACCTGTCCTTGATCTGAAAGCAGCACAGTGTGGTAGCAACCGCACGTTGCCCGTACCATTCGTGTGCCAGCAGAAAAGGCCACAACATTTGGCACATTCTGGTGCACCTTGCTTCCGATTCCTAGCTGTCCATAGTCGTTACGACCAACTGAAAAAGTTTGACCATCGGTGGTAACAACCACAGAGTGGTAGTACCCACACGCAACAAAACATACGGTTTCATTTGTAAGAGCGACCGGGGAGAATACGTTGACCTGACGATTGTGGGCTAGACCCAATTGCCCGTAATCATTTTTTCCGCAGGCAAACAAGTCGCCTGTAGCTGTGCAGACTAGTGTATGGTACAATCCACAAGCTGCCATCGATACTTCAATGCCTTTAAGGCTCTTAACGAGCTGCGGTATCGACTGAAGTTGTGTGTGTTCTAATCCAAGTTGTCCACAATCATTCATGCCAAACGTATAGAGCTTCCCGGAGTCCGTGACCACAGCACTGTGGTGATAACTTACTGAAGCGTACCCCAGTTTCGTATCTTTCAACGACTCAATAAGCTTTGGGAGATGTATCTTGGTTGCCAAGTTTCCATGTCCCAATTGTCCACGGTTATTGCATCCCCACGAATAGGCAAGTCCTAAATCGGTCAGTGCGATTATATGCTCGCATCCATTGCTCGCAGCAATAAACTTCACTTGTTGTGAGCGCAGGGTCTGTACAGGGCGGAGCATCATCACTCGCTTATCAAAGTGTCCATGGCCGCATTGACCGTTTTTATTCAATCCACACGTTAGCACTGAGCCATCATTTGTAAGAACCGCCATTGTTTCGTTGCCGCTAGCTACCTGGCAAATATCGTCCCATCCACAAAGTGCAACACTGGTAAGCTGATGTCGCTCAGTATCGTCTCCTGTTCCTAGTTCTCCATACGAATTTTGACCGCAACTGTACAGTTCTCCAGAAGCGTCACACTTTCCGTACATAGGCTGTTCTTTGAGTTCGGCAAGTTTTGCTATCGTAGTTTCTAAATTTATCGAGCTCTTTGGTGGCTGCTTTATTAACCAAAGTACTACGGAGAGCATAGTTGCAAGCGACCCCCGGGCCAGTCCCACTTCGGCCAATGTTTCGATCGTGAGAGCTTCAGCGCGCATTTCTCCTTCCGACGCTCTATTTGTCACAAGATGAGCAAGGTCACCCAGGCACTTACTCAGCAAATTGAAGGCGGATGATGCGGATGGTGCCAAATACATACTGTCCGAGTAGGCGGTGGGCTTTATTGGTTTCAAATTTTCCTTGACCATCTGCAGTGCGTTTTCATATTGTGTTGGGTTGCTTTTTCTTGTAGCTTTTAGTAGCATTACGACCATGTCCCAGCCAATGGTCATACAATTTTGTGTTGGTAATGGAAGCGGTGGCGGCGAAACTTTGCACATGGTCATTGACCGTGCTCTTGCAGCCAGCAATCGCTGCTCGTACCGGTATTTTTCCTTCTTTGTCAGATGATACAATATCTGCAAGTTCTTCACGTAGCACGCGACTCGAGCGTTAAATGCTCCAGGTATTGCTTTCCCGACAATGTCATCTCGAATAGAATCATGTCCAACTTGTATTGGTAGACCAGCGAGCTGGGAAATGTGCTGGAATAACTCATCCACGGAGTCCACGGAGCTCATAATTTCCTTCATTTGCTGCTCTGGACTACACGTTTGTAATTGCTTAACCACTTGAGTCTCTGTATCAATCCATTACCAATACAATTGACCCCATTAGTCATTGTCTTTCTTAATCCTGTTGATGACGTTTGTATCTCACCTTTTGGCAAATTGCACAATGACGCACTAAACTCGATGATTTTATCCATAGCATCTTTTGAATCTTCAACACTACTAGGAGTCACCACTATCCCGCTTGAATCACCGACCTTGCTAACATCATAGAGCGGTACATAGGAAGCCTGGACTGGGCGTAGCAACGTGCGTTCACCCGGTGATTGCTTCACTCCGACTGGTAGCGTGATTGGTTGTCCCATTGTCTGCTCACGTCTGCGCTCTATCTCTTTCTCTAGCAGCTTAATATGATTAGTGCGGGTAAGAGAGAGAGAGAGAGTGAACCTGTCAAAAGACGCGACTTTTCGGCCGCATTAGATCTTGTGTGTGGTCTACTCAATGGGTAACAAACAATGAAACTTGCTCTACAAAGCGATGAAGCCATTTCACATGCCACTAGACGATTTGAATCAAACGTTTTATTGAAACGTTTCAAAAAAACTATGTCTTTGGTTATTATTTTTTTATGTGACGAACTTCACAACATATGCTATTCGTGCATGAGACTGTACTTACTGACTGGCCTTTAAATCGGAACCGCTCCGTTCTAGAAAGAAGACGCTTGATTCCCGACGTGAGACAACTCTGTTTATCGCGTCTTCATCTGATCCTATTATATGATGTAAACTCGAATCTTTTTGCCAAGTCATGGGAAATATATAAATTGCTTCAACTTCATCGTTTCTATATGCCACCTACGTTCCCAGTCAAGTCTCGCGTGTGCAATATAATTGAGCCCAAAGTACATCCTCTCAGGATATCGCCAGACATTTTCCCTTTGGCTATTTGTCTGACCATCTTATCAGTCATACGACTATATCCTTCTTCCATCTAACATTGTGGCGACGGTCTGAAATTTTGTAATCATCAAACATTCCTCAGGCTTCGTAGCGGCTTGATTTAATGCGATATAGCACCGTAAAAGTCTGAGATCGAATTTCTTGTGGGTTCCTAATAGCGAGTGTTTCTCGAGCACCCTTCTATCTACTGTCACTGTTGTCTGAAATGTCGAGACATGGTGGATTTTCCAGCTGGTTGGGATGAGACCTGTTGAGTTTTCAGACTACACTCAGCATTGACACCCCGAGCCGCAACAGCAACCGTCTCTCTGCCGCATATACCAACATATTTTCATTCTTCAATCCGCTTTCAACTCGCAGTAACGATTGTGGAGACAGGTTAGTGGCTGCACATGTTTTCCTTTGACAAGTCTGTTGGCGCCGTTCTTACTGTATTTTTTCTCATTAGTGTGTCAACGTCCATCTGTCAGCACCAAGAGATCTTGTCATATAACTAGACACGAATATTGACGACTCGGAGACGACGTTTGTAAAGCAACACAACGACATCTAGTTCTATCTATCAAGTGAAGAACGAAGGGAGAGAAACAGGGACTAAGAAAGGGATGAAAGTCATGCGAGCACAAGTGCAAAGCGACTTGCCTGGTAGAGAGCGCTTGCCTCAAAAGGTTGCTCACCGAAACGATCCGGTGCTGCTTCCACGAAGCCGGGCCATCAAGCCTGTCAGTGCTCCCAGACGCAAACCGCTCGTGAAAAGTCGATTGGCAATGGTAACAACAAGCAAACGCGTCGAGAAGCCGAGACGCCTTCTGGGCGATGAAACTGTCTTCTATCCGAATATCTGGTCGCCACCCGAGACTGCCGGAGACGTGTCCGCTACCAAGAAGCTAAAGCAGCTAGTGGACATTAGCCAGATTGCGCACGTGTTGACGACACTGGACTACAAGAGCGGCTATGAGGCTCCTACGAACGCCGAGTCAGTTAATATCTGGGCATCACTGGAATCACAGCAGAATGCCAAACGTGCTGCAATGATGAACAAGACGCAGCAACTTGCCAGCAACGTATCGGCCTCGATTTCCGAGCACAGTAGTGAGGAAAGCTCGTCACTGGTCATTTCGTCTAGCGTGCTGAGCCTGGGTCCTTTAAGAATGGGTGCCAGCACGCTCCGAAAAGAGCTATGGTCAGGTGAGTTTCCAAGTGTAATGAAAACGCCAATCTCGGCTCCGCGTCGGAAAGGTGTAAACGTAGTATTCTCGAACGTGCTAACGCGCAATGATGAAGTAAATATGAGCTGGAACTCACAGTTGCTACTGGGGATGCATGAGCCGATTCGTCATGCCCTTTTCGTGATCGATCGGTTCTTGGAGCGCAGTCGTGACTTGAAAAAGTCACCCATGAATCGGAACGTGCGCGAGTTTTTTAGCTGGTTCAAACGTTACTTTGTTGAATTTGTGCGAAACCAGCACAATGTGAAAACGACGGTTCTCCTCCCACTCGTGGTCATCAAGGTTGTGGAAAAACGAGATATTGCGACGTTCTATCAAACGATTTTTGCGCTGGTGGATGTGATTATTTCGCATGAAGCCCAGCTGTTATTGGCTGTATCGACAGCTGGTTCGTGGCAAATTCGCCTAACCATTCTGCAGGATGATATTCGGCGTCTCAACTACTTACTTCTAAATGTACTAGCACTAGAGGAAGTAGCATTTCTGCCTGCTATTGAACACGCATTTTCAGAGAAAGCTTTTTATCGATACGTCATGCCACGGATTTTTCGTGCGACTCGACCAAAGCGTATTATGGTCCCATGGATTGTCGAGAGGAGCCGTATCTGGGGTGGCAACAAAGTTGCTAAAGCGTACAAGGATGACATATCATTTACGGCACGGTTCCTGTACGACCATGTGTGGCACCCTTATTTCGAAAACAATATTGCATCTACCATGAAGCATCTCGATAATGATGTGGAAGGCGTAGCTGCAAAGGGTTCGGACGCTTCATGGTTAGGGTGTAGTATCATGTAGTTAAAGAGAGCTTTGTATTGAATGAAGCCTCGTGACACTCTTGAATACATTATCGGATTATGAAAACTATTAGTATTTGGTAAAATGGGCTCTTATTACTACATCAATTATAATAGCAGGACCCACTGATGCCCTTGATCAGCACTAAATAGCTTTTGCGATGAGGTGGAGCTACCGAATATCTATATATTGGACAAAACACGGGACGAAATATTCAAGCTAGCTCGTATATGCAACTTGAAGCTGTTTCGTTTGACATCTAACAGCTCCAAGCATTCAAATGCCACAACTCTGTTCAAAACGTGCTTGCTTTGTCTGTGTTAGTGTGTCAAAATTGAAGGTCTTTCTTATCTCCGAGAAAAAAATGCCACAACATTTTCCGTAGACTCTGTAATTGTCAAGCTTGCCGTCCTTCTAGAATCTACTGTTGCATCTGTTGTGACGCATTAGTGCAGAGAATGAGATATATCGCTAGATTTTATATTCTTCATGAGTTGGTGTGTCCTACGTCAAATGGCGTACAGCACATCACGTCTGCGACATGGTCTGCTGTGACTTGCGCAAAAACCATAAAGTGTACGAGTGGCGGCGCAATGAGCGAGGTGGCTGAGGATCAGTCGGCTAAGCAGAATGCGCTAGTATTACAACTTCCAATGGATGGTGAAGGAAAACCTGTTTGCGAGTGGATTGACACGCTGCTTCAAGCGGCCGTGATTGCCAAGGGCACGCAGAAGAAACCAGAACAGGACGAAGCATTAACGACTACAATGGCTTCTTCGACAAGTGTTGACGTTTCTACTACGACCACAGCTTCCGTCATTGCATCCTCAAAAATGGGCGACAAAGCTACAGTAGATGCAACAACTTATGAATCGACCAAGATTCTAACTGAGGAGAAGCAGAAAGATGAATCACCAACGTGCCCAGTAGTATCTAACCTAGACGCCGTCAAGACTGAAGAGAGAGCATCTGCACCAGCTTCTAAGCGCTACAGTCGTCGGCGTTGTGAAGTGGAAGGCTGCACCAAGTTTTCACGCTTCAACAATGCTTGCTCGGGGCATGGTGGCAGACGTCTTTGCGCGGAGACTGGGTGCAAGCGAGTGGCGCAGTTTGGGCATAAGTGCAGCGCGCACGGAGGTGTCAAGCTGTGTCGGGTGGAGGGTTGCCATCGTGCTGTACAGTCTCGCGGATGCTGCAAGACACACGGTGGTGGTGTTCGGTGTCAGTATCCAGACTGTACGAAGGGTGCCATTTCCAAGGGATTTTGTCGTTCACATGGTGGTGGGTCGCGCTGTGCTGAACAAGAGTGTCAAAAGTGGGCTCAGCGTCACGGATACTGCGTGCGCCACTCAAAGTCTACTTTTAGTCCAAATCCGGTGCCAATCTTGGAGTACATGATTGACTTGCCAACGGCACACAACATTTAGGACCACATGCGAGTAGCTCTTCAAATTAGCATACACACAATAAAGCGCTGACTTTGTAAACAGAATGTGTGCACCACATTACGAAAGCATTTTTGATTAGATCGAAACAATGGACTTGTCTTGTCCGATCGACCCAATCTACCTCGCTGGGTTTGCTACCAAGTGTATAATGCCCAGTCAAGTATCAAAATTTACTCCAGAGTCTTTCCACCTATTGGATTCGTATGCGTCACACCGAGATACTCGTGAGAACAGACAATATTTTGTCCATTTGCAAGGTTCTTTTTTGCTAATGGAGCGTGTACATAGTGGTGGAAATTGCATGTAAGGAGCGATCAAGTCCGTGTTATTACGGTAATGAAGAGGACAGACAGAGCGTTGAGTTAAAGTTTGGTGACTTTGTGGACTACTATCAAGCCACATTCAATAAACAGACACATTGGCTGCAGACGGTAGACGATCTGGAATTTTATCTGGCCCAGTGCCCCATAGCTATGCCACAATCTGATGATACATGCACCAAAGCGATCTTGCCCGCCATTATGCATGATATCTGCGTGTAAGTGTACAGCAATATCTGGGGTTTTCATTCATTGTTGTAACACTCGTGTGCCATTCCAGACCCGAGTGTCTTCATAAAAAGCCTGTCACCCAAGTGAATCTCTGGATGACTGTGCTACCTGGCCGAACGACGCTGCACTATGATGCGTATCACAACATTGTGGTCGTTTTGTACGGAAGAAAAACTATTACACTATATCCCCCATCCGACACTGCAAAAGTATATCCGTATCCGGTTCATACCAAGTCCGTGAATCACAGCCAAGTGAACACCTCTCAACCGGACCTCGAAAAACACGCACGCTTTGTAAATGCATCGGCTCAGCAATTCGCAGTCGTAGCTGGTGGTACAGTACTCTATACGTAGTATCCATGATCCTATCTTGTGTCTCAAGTAACGTATATGTGATTGTTTCGTTGAACAGACGCACTTGTGATTCCGGAAGGGTGGTGGCACATGGTGGACTCGGACAAGTTTACTATTGCTATCAACTACTGGTGGAATGGCGTGCGAGAACAACTCGTAGCAGATAAACGCATGGTGCCTTACTACGCCCGTGTGATGCTGGAAGAACTGGTCAAGCAGCAATGCGAGGCGCGTCTTCTTGCCTTTCGGTCTTCATCTCGGGTAGGTATCGTTGCAAACTTTGAAGATGCAGATCAAGTAGCAGCTGCGTATTTGGCGTCAAAGGATCAAGGCTATCGTGAACAGGTGTTGTTGTCACTGGAACGCAATATTTTTGTGAAAACACAACGGTTTCTAGCAGTGAACAACGTTATAGAGTGGCGAAAACTACTTGTAAATGCAAGTGTGGACTTGGCTGCTGCCTTAGTTGAGTGTTGGGAAAGTGTGGATATTGAACCTGATACTTTAGGCGAGCTATTTGGCGCTCTTGAAGATGAGGAGGTAGAGTCGTTGAAAAAGCTAATAGCTGCCAAACAAGCCCAGTTCCGCCGGGAATGTGCTGCCGACATGTATCAATCACTGTTTGGCTAGTTCTAGTAGCTTTGAATTAGAACCTGCGGATTGGCAGTTTTTCTAATTCGTATGAAATGCTTTCGTTTGATTTTACAGCAATCTAAATATTAAAAAACACCTTGGTGACGGTTGTAAGCGACGATTACATGCTGTCATAGCTAAGCAGTTTTGATCTCAGGTTGAAAGGTTAGGTTGGGTGTCATACAAGCCGTCAGCAGATCCGAGACCTACTTATCCTAAGTCTTGATCTGCAATAACGTCTAATTGTCTGTCTACCCCATCCCTAAGGCTATGAGATCCTATAATTTCAACATTTACGAAAAGTCGACTCTCTTCTTTCTATAAACCTATCCTTCAGAATAATCACAATAACAGCGTACCGTCTGGAAAAATATCCACTATAATGTTCTTCTCTCCACAAAAAACGAAAAAAAACCGGCAGTCAGTCAGTCAGTCAGTCGCCCCCACAAACAAAAAGAACAAAGCTAAAGACGTGAAGTGTCTCTATGACTGGACAAAACTACGTATTGCTGGCTTTGCTGGCAGTCTTTGCCGTACTGCAGCACATGACGGCTGCTGCTGCCGTTGACGGTGTGATTATCGTGCGCGGTAACAAACTCTATAACGCCAATACAGGCGAACGTTTCTTCATTAAAGGGGTGCGTACGTGCGTGCACGTTAGAATGGCTAAAGGATAGAGCAATGTACTAATCAAAACAATCGATGATATGGTAGTATAGAGATCTCATTTATATTGTGTATGTACACTTAATGCTACGGAATAGTTGACATACGAGTACGCAGTGAGCGACGAGTACTATGACAAGTATTCAAAGGCTACTATCGAAGAATGCTTGGCTGGTCTTCAGTACAACACATTGCGTCTATACAATATCAATCCAGAGGCATCTTACAAGAAGTTTATGGCCGACATGGCCAAGCTTGGCGTGTACGTAATGGTTTCAGCCTCGCCTGATAATGATGTCTACTATGGCAAATACCGCTACTCGACTATTACTAAGAAACTAAGTTGCTCGGGCAAAGTATCGTCAGATGGTGGTGCTAAGACTGTGGACCAGACGGAGACTTGCTACCCGGCATTGCTACTTGAGTATGGCAAGAAGATTATTCAAAACTTTGCACAGTACGATAACACTCTTGGTGTTGTCGTAGCCAATGAAATCATGCAGGAGGACCTGACGGCTGCCTCATGTGTAAAGGCTTACGTGGCTGATTTGAAGCGATGGATGGCGGCTAACGGCAAGAAATTGCGCATTTTGCCGCTTGCTTACGCCGCTGCTGACAGTAGTAACAACGAGGTCTCGAACGCTGATGACTATCACGTGATTAAGGTTCAGGGTCTTTTATGTGGAGACAAAATGATAAATGGCATGATGGCAGAGAGTATTGATATCTACTTGATTAACGAGTATCGTTGGTGCGCGGGCTCAACGTTTGCAGAGGCATACGAACGCTACATTAATATGGCGCAGGGTATCCCTATAGTCGTTGCCTTCGGAGAATACGGATGCAAGACTTCTGCCTCGACTTCTCGTGATTGGGGAATGGTTCCTTACTTGTACCAAGAGCCTGCCAAGACTCAGAAGTTTACTGCGGTCTGGTCCGGTGGTTTGGCCTATTCGTTTGGTGAAGCAAAACTTGGCAAAGATTCGCTGTTCCCAATGTTCACAGGTAAATTTGCTTAGTAGGCATAAGTCTGTCATGTTTGTGTGCGTTTGATGATTGATTATTTGTCGTTTCTTTGCAGGTGGAAGCACGGACTTTTTGTCGACGCCTAGTTCGAAGCCCTCGAAGGACTACACTAATTTGAAGGCCCAGTTTGCCAAGTATCTGGGCTACACAGATGATGCAAAATGGACTGATAGCTCTAAGTGTTCGTGGACACCACCGTTGGAAACGAAAACACAGTCCTCGAACAAGGCGGCAACTGAGCACGGCTGGATCGTGAGCAGCTGTTCAGCGAGCTACTTGAAGCTCGCCAGTACAGACTCATGGGTTTGTTCTAGTCGTGAAGGCGTGGTTTGCACGGACGATGGCGATACGTGTGATGTTAGCCTAAGTGGTGCGATTGGTACGACTCAGGAAGACATTTGTGGCACTTATGAAGTCAAGAGTGGTGGTGGTACCTGCGAGACCGCGTCCGATTGCGGTGGTAACGGCCAGTGCAAGGAGTCAGACGGCACAAAGTCATGCAGCTGCTTGCCCTGCTACACTGGCACCGACTGCAGTGTGAAGGACATTAGCTCGTGCGCGACGCTAAGCAACTCCGACTCGGCCCCTCGGACCATTTTCGTTGGTGTGGGTGTATTTCTGGGTGTCATGGCAGTGGTGTTTATTGCTCTGGGTGTTGCAGCGGCGAAAAAGAATGCTGGTACGTGTGATGATGCATTTGTGTCACTACATGTTGTTTCTCTTCTCAATGTCTACCTATTGATGTCTGTTGTCTTATTCATAGAAACGACGAGGCTGGCAAGGCAGATAAAGGCTGGAAACAACGACGAAGCGAGTGCTGGTGCTTTGTAAAGGCAGTAGATGCCGTATGCAAAGAAGAATAAACCCAGGGTGAAGCTTTTGATGGTGTTGTTGACAGTGCAAAATGTTTGGTTTCATTCTAGTATGAATGAGTAGAAAACATTGATCATATACCGGTATGATACCGACTGCTTTCACCGCTTTGATAATAAAAAGGAATAAAGTCTCATTATTCGCTTCCGTGTCAAAAGCTCACGAGCACCATTCGTCTAATTAAACCAAGTAAGAGATTAATTTAACGATATAATGCCACCAAAGGGAAAGAAGACGGAAGAGGTAAAGATCAAGTAAAATCTCTACTTTGTCTTTTGTATCTCGTCCTCTTTGATCGACGCTTTTTCTCTCTCTATATATATAGTCTACTCGCACGTATTTGGGACGTCCTGGTAACAACGTCAAGATTGGTATCGTCGGTGTCCCGAACGTGGGCAAGAGCACGTTTTTCAATTGTTTATCAAAACTTCACATTCCAGCTGAGAACTTTCCATTCTGTACTATTGACCCTAATGATGCCGTCGTACCACTGCCCGACCAGCGTTTTAACTGGCTTGTAGACAAGTATAAGCCCACCAGTGTCGTGCCACCCGTGATCTCCATCACAGACATTGCTGGCCTTGTACGTGGTGCAGCTGATGGTGCGGGTCTAGGTAATGCCTTTTTGTCACATATCCAGGCCGTGGACGCTATTTATCACATGGTGCGTGCCTTTGACTCGACTGAAGTGACCCACGTAGAAGGAAATGTGGACCCCGTTCGTGATATGAAGATTATTCAGGAGGAGCTGCGTCTTAAGGATATTGAACGCGTTAAGAAGGAGTCATTGGGTGTCAAGAAGCTTGCGGAGCGTGGCATTGGTGGCAAGGAGAAGAAGCTCGAGTATGAGGCTTTGTGCAAAATTCAGGAGTGGCTCGAGTCTGGCAAGGACGTTTCTTTTGGCACGTGGACCGCCCATGAGGTTAATATCCTAAATGCTATGCAGTTGTTGACGGCCAAACCAGTTGTCTATCTCATCAACGTGAGCAAGCGTGATTACCTGCGCAAGGGAAACAAATACCTGCCCAAGATAGCTGAATACATTAAGGAACGTGGTGGAAACGAGCCGGTGATTCCTCTCAGTTGCGAGTTTGAACTTGAGCTGCTAGACCTTGAGGATGCTGGCCAGGTTGAGACATACTTTAAGGAAAATCCTACGCACAAGTCGATTCTTAACCGCGTGCTCCGTATGGGATACCAGGCTCTTGGTCTGATCCACTTTTTCACGGCTGGTAAGGACGAGGTGCGGGGGTGGACCATTCGTAAGGGACGAATGGCACCCCAGGCTGCTGGTGTGATTCACACAGATTTTGAAAAGGGCTTCATCATGGCGGAAGTCCAGGCGTTTGCTGATCTGAAAGAGTGTACGTGTAATGAATTGTATATTGGTATGTGGGGTTCAAATAGGCTAACGATTGATGCAACTTCTTCATTCAGTGGGCTCCGAAGAGGCTGTTAAAAAAGCTGGCAAGCTCAAGCAGCAGGGCAAGAAGTACGAGGTGCAGGACGGCGACATTATTTTTTTCAAGTTTAACAACTAGGTGAACTATAGCTGGTCACCTGTGATGATTGGGTTGATTAACCGTGCAAGTTAAGGCACTACCCTTTCACAGATTCATTGTCGGTGTGTTGTTTGTTGTCCTTGCGGGTGCGCTTGATGCCTGCAAATATTCGACTGTGATGCTGAAGAGCCTACAATGAGTTAGCATAGATGCCTTGAACATAAAGGTATACGCGTTATTGCTGGAAGCAGTCGTATTGCTTGTACTGAGCAAACAAATAACGTACTGCGATGAACCGATAGCGATTTGTTGCCTGCATTTGACTTGCTATGCCACCTTTGACTATGTAGATTGAATATCTTTTGACTTCTGTTTGGCATTCGCTTCGTCTTCGTCAAGAAACTTGATGTCGTAGCAATTGCGTTCGGTCGGATCTTTGTATTCAAGTCCCAGCGCAATGAACACGTCCACTTCAGATTCGCAGATGACGCTATCACCAAGCCGCACTGTGGTTCCATTCGCTCGCATCACCCGAGTGAGTGAACGATCCGAGAGACTCCAGCCATTTTTGTTAGCAAAAAGCCGCATACTTCGATTGAAGTGATCACTTCCAGTAAAATATACCATCGCGTAGCCGAAGAAATGTCGAGGGTAAACTTTGATGTCAAGCCGACGATATGGGAGATCCTATCAACATCAGTACATGCACGTTAGCGTACAATAGGATATGATAACGAGGTGACAGCAATCGTGGTGCACCTTGGAGACGCGGCAGACACCCATGTAGGTGTCGCAACCGCCGTGTTTTTGCTTGCGAAAGTGCGTCAGATCATCTACATGCGTTGAAAGAAACCACATAGTCATCAGCTTTGTATTGCATGTGATACCCTGACACATGATCAAGCTCCCTTCCCGGAAATTGCGTTACCAGTCAAAAAATTCGATGCATGGAGACGCTTCAGTAGTTCCGGTAAAATATTGCATGAGTTAGCATCCGGATCGGTGACAAGAATGTCGCAATCACCAGAAGCAAGCCTCCCTCGACGATACGAGCCGCAAGCCAGTGCAATAGCGTTAGGTATCATCTTGTGGACTTCATCCACGACAATTTGTTCTATCTGCTGCACTTCAGCTCTTATAAGCGATGGAACGGCCGACATCAAGCATAATTGTATGAGTTTCTAAGACTGTGACCAAACTTGACAAAGCGACGTACCTGGGAATCCTGGTCATAAAATCTTCGTAATGCTTCACTCCAATCTTTTGCTGTACTGTCAAAATTCCCGTAGCTTCAGGCTTTCTTAAATCTGCTACTGACTTATACCCCATGTTATAAAACTTTGCTGCTGTAACTGGACCAACTCCCCAGATTCGAGCAATTTCAACCAAGGCACGTAGTCGGGAGTTGTTCTTCTTTGCATCAAGCTTAGCCAGTCGACCTGTCTCCAGGATTTCGATAACTTTATCTCGTAGACGGCCGTTTGCCCACTGCATGGCCATAAAATCTTTCACACTGCAAACACGATAGCGCGTAGCTTTCAAGCTAGATACAACTTTCTGCGATAGAAAGCATAGGAGGCGGATTAGCACAAGATATCGCGTAGTGGTTCCCAACCCGTTCTTACTTTGTACATATACTGCCGCCACACATCCTGTTCGACATCGAGATACTCCATCATCTCCTCCAATGGGTCCGTCAAATGAGCATTGAAGTTTTGATGAAACGCTATGCACACAACATATCGACAGCGATCAGTGCGTTTCCATGAAAAGGTGACAAAATTTGACGCAAAACCTACCTGACGACCGTTGGCAAATAAAGCCTTCACCTGTGATCTTTTTGGAACTTGGTGTTGCTCCCTCGTTTATCGGACGAAAGCCTGGGTTGTTCTTGTAAAACACAGGTATTCGTTCCTCAACTAGTCGCTTGTTCTTCTCAAATAATGCAACTTGCTGCATACACAAATCTTGATTGTTAAATGTCACTGAAGATACACGCACACTTTCTTGAGTTTCCGAGTTTCCCGAATTTGAATCTTCGTCACTGTCACTCTCGTCAGTTTTGCCTTTCTGAGCTCGTTTTTCTTCCAGCTGCTTTGCTACTTCAGCACAATGCTGTTCGTGTTTTGCCACTTCGTCTTGAACTTGCTGCTGCTCCGCCCATGTCAGCAACAATCCTGAAGTTGGAAGCTTTTTCTTTTGCAACAAGTACACGAGCCAATCGGGTGTGTAGACCTCAATGTTGGGTGGAGGAAACGTTTCAATGTGCAAGAATTTTGCTGCCTTGTCATGCTTGAGTTGAGCACTCACAATAATTATGTCAACATCTTTCCAATTCACTGTCGTCGCCCCACCTGATCTTGCACCTGTCTTCACTTGCGATTCCACCACACTTCCACCTAATTTGTAAATCATGCCTCGCAAAATTTCCAAACGTTTGCGACCCATATCGGGTCCAAGTGAGATCAAAACGATGCGCTTCCCATCCAGCAACAGCGTCTTAGGATCAGCGGATGCAGATGTTGTTGCAGACCTTAACCTTTTAGATTGACCTTTGGTCTGACAGTCTGCAGGACGTTTGTCATGTTGTAGAGTCCCAAGCTTCTTCAAGTCGCGCATTTCCACTGGCAATTGTTTCCACCTTTTCGTGTGTGCCGCTTTTCTTGAGAAAGTATGGACGTAGAAAAGAAAAAGGATTTTGAAGCTTTGTGCCCCGTCCCGTTTAAACTCTTCCGTTAACGTCTTGATGGCCACAATTTGGTCTACAAAAATGCGCTGCTGCTCCGCAGAGAAATGTTACCATACCGAAAAGTAGCATCACCATAAGGCTATATTGACAATTGATACCTGACAAAATATCGCCAATGACAATCATCCATCATGTAGATCACTGAGGCTTCAAGATCCCGATTAATATGTAAAGCTTCTGTCTGGATATTTATGCTCTTCAACTGCAGTGTCTTCATTCTTGTTGGTGTCAAAACCATCTAATAATATACAAGAGCAGGTACAACCAGACAAAGAAAGTAGAGCACAGCACTTTTACCAGGATAAATTGCTCCAATACCGCTAGAGGCACTTCAGTCGTGAATGACAACAAGTCCAAGTACATAGCCCTTTAGTCATAGCTAGCCGCATAATCACACTTGAATGAACAGGGCATGACCGGTAAGAAGCTCATGGTGCTAATGATATTAACTACAAATGCCAAGCATGTTAATAAACTGAAAGACATGATCCTGCGCCAGATCAATCTTGATCCGTAAAAAAACAAGTCGTACGTGTGGATGCAGAGAAAGCAATCGAGGTTTTGCTAATTCTAGACATAATCATTGACAAAATCCAATTATTAGGAGTGCGAACTCTAAGCTGAATGTGGTCGGCCCCACGGCGACATTGTCGACAGTACCCCAGAATGCCCAAATGGAGGTTGACGCACAAAATGCTAGACACTAGCCACCAAAACTTCCATTTCTACAGTAGACACAAGACTTTCCAATCTATAGTAGAACCAAATAAGCTCTTTCATCAGGCTACTTAATACCGAGACTGTACGATACTTTTTCTTCCAAAACAAGATCTTGTTGAGTAAAACCTTGTTGAACTTGTCGACGTAAGCAAGTCAAGCTTTTACAGTCCAAATTGTATAGCCAGCTGCTTCCAAGCCCTTTTGACGACGACGGAAGAGCTGTAGAAGAGAGGAAAAGCACGGTTAAAGACTTCGATACGAAAGCGCGGCCCCGCCGGCTTTTTTTTTATCTAAAAGTGAGATCTTGCTGTATCCTGCGCTAATCAAACTAAGAATCTTCTAAAACCTTTTAGAACTTCGTGTAACGACATTATAACTAAAGTCCGTCGACCGGAAGGGAGTGTCCGCTATGACAACTTCGCTTCCACTTAATGTATGTATGTGAACGCTTTACGCAAGCCGTCTTGCCACCGAAGTGGCTCAACTTCCGCATGCGTCAGGTTATCTCTCCTTCTCTACATTTCTCTCTACTCTCGCCAGGGTCCATTAAGCGGCGCGCGCTATAAGCGTTGCGCTGAAGGCCGTCCAGACTGCACGATCCTGTGTACATTGGTGAAGGAAGTACAGGCCTGGGGCCAGTTGACGGCGGTGTCCAGCGTGGTTACTTGCTTGATCCCTTGGATGTCTATCTTGTCAACAGGGCCCAGGGAGGGTACTCCGTAAACAAAGAATGACGTAAGCGTACCTAAGCGGAGATGCCAGGACTTCGGGGCTTCCGGCGTGGCGGCGTACAGGCTGGCGGCTGGGGGGAGAGCGGCAAGAGAGAGGTGTGTAAAGGAAGAGGAAACCCGTCCAAACAGACCGATGCCGCGAAGCACCCGTCGGAGGCATGAGCTAGCATCAGCTAGACCAAGCCTTCTGGGAGGACCTGTGTATATAATCCATTCCGACCAGGAACCTATCCCTACTTTATTCGCAATACGAATTCGAATAGCAACATACGGTGTTTCATGTGTTGTGCTTGTGCAACCATCGATATTAATTCCGAGTCGGTATAACGCATTTTAAGGATCTCGAACATCTCTTCGTATGACTATCGTGTCGTCATCGTGCAATAGTATTAGGTATGAGTTCCATAGGATCATACCTGGATGGTCGAGAAGGTGATCTTTACCCTCCTGATTTAGTTGAAGAACCTCAAGGTAAACATATTTCGCTTTGAATCTACGCTCCTTCCATTGATTTAGCAGCTTGCATCGTAATCGTTTGGTAATAAATGATGCTCCGCATTAATAATCGCAAGTGCCACTAAGTGTTCGGATTGCAAGCGGTTTCGCAGCCTTTCCATAAGAAACGAAACTGGATCCTGTTCACTACTAGTCATGAAGGCCAGCCAGGTGTCCAATACGGAGCTATCTAAAGGCTTCTCTGCCCATTCAAGCCCCAATAATCTGTAAACATCTTGTGGCCTCCTGACTGGATCACAACCCTTCCAAGCCTTGAGCAGCGCTTCTTTCAGCCAAATGGCGAACCGTGGAATTGAATCGTGACTTGAACTTTCCTCCAAGATCTTCATTACCACAAAAAGCGCTGCTATAGGCCCATCATGAAGGTCATTTTTCAAAACGTATGAAATTGACTCTTCGGTCTTTTTGGGGTTTTCTTGATAGCTACGAAATACCGCCGCTGCCCACGTTTCAAAATCGCCAAATTGTATAGGCTCTACCGACTTGACCAAGTATTGTCCCGTCAACATATCTTTTGGTCCTAAGTGGTCATACAAAGTGACCATGGTGGTCTGGGGGTCAGCTGGCAAGGGGTCAGGTGGCTTAAAGTACCTTAATTAATTTCACAATCATCCGGACGACTATACCTTTGCCTTCATACCCTGCAAAAAAGGGCTCTCTCCTCGATGCTTGTGCCATTGTGCTCCGTTGGTGACGTGTCTATCGTTCTGACGTGTTGTGGTATGACCTCACTCCCATCGGAATCAGCAGTTTCAAGATGCTGAAAGTTGATGGCCTTCGTAGCCAAACTACGAGATGCTAGTAGTACGACAGCACACAACAATTCAGTCCAATTCATTTTTGGGGAGTAGCGTCGAATCTGGATTGTTCTTTTAAAAAAACGTTCGGCCACTTCTACTGCTTGTAGCTGGTGCAGAAAGAAAATTGTATAATGACAGGTTTAGCAAATTGAAGGTTTCTCAAACTTTTTGTCCTAGTCCTGCCCATCACATCATCTGAGCGATCACTTCTGAGCGGCAACTGTCCAAACCGACTCACCAACATAATAGTAGTACCACTATCAGAATTTCTGGGCGGGATATCCGCGGACCAGGAAACTGACAGCCTAAGAATTTTAATGGCATCAACTCTGCGTGACATATCTGATGCCAAAGAAACAAATTAGACGATCGATGGCAACTACGCCACCTGACAGTGTTGTCTTTGTCCTCTATATACGCTATATCAAGGATAAAAGATTCAAGTGCTGCATGACATCTCATCTGATGCCAAAGAAACAAATTAGAAGATCGATGGCAATTACGCACCTGACAGTGTTGTCTTTGTCCTCTATCTCGAGGATATAAAATTCAAGTGCTGCCTGCCATCTTGTAACGGGGTTACACGAAGGTGTGCATTGTACATACACACCTGCCACACTAATGTGGTGTGGCTGTACCTTGGGTATAAAAGTAGGTGATGTGACCGTACTACCTGAAGTACGAAGGGTCGCATCGTGGCAGAGAGCCACGTGGTCACTATGCTTATTTAAAGTATAGTGACTATGCATGTTTGCATAATAATAACAGGCTATAGAGCCAGTAAATAGTGACTAGCACTAAGTATAGGATAGGTGCTTCTATATTTAGTCTTAGAAGATAAACATAAATATAAATCAGTTTCAAACCTGCTCTATAAGCATCACTGCTTGAGCTTTCTATTCCTTCTAAGGAATCAGTATCTTTGATACTAGTCTCTTTAAGACTAGGTTGTCAATACCGATAGGCACAAGCTTACGAGCTAGTCTAGGAAGGGTTAAGCACCCTAAGACGTAGAAGCTCTCTGAGCTTGTCTTTCTCTGCACATAGTGCAAAAGCAGCTTGGCTGCAGTAGCTCGGCTACAGTCGCCGCATTTTTTTCCGTTAAAAGTCTCGCCGTGAGGTATTTTGATAACTCGCCCATTATCACGAGTATTGCAGTGAATTGAATACCATTGTCTTGACTGGAAACATCAAATCCGCGTACACTACTTGATTCGGTGCAAAAAATTTTACGATCTGTCTTTTTCTAGCGCTGTATGCGACGCCTTTTGCCAATATGACATGCGTCACATCTCGGCTTTTGACGTGCGGGTACAACCCTACCATAGGTATGCCCTTGATCAGCCATAATCTTGAGGTATGATCACACGTGTGCCCCAATCTCTCATTCCAAGGCTTAATTGATGCCTGTCCATCGGCCGATGAGTAGCTAGCCAACCCGAGATTCTCCGCTTGCTTTGTCACCGTGCCAGCATTTCTATCGTATCCAAGTTTTCTTGATGAAGTAAAGCCCCACGTTTCATCGTGGAGCGTGGCTTTCACTAGCGCAGACCCTCGACGTGAGATTACAAACTCCATGTTCGATGTTAAATCAACGGCTAGGCCGTTCTCAATCGTTTTACCAGGCAAAAAAAAACATGATTCGCATCCGGTACGCAAAGTACATTATTCAAAAGAAAGAAATGGTCTTCTCGACCTTCGTACCTATAAGTATTGTACCGATACCCGCCACTGTAAAGTTTGACCTCGCAGAAAATCCGGACAAAACCTACTTGAGAGTCAACAGGAGCACAATCATACTTCACAAAATCCACTTGGACACTTGAAACATGTACGCTTGATCCAGTATCAAAGCAACAATAATTGGTATCCGATGTACGAGCTCACTTTCATGTGGTGACTCGTCTTTCTGGGTACGAGTCTTTCCAGCAACACTTGTCGGCAGTTTCACTGAAGACTCTACCACCACATCGGCCTTATCACTACTACGATCAGTGGCATCGTGTATCATATTTTTATGCGACATGTACTTGCATAATCAACATAGACGTATCCTAGCAAAGATGATCAGATCATCATTTTTAATAGAATACAAAATGTCAATTCATACATAGACAGCATTTTTTATGTGTTTGACATAATATTGGTGCAATAATTACCAGACCTATTGTAAAAGTTCCAAAAATCCGGTGCTGACGTCATGCAGTGCGGCTCTGGTGTAAAAGGTCTGTGTGTGTCTCTATATATAAGTCATTCTTGGTCTTTCTCTTCTGTCGTTAATCTGTTTGTATTCCTCTATGTTTTCCATCTATAGATTCTATATTATTATCTAGTAGACGAGTACCTTCAGGTGGCAACCATTGCGGTCGCAATGGCGGTCTTTTCTCTTCTTCCTCGTCTTCTGCTGAGAATTCTGATGCCTCCGATGAAGATAATGAAAAGTATCAGAGATTGGATGCAATACCTCCATTATTAGGGGCTATGGTACGCAGCCGTTCAGCTAGTTCGCACCCAAATGTGCTTCCGGCGGCCGATTATAAACGTCGCACCATGTTTTCGACGTCTCTAACGACGCTAAGTTCTTCAAATGGTATGGGGGATAATGGAGGACATATGATTGAGAGAAAGGGTCTTTTTGAGAAAGACGATGATACAGGGGACTCGTTGGAAACGCTCCAGGAACGGGTGAAGCTTCGCCAAAGCAAGAAACAGTCAGAGATGAAGGCGCTGCGAGCGCAACTGGAGACGGCACAGCAGCGTGCAAACGATCTTGAGATTCGACTTAGTGAAGCCAATAAGTTGAAGGAGGAGCTATTGATTCGCACGAAAGAGTGCCAACATGTTATTGAAAAACGCAACAAGCAGCTGATAAAGGCGAGTGAAAGGATGGTGCGACATTCTGATCAGTATGAGCTGCGAACGGCTGAGTTGCAGACGCGATTAAAAACTGTAACTGTACAGTGTGATCAGGTGCGCGCTGAGGCCGCTACGATGAAAGAAGATAACATGAGAGAGTGGGAGATGAAGGAGCAGGAGTTTCGAAAGGAGATGGAAATGTGGAGTAAAAAGCATGAGAAGCTCTTACATGCAGCGGAGTCACGATTACGTGAACAACAAGCTGAAAATACCGTACTGGCGAAGAAACTGCGTGAAGTGGAGCAACAGCTTGCGACTGCTGGCAAACAAAAGCCAACTGCCGTGCAAGTGATGGCAAGCGAAGAGTACCAGAGGTTGGTAAAGCGATGCGAGGACACAGAGGCAGTCAGCCGAGGACTTAGATTTCAGCTGGAAAAAGAGCAGCAGGAGAAAGCATGCCTTTTCCAGCAGCTGGCAGCTCTTCAGGAAACGTTAGGTGCTAAAACTGCGGCGTCGACTGTTACTTTTCTAAATGCATCATCACCGGAGCCGATTGACGATACCGATAGCTGTAGGGACACCACCACGACTGTGGTTGCTGAGGCAGATGTTGCAAGTTTTGACATTACGGCAGGAAAAAGCTTGAATGCGTCCAGTCCTGGCGGAACAGAAGTGGTATTTCCGGTTGTAGTTGGTTCTCCCACTTCTGTGGCATCAAGCCCTAGTCGGAGGCGTGTACGTGGATTTTCTGCATCAAGTGTTACTGATGATGCTTGTAAGCCATTGCTAAGGGAAGGGAAACGCCGGACTGTTTCTGCACAAATGATTGAAATAGTTCAAGATCCCCCTGATAAGTCAACAGAAGACAAAGGGGGCAACGGCAAGTCCATTGCTGCATCAGCGACTTTTTTCGAGAAGCTTTCGTCTCGATTCAAGCGAGGGTCGTCTTTAGGAAACAACAGCCTGAACATTTACAAAGCTGAAGATGATGGTACAGATGACACAAAAGTGGCCGATGAAATTGGATTTGCGTCGTCTCTTCCTTTGCGCCAAGGATTTGTCCATAGCAAGGTGTTAAAGGATCGCCCTCGAATGTACGTGGCAAGGTCCCCATCTCACCACGAGGACGAGTCAAGCGATAGCATTTTTGGCAGTGAGTCATCTTTGAGTGACATATCAGACGATGACACGCCACCGCCTCCTCCACCAATCTTCGTGCATGAATCTCCTCCATCTTTTCCCCCTCCAGTTCATATGGAGTCTTCGTCGCAACTATTATTTTTGGACCAAAGCGCCGATGCAGACTTAAGTAGCTCAAGTAGCGATGAATTTGGACGGTATGAGCGGCGCAAGGCAGTTGAGTCACCGATTCGGTTGTCCAAAACTGCACCTACGTTGGAAACACGTGGGCACACAGGGAGCCTGAGCGCATCGCAGACGCCAGGTGGAACATCATTGCCATCATCGTCATCTTCGTCCTCTTCAGACGACGATTTTGACGAGCCAGATATTGAAAGAAGTCAACCTCTTCACGTGGATGTCAAGAAAGTCGAATGCTTGTCGGAATCGTTGTTATCAATGTCCTCTAGCTCGAGCGATGAGGCTAGTGGTGTGTGTCGTGCAAGCAAAATGAAGGCCCAGGGAAAGATTCAGAAAGACAGTCGCTCTGACCAGGACAATCACGGAAAGCGTTCATTACGTTCGTCTACTTTTTTAAAGTCTCGAGAGAATGGTAGGAGCTTAAGTGGTGATATACACAAGACGAGCAAAAGTCGTATGAACGAGTATATGGAGGCCCGTGCAAAAAAGCGAAACGAAAAGGTCAAACGTACCCAACAAAAGGAGCACGAAGAGACTATAAAGCAGGAGGAGTACGAAAAGGAATGGGAAAAGATGGCACAAGAGGAACGTGAGCGGAAGCGCAGGCAACAGCAAGCGCGACGCAACGGAAAGCGGCGGCCTGCAAGCATGAAAACAGTACGAGTATCGCAGATGCGTCAGCAGATGAATAACAAACTGCATCAAAAGGATCAGAAGGAAGCATCGGTGCCCTTGCCATTTCATCCAAACGACCAACCACGGCCTCACGTTGATGATGGCGTGGATGTTGACGGTCGTCATTGTCGCCGAAAAAGCGAGAGCAAGACATCAGAAAGCGAAGCAGAGGAAGAGCATTCACCCGTCTTGCATTCGTCATCTGCTGCGTCGCCACCATTACCTCCCGAGCCGACCACGGCTGACACCGAGCTGTATCTTCGCCAGCAAGCACGGCTGCGTGAACGCCACGAATTGCAGATGAAGCAAAAGGTCGAGGCTGACGAGGCTGATGCTGTCCGTGGAGATATCCATCGGCGAGTAGAGATGTGGGCGTTTGGCAAGACACTTTTGCACATGATTCTTACTTTGGATCAAATTTCCTCGAACGATGCGCTCAAAAAATGTCAATTGATGGTCGTGCAATCTCCTGATGATGATACCTTACGCAAGGCTTATCGGTACGTTCTCGAATTCTTGATTTACCGCGTTTGTGGGATAACAGTCGTCCGTCCTCTTACTCATGTCATTGTTTGTTTCTGCAGGAACATCATTAGAGTCGTTCATCCTGATAAACTGCGTGGCGCTACCATTCCTGAGCAACTGGAGGCCAAGGAGCTTTTTACTGTGCTTAACAAAGCCTTTGAAAAGTTTAAGCATCCGTGATCGTACAATTAAGCTCGTCGTTTTTATATATTGTGAGCCATTGTCTGATTCACTGATTGATTGCCATGAATAGCTTGAGTATCGATCGATCTCCAGACTTACTTGACAACTATAGTTATTCAAATAGCTCGGTATTTGATCGACCAACTTACCGGTATTTGTTTCGAAAGGTGACTGTTAATTGTTCAATACAATTTGATATTTACATTTTGTATTTCTTTAATTACAAAATCACATGGAAATATTACAATAAGTAATAAAGTTACAAGAACAATACGACTTTATGCGAGCAAGCTTACATGTCCATGATGATACTAACGACCGCTGTAGTGATAACAGATCATTGATATCGAAAGTAGCAGATCGATTACGTACAAGTATGGTAGAAACTGCTCGTTTACTAGTGGATTTTGAACGGGAACAAGAGCAGACGGTGGTTCCAGATTTAAAAATGTACGAGAGATGCTGCAAACAATTGATCACTTTCATGGCAAAGCACATGCAAACGTCTCAAGGATTTATACAACAAATGGATCAAGTGATACAAGAGAGTTACAAAAATTCAAGAAGATTGGAATTGGGATTGACACAAGTGGAAGATCTGTGGCTTTATTACGGCAAACACAATGCTCAAGCAAGGACAGCTCCATGGGATACGCAACCTTTAGTTATGCCACAAACTCCATCTAGTGGTCTAGAACCGACGGTAAAAGTGGACAACAGGACTTTGAAGATTGGGATGGATGTGACTTCACTTGTAGTTACAAATTCCAATGACATTGGATTGAGACCAACGTGCTCTCCAAACGTGGATTTATCTGAATCTACCCCTTCTACGGTGCGAAGAGGTGAAAAACGACAGGTCAAAAGAGGTAGATTAATGCCTCGAGCTGGTCACTCCGTTGCACGAAACTTGTACAGTGTAGGAAGCTTAGACTGCACAAATGAAGATGACATGGGGCTAGAATGCGCCAAGGATCTTGGGACTGAAATAGAAACGGGGTCAGAAGTGCTTGTAGAATCCTGTAAAGTTCCATCCGACCAGCATGTAGGAATATTGCATGCGCTTTCTGATCAAGTTGTGTGGCCTTGTGCTGGCGATAACCCATTGGATCGGAATCCTGCGTTCATAGAGCATTTGAAGCTGGCGGTAGCACTGGTCGATGCAAAAAATTGCTCTCCACCGCCGGGGACGAAGTGTATGCAGAGCTGCAAAAGTCTTCGTGATCGAATGTGCCAGAGTCATCGCATCCAAGGCGGTAACGCACGCGTATGTCACGATAAGATGTGCAGTGTATGGCGCAATATTGACACTCATTTGGTACGTTGCCAAAATAGTGACTGCGAGTTTAAGAATAGTGTTGGGTTGCGCCAAGCAATGCACGACATTCTACAGACCGAACTGAAACTCAAAGCGACAAGCGACAAGCTCCTGGTTGCTAAGTCGACCTTAAGCGCAACTGGCGGCATCCAAAACGATCGGCCAGGGACTTCAGCTTCTCATATTGAGAGTGAAATAACGCGACTGGAGGAAAAGTGTACCAAGCTAGAAGACATTGTCCTTTTCCACCAGGACCGACAACGCGCGTTTGAGCTTGACTTGAATGCTCTTCAAATCCCGCCAGCAAAGTGTGAGTCAGAAAATGTACCCAGCTTCCAGAGCCATTACGCGAGGAAGAGATCAAGAGAATAAGTGTGGATGTCGTGATGCGAAACATGTCCCTGAATCGGGTCGAGTTGTGGACAACTTTGATAGTGGCAAAAGAAAACTACTACGGATAATTCGTCAAAGTGTTTGCTATGTTATGGTTTGTTGGCTAATTGATGAAGTTTTTTGCCTCGCAAAGGAACACATTGTTGCTCAATTAGGCTCTGTGAAGTATAGTCACAAAGACGTTCGTTACGAAATCGTTTGAAACTTGGTTTGCTTCATTTTTGGGTCTTCAGCTACAATATCTGAGATGCTGACGTCGACGTCTCTTCCCTTGAGTTGCAAAATACATGGGTAAGCTTGTGAAGCTGACCCGGTGGTAATTTGCGGTTGAAGCGGGAGTGGACAGTAAAGCTCTGCATACCAAATGACGGAGCCCTACAAGTGCTCGATGCCGACAGTGCAAACACCGCTACAGCCAACTGGTGCAGGTGCGGGAACTGCTCCCGACGCTCCATCCAAAAGTCATGCAGTGATACGGCACCAGACTGCAGCAGCTGCCAGTACGCTTGATTGTTTTGTTTTAATTCGGTTACCGTCGTCTTAAGCTTTTCCAGCTGCGTCAGCGTCGTGTCCGCGGAAAGTCCCTCGTGTTCGCAAAACCGAGAAATAAAGCTCTTCACTTCCTGCTTTTTCGTCTCATCAAAAGACTCACCCATATAAAGCGGATCCAGCATGTACGCCACACCATGAGAATCGTCGTAAATAGCGTTCAAGCGTTCAGTCACGCAAGAAGTAATAAGTGCCTTCTCCTTTTTGCTCACCCACTCCTTTAACGAGTAGACCGTCAAGAGCTCGACAAAGCATGGGAATACATGCGACAATGGAGGTCGGTCATCCTGAAAATGCTTTAATTGCTGCTGCAGCGGACGAAGAATCGCCAGCGAATTGACCAGGTCTTGAGCAAATGATTCACTCAGCACAAAGTCCTGCACTCGCCTGAGCTTCTCCTGTTCCGTTGGAGTGCTAGCCTCTACAAAGTCTCGACGCGCTACAATCATATGCAGCGCCTTCTCATGCTTCAGCAAAGCTTCCAACGAAGCACAGATCGAACGAGAGTCTGGAAACTCCAGGGTCTCGCATTCTTCGGCGCCTGGAGCTAACATCTGCAGCTTGTAATTTCCGTGAAACACCTGTGCCATCTCGTTTACAGATATCTGAATCTTTTCTAACCACGGCAGCACACTGGTTACGTCGCTGAGCAGCAGTGTAAGCGCATTGGTTACACAGCCGTAAAAGAAGGCGCACCGCGGATGTTTCTTTTGTATCCTCTTGCGTGTGTACTTGGACAGAGTCGACGTAGTAGGTGTCACAATCCCATAAAATTCCGCCTTCTTCTCCTTACCCAGCACCGCTTCCACTTCGTCAGGCGTCAACTCGTCCCTACCATCCTGAGTCATGGCAGTCTTTGCCTCAAGATAATACGATACACCCTCACATATCACACCATAGGTGATAGCACTAAATCCTTCTGCATTCACCCAATTCTCGACCGTAAGACAGCACTTTTTGCCACTTATGGCCTTGGTTACTTTGCTCCTTGATGCTGTATATTCCAGATCCAGAAGTTCGTTCTCCAGCTCATGCTTTGTAGGAAAAACCACATCATTTCGTAGTACTCTCAGTGCATTTAAGAGCAATTCATTCTCTGCAATGTCAAATGATTGTCCTGTTGCATACAACCAGTAGGCAAATTTACGCTTAAAAGCACCGCTCTTGTTTCCATTGGTATTACTGCCACTAGACGTACTTTTCAGTACCTTTGAGCTTAGCTCAATCCCAACTAGTGTTTGTATCTCTGTAACGTCTTCTTGTCCATTTCTTAATGACTCCATATGATCATGTACACCAGGACACTTACGTTCAAAGTGATTGCGCACTCGCTCCACTTTGGCGACACCGTAACGATGAATGACTACACCACATCGGTTACAAACCACTCGCTTGTCTAGAAAGACGGTTGTATGATTCCATACTGGATCTCGTTTACGACCAGAGACACGTCGTTTCTTCGTAGATCGAGCTTCCGATTCAATTAATACTTTCGTCTCATCTTCTGCAAAACCCGTGCTGGGTGACTGTGGTATACTCGCCATTGGGTTTTCCACCGAGCGGTACAAAAAATCTATTGTGTTTTTATGGTAAAGCACACCTTTTTCGTGTCAAAAAACCAATGGGTTTTCCTATCAGGTCTTTTCTTGGTGAAACTCAAGTGTGACTAGACCGGTTCAATACGGCAATCATAGGACTAAAATACATTAGGAATGAATATTCTGGTATGAACATATCGCCGAGATGTAATATTGTATTGTATACTTCTAGCTGACGGCAGGAAGAATATGAGGGACGACAGATATTGAATCAACAAGAATTGGAAGATAAAGTCCGACTGAGGGCAGATCAGCAAGAGGAATGCGTAGTAACGTCTACAGAGTTGGAGCAGGGTCGGGTGTATCATGAAATGCGTGGGTGAAAATACTGTGCCGATTCATTCGTCACGTGCATGTAAAAGCAGCGACAGGAAGTGTTTGCATGGCATGATACTAACCTTATGATTCTCTCCGATTTACACATGACATGGAGGCTAGTAAGCTCTTAATTTACCATGCAAGACATCAGTATACTTGCTTGTTATACGCACGCTGCATTACTGACACTCGAGTTCGTTGACCCATAGAGTTTAATTACAAAAGGTTGTGGGTTAAATAACATCATCTACGTTGAATATCAGACTTTATTCAAGTAGTTTACTGATAACTCACCAGCAAGTCTACAATCCTCGAATTAGTGACATCAAATAAATGAATACATGCCGCAAACCGCGAGTGGTGCTGGGTGCAAGCGGGAGCGTGGCGACGATTAAAGTGCCAGAGATAGCAGTGCGGCTATCGGAAACTACAGAGGTAAGCGCTGTGTACATTGTATTATCAGTGCGAACATATGAATAATTGATATATGAGATCAGGTGTGCGTGGTGCTCACCAAGTCGGCAGATTTTTTCCTACAACGTGCCAAAGATTACAATGCAATTGCTTGGACTAGATTCATTGCAGCAACCCAATTGCCTGATCATGAGCATGGAAAGATTCGCATTATGCGTGACGAGGATGAGTGGAACGCGTGGAATGTCGTTGGGGACAGCGTGCGTCACATTGAGGTGCAGTGCGCGTGAACAAAAGCCAGTGCGTGGTGACTTTCATTGTTCTAATAACTGGTGACTCTCTTATGTATTGGCTAAGGGCAGCTGAAGGACTGGGCTGATGTGATGCTGCTGTCACCGATGTCGGCGAATACACTTGGCAAACTTGCAAACGGCTTGGCGAATAATCTTCTGGTATGCTGTTGCAATAGTAAGCGAAGATGTGAAAGCATTTTGTTGACGCTGGTAATGTTCTCCTTTGTCAGACTTGCATCGCTCGGGCGTGGATCATGACGAAGCCCTTTATTTTTGCACCTGCGATGAATACAGACATGTGGAACCATCCGCTCACCGCAAAACAACTTCGAGTGCTAAATGAGCTCGGCTACAAATTGATACCACCCGTGGAGAAGAAATTGGCTTGCGGTGTGACGGGTATGAAACATGTTTTTGTCGATATGTATGCTCTATTTCGGCTTATTGTGGCTTTCTTGGTCTGTTTTTATTGTCATACATGGAGGCTTTGGCGGTCTTGCAACTGTTGATAGCATCGTTGGGTTTACACTCAATGAGTTGAGTCACTTCTCTCTTCTTAATTAGATTGAAAAGATAACCAGTCTCAAATACACGTCAGCATGCACTAAAGTGGCGAGTTAGTTTCGATATCTTCCATATTGAGGTGGAAGACCTCGCTGATGGCCTCAATAGCAGCATCCTGTACATCTTTGATTGTTGCATCCGGACAAATTCGCTCCATACTCGTAACTGCGCGGTCGTGAATACCGCAAGGAATGATGCGGTCGAATTCACGCAAATCCGTTTTTACATTAAGTGCAAAGCCGTGCATAGTCACCCAGCGACTAGCATGCGTACCTACGGCACAAATTTTGCGCATATCTCGCTCGTAATGTCTCCTGCAGAGTCCTGTATTATGAGACTTTGATTGTTCTTCGACCCAAACGCCCGTGAGTCCGTCTACACGTTCACCCTGAATGTCAAAATTGGCTAACGTCCGGATGACGACCTCTTCAACTTGACGAAGATACCAGTGCAGATCTTTCTTATGGTGCGTTAAATCCAAGATCGGATACACTACAACTTGACCAGGTCCATGGTACGTCACTTCGCCTCCTCGATCGACTCGCACTAACTTGACACGCTCTTTGTCCGGATCAAATTGGATATTATCCATACTACCACCTCGACCTATTGTATACACACTTGGATGTTCAAGGATTAATACCACATCTTGCTCAATTACTTGACCAGCACGCATGGCCAGCACACGCTTTTGAATAAGCTGTTTCTGCCACTCCCACGCCGTCTCATACTCGACACATCCAAGACGATAGACAGCGCACTTACGCTGCAGCTGCATCTTCTCCGATACTAACATTCGTGTCGTGAAAGAACGAGTGGAAGGAGCTGCAGTAGACAAGTAACGATACTGTCTAGTAGCACTCGCCAATACATTACGGATACTCATTTTTGTAACTTGACTTTAATTTAAAAGATGTCATATTTCTGAATCTATGACAGTTAAGTACGTTTGTACACTTCCGTACTTATGAAAACAGGCATCATTTTCAAAACATGCAACAAGTAGTGGACACCAATGGCAGGAATCAGATTTTGATGCTTGTCCAGCAGCGTGGAACTGCGAAGAAAGCACTTGCTTGTTATATACCTCAAGCAAAAGCTTTGACGCACAATGTTAGTGTAAAAAAATCAACCAGTTTATCCTTGTTATACTTGTTAAATGCTGCTTTAGGACGTCGTCAATCAATGTGGATTCAAGGATTGACGATCGAGAGAGGGTCTAAGCGCCAAAGAACCAGCCAAGGAAGTCGTATTGATGTCGTGTGTGCTGCAAAGATAGCACAAAGCATTGTCAAGGTTTATGCGTCGATGGATGTTGCTAGTGCCAAGTCCGAAGGTCCGTACACAGCGCCGTCTTTTGGCTGATACTTAAATGATGATATTGAATTTTATTTTGGGTATGTGTTCATGCAGAACTAGAAGATCTAGTACTGGCGATGGATTTGGCATGTATGGCACTTTACGTTGTGTGTGTATTGGAGCATATTGTACGTCTTGGAGACCTTGTGATCGACAATCTGCTCTATCAAGTAGCCAAGAAATATGCAGAGATGCCCGAAGTAAGTGACGTGATCGATTATTGACTCGACATATGACAGTTCTGCTGGTGCTGTCTTTGTTCTAAGCTGTCATTGGGTTTTTGTTGCATAGATGCGTGAATCTGCAAGTTGCGTAGCTGCATGTGTCCACGTTCGTTTGTGGGACGAGCATACTAAGCTGTCCAAAGATTGTATTGGCGCGTATACGGAACAGTCAAAGCTGATGGCATGTTTCCAAGATGCGGTTAGCACCGACGTTGCCACTAGAGTTACGAAGAAACTAATACTGCTGGCGGAATTCCCAAGACCGGAACTTTTTCATTCAGCCCATTTCTCGCGCTTGCTTCTTAGTCACACTAACACATGTCTCACATTGTTATTTGCTGTACGAAACCACGAGGTACGGCTTGCGTTGAATACATTGAGTTGTTGCCTTTGGTTGTGCTTACGTAAAATGGGCTATGCTGTAGGCTATGAGGTTAGTAGCTGAAAGCACACTCTCACCATGGATTGACCATTTGAAAATGCTTCCTGGTCATACGAAGCTAGCTTCATCATTTAGTGACCGAGCTTTCCGGGTACTGTGGAAAGCTGCTGCAGCGATGGATAGTGAAGACCGGAACTCGTTTGAAGCAGTCAGTTACGCGCTTTCACTCCGCTCAACAGCATTGATATTTATGCTAAAAAGCTCCAAATATACCCCTATATATTTTATACAGCAGGTGGGTGCAGCAATGCTTATGTTGATCGAGAAATAGCATCGGCTCGACTGCGTTAATGACAAATATGTCTTTGCACTGTGACTCTCTAGGTGCACCGTGTTGGCGTCCAACATGAATGTGCATCCAAAAGATCACAACAAGGGCTCCAAGACATATGTGCGTTTTATGATCGATCAGCTGATGCTCTTTTCCAGACGCTGCCCAGTTCCAAGCAGGTGTACGAAGTACGTTCACCTTGCAGCTCTTATTTCTCTTGCTGGCTAACAACATTACAATCTGGCTGTGTTGTCTGCAGTCTGAGTCGCTTCAATGGGAATATATTCAATGGCTTGAACACTTTGCTGTCGTTTGCGAATCGCTTGAAATGCTCATGAAGAGTGCAATGATTTTGGAAAATGCGATGCGCTACGCTCGTACATTTGGAAGCTTGGGAAAGTCCATTCAGTCTTGTCTCTTGTTTTGTATCACAAGTGTTCTGTTAGGTATATCTAACTCCAAGAAACCACAAGAAAGCCTTTGCTTGCGCGATAGTGCTTTTGACAAAAGGCTGACAGCTGGAGCTGGTAAAACCATACGCGATCTCGTTTGCAGTACTACGCTCGACAAATTGGCTGATCAGTGTGAAAGTTCAGCACGACGGTACCTGAAAAAGTTTGAAATGGTGGTGGCATCTAGTTTTGGATCAACGGGCTGGCAGACTTCCCCTGGGCTCGGAAAGTTTGTGATACGTTGCCTGAAGAGAAGTTCAATTAAAGTGTTCAACTATACTATCAGTATCCAGCAGTGTGCACAATATCAACTGCTTCACCAAATTGTGACAAGGTAAACGATTCCATGCCCGATATAGTGTAATGGTCTGTTTATCTAACATACATCTATTGCAGTTTTGCTGAAATGTGTAAGGCAGTGAAGAAACTACGTTCATCAGCTGAATTGGATATGAAGATGATTGAATCGCTGATTCTAGAAGAATCACGACTTCACCGAATGGCTGTAATACTCTTGGCGCGGCGTTTTGGCGATGCATGTAGCTCGACGCCAACAACGCCTGCTCTACACGCGATTATTTGCCATGTAAATCTACTCCGTGAGCTTCTCGATGATGCAACGATGGGTGAAAAGCCCAATGTGGCGATTTTGCAGGGTATTTTTGGTGATTTAATGTCAATCGGACGAGAGTGTTACAGCTGCGCAATTCGATGCTATAAGATAGAAAATTATCAAGACACGGTTTTAGCATTGACTGGCGCATTTGAGCTTGCAGAAAAATACTTAGAGTACATAATGTGCAGTGACGCCACTGCCGATGATATAAACAGGGCACATGCTCAACTGAAAGTTGATGATATTGCTTCCTTGTTGGCATATTGCTTTCACAAAATGCGAGATGTAACGAGATCGCGTATATTCGCTGGCTATTCGCTTGTATATTGTGGAGACATTCAGCTGAAGAATCCGCAAGCAAATATCGAGAAGTACGTGTCGTGCGTTTTGGACGAGCTTAAACTCCTGAAAGGTGGTACAAAATGCTCCATCGCGTCGTTCAAAGCTTTCTTCGACAACACCACTCACGTTTTTACGTCTCGCCACGTATCCGAGGATCGTCTTGTGATGCTGTGGAGTACGTTTCAATATGCCTTTGAATGCTCGTCTGTTGGACTTATGGGCAGGATACGAGCTGATGATAATGTTGCATCAGCGCATGCAGTTGGGACATCATCTGAATGTGTGGAGCTTTGCGGTGCGCTTCAAAGTTATTTGGATCGTGAATTGATGAAAATGAAGCTTAAGGCGACAGACGGCGCTGTGTTTGGCGATACTTTACTAGATGTATCTCAGTCCCTGGCAAAGCGCAAACTCATCTACTGTTCTTATTATGCCAAACGTGACCTTAGCGTCGCAATGAAGGGACTGCTGTATGTGCACGACTCACTAACTGATGCTGCCGATCGTCTCCAGTCTTTTGTTGGTTCCGTTTCTGTTGATCTTGGTGGAGTTTATGGATGGCGTGGTGTAATTACGATGGAAATTACTCTCATGGCTAGCTACGCTGGCATTGCGAAAGGTGATGTTTGTCGTGGAAACATTCGCATCTGTGAAGGAAGCGCACTTGCAGATATCGAACAATGTTTAAAATACTGGAATGGAGAAGATGTTTCTGGTTTTCTGTTTAATGAAACCTACATGGTATGCTGCTTGAATTCCATCTGCAATACGCTGTCCCTAATTTCATACTCGCCACTGGAAAAATCTGCTAGAAAGTTGTTAAAGAAGCTTCAGGGGTCTGTGAACGTTCAAGGTGCCATTGCACCTCCAGCATTCTGGTTGTTTTGCTCTGGTTTTGAGGACAACGGATTCATTGCAAAATCCGAAGTTGTTGCACCAAATGCAGACATCAACATGCAGCTGTTCGAGCAAGTCGATCAAGAGTTGATTGCTGCTCAGACCTCTTGCTTTGGTTGTGCTAGAGGTAGAACATGTCAACATTTGCTTCGTGCGACTACCGTACTTGGCAATATAAAGCCAATGAGGCAGTGCGAAGTTGCATTGGTTGCGAAGGCTATTGGAATGCGTGAACTTTTTATTCACGCGATACTCTCGGATTTTTACTTTCATGAAGGGCAAAGCAAATGTGCCATTGAAGAAGCCAAAGCTGCGCTGCGGGTCTGTTGGAAAATGGCGAAAAAGTGCACCGTACTGCCGTCATCTGTCAATACTGAGCATTTTAAATTACCTCTTGAAATTTCAACGGCAGAGGGTCACCAGCGTAATCTCACCCATGTGTTGTATTTCATGGCGCTGGAAAGCTCGTCTTGGGACGTGCTGTTTGCTGCAAAGCTCATGCTTTGTCGAATAGCATCTCTCTATAGTTTATGTAATCAACCTCAAAGGTAAGCTTTTCGTGCTATTTGATTGCAATTTAGAAGCATGTGTCCCGATAAAACTCATACATTCTTGTGATTTAGAGCTACAACATGTTTGACGGAGGCAATGCGCCTTGTGGGCGGGTTGAACCTACATCTTTTTTGTCGGAGCCCGTTTTACAAGTATGCAGAATTAGAGCTTAATGCAAACCAGTTGGAGAAGGTGAAAATCGCTATATCGTTACTGTCGCTTTATCAAAAGTTGGACCCTCAGCGAAGTGTTGGTGCTATGGTGTGTGGACGTCATGACTACATTGAATTGAATGTGGCGTTCATTGAGCAAAAATGCAATGAAATTGTGCAGCAAGGTGATGTGCACAATAACCAAGGAAATCACCAAGAAGCTTTGGTATGTTTTGCGGAAGCAGTTAATACTTTGGAAGCTATCAAGGGTAGAGAGCCTACTTTACCTAAGAGTTTGAAGAGAGTCAAAGCTCGATGTTGGCGTAAGTATACACGGCTACAGAGCCAAGTCAGCGATTTTGCTGACACAAAAGCCGTGGAAGCGTTGTTAGTAACGATGAAAAGGCTCAAGCAATCGATGAAGACCTGTGATGTTCATTTGGAACGAGTGAAGTGCTTGCTGGAATTAGGGCGCATTAACCTGAGCTTGCTGCGCTCAGCATCACCTCAAGTATTTACTAGTCTACGTCAAACGCTTGCTTTTCTGGAAGAAGCGTATATGCTCGGAGATCATTTAGGTATCCCTCACTTAAGCCAAGAATTACGGGTAGCATTAGGACTGGCCTATTTTGCAGAAATCGAGGAAAATGCTCGCAGCGATGTTGACTGCACGAAGGACAGCAACAGGTGTCTTCCATGGATGAGTAGTGTGTTGCTGGCTAACCCTGGTAGTGCTAGTATAAAGGAGGCATTCGCTGAGGAAACAAACAGCTCTTCATCGACACGGACAGCTTTAACGATGCAGCTGGAGGCGCTGGCTGCACGTTCAACTGCAAGTCATGAGATGGTGACGCACACACACTTGATAAAAACGGCGGAAAGCATTGCCGAGCAGGTTCGGGAGTTACCAGATAATTGGGCCATCGTCTCTGTTATGATGACTTCGTCGTCTGAGCTTGTTATTACTCGTATATTGGTACGTTCTTTGTGGTTAATGAGTTTACAATAATGCACGCTAACTTTATGATACAATAGACAAACAACCCCACTCCAGTCTCGTTCTGTTTGCCTAAGGCTGCCTGGACTAAGCCCATTCGCGAGATGGATGCGATTATACAAGACTCAAGGTATGCTGCTGTCAATTGAGTTAACTTGCACCGCCTTGACGAGCTGATGTTTGGTATATGGGCATGTTTCTACAAGAGAGGGTTTATCAGGCTACACGGCTGAAGAAGCACGCTTTTGGGACTCGGAACAGAAGAATAGATGGTGGAGTACTCGCAAATTGCTAGACGAGCGGGTTGAGAAAGCATTGGCCTTGATGGAGGTACGAGCAATGTGGATGTGCTGGAAGCTTTTGTCATGCTGTTAACTTTTCATAGTAGAAAACGCTTGGGTTTTGGCGATGCTTGTTTGTTGGAGGAGCAGGGTCACTCAAGACGAACAGAGCTCAACGCTGTTGGGAATTGCTGGTCTCGAGCAAAACTGGCTCTGCCAAACTGGTGGAAAAGAACCAGACTCTGTTGTGTGCTATTGCTAATGCCCAGCAATACTTGTCAGACACTGAAGTGATCGATGCGCTGAATTATATAGCAGCAGAAATTGGGGTGTTTGCATCTGATTCGACAATACAAGAAGCTCTTCATGTGTTGCGAATGAAGCGAGAAGACTTAATGCCAAGTCTATCGAAAGCAGCTGTCTCAAATCTGGCCAAGCTGAGCAGGGAAAAAATTGCCCGGATGAAAATCAGTGAGTTAATGCAACTTCTTGCTGCTGAAGGCCTAAGTGCAGATGGATTGAAGAAGGCAATGGTTGAGCGACTACTCTCTGCCCGCAGCGCTGTCCTCGCCAACGGGCTTGAGTCTTCTGCAAAAATTTCTCACGATGACATTGACACCCATTTTTCTACCATACTGATCTTACATCACGAACTGCAACAATTTCCTTGGGAAGGAATGGATGTAATGCGGTGTTGCAGTGGTATTACACGCATGCCTTCGCTTGATTTGATTCTAGATAACGCTAAGCGTCTATCGTCAGTCCGACGAGACCGAGTGTGTTTTTTGCTGAATCCTGCTGGAGATCTAAAATCGACGCAACGTCAACTGAGTCCGATTGTAGAACGCGGGACGACAAAGTACAACTGGGAAGGTATTGTCGGCAAGATTCCAGACCCTGACGATCTGAGGTACGCTAGTCGTGACGCGCTTATGCTGGTATAATTTCATCGTGTAACTGTTCGTATGTCGTTGCTATGCAGATGCCGTCTAATGGCCGCTGATTTGTTTATTTACTGCGGTCACGGTTCCGGTGAGGTGTACTTGCATCGTGACAAGATCCTTAGTTTACAACCCGATTGTACCGCTGCTTTGTTGTTTGGTTGCAGCAGTGGGCGTCTCGAGCGGGAAGGAATCTTTGGACCGAGCGGTGCCGCGCTGGCTTATTTGCATGCTGGAAGTCCTGCCGTGCTGGCGATGCTCTGGGATGTCACCGACCGCGATATCGACCAGCTGAGTGTCAGGGTTTTGCAGAAATGGCTTTTAACAAACGACGGCGATGCAAATCCTTGTCTATCGCTGGCAGAGATACTGCAAGAATCTCGAAGTGTATGCAAGCTCAAGTATTTGAATGGTCATGCTGCAATCTGCTACGGTCTCCCGCTATACGTAGCAACAAGCTAAGTGACAACCACTTCAACATGGCTGGTCTCAACATGGTGTATACTACACCATCTACAACACGATGGACGCTAGTCATGCCTCATCAACCAATCATCGATTGTCACTGACGTAGTGCCGCGTAACCGCCATTTGTGATACAACGTGGTTTCGTCACGTGCTTCCACCCGATCCTCCCCCGAAACTCTGCAAGTAAAAAGCATGGTACTGTTCTGTACTACGCCACCTGCTCCTTTGCGTATCAATGTGGCAGCAACTCGTCTATTGATCCCGGAATTGACGACGTCTATAGCTGCGCGAGAGCATGTTCGCGCGTTGGCTGCGACCACTTACGGACGCTGTGTGCTTGGACTCGGTTGGCATATTATAATGAAGCATCAATGACGATAGGATGGTCGCGCGCTCTGATTCATAGGTTTATAACTGTTTTGTTGTGGTTTTGGTAGCGGGGTTCCTGACCTTTGTGACTGAGAACATGGCTGCATTCGTTAAGTGCATGGGTGCTGATGTGAGCGCTAATGACCTGAAGATGATGCACGAGGTGAGGAAGAAAGCTGCTGCTGAGCTAGAAGAAAGCTGTTTATCTTATACACAAAGTTTAATGCCGCAGATGCTTCAGCTACTCGCTCAAACGGTGATTGACGAGGACAATGCTACTTTTATTGGTGAGGTCTTGAGAACTGTTCGTTGGCACCTTCAGGCACATAATGTTTATTAACTTGTGTTGCAGCTCGTATCGGAGCTCACCCTTTGCTGATGCGTCTTATGGAGCACGAGAATGAGGATATCCAAGAGGTGAGTGTGGTTGGCAATGACAGTAAGTTATTCTCAATCATAAGCATTAAAACTGATCTGGGGTTCACATGCTTGTATGTAACGTTTACAGGCAGCTGCAGAGGTCGTCGCAAGATGTACAAGTAGCCCGTCTGCTATCACATTTCCTCATCGTGTACGCCAAGTGGCAGAAGTTGAGCGTGTGTGGCCGCGTGCAGTACCACTGCCCTTTGATCCCCGCGACAATGCTCCTACAAATGCAGATGGGAGCCAGAGCACGATAGATGTGCTTATTCGTCAAGTTCCGATTCGCATGACAGGTCAAAGAAAAACGGGCTATCTTTTGTGGGGAGCAGCATTTGTTCTTGCTCGTTGGATTCATAAGCACCGTGATCTGTTCTTTGGTAAAAGCTTGATTGAAGTGGGTAGTGGTCTTGGACTCGGAGGCATCACCGCGGCTCGATATGCGAGTCAAACGACGCTAACAGACTACCAGGCGGACACGTGCACAGCGCTTGAATACAACGTGCAGCTGAATAAACCGTTCACGCACGAACTTGACCCGGCAAAGCCTGAAGTGAAGGTGATGCTTTTGGACTGGGACGTGACTGCAAGTATTGAAGGTGTCCCTAAGGCCCAAATAGTTCTGGGCAGCGACATTATCTGTGAACCCAGCACGGCCGAAGGATTTTTGCGTGTTGTGCGGCACCACTTGCTCTCTGAACCCAATGGCGTGGCCTACCTTATGAATGCCAACAGCCACAGCCGTTTTGGTGTCACCCACTTGCACGCGCTCCTAGCTGCAAGTACTGATCTTTCGTACTGCATAACACCAGTTGACAAACTGCGTGATGGTATCGATTTACTCGAGACAGTCACCGATGCACAGGAACTTTCCTATGAATTGTACGAGATTCATTCAGTCTCTTACTAACATAAACATCAATACATTGTAGAGCCATAGATAAGATAAGTGACGTCGGGTCCATTCATTGCCCCAAAAATTTAGTGAATAGACAAAATGGGTTGATTTTATAATACTTTTCCCAATTGTCGGGTGTGACTTGTCTTTTTTGTATGTTTTTTTTGTATAGAAGAGTGTATCTACTGGTTTATTTATCGATTGGATAATTTCAACTATTATTATTGGTTGACTAAAACAAAAGAGCTTTGTATACAAAAGAAAAGAGAGTTTTCTACCAGCCACTCGCCTTTCGCACATTTATTCATTTGGTCAAGGAATAGGTCATTCTCCTCACTTGATCAAGCCCGCTCTCTCTCTTTCACGTTTGTGTCTTATATATAAATCATGTGTGGGATTATTGCATTAATGCTTGCCAATAAATATGAACATTGTAATCAAGGACTTTATGATGGACTCACTGTCTTACAACATCGTGGTCAAGGTATTAACTTGCGACTCACGCGTCTTTCTCTCTCTCTCATACAGATTTATGCTCACTCTATTATCTATTGACTCTAATATTCTGATCTTATCACTCACTCGCTTTTGTGACATTGCAGATGCTGCTGGTATCATGACGTGTGAGAAAAAGCGATTGTTTCTACGCAAGGACAATGGTCTTGTGCGTGATGTATTCAAACAGAACCATATGCTAAACCTTCGTGGGAACATGGGTATTGGTCATTGTCGATATCCAACGGCTGGTTCAAGCTCAAGCTCAGAAGCTCAGCCATTTTACACCAACTCACCTTATGGTGTATCACTTGCTCATAATGGCAACTTGACCAACTCGCACGAACTTGTGGATCAGCTGGCTAACACCAACTTTCGTCATGTCAATACGGACTCGGACTCGGAACTATTGCTCAATATTTTGGCCGACGAGCTGCTAAAGCGCGTAAATGTATTACTGGATACGGAGATGGTACTAGATGCCGTTACTGGCGTCTTTAAGCGCTGTCGAGGTGGCTACGCGGCTGTTGTGCTTATCAATGGTTTTGGCATTGTTGCCTTTCGTGACCCGCATGGAATTCGTCCACTGGTGTATGGTGCTCGCAAAAATACCCATGGAACCGACTACGTTGTGGCTTCGGAGAGTGTTGCTATTGATACGCTTGAGTTCAAGATGGAACGTGATTTTGCACCTGGCGAGGCAATGGTCATTAAGCAAAGCGGTGCAATGACCACACGCAAGTGTGTGCCTGGTGCCACGCTATCACCGTGTATTTTTGAGCATGTGTATTTCGCCCGTCCCGATTCGTTCATTGACGGTGTGTCAGTGTACCAAGCGCGTCGTAATATGGGTGCTAAGCTCGCCGAGAAGATTTTGCGCGAACGTCCCAACCACGGCATTGACGTGGTGATCCCTATCCCAGACACAAGCCGTACATCGGCGCTTGAGGCTTCTCAGAGCCTGAACATTCCGTACCGCGAGGGATTTGTCAAGAATCGCTACATTGCGCGTACGTTTATTATGCCTGGTCAGGTCGCGCGTAAGAAAACAGTGCGTATGAAATTGAATGCTATTCGCTCCGAGTTCCAAGGCAAGGTTGTGCTGCTTGTGGATGATTCGATTGTTCGTGGCACCACCTCCCGCCAGATTGTGCAGATTGCACGTGAAAACGGCGCCAAGGCTGTGTACTTTGCGTCGGCTGCTCCGGCCATCCGCCACCCTAATGTCTACGGCATTGACATGCCCACGACAGAGGAGCTCATTGCCTTTAACAAAACTGAAGCTCAGGTGGCCAAGGAGATTGGCTGCGAGTGGATGCTCTTTCAGGATCTGAAGGACCTGGAGGACTGCGTGCGGCAGGAAAGCGCGGTACTTGAGAACTTCGACTCATCGTGTTTTAACGGCATTTACATCACGGGTGATGTAAACCAGGCTTACTTTGAGCGGTTGCACGCTGAGCGTTGCGATGCGCGCATGCAGGCAAAAAATATGGGTTTCACTCCGTTCAACCGCACGATATCCACCCCGCAGTCCGATGAGAGCATTGACATGTACAACGCACCTCAGTAAATTGGAAATTGGTTGCCTTGTCTGGGCTGAACGATATGATCAGCTTTACAACAGCGGCCCTCTTAGGTCGTATGGGCTTCATTATAAGGCCTCGAGGAAATGTCACCGACTCGAATGTCTTCCTCATTTTTGCGAATATGGTGAGCGCTCCTTTGTAGATTCTACGTTTAGCATGAGATGGACATGCTTTTCTTACATGATCAAACTAACAAATGTGGCGATATTTTAGATGAGCATGCAAGCGCAGAACGCTCTATTCTTCACAATAAAGAACCAATACACAGTAGACCTTTCATGGTGGAATGCTGCTTGTTGTGTAACATTTCCCTACGCTAGGATTTACGTGTAGAACCAACGGAGAGCTGGTGGCCATCGATCCGTTTTGTTCATTTACTGGAATGCTACGTTGTTCTGGGCAAAATACGACTGTAGTGCCGTCAGTGTCGCGGGCGACGGCAGCTTTGTCCGAGCGTAAGCCAGATGCTAATCAAACACAGATCAAATTAGACGATTAGATACGTGCATACACGTCATGGAGGCAAGCAAGAAAGGACTTACCACACCAGGCTTAGAGGCCGACAGCTTTGCGATGGACTCGGCAAGGTAGCACATTGGCACTGGGTATTCCTGCAAAGGGTCGAGCGAAACCACGGACGCAAAAAATAATTTCGCATAGCCGGCTTCATAACCCGTCTGTTCCAGCTCAAGCAACGACTCATCCTCGTCCTTAACGACGGCACCACTTTGTCCAGCTTCTTCCAATACCTTCACCGCTGTTGCCAACATCTCTGTCCACATGTCCAAGTCAGCGATACAGAGCTCCGTTTCACACATCAGTCGCGTAAGGCCAATAACGCAAGCCTTCCGCTCAGCAGGACCTCGACCACGCGCATTGCACGTCAGCCACACAGACTTAATAAACATGGTCGACATTCCTTTCTGCAGTGATTCCAAAGACGCCAAGAACGTGTCCGGTCCGAGCTTGCCAATAAGCACGGACACGGTGTAAATCAGCTCCTTCGTGTAACTTGCGGAATTGCGACCTGCCATGCGGGTCTGAAGCCGAATCATCATAATCTTCACTATTTCGTCGAGGAAGTTTGCGTAAGCTTCACGCGGCATGAAAGCAAAGAGTCCCCGCAGCAGTGAAAAAGCGTTTGCTTCTGTAGATCGGGACGAAATGAGCTTCTGAAAAACTCCTAGAATTCCTTGTACTGACTGAGCAACATCGTTTGGAGCCTTCCGCATGTACGCCTCAATAAGTTTCACAATGGCGGGCACGTTGCTCACCCGCTCCCACAACGTCGGATTGAGCAGCACAGGGAACATGCTCTTATACGCGTCGGAGACGCCACTTGGTCGAAGTTCCAACATCTGAGCTAGCACCTGGTACACGTAAGGCGACAGCGCCTCAACGTCATTTGTCAGCACCTTCTGGAACGGCGGGAAAAGTAGCTCTTCGAAACGCTCCGTCGCTGCCGGGTTTGTCTTGCATACGTTAAGGATTAGCACAGATAGCGACTCGAAAAGGTAGTGGCTGAAAGACGGATTGCTGGGGTTAGCGCAAATGCGATTCAGAATATTCGTGAGCTTGTTAACTGCTACGTCAGTCAAAGGCAAGATGTCCTCCTTGGCCACGTTCATCACTCGCATGACAACCTTCATCAGGTAATCATTCTCGGGGTAATTAGGCTGTTCAAGGATGTGGAAAACGTGCTCCAACAGCTTGCCCAGATACGGTGCAAGTCGTTCCTTGGAAAATCGTAGCGTGCCAGACCGATCCTTAACTGTAAGAATGCGCTCCAGACAAGCAGCAGCGTATGTGTGCACCACAAACTGCAAAGGGTCCATGCAGTTCATCAGAAGAGGAAAGAGCTGGTCCATAACCTCTACCGGCATCTGACCACGGAAAGTGGAGACAAATTTAATAGCGTCCGCTTTTAATATAAGAGACGCGTGGTTCGGAGTAGACAGCTCAGGAAGTACCTCTGCCATAAAGAAATCCATCAGTGGTACACGGCTGTTCACCTCGGACACACCACGCAGACGAGACTGTTTCATCGCAGAAATAGCAATCACCAAATTGATCGATACATCCTTCATCGCCCAATTACGAACCGGATCAGCCTTGTACTGCTGTAGCTGAGTTTGAATCGTGCTCATGCAGATTTGAGTCACAGCCTCGTCAAAGTTGCCAAGCAAACCTCGCACCAAGTCACGAGCAGCGCTGCGGCGACTGTCGCCATCTGACCCTTCAATGTCGCGACGAATGTAGTCCATGGGGTTGTCCTCAAAAAGCTCTTCGTCCGACGAGCGTAGCTGCAAATTGGTGACCACAATCCCACACAACTCCGTCAGCACTTGAGGAGATTCAAAGAGTGCACGGTGAAACGACCGCGATGCCACCGACGTGAGGAACTTCATGCACTTGGCAGCCAGCTCATCATGTTTTGGAAACAGAGTAATGTGGTTTGCGAGTAGATTCCAAATCACTTCGGTAAACTTTTGCAAATATGGCTTGAACTCTTCGTCGTACTTCTCCGCATACAGATTGATATTTTCCACAATAGCCACCAGTAGTCGATCAATCGGATCAGGTTCGTCTTCATTGTCTCCATCCACTAGTGTCGGGTTCTCGTAGCTAAAATAGGTCAGAAATTCCCCCATCCACTCTGACATGTGGTCTTCAAAATATTCTGGCAGGTCCTGCCAATTAAGTGAGTAGAATATCCGATTCATGTACCTCAATGCCGCAAGCATTTGCACTTGTTGAGGTATTGCAATGCCTGGTGTACGCAATGCAACACCCGTCTCCTTGAAAAACACAAGCAATGGCTCTTGAAACACTTCAAGACAATGTTTAAGCTCACGAAAAAGGTCGTCGGACTTGAACACATTACGAAAGCGTTTAAAAATGGTATTGGCCGTCATGAGCACGCCATTCCGTACTTGCCAATCCTGTTGTGTCTGTAATTTCGACACTAATTGAGCTAATAAATCCATCCATTGGGTAGGAAAATCATACTCTCCAATGGTTGTAAGCGCCTCAATGAGTTGTTTCTGCAGTGTCTCGGGCATACGGCACATGAGTTCAACTAGATGTTGCTTAACAATATTCTTTTCATTTATAAGTAAACATCCTTGTTTCTCTGGGTCCCAATTGTGTTTAATATAGTTTTTAAACAAAAGCGCAGCTGCTAGACGTATATCTTGGTTTTCACTAGAGTTTTCTAGTACCTGAAGTAACAATAACACATACTTGGGTTGAGTTGATAGCGTCGTTAAATACGTCTCGGCATTTTTACGTGTTTCTGCAAATGGAGACAACGTCGCTTCAAGCGACTGCCGTAGCATGGGCATGTTGGGTGGCTCTGCCATTGATCTAATCGAATCGAATCTCTCTCTTTTTGTTTTTTGATTGGATAATGGCAATAAGACTTAAAAACAAAAGCGCCCAATTCTTCGTACTTTACAAAGAATGAGAAAGAACAACATTACACCAAAATGGGTACGTTTTAAGAGTAAATCGTATACATCTATCCATCGTGTATACTTTTTGACACGCGTAGTATACAAATGCTGATCAATCTTATTGTTATTTTTCCAATTGACATGATCAAGAAAGACAAGAAGTGGGTGTCGGACTTATTACAAGTAAAGGACCTTTTTGGAACGAATTACCTCAGTGATGTACTCTTTATCTTCTCATCGGATTCTCTCTATGGTAACAATGATACTGGCTCGAATGTGACGACTCAAGAGAAGAAACATACGAGTTTTATTGCTCGAGAAGATCACCTTCTTCCTGCTCATCGTCTGATTCTATCACTCCGTAGTGGTGCATTTCAATCAGCACTAAAACAAACTAAGAGCAGTCAAGTACCAGGTCAAGTACGTTTTCCACTCAAGATTTACGTGCAGGATACACCGTATCGTGTATTTTACTCGCTCTTGAGATTCCTCTACACAAATGAATTGGAGACTGAGCCAAAAGAGGATAAACAAGACGATTTTTGGCTGCAATTACTCCGTGCTGCGTTTGTATACTTGGTACCGTCACTTGTAGACATTTGTGTCAAGCAGATCATGGCGTTTTTAGTCCCAGAAGAGCATGACATGATGGAGGAGAAAGACGAAAGTGGAGATAATAAGGACGAGGACGAGGAGGAAGATACGAAAGCACAATGTTTGCAGAAGAAAACGATGGATGTATTAGTGTTTATGGATACGGTTTTGTCTACAAATCCATTGACAGCTCGACGAGGAAAAGTCGAGTCAGACTTGACAGCGCTGACTCCGCCGTCGTTGCAGAATCGACGGCAAACATCGGGTGAGAAAGAAACAACTTTACTGGTGCTATCTCAATGCACAAAGGCGATACATGAACTGCAAAATGTGTGCATGCAGCAACTTCAACTGATAGATGAAGTGGCGTTTGGGAAACTTGTACAGAGCGACACTGGCGGACAGTGTTCAACGGAACGGTTGTGTGAGATCCTGCGATTGCGATCAGATACGCCGCTCGTTGTGGCTGTCCGATACCAACTTGGCCGTGTGGTCAATAAGTTGCTGCAACTTGGAGAACCGTTGGATCGAGTTGGAAATAATGAGACTGACATGCCACTTGTTGTAGCACTGCAAACTGGTAACAGCGCAATCATTCGCCGGCTCCTGGTCGACGAAACTGCACCATTTTTTCTCCTGACTGATAAGGTTCCGTTGATTTTTTTGGCAAGTGCAAGTGGCAATGTGCGGCACTGCAAAATCCTGATCGAGCAAAATTCTGCTGATGTAAATTTGATCTCGCAACTAAAACACGGAGACAAGGAGATTACAGCCGAATTTGGATACCAACAAACACCTTTGCATATTGCCAGTCGAAAAGGCCACAGCGCGGTGGTAGAGCTGCTGCTACAGCACAATGCTGCCGCCAATTTGCCTGATGAGGAAGGAAATACTGCGCTACACTATGCGGCAAACATCGAGACTGTTGAAGTCTTACTGAACAGCGCTTTCCGAACAAATGCCAACATTCCAAACCGACGAGGGCGGACACCATTGCACATTGCTGCTGCGCGAGGAGACGTTGCTGTTGTTGCTTATTTAATCCGCCATGGTGCAAAACAAGATATTGTTGATGATCAAGGCCAGAATGCCTTTCATCATGCAGCTGCTCATGGGCACACCGCGGTCACGCTTGTTCTGCTTCACGTAAATGACGGTTCTCAGCCCAAAATGTTAACGTCAAGTACTGATCACACAAATGAAAGCAATGAGACGACGGATGATCCTCAGTCTGACGAATCTCAGCAATTGGTAAAGCAGATTGGCAATGGTCATGCTGGAGGAGACGTTGGAGAGCTCTACGAAGCGAGTGGGTTCAACATTAATCAAGAAGACTTAAAGGGAAACACTGCACTTCACCTTGCTGCAATGTCACCACCGGAACGATGCCAAAAGATGCTGCAGCTTCTATTGGAAAATGGTGCGGATCCCAACAAAGTGAATTGGTTTGGCTACACGCCGCTACATTTATTCTGCTCACACCAGAGCGGGCCAGCCTCCCTCATTGACTCATTTGTAAGTAATGTGTCTAGCTTGATTGGCATTATATTTGATATGCGCATTACCTTTGGTCTGTTGTGACTGTATAGATTGGACACGGTGTAAACATTCACGCGCAGAGTATAGACGGTAGTACAGCATTGCATCTGGCTGTTGGTCGAGGAAGTCAAGACGTTGCCGTTACATTGGTAAGTGCAGGCGCATTTGTGCACTTGCTCGATGCCGCAGGTCGCAGTGTGGTGGATCTTGTAGAAAGCACAAACCAAGGTGTCATGCTTGTGCCAGTGCTGCGTAACCTGTCACATGCACCCGAAGGGATCAGCGACGAGCACACAACGGAGTGTTCATCATGCCACACAACCTTTCGACTTGCAATGCGTAAACACCATTGTCGCCATTGCGGACGTACTTTATGCTACAATTGTTCAAGTCAGAAGATTGCGATTCCCAAGTTTCAAGTGCTTAAACCTGATCGTGTATGTGATACGTGCTTTGATGTATTGTCATTCCGAAAACTGCTCTAGCCCGTAATCAACAAGGTATTTTATTGTCCACATGGCTACATTCATTATTCGTTGTGTTTGACTATTCGTCTCGTCATTGGCTATTATTGTAGCTCAATCGGCTGGTCATTCTTAAGAATAGCTGCTCAACCATAAGGATATCCCACCTGCCTCCTGTTCATTGCTCTCCTGCTCTCTCCCGCCTTCGCTGTCCTTCTTATTTCAATGTCCTCATCCGCTGAGGTATCACTACCAGTGCCTGCGTCGAGCGTAGCTGAAAAATTGTCGCAGAAGCTGAGCAATCGTGACGAGTTTTTTGTCACTGTCAACATCGTCGGCGTCTCTTTGCATTGTGTGGTGAACCCTCAATGGCCGTGTGAAGCGATTCTTCAAGTGGCAACTGAAGCATATCATGCTGCATTTGCTAATAGTGAAGTGCCAGAATGCAATGTAGTTTTTCATCGCACGAAGCAGGAATATCTGGTGGCTGGAACATCAATCAACGAATGTTGTGCTAGAGGCGACGAACTGGAGCTGGGTGTCGCATTTTCTGCTCATAATAGTGGTCGAGTTGATATGAATCCGTCCGATGCTTTTTGTAGCGATAGCACAGTGGATAGCGACGGTGAGATGAGTGAATTTTGTGTGCTTTTTCACAAACTGCCATTGGGGTTTACAATGAAACGTGGCAATGATGGCAGCACCGAAGTAGGAACCATTTACCCTAGAAGTGTGGCGACGCATTTTCCACGATTATCACCCGGCGTGACTATCGTGAACATTGCGGGAACGCCGCTCCAGGATATGGGACTTCGTCAAGTGCACGATCTCATTAAGAACGCCAAGCTTCCGCTGGATATCCACTTTCGGGGTTGCGCGTTGCTGTCATCCTTGTCGTTGTCGCCTGAGTTAATACAAGATACACACATGTCAGCTTTACGACCGTCCGCAGCATCGTCTGCTGCGCCGTTAATTTGTACCAATAAACAGGGAGGGCATCCCAGAGGGCCTGGTGATCGCCTCAGTATGCGGAGCAATGGAAGCAATGGAAGTGGTTGCAGTCGCAACAGTCGTGGTAGTGGACGGGGAAAGAAGAAAGCTGGCAATTTTGTTCAACAACGGAGCATTGACAGCCAGCATAGGAGTAGCGAATCGCACATACAACTGCCTGATACTGACGTGAACAGCCATCACGGGCGAAAAAAAGACGAGGCTAGTCATGCTACTGAAGCTGATCTTATCACGCAACTTGAGAATCTCAAGGTGGCACTACTGCGCAAGCACGAAGAAGCCAAGCAAATTGCGCGTCAGCTTGAATCTTGTTCCGAGAAGCTACTAACTCTCCGTGGTAAATCTGATGGTACTCAAAAGCAGCAGCAGCAAAAGCAGCAATCGAAGCAAAATGGCACGACTTCTTTGCATCGTGCGGCAACAATTTCAGCCCATAGTGGCGGATCCAAGATTCGGCTAACGCCTGAGGTTCTGGAGGCAATAGACCAAACAGCTGGGCTTCCTCGACGTGGCACGGGGGCCTACACTTCATCAAATGCGTCATCTATCTCGAGATATTCAGCACAATCTATGCCTGCAGCTCGTTCTGCGAATGTGCGTGCGCGCAGTGCTCGCGCTGCGACTATCGCAATTGCTGACAACGTGTCAGTATCGTCTTGCACGTCGAATACATCGAACACATCGAGCATATCTGCTCGCCGAAGAGGAAAGCTCTCACCGCGCGGCACCGCGCTTCACAATCTGAACAAACGGTACAACTATATGCCGCAGAAGTATGCAACAAACACAACAAATACTTTTGAGGCTGGGTCCACTTCACTGTCATCCCGTGGAGCCGTAATGCCGCGTGCACGAATGTCGCGTGATTCATTCATTGCCAAGAGCGAGAGTCCAGGTGTTGGTTACTATGACGTGAAGGTAAATGACCGCGTTAAGGGCGGCGAAATTGGCGATTCTGACCGCTCATTGCCTTGGTCTTGACCATGAGTTGAATCTGAATGTAGCGATGTCTAGCCTCTGTCTTTATATATAATCAACTAACAACAGACGATGGCTATTGTTAACTTCGCAACACGGGTGTTGAATTCAATGTAAGACGACGTTGAATAGGTAGTTCTTCGTCTATAGGGCTTTTACTGAACAGGTTCGACACTACATCCAGCCATGATCGCCTTCTTAGTAATCGATGAGTGCTCAAATGCCACTGATGACGCATGAAAGGAACTTACATGTAAGCTTGCGTGCTAGCCTCTCCTGCTGCAAGTGTTGAGCTTGTGTCGAAGCAAGTCCAACCACACAGCAGCGAGAAACCGGCTGCGACATAAATACTTGACTACGCCCTAACAACTACTTGCCCGCACATCTTGACGTCGTCTACACTGGAAGAAATCAAGACGAACATCGAAGAATGAGGGCAACAATCACCGCAGATCAGAACTCAGCCACGCCGGAAGGGGAGTCATCCCGCTCGTAGTTCTTGTTTCGAGGACCGAAGGTCGCTTCAAAGTGTTCCCATACCGCTTTAAAGCATGGTGTCACCTGATTCTCATCGTAGCCAGTAAGCACCGACAACTCGTCTCTCCAAAGCGGAGTGACGTCTAGTGCCTTGCGGGATGCTACCAGAATGGCCGCAGCTACGACTGATGGCCGATACACCTGTAACGCATACTCCTGCAACACAAGGTCCACGAAGAACTCGGCATACTTGCAGTAGTATTCATGTGCTTCGTCAACGAGCTCGGATCCCAGCAATCGGTCGTTGGCAAACAACACAGTCTGGTCCATATAATATTGCAAAAAGTGCAGTGGTGTCACCCCCATTAGTCTCCAACCCAACCTGCGCAACACGCCAAAGTAAGCAATTGTTTAGCATAAGAACGGCATCAAAAACAAGGACGAAAAATGCCCGCGTATAGGCGGAAACTACATCAATGCCATCGAGACGTAGCTCAACAACACGATGCCATGAATGACAAAACACAAAAGTCTTTACGTACTTTTGGAAAATGTCGGCTTCAGTGTCGTTGATCTCGTCAAAGGAATACATTCGATTCCCCATTTCCCAAAACTCAGCCATGGGTGGTAGCTCCTCCTCTGTACCTAAAAACTTGAGCGCGAGTCGTAGACAGCTAAGTGCCAGTAGTTGAAATCGGTCTTTCCGAGGCAGTGGCTCGTCACGAGTTAACAACTTTTCTAAATACCCGACCGCAGCGTGGACGTATTCCTTGCGCATACGCAAATGTGTTTCTCCCACTTCAGCCATCCAATCTACGAGCACACGACGATACTTGAGATAATCATATTGCTTGGAAAAGTCAGGTCGAAGAAGCTCTTGACGCAACATGGCACGGTACACTTGATTAACATCTCGGTCTTCTAATGCCACAAGCTGTAAGAAATGAACGAAATAACAATAGTTTTATTGTGTCATGAAAAATAATATCAATAGATAGAAAAGAGAGGAAGAAGAAGAAGAAGAGAGATAGTGAGTGAGTGTGTTGTTAGTGAGTATACATACATTCTGTTCTTCAAATGAAAGTTCAGCTGTCCAGGGCACATCGGATACAAGAAGATTCAACCCATCACCTGTCTCGGATTCTTGTGTGCTTTTCAGATCATCATCATCCAGTACTTCATTGCAAGCGAGACATTGAGCTTCCCACTCCATGAATGACGTATTGAGTGAGGATAAAGTGTGTATTAATGTGTGTCGAGGACGTATGGGGAAGGAAAGAAAGGATGAAGGAGCCTTTGGATTGAATATTGACTACCACAAAGAATAAGGATAAGATTCAAAGTGTTATGACTCTCAACAATGTTGTTATTGTTATTGTTGTTGTTGGACGATGGCAATGCAATGTACTTACTTTGTGTTATATTTTAGTTGTGTTATGTGAGACTGTCTGTCGTATTTTATTTAAACTGCAAGTAAATTTGCCTTGTTTCTATTAATCTAGTCTTGTTAAGAGAACTCCATAGTATCATTTGAGACTATTGTTGTAGGACAGAAAATAAATGACAAGCAAACAACAACAAAAGTCTGTCAAAAAGTGGTTCAATATTGCGTTATGACTATAGCGTCATTCATCCAATATGTTGTCTCTTTCTCTCTAGTTGGTAATGCAAACAAAGGAAACAACCATATTTTTGACTTGCCGCTAATGTCCGTCATTGCTTGCAACTATCTAAAGTATTCATACAATGACTTTTCACAACGGAACATGCATTATAGTGCTATGGAGAACGACAAATGACCGACATTTTGGGTGCAAATACGTATTTGTCAAACGCAAGCTGGTCACATTTTGGTGTGTGCGCTTAAGGTTTTAGAAACGATTTAGCGCAACAAATTATTTTGACCAATACCCACCGCCTTCGTAGAACCAGTCATTCACAACCGTTTAAGTAATTCGTTGGCAGACTGACTTCTGCCTTTTCAGCTTAAACCGATTCAGTCAGTCACCATGTCCTTCGCCGATCTCAGCAAAACTCAGCGCCATGAATTTGTCGCCTCTCTTGCTGTCTTGGCTCTCTATGATGCTGGAGTTGAAATCACGGCTGATGCTCTGACCAAGACCTTCCAGGCTTCAGGTAACGACGTGCCTGCATACGTGGCACCGCTGTTTGCGGACCTGTTGGGCCGAGGCCTGGACGTTGAGAAGTTCCTTGCTGGTCCTTCGGCTGGTACGTGAACAAGTATAAGAGTTTGCTACACATTAGCTAGAAACTGCAATTCCTAACGTTGTTTTATCATTTCAGGTGCTGCCATTGCTTCTGGTGCTGCCCCGGCTGAAGCCGTTACTGCTAAGGTAGAAGAGAAGGCCGCTGAAGAAGAAGAGGAAGCTGATTTGGGTGGTGGCATGGATATGTTTGGTGGAGACGAGGACTACTAAGTGTCGTCATATATCGTCATCCAGATGTTTGCCGTGTGCATTGGAAGCTAGAGAACGTGGTATTTCCATCTCATCTCTGTTAGTCTATTGCTATTGAGTGTAATGATGAAGCTCCAAGTTTTCTTGTCTTTTGTTGTAAATGCGAATAAACGAAAGTTTGCCATACGAACAATCAAGATGATAGCATCTTTTGCAAACTCGTCATGTCGGTGGCAATGAGATTGCGCATTGATGAATTTCTTCATCGTCACCTACGCTGATCTGCAATAACTTCAAGCGCATGATATCGCGCGACTATGATTTTCGGTATCGCGGCTCCCGACCTCTTTGTACCGAGCAGCGAGTAGGAATTCTTTGCTGTCCAGTTGATCTTACCTTCATCATACAGCAGACAAAAGACATAACAACCATTGTGACCGATGTTGTGTTTACCTATGCAAAGTTGATGAGATCCGCATTACGTTTCACGAATCTATTCCTTGAAAAGACCCATTGCTGCTGAACGAAAGAAAGCTAGTATGCTAAAGCTGACAACAACGCTCTTGAGGAACTTCAGACAGATCTCGACGAGACAGCAACGATCAAAGCTTTATCTCTACAGCTTTATCTCGAAAAATGTTGCGTGGATAGCTCTTCCGTCGCAATGAAACACGTTGAGGTTGTGTGCCGTGTGTAATGTCAAGAGCAACTACTAGCAAAGAGGAGCTGCGCCACTTTTGGAGTAATATCGAGCCACGTCGTGGAGAGATAAAATGTCTGAGCTACATTAAACCGTCTCTCGACACATATTGTCCACATCGTTCGAGTCAATCGACTGTGGTCTTTTCAGCAAACTATCGCTATTGTTATGGTCGCACCCAGCGAACGTACTGTAAGCGCCGCTATGGTCGGTATTACAGCTATTGCAAAGGTACGCTCACAGTACGGTTCTGCTCATTCATAGCGAGTTAAGTACATTTCGTTACGCAGTCCTCATAGTCTATAACCGTTGGATCCTTGAATGCGTACGTGCAAGACCATAGTAAAGAACTGACGGCAGGTGGTAAACAGCTTAAGCATTTATTAGGGAGCATCAACTTCGGACGGTATTCCGAAACGGAACGGCCTAACGGACGCGCTGGGTTCCCATTCGGTAGACGTGATCAACCATCAACCAGGTGCTGACCTACATTCGCCTATTCGCTTAGTCTTTAGAGGGTCCGCAAGTATCACCACCATCCGCAGCAATTAGATGTTTGACAAGCTGCATCCCAAAAATGCTCTTTTATCAGCATGCAATGGCAATGACAACGTGGACATGACTCCAGCGGATACTTTTGCAACATGAAGAAGGCACAATAGGAAAAAATAGCACGCTCTCTCTATCTGCATGCAAAACTTTGATAAAACGAATTAAGAAGCAGCTCGTAGTTAGCCCCTCCAGGACAATGATCATGTGCGTGATGTCCAAACGCTGCTTCACACCATTACACTAAAGACGTCACAGCACGTTCTTCAGTCAAACCTTGACCCAAATAAAGCATGCCTTGATAAGAAACTGAGCTTATATCGAATGGTCTATTTGAGAACGCGACATGCTTGTTGAGTGTTAGAAGGAGAAAATACGCGCGTTACGTCTGGGTCTTGGATATAGATGAATGCTTCCTCAAAATGTGCAAGGCACTCAGCAAACCGGATACAATCATCGCACATGACTCGGTCCACCATAATCACGATTCGTTGCCAGTACAAACACCTCAATTGCGGTAAAATCTTCTTTGCTGTTAGCTTTTCTCGAATGTCCATGAGCTTCTGCTTTTCTGCGTGGCACCAGTAGAAAAAGAAGCTTCGGCTGTTTAGCACCGGTGGAGTTACACTACCGCGCTTATTGCGCTCGACAATGTAGGTGTGTCCAATTTCTTCGATAATGTGACCGACAGACAAGCTCAATCTCTTTTGTGGTAAGAACCCCGGTGCTGTGCCAAAGGCACCGAACCCGCTACAGGTTCGTCCATTAAGAAGTTGCTTTAGTAATGCGACATCCAGCACGTGGGTCTTATTATTGTCCGCAATTGTCTTGACCGTGAAGTCTTTTCGAAGCTCTGCGAAGCTGATAGACGCCTTGGACGATGTCGAAAACTGCGCTGCATTTGGCTGTTGGCCCAAGAAAGCTAGGTACTGCTCTACTTTGATTACCTGATCAGCGTGCGGCAGCTTGAAAAAGGTGGCGGCCTCTGTCTCTGACAAAAAGTCCTTAAAGCTGAAGTAGCGTGGCGGTACAACAACATTTGTGGACGTCGGCGGCGTCATGCAGAGAGGTAAGGTGTAAGAAAAAGAGTGACTCACGACGTGTCGTGACCAGTCGTTCGCATTGATTCTTGTACAATACATCAGAGGTGCTTCTCCACTTGCGATAATGGCCCATGTATCACTGTCGACGTCATTTTGGAGACTACAACCACGAATGTTGTTGATTAGAAACGTCACTGTTGATGCAGTTGATCATAGACAGAGGGTTTGCAGCTACGTCTTTGCCTTATAGCATGCTTTGTTGGTAAATTATTTGGCAAATAGAAAATAATGGGGAAGTTGGTGTAATCTTAGCCGTACGTGAAGGCTCTTACGCATAGTACACACTGATTCAAACTCGTCGTATGCACTGACAGAACGCCTGAAAACATACGTGGTGTTGGTACGTAACACTTTACGGCTGCCACGTGACATGAGCAAGGTTCTGTATACGATACATAGAATTATTCATTCAAACGACAAGATGGGTAATGACTTCTCAGACGTGGTCTTATCATGCAAACAATCGCCAATGGGGAAAGTTTGTCCAAGTGTACCAGGTGCAACAAGCACGATTCGGTCTAGAGAAAGCTCATCCTACACCTGCTGAAAGCAATCTTGGTCAGTAATGTTGTTAGTGCTAGTGTAGTAGTGATCTAAACAATTTTTAGAGCTTCTGCGACTTGACGTGTAATCGCGTTCGAAGGGCTTGATATATCGGTATGTAGAGCAGGGCTTGAAATGAACTCTATAGTGATGCCGCCAGATCCGTCACCTTGATAACGGATGTGATGGCATCGCAGACGGTCGTACACCAGATGGCGTCGTACAAGGCAAGCAATGGATTCGTAGGTAAAACAACACGGTGTAGGGCAGGCATACCACAATAGTATGAGATTCTACTTTAGTGAATCTGAGTCTTTAGGCCATGGTTGAGAAGAGCGTGAGGAGAGGTGTCAAATACGATTGGAATTCCATGCGCTATCGCTGTTCCTTGTATCCACCAAGTAGACAACCGCTTACACAAGATCAGCATATCCACAAACGTAGGCATAAGGAGGGGACGCACGCGCTCGCTCACTTCAGATCAACGGGCTGCGCGTGTGGTCGCTACGATAGACCATGGATTCGTATGATGCCAAGCAGCATCAAACGGACAAACCCGCACCGTGGCCAACAATCTCCAGACCTACTTGAATCCGGCGATGTTCGCTTTACTTGAGGCATGTTCCACGCACTTGTATCAACATAACATTGAACTAGCCAGCCCAGTCTGTCTATTCATCTTTCTCTCTCTCTCTCTTTCTTTTCTTTTCATTAGAATATTTCGCCGTCCATTCACAATAAGAACTTGATTGCAAATCTCCCTCAGTCATTCTACAGCTTCAACATCAAACGCATCTGTTCTTCAATTCTTAATCTACTAAACGCAACGCAATCAGGTAACGCACGCACGAACAAACGATAAGAAAGAGAGCGAAATGACGGGTAAATGTGTTGGTATTGTCCGTGAAGTGTATCATATATGGGAACGTCGTGTACCACTCACCCCCCGCACATGTTAAGGACCTTTTGCAACATGGCGTACAGGTATTAATACAGCCGTCTACTATTCGCATCTTCTCAGACGAACAATACGTTCGTGCTGGAGCAAAACTTGTCGGAAGATCTTGCAGCAGCAAACGTCATTGTAGGCGTCAAACAGGTGCCAGAGTCAGCGCTGCTGGCAGACAAGACGTATCTCTTCTTTAGCCACACTATCAAGGCACAACCCGAGAACATGGCACTATTGAACGCTGTGTTGCACCGTCGTGTTACACTTATTGACTATGAGTGCATTACAGAAGAGAGTGGAAAGCGTTTGATTGCCTTTGGAAACAATGCAGGACGAGCAGGAATGATTACAGGTTTTCGAGGCCTTGGAGAACGCCTCATCAATATGGGCATCTCCTCGCCTTTCGTAAACATTGCATCCACGTACATGTACGCAGACTTGGAGCATGCAAAAGATGCGGTGAAAATTGCAGGAAGGAGGATTCATTTGGAAGGACTGCCGAAAGCATTAGCGCCCATGACCTTTGCTTTTACAGGCAATGGCAATGTTTCAAAGGGTGCACAGGAGATCTTTAAGCTTATGCCTCATGAAATGGTGCACCCGTCAGAGCTATCAGATTTGCCAGCGAATAATCGAGTTCTGTACGGTACAGTCATTGATGACCCAGACTATTTTGTGAAGCCTCAAAATGGAGCTATTGCCACAAATTTGCGCACACACTACTACCAGAATCCGCATCAGTACGAAGCTGTTTTTCATGAGAAAGTGCTGCCGTACACTTCGATGCTGGTGAATTGCATGTACTGGGACGAACGATTTCCACGATTAATCACGCGGGAACAGATCCGGGAGCTTCGAGATAGCGGAAATCAAAAGCTGCTAGGTATTGCTGACATTACGTGTGATATTGGAGGCAGTGTCGAGTTTTTGGAGCGCAACACGGAGATTGAGCGTCCTTTTGCCCTGTACGACGTCGCTAAAGATAAAATGCGCGATGGTGGAAATGATTGCGGACTTGAAGGAGATGGTATCATGATGATGGGAGTCGACATTTTACCGAGCGAGTTGGCACGCGAGTCGAGCCAGCAATTTGGTGACCGCTTGGTGAAATATGTTACCGCGCTGTTGAGTACCTCCTCGTCCAATGTTCCTCTTTATGAACAGACGGATCTACCAGCTGAGTTGCGTCGCGCTTGTGTTGCCAGCAAGGGTGTGCTGGCACCCAAGTACCAATATATACATCGCATGGATGCCGAGCGTAAGCGTAGCAAACAGTACAACTTCTTGGATGCACAACAAGAGGTTGCTGGTAGTACGTATGTCTTGCTCGAAGGACATCTCTTCGATACAGGACTGATCAACCAGGTGCTCAACCTCATCGAGGGCCATGACAGTGGGTTCCACCTTGTGGACTGTAAATTGCGACCAGTCAGTAAAGATAGAGACAGTGATGGCGGCGCAATCTCGAGCGCCATCATTCAGATCAGCATGAATGATCGTGATGCTCTGGATGAGATTATCAAAAAGATTCGCTTACTAGCTGAACTCACTTCGGGAGCGAAGGCTACTGTCACTGAGCTACCTGACTTTTGTGGTACCAATTTCTCAAAATCGCGTGATGGAATAGTGAAGAAGGATGCGATGGGTAGGAACACGACAGCTGATGTCTCGGTCATAAGCTCGCTGGAACGTAAGATTGTATGCTTTGGTGCTGGATTGGTGGCATCGCCGCTTGTGGAGTATTTATCTCGCGATCAGGGATATGAGTTGCATGTGGTCTCGAGTGTTGAGAGCGAAGTAAAGGAAATGATGCGCAACATCACGCGGCAAAACATTAAGCCTCATATAGTCAATGCAATGGAGGATGTTAGCAGTGTTAACAATCTCTGTGCACAAGCCGACTGCGTTGTGTCGTTATTACCGGCAACCATGCACGCAGACATTGCCCAGTACTGTATTAAGCATGCAACACCGCTTGTGACTGCTAGTTATGTGTCACCTGAAATGAAGGAACTGGACGCCAAGGCAAAGAAGGCTGGTATTCCTATTCTCTGTGAAATCGGTCTTGATCCTGGTATAGACCACATGAGCGCAATGAAGGTCATTGATGAAGTGAAGGCGCATTGTGGAAAGATCGTGTCGTTTTCATCTGTGTGTGGAGGATTACCAGCTCCAGAGGCAGCAGACAACGCCATTGGTTACAAGTTTAGCTGGAGTCCGCGAGGCGTGCTAACAGCGGCATTGAATGAAGCTCAATATCGCAAAGATGGTGAAGTCATCACTGTTGCCGGCGAAGAATTGCTCAACAACAGCGAACGCGTAAGGTTTTTGCCGGCATTCAACATCGAGCAGATTCCAAATCGAAACTCACTCCCATACGGGGGAATTTACGGCATTCCAGAGGCACACTCATTGTATCGAGGTACACTTCGCTACGGCGGTTGCTGCCAAATCTTGTACCAGCTTCGAAAGCTGGGGCTCTTTGATATGAATCATTCCAAGCCTCTTCCTGGAACCTGGCCCAAGCTTCTGGCTGAGCTGGGTGGAGTGCAAGGGCTTCGTAAAGACGCCCACGGGTTCCTCAAGTGGCTTGGTGCCTATGACCACACTACACCAATGGTCAAAGCTCCTTCTGTTCTTGATGCGTTCTGTGTCCTGTTGCAAGACAAGTTGTCATACCAGCCCGGTGAACGCGACATGGCCATCATGCACCATGAGTTTGGCATCGAGTATGAAGACGGCAAAAAGGAAAAGCGAACGTCGACGTTCGTGGGCTACGGATCCGAAGAGGGTGACACAATCATGGCCAAAACTGTTGGTTTGAGTGCGGCAATCGGAGTGCAGCTGATTTTGCAGGACGCCGTTCAAGGTCGCGGTGTGCTTACCCCGACGACCCCTGATATCTATCTTCCGGCCCTCGCACGGCTTGAAGTCGAAGGTGTGCGTTTTACCGAAAAGTCATTGCCGCAGCATTAAAATGTGGCATTGAAACAAGGGCTCGTATTTCCCAGCGTATTCCATTCGAGTAGCGTCTAGTTTTTCATTAACAACAGACAGACTACCGTAGATGGTTTTCTCCGTCGAATAACATTCGTTGCTGAGAATCGTCTTGTCCGTATTGGTGCTGCATTCTTCGGAAACTACATAAGAAAACGTAGCAAAGCTCGACCCTGATCCTTTATTGTGCTGAGCTATCGGTACAAAGGAACCGCTCGCAGAAACGATATCAGTAAGCAGACAGCTCACCGTGCAAAGCAACTTTTGCCTGCAGCAATTTACCACTCCTCATCGTCATCCATGACAGCTTCCAAAATTCTCAATTTATGTTACACTATCGATCAGACCGAGCAGCATTCACAACGTGTTCCGGCAAGCTCACAGCCCGACGATAGCGTTTTCACGGGTAGTGGTGGTGTTCGCGCTCTCGGTGTCGTGCTTGACACAGCTATCAGAAGAAAAGCAGAAGACAATACCTGTTACTATGCACAATACTCGAAGCTACTTCCGAAATCAGCATAGTGTGCTAGGACAATCAATACCCACGGCACTTTTCCAGGCTGCGCCAAAAGCAAATGTACGCAAACTTTATACGCGTAAAGCTCGACAGCCAGCTTTGAGACGTTGAAGACTAACAACGCAAAGATAGGAAGAAATGATGTAGCTGGTCATGCAACAATGACTCGGGTATGTTAAGCACAGCTTTGCAGTCAAAAGTGGGGATTACAGCACCCGGTGTCGTAGCTAGCTAGTTTGTCCAGCTGCACAACCTCTTGGGCAAACTGTATAACCCTTGCTTTGGAGTCCACATAAGCCATCTTTTCTCCACGCGTTTAGCCGAGATTAACTCGCGTATATGCAATTTTATTGCAAAGTCAGTCTAAAGTTTCAAGCACGACATTTGTTGTCTGCGAGAGTTGATAAACCTCAGCGCCTTTTGCTCTGCTTTTGCTTTTCCATCGACCTCTGCAGTTTGGTCTTCAAGCCTGTAGCTTTTCCGATCCGACGCAACAACTGCAAGCTCCACCACCGCGAAAATCTGCAAGTTGAATGGCATACTAAGTTCCAGCTCTCGACAAATAAACCGCAATATTCGTACCTGAAAATTGGCAACTTTTCCACTGTCTGATCACCTTCTGATACAGGGTTGCATGCGATTGCTAGGAGTAAGAACTGAAGAAAAAATACAACACCAAAAGTCTTGTTATGAAACAGTCACCAACTTTGACTAGAATAGCGATGCCTACCACCGGGAAGAGTAAAGCAAAGATGCCTTTGCTCACGAAGTTTGGTACAAAAAACGTAGCAAGCGTGAAAGGACTACCAAATCCAGCAAAGTAGGCCCAGTTTTGCTCCAAATGTGCCAACCGACGCTCAAGGCTCCATCCTGCCAAAGACCACTTGTACTCAAAGCAGTAGAGCGAATAGAGCCAGCTCAAATGTACGAAACTCATAGCAGGACCAACTACTGGAATCAGATACGACAGCACAGTCTGCAACAGAAAGAATGCGACAAGAATGGCACGATACATCTCGTCTCTTCACCATTCCCGTTCGATGCATCACATGGCATCGACAAAAACTATAAGAGAACCGTATGTGTGACATACGCAACCACAAAAGCTACATACCGAATCATATCCGTCACGCGACTGGGTGACGGCTTGCCATGAAGCTGCATATATGCTAGAGAACAACGTCATCATGGTTTACTTCAGTTACCTTCACGTTGTGGTTTCAAAAAAAAGACTTGCCGCACCATCATCAGCAATTTCTTGGTACCAAATGGTATTCAGGATGAAGCTAATGCAGTAGATTGGATACATCCACAATACCTGGCAAGCCAAATGACAGCGATCAACAATTATTTTTCTTCCGTACTACACGAGTCATTTCCTCAAACGTGGTATCATACTTGGTACAGTAAGAATACAAAACCATCGACACGATCACGAACGTCATCTACTTGAGTAGTTGTTCTAAAATCAACATCATCACGAGAGTAAATGAACAAACATTGGATGGAAAAAATTAGTCAATAAATACATCTCGCACCCATAGGAAAAGGAACGGTGCAATAGTTCTCCAAACAAATGAATGACAGGAATGACAGCTTGATTGAAGAAATAGATGCTTCCTAGAAAGATTAGACCATTCAGGACAAAACACTATGGCATTGTACATTGAAACACATTGTCAAATAATGAAAAACACAAATTGACTGCCAAGCATTCGACAGTCCTCGAATGAAAAAAAAGCGTTAGGACCTTGGCGCTGGACACACATATAAGGCGTGACTTGAGATAGAAGAGAAGGATACGATGAAGTGATACAGCGTGCTTTGCCCCTGCACAGAACTCGCGAAAACTCGAGCTAAAGGCGTCCGACATGACGTCAGAACGTTTGGGTGATAGCAACTTCCAAATCCTTTGTTGTGATTTGGGAGAACGTGGTGTTTGTAGCCACTTTTCTGGTAGTATACAGTTTATTATACTATCGAAGTCATTTGGCCCACTGACTGATAACGTTTGTAACGCAGTTAGTATACGATAGCTATATGACAGAAGTCCTCATTGAATGAATATTGATGTCCTGGACAGGTTATAAGCAGTCAGTTATTTTTCATACAGTCGTTTTTTTTGAGGTAGCTTGCCGTACTGAGGAATCAACCTTATTGTCCAAGAGACGACGAATGATTCGGGTGGCATGCTTCATGGAAGCTACTGATGTTTATGTGTCACGTCAGTGCTTCATCAACTAATATATATGTGCCATAGAAGATAGACTGAAGGGATAGCTGAATCCTGCCAGCACGTTATCTTTAGACGGCACGTTCGCTTACAAAGCGGAATCCAAGAGATTTAAGGATCGACAACAAGAAATATCGAGACAGTAGCATTTGATACTGAACAAGTTGAACAATTTGTGGACGGGGTAAAGTGCAAGCGCAGGTATCTAGTAGGTCTGGTGACATTCGCAAGTGGTTGCTGCGTTGTTTACAGGCAGCTAATGACGATGTGAATACAGCAATGCGAATGATAAAAATGAGTTGAGGCAAACGCTGCAACAATATATTCAGCAAGTGATCTCACTAACGTGTTATTCATTTACTCTTACATCATCTCTATCAACGGTGCATCGATAGGAAGTAGATCATACATGTTTACAATCAAGTCGCTCTGTTTGCAAGGATTGTTTCTGCTGTTCCCCTGGATTTCAAAACGACGAGCTGTGTTCCGTTCATGATGCATACCAACATCAAGTCTATGAACTCTTTACTACTCTTCATTTGGGATCTCATTCATACCCTCGTCATGAAGTCGCCATCAAGTGTAGTAATCATTTTGATTGAAATCAACACGGACTGCATGCATCTATCTACACACGAATGAAGCCATGTCTTTCCCCGTTCCTTGAATTATTTTGAAGCCATTTAATTTTAACGGGAACAAAAGATGGCAACGAATAAGGTTCGAAAGGTTTGACGGTCGACCAGTCATTTCTGTCCCATTGACTGATTCAGAGCCGCTGACCATTCCCGTCATTGCGTACTCACTCAACCTTTCCCTTAATTGATTGACTGGACCGACCGACCGAGCATCATGGCAGATTTTACCCCGGAACAATTGGAGGCGTGTCTGCTGCAACTTACAAATCCGGACACGAACCAGATCAAGCAGGCGGAGGCGTCGCTCAAGACCTACACAAAGCAGCTTGCGGCGGTTGGCGGCTTGCTCACGCAGCTACAGCACTCAGCTAAGCCCGAAGTGCGCCAACTGGCCGCACTTATGTTACGCAAAAAGATATTCAAGCACTGGACCAAGCTCGACGCTTCTACCCAGGCCCAAGCCAAGCTGGTGCTGCTTAGCCGCGTTGCCGAGGATCCTGAGCACGTTGTGCGTTCCGCTGTGGCTACACTCATCGCTGCACTTGCCTTACACGAGGTACCGGCCGGAAATTGGCCTGAGCTTATGGTATTCATTAACACGTGCGCCAATAGTGCTAACGTGGACCAGCGTGAGATGAGCATGAAGCTGCTGCAACTGCTGGGTGAAGCAATGGGCACGTCGCTTCAGCCACACTTTTATGATCTCAAGCAGTTGTACGTCAAGGCTCTACAAGACCAAGAAAACCTCAAGGTCCGCGTAGGTGCTATGCGCGCCGCCTGCTGCCTTGTGGAGTTCCTTGAGGAAGCCGATCTCCGTCGCTTCCGTGACCTTGTGCCGCTCATGATCAATGTTTTGCAGCAGTGCGTGTCTAGCGGTGCCGAGGTGGAGGCTGTCGAGTTCATGGACGTTTTCTCGGAGATCGCATCGCACCCATTCCCCATATTGGATCAAGCCTTTCCACAATTCATTGAGCTGCTGCTGCAGATTATCCTAGCCGAGCATCTTGAGGTTAGCACTCGTGCGTCAGCCAGCTATGCTATTGGCGAGTTTATTAAGAAAAAACCGAAGACTATTGGCAAGAAAAATCTGGTTGCCACGATCTTTACCACAATGCTGGATATTGTAGCTGCTGATGAGGCTGTCTCGTGTGGACTGATTTCCAATTTGCTGGCGCGTGAAGGCAAGGTTGACGCTGACGGTGAGGATGAAGATGATGAATCTCCTGGACACCTAGCTCAACAGACTCTTGACTCGCTGGCCCTGAGCGTACCCGCTAAATATCTGAATAGTGTAGTCTTTGGCATCTGCAATGAGTACATCACGTCACAGGACGCCCGTAAACGTAAGGCTGGTGTGCTGGCCCTTGGTATTCTTTCTGAGGGATGTTGCGAGTTTATGTGCCAAAATATAAACGAGCTGCTCCCTGCTGTGTACCGCGTCGCACAAGATGCGGATCAGCGCGTTCGTGAGGCTGCGTGCTTTGCACTCGGTCAGTTCGCTGAGTTTCTGCAGCCTACAATCACGGACCACTACACAGATATCCTACCGATAGGTCTGGCTTTGCTGGACGACGCCTCCAAGGTGATCAAAGCTACGGCCTTATACGTGCTTGACGAGATTACTCAGAGCATGGATAGCGACCAGGTTCTACCGTACTTGGACACTCTGATGGCTAAACTGGTGAATGTGCTTCGCATGGGCTCACCTCAGTTGCAGAAGATGGCTCTTGATGCCATTGGGTCGATTGCCATCGGTGCTAAGGATGCTTTCCTGCCCCATTTTGCATCCGTGGCCGAGCTAATCCAGCCGTTCTTGGGTGTCACCGACCCAAAGTTCTTTTTTCTTCGTGGTGCTGCGATCGAGTGTCTTGGCTATCTGGCTACGGCTCTAGGCAAGGAGCCGTTCCGTCCTTATTTTGCGCCTTCGATGCCGTTTGTATTCTCTTCATTCGAGCTAGATGACTCGGAGCTTAAGGAGCAGGCTTTTGTATATTTTATCAATGTGTCAAGCATCTTTAAGGAGGAATTCGCGCCATTTTTGGATCAGGCAGCTACGCACGTGCTGCAGGCCATTGTGAGTGACGAAGGTCTCCGTGTGATGGACGATGACGATGATGTGCTTGAGGGTCTGAACTCTGACGACGAGGAAGATAGTGACGATCACGTGCTGCGCCATATTAGTATCCGTACAGACGCGCTAAACTCTAAGGTTCGTGCTGTGGCGGCTTTGGAGGAGCTTGCGCTCAATTGTGGTGGCCCTGTGTTCGAGCCATACATTCCAAAATTTCTTGAGGCCCTTGCTCCTCTCACCGAGTACATCCACGAGGATGTTCGTGGCGCTGTGGCTGAAGCCCTGGCTGCGCTTGTCATTTGCTCCTTCGAGGCTTCGCATGCCTCGAGCGGTGACGTACAGGTCTGGACGAAGGGTGACTTTAACAAGAATATCTTGACACCTAACAACGCTGTGGTTGTGTCTGCCGTGATGAAGAGCCTCGTGGAGGAGCTCCTCGAGGACCCTGAAGAGGTTGTGGTGGAGAAGGCTTTTAACGCCATTAAGACCATGAGCGCCCGTATTGGCCCCGTCGTTACAATGGATCATATGAATGAACTAATGCGTATCACTAAGACAATCCTTACTCATGAGCACGTCTGCCAGACGACCCACGAGGAGGAGGACGATGAAGAGGAGGAAGGAGGTTCCGTGCTGGAAAGTGCGTCAGAGTTGATTGGCGTACTTGCTAAGTGTTACGGAGAGCACTTCATAGGTGCATTCCAAGAGCTATCTCCGGCCTTGCTCTCGTTTGCCACTGGTCTCCGCGCCGTGGGTGACCGTGCCGCTGCTGTGGGCTGCTTTGCCGAGGTACTCCGCGAGCTCGGCCCCGCCGGTCTGGGCTTTGTAGAGAGCGTGTACCCAGTGGTCCTGCAGGGTCTTGCTTCGGACAACTACGTCTTGAAAGCTAATTGTGCTTTTTGTATGGGCATCCTTGCGGAGCTCAGTGGCGACAAGCTGGCAAGCGCATACGAGCAGATGCTGCAGGCTCTGCGACCGCTATTTGAGACTGTTGGCAACAACGAAGTCGTGATTGATAACGCGTGCGCGGCTGTGGCTCGCATGATCATAGCTGGTGGAGCCAACTTGCCCCTGGAGGCCGTGCTGCCAGTGTTTTTGGACGCTCTTCCCCTAAAGGCTGACATGGACGAGAGCCCTGTGTGTTTCCGATGCCTAAACGGGCTGGTGAGCTCGCAAAATCCCGTGGCGCTCAACCTGATGCCGCAGGTCCTAGACGTGTATGCCAAGGCCCTCGCTCCTTCGTCCAGCGTAGAAGAAGAGATTCAGGTGGAAGTCAAGGTGTGTGTACGCGGCCTACTTCAAGCTTATGAAGCTCAGATGAAAGAGGTCATTGCACGGATGAACTCAGACGCCCAGGCAGCTCTCAGCTCGGCCCTAACTTAAGCCGTGACATTTCTATTGGCTTTGAGATTTTTCATTTTTGATAACATAGTGAGTAGGTTGGAGAATATGTAGAGATTTTCCATTTTCATCGTATTCCACGTATTACGCGCTTCCTGCAATGAAACAGTGTTTGCTTATGTATCTGCTAGCACTATTTCCTTGGCACCAGCTGTACATTGCGCCATATTGGTTATCTCTAGATAATCGCCTACTAGCAAGTGTCAGCGTTTAAGCACCATACTGGACCGACAAGCTCGATATGAAACTACCCGTCGGCCAATCGTCACTGCTACTCAATCTTCAACTAAAGAGTGCTTTCTGCCCGTGCAAACATAACGCCATTGTCAAATAAGAAAAACTCGTAACGTCATTTCGCTAGTAGTCGATTGGCTTCAATACTGCTGGTTGTCAGACAGAAGATGCTACATTAGATAGCAATACACTGGAATGTCAGTCTGGCTATGGTCAGCTGAAAAGAAGACGGCTGTTGAAAGTCTCAAGTGAAGCTGACAAGATTAACTTGCATCACGTCGGTCACGACAGTGAAAATAACAGATGCTCAAAATAGTACTGGCCAGCCTTCAAGCATGTAACCATAGAATGTGAAAATATCAAGGTGTTGATGCGTTTTTTGTAGTGGCTTATGCTTGTCAGCAAGTTCAGTCGTACTGCTAACCTCGTACAAACAATCAGCTTTTCTCACGTTGCCTTCGGCCTTTACTGCCTGCCACCTGACTTGTCCATTCGGTCGTAGGCAAAGCTCATTTCCATTTCAACTCGCACCAGCAACAGCAACCGACAGCAACAGCAACCGACAGCAACATCACATCACATCTCATTGTTTTGCCAGTTACATCAATGAAAATCTCGCAATTGCTTCAAGTGGCAATGACAGCCGTAGCGGCGGACATTGTAATGGCTCAATCTGGCAGCATTGACCAAATAGGAACTGTACGAGCTGCTCAAGAACAGACCGTGTCCGACAATTACCACGCTGCGTTTTCGATTGAAGCGCCTTCCGATCTTTTCAACGCCGTGATACTCTGACCACGTTGGCACCAATCATCAACGTGGCTTCCGACTTGCTGACGCGGCCATTGCCCACGAACAAATGGTGGGGAAACCTTATTCACACCACCCCTAAGGATATCGACACGGTGGCCAACCCGGCATGGTCAAACCCGTACGCAGTCAAGTTGCCCAAAAAAGCACCTTATGGCATTCAGGTTTGCTACTCATACTCATACCGTAGCATGGCCAACGAGGTTGACGGTGTCGTCAAGTATTACTTGCATGGATTCCACAACGACGTCACGCTTTCGGCAACAGAGTTCGTGTCCACCAAACCCGATTACGAAATCTACTCGTTCAGCGATATGGGCGTTAGCGTTCGTACCTGTGTATCGGGTAGTAACAGCTGCATGGACTCGGCTCTCGTCAACGGCATGGCGTTCGTAACGGCTACGTACTCTGGTCTCACCGCGAGCATCAATTCTGAGTACACCATGACCCTGATGGATAGCTCGACACCTGGCAAGTATATTATTCAGCTGCCGCACAAGCAGACGTGGGTGGTATACTCCAGCGACACTAGCGCTTCCTTTTCGATTGACAGCACCGGATCGGCACTGGTGGCTAGTGCGGCTTACACCGGTACGCTTCGTGTGGCAATCCTTCCTGACACCGGCGACCAGAGCGTATACGATGACTACTCATCCTGCATCATCCGTGGAGGCGACTTTTTGATGGAATCGCGCACTACCTACTCGCTGCAGTGGGAAACTGAGGGAGCTGGATGCGAAAGCACGGGGCTTCTTCATTTTGCCCTTCCCCACCAAGTAGAAGTCATGAAGGATGCAACCACTGCCCAGTCAACTGGAGCCATTGTGCTGCACTCGACAACGCGTGGTCAGATGATTGGTCAAGTGACTACATCTTCGAGCTGGACCTTGACGGAGGAAGAAGCGGACGACGAGGTCGACTTTTATCCAGCCAATAAGCCATCACCGGAGCTGATATCGCAGATCAATCTTCTGTCCACCCTGGAGAGTGATATCAACAGCGACTGGAGCTTCAATACCGGTAGCTGGTACTTCAACGGCAAGGCGTATCAGAAATACGCGTCGCTTTGCTTGATGGCCGCTGACAGCTCCATCGTGGGCGATGACAAAACTTTGTTAAGCAGTTGTCTGTTGAAGCTTGAGGAATTGGTCGAACCATTCCTAAACAACACGGTCGGCTCGCCTCTTGTTTACGAAACCGCATATAAGGGAATCGTGACCAGCCAGGTTTTCACTGCCAACGACGTTAATGTCGAATTCGGAAACGGTATTTACAATGACCATCACTACCATTACGGCTACTGGGTAACAGCGTCGGCGATTCTGAAGCAGCTGGATCCATCGTGGTCAGGCATGGCCGAACTTGAGACCATGGTGTGGACAATGCTGCGCGACGTAGCCAACCCGAGCGCTGAAGACACGTACTTCCCCAAGTTTCGCCACTTTTCATGGTATCTGGGTCATTCATACTCGCACGGTGTGACACCTGTGGCAGATGGTAAGGACGAGGAAAGCACATCAGAAGACGTAAACTTTAGCTATGGTATGATGCTATGGGGCAAGGTGACGGGGAACAAGGCTGTTGAAGATCTTGGTAGCATCATGCTACGCCTGAACGCTCGTGCCGTGCGCACCTATTTTCTCATGACGTCAGACAATACGATCCATCCGCCCCAGTTCGTACCCAACCACGTCACGGGGATCTTCTTTGACAACAAGGTGGACTATGCGACATGGTTCAGTGCCGAGAAGTATTGCATCCACGGCATTCAAATGATTCCAGTGTCGCCCATTAATGGTCTTGCCCGCACGAAGACGTTCGTTCAGCAGGAGTGGGACGACATTCTGTCAAAAGAAGCCATTGTTACGAGTGCGGACACCACTAACGCTTGGCTGTCTTTATTGCTTGTGAATGAGGCGGTCATCAACCAAGCCGATGCACTGGCAAAGCTGGCAACGGCTACCATGGACGACGGTCTCTCTCATTCTTGGGCTTTGTACAATGCGGCCTCTCGCGGTGGACCAAGCTTGAGTGTTGACACAACGGCTGCGACGGTGGCGCCAACCACCACTTCCGCTTCTCCGACCGTCATCACCGCGACACCTGAGGCCATTACCGTCACAACAACACCAACAACAGCGGCCACCGTTACGACAGCCAGCCCAGCTATAACCTTCGCAACTCCGACCGCCACCCCTGTTCTCATGACTGCTCCTCCGACCGTCGCTGCGGCTTCCCCTTGTGCACCAAACGCCACTTCTACTGTCCCGTCATGCAGCCGAACCGCCAAACGGAAAAACTCCTCAAAGCATACCGTGGGGTGATTCTAGGATCATTTTGAGCTATAGAAGCGAACGTCTTTGCGTCAATGCCACCATTTTGCTTTTGCAAGCAATGTGCGGTATCAGCATGCCGAGTGAAATTACTTCGAGAGAATTGCGTTTGCTGATAGAGTTGCAGTAGTAATATATATAAAAACATGTCATGAAATCCCAATGTACAATTTCTCGTCAGCAACAACCTGCTGAGCTATACGCGAATTGGTCACTTTCTTTTCAAACCCGTTATTCCGGTTATGGTTGTAGTAATATTCTTTATTGGCATAGAATGGTTCATAGATGGAGACTTCTCCCATATGCCGCACATGTCCAAGTGCAGCAATCTAGACATGTCCCTAGCTGCGCTTGGCGAGGTTGCTACTTGGTTCTATAATCTAATGATGGCTCAGCAGGTTGTTGCTGACGAGAAATTGTACATTGGGATTTCATGACATGTTTTTATATATATTACTACTGCAACTCTATCAGCAAACGCAATTCTCTCGAAGTAATTTCACTCGGCATGCTGATACCGCACATTGCTTGCAAAAGCAAAATGGTGGCATTGACGCAAAGACGTTCGCTTCTATAGCTCAAAATGATCCTAGAATCACCCCACGGTATGCTTTGAGGAGTTTTTCCGTTTGGCGGTTCGGCTGCATGACGGGACAGTAGAAGTGGCGTTTGGTGCACAAGGGGAAGCCGCAGCGACGGTCGGAGGAGCAGTCATGAGAACAGGGGTGGCGGTCGGAGTTGCGAAGGTTATAGCTGGGCTGGCTGTCGTAACGGTGGCCGCTGTTGTTGGTGTTGTTGTGACGGTAATGGCCTCAGGTGTCGCGGTGATGACGGTCGGAGAAGCGGAAGTGGTGGTTGGCGCCACCGTCGCAGCCGTTGTGTCAACACTCAAGCTTGGTCCACCGCGAGAGGCCGCATTGTACAAAGCCCAAGAATGAGAGAGACCGTCGTCCATGGTAGCCGTTGCCAGCTTTGCCAGTGCATCGGCTTGGTTGATGACCGCCTCATTCACAAGCAATAAAGACAGCCAAGCGTTAGTGGTGTCCGCACTCGTAACAATGGCTTCTTTTGACAGAATGTCGTCCCACTCCTGCTGAACGAACGTCTTCGTGCGGGCAAGACCATTAATGGGCGACACTGGAATCATTTGAATGCCGTGGATGCAATACTTCTCGGCACTGAACCATGTCGCATAGTCCACCTTGTTGTCAAAGAAGATCCCCGTGACGTGGTTGGGTACGAACTGGGGCGGATGGATCGTATTGTCTGACGTCATGAGAAAATAGGTGCGCACGGCACGAGCGTTCAGGCGTAGCATGATGCTACCAAGATCTTCAACAGCCTTGTTCCCCGTCACCTTGCCCCATAGCATCATACCATAGCTAAAGTTTACGTCTTCTGATGTGCTTTCCTCGTCCTTACCATCTGCCACAGGTGTCACACCGTGCGAGTATGAATGACCCAGATACCATGAAAAGTGGCGAAACTTGGGGAAGTACGTGTCTTCAGCGCTCGGGTTGGCTACGTCGCGCAGCATTGTCCACACCATGGTCTCAAGTTCGGCCATGCCTGACCACGATGGATCCAGCTGCTTCAGAATCGCCGACGCTGTTACCCAGTAGCCGTAATGGTAGTGATGGTCATTGTAAATACCGTTTCCGAATTCGACATTAACGTCGTTGGCAGTGAAAACCTGGCTGGTCACGATTCCCTTATATGCGGTTTCGTAAACAAGAGGCGAGCCGACCGTGTTGTTTAGGAATGGTTCGACCAATTCCTCAAGCTTCAACAGACAACTGCTTAACAAAGTTTTGTCATCGCCCACGATGGAGCTGTCAGCGGCCATCAAGCAAAGCGACGCGTATTTCTGATACGCCTTGCCGTTGAAGTACCAGCTACCGGTATTGAAGCTCCAGTCGCTGTTGATATCACTCTCGAGGGTGGACAGAAGATTGATCTGCGATATCAGCTCCGGTGATGGCTTATTGGCTGGATAAAAGTCGACCTCGTCGTCCGCTTCTTCCTCCGTCAAGGTCCAGCTCGAAGATGTAGTCACTTGACCAATCATCTGACCACGTGTTGTCGAGTGCAGCACAATGGCTCCAGTTGACTGGGCAGTGGTTGCATCCTTCATGACTTCTACTTGGTGGGGAAGGGCAAAATGAAGAAGCCCCGCGCTTTCGCATCCAGCTCCCTCAGTTTCCCACTGCAGCGAGTAGGTAGTGCGCGATTCCATCAAAAAGTCGCCTCCACGGATGATGCAGGATGAGTAGTCATCGTATACGCTCTGGTCGCCGGTGTCAGGAAGGATTGCCACACGAAGCGTACCGGTGTAAGCCGCACTAGCCACCAGTGCCGATCCGGTGCTGTCAATCGAAAAGGAAGCGCTAGTGTCGCTGGAGTATACCACCCACGTCTGCTTGTTCGGCAGCTGAATAATATACTTGCCAGGTGTCGAGCTATCCATCAGGGTCATGGTGTACTCAGAATTGATGCTCGCGGTGAGACCAGAGTACGTAGCCGTTACGAACGCCATGCCGTTGACGAGAGCCGAGTCCATGCAGCTGTTACTACCCGATACACAGGTACGAACGCTAACGCCCATATCGCTGAACGAGTAGATTTCGTAATCGGGTTTGGTGGACACGAACTCTGTTGCCGAAAGCGTGACGTCGTTGTGGAATCCATGCAAGTAATACTTGACGACACCGTCAACCTCGTTGGCCATGCTACGGTATGAGTATGAGTAGCAAACCTGAATGCCATAAGGTGCTTTTTTGGGCAACTTGACTGCGTACGGGTTTGACCATGCCGGGTTGGCCACCGTGTCGATATCCTTAGGGGTGGTGTGAATAAGGTTTCCCCACCATTTGTTCGTGGGCAATGGCCGCGTCAGCAAGTCGGAAGCCACGTTGATGATTGGTGCCAACGTGGTCAGAGTATCACGGCGTTGAAAAAGATCGGAAGGCGCTTCAATCGAAAACGCAGCGTGGTAATTGTCGGACACGGTCTGTTCTTGAGCAGCTCGTACAGTTCCTATTTGGTCAATGCTGCCAGATTGAGCCATTACAATGTCCGCCGCTACGGCTGTCATTGCCACTTGAAGCAATTGCGAGATTTTCATTGATGTAACTGGCAAAACAATGAGATGTGATGTGATGTTGCTGTCGGTTGCTGTTGCTGTCGGTTGCTGTTGCTGGTGCGAGTTGAAATGGAAATGAGCTTTGCCTACGACCGAATGGACAAGTCAGGTGGCAGGCAGTAAAGGCCGAAGGCAACGTGAGAAAAGCTGATTGTTTGTACGAGGTTAGCAGTACGACTGAACTTGCTGACAAGCATAAGCCACTACAAAAAACGCATCAACACCTTGATATTTTCACATTCTATGGTTACATGCTTGAAGGCTGGCCAGTACTATTTTGAGCATCTGTTATTTTCACTGTCGTGACCGACGTGATGCAAGTTAATCTTGTCAGCTTCACTTGAGACTTTCAACAGCCGTCTTCTTTTCAGCTGACCATAGCCAGACTGACATTCCAGTGTATTGCTATCTAATGTAGCATCTTCTGTCTGACAACCAGCAGTATTGAAGCCAATCGACTACTAGCGAAATGACGTTACGAGTTTTTCTTATTTGACAATGGCGTTATGTTTGCACGGGTAGAAAGCACTCTTTAGTTGAAGATTGAGTAGCAGTGACGATTGGCCGACGGGTAGTTTCATATCGAGCTTGTCGGTCCAGTTTGGCTTCAGAATGTTGCTTTCGTATTAAGACGTTTTAACACTTGAATTTTCTGCGACACCATCGGGCTGCAAGCTTTTTCTAGTTAAAATTGTGCTTTAAAATTTTATTTAAAATCATGTTCGACGAATATAAGTGAAAGAACAATTAATTATCCAGAAATAACGTAATAAAATTATGGTAATAATTTACGTTAATATGGCAATAGTATTGTTATTGTGATTGGATGACTCTGTTTTGACTCGACTTATGGCAAGCGAACGACCGGCACTTCAGCACACGGGAAATAAGCGGCTACGAACTTCATCCTCTGACGACTGCGATGGCGGTATCCATGCTTCAAAATTGTTTTCTACAGGTGCTTTGACCCCTATAGAAAAGCTGCAGCGTGCGTGCCAGGAGCTTCAGCTTTCAAGTCTCCCGCGTGTGATGACTGGGCGTGAGGACGAGCGAAATGAGATATATACGGCGCTGCGTTCGTCCATTGAGCAGCAGAGTGCAGGTAGTACTATCTACATCAGTGGACTTCCAGGTGCAGGCAAGACGTCGATTGTTAAGGAGGTCATTCGTACGCTGGAGTTACAGCGCGATGCCGGTGATCTGCACAACTTTGCGTGGGTGGAGGTGAACGGTCTGCAGATGCCTCGTCCTGATGTGGCTTATAGTGTACTCTGGAACGCTTTGAAGTCATTTGAGTGCAAAATAGATCACAAGCTGGAGCCATCACGCACAAGTATAAGCGCTGCACGCTTATGTGAGATTTTGGAGCGTGAGTTCCACACCCAAAGCTCTGCACGCCCTATGCTCTTGGTACTGCTCGACGAGATGGACTTTATGCTTGCTGGAAAGAACAGCGTATTGTACAATCTGCTAGAGTGGCAAACCTCTGCTACGGCCAAACTCGTGCTGATTGGCATTGGCAACACAATGGACTTGCCGGAGCGACTACCTACTAAAATTCGCAGTCGACTGGGTGGTCATCGCATCGCTTTTCCGGCGTACACAAAGGCTCAGCTCGAGAACATCATTTATCAGCGTCTTCGTCAGCTGGACATCTTCAGTGACGAGGCGATCCAGATCTGTGCCAAGTCACTTGCACACCAGTCAGGGGACGTGCGTCAGGCACTATCGCTTTGCCGCAAGTCGGCAGAAGTGTGCTTACACCGGCTGACGTCGTTAAACCGTGACGGGGCATCCAAAGCCGGAGGTGAGCAATTTGTGACGGCTGAAGACTTACACGATGCTCAAGAGGCAGTATCGGTGTCGGCTCCCATGAGCCGCCTGCGCGCATGCAGTAAGTTTGAATGCACGTTCTTGGTTGCACTTCGTATGGAAGTACGTACGAATTCAGCTCGCGGTGTGAACAAGAGTGGTGCAGAGCTAGAAGCCGTGATCGATCGTTTTGCGATTTTGTGCAAGACGCACTCGTTTGTGCCGATTCCGCGACTGCGTGGACTGCTATTTATTTGTAACGAGTTAGAGCGGTCGGGGGGTGATCAAGCAGATTCCAACACGTACATCGCGTTACCCACTGTTGGAACTGCGATGTTCACATCAGGAGTTGCAGGATGTCTTCCTTACGCACCCAATTGGTATGCAGCTAATTACCTAAACTTGTAATACACGATCTAGCAATGGGAATATCTAACAAAGCAGTCATTGTCTACACCGTCAAGGCGCAATGGACACGAGAGTCTTTCATACCAATCCATTCGACAAGTAGGAAGATTAGCATACAACGTCGGTTTACATACATTGAAATAGCTACAAAGAGACTACTGATCAATCAATCAGTTAAAGCAATAAAACTTGTTTATTACATACAAATTAAACTAAAAATGACTTGCCTCTTCACGATACAATTAATGTGTTTCTTTGAGGAATGAGTGGTGTGCATTGATTGACACCAGATCAAGAGTCGAGAGTGAACTCCCCTTGCAAGCATAAAGGTTCGCTAGTAAGCTGATGACGGGTGTAATCTTGTTGATCAGGCTGCAAACATCGATGCCATGCAACAAACTTATCCTCCAAAACCGTATAGAGTACGTCCCTGGCGCTTTAGAGCGTACACAACGTCCATGGCCGTCACAGTTTTACGACGAGCATGCTCCGTATAGGTAACAGAGTCACGGATAACATTCTCGAGAAATACCTTCAATACACCGCGTGTTTCTTCATAAATGAGTCCGGAAATACGTTTTACACCACCACGACGTGCAAGACGACGAATAGCAGGCTTGGTAATGCCCTGGATGTTGTCACGAAGTACTTTACGATGACGCTTTGCACCACCTTTGCCCAATCCTTTACCGCCTTTACCACGTCCAGACATTATTTAATTGAAGGCGTTTTTTTCACAAAATATCAAGAAAAGTTAGTGATCCAAAGTGGAATTTGAAAAGTGACAATTCCAATGCGATTGCATTTTGTTCACATTTACGAGAAGTTACTAAAGTTTAAGCTAGAAGATACCTAGCCCCGTTGACTACAACGATTATCCTTGTGGGTATATTTTCCGTGCATTGATTGGTCAGATTAGCATCCGATTACTAAAATCACTTGTGATTGGCGGAGAATCGGCACAAGAACACCGCTGACTGGTTCTCAGTCGCTGACAGAAGGCGCGAAAAGTTACGTTAGTGCCGCTGTCCACGATGTTCATTCTTCAATTTTCCCTCAAGTTCATAGCACGATAGAAAAGAATTAGTAGTACTAATGGCTCGTACAAAACAAACAGCTCGTAAATCGACCGGTGGCAAAGCCCCACGCAAGCAGCTTGCTACCAAGGCTGCCCGTAAGTCAGCACCTGCCACTGGTGGCGTGAAGAAACCACACCGTTACCGTCCGGGTACAGTTGCTCTTCGTGAAATTCGTCGGTACCAAAAGTCGACCGAGCTTTTGATCCGTAAGCTTCCTTTCCAGCGTTTGGTGCGTGAAATTGCTCAAGATTTCAAGACGGATCTGCGTTTCCAAGGCTCGGCTGTGCTAGCGCTACAGGAGGCCGCTGAGGCTTACCTTGTGGGTCTATTTGAAGACACGAACCTTTGTGCTATCCACGCAAAGCGTGTCACTATCATGCCCAAGGACATTCAGTTGGCTCGTCGTATCCGTGGCGAACGCTCGTAAGTGGGTGGTATGCATTGATGAGCTCTTGCTCTTGATTCGATGTGCTTCAGTCCATGCGCATGTATTCGTCAGCTATCAATTTGATTGAAGTTGAGCTGACACTTTTCATTCTGGTGTTTTTTAACACCACCCGTTGTAAAAGAAGTATTATTGTTAGTTTAGGACGAGGTTTGGTTCTAAAAGAATATAAACAAGACCCTGGTGTTGGTCGAAGAAAGAGTGGAAGGTTTGTTGTGGTAGAATATTGAAGAAGGTGGGATAAAGATGAACGATTGATTATCAGACTAAGGTATAAAGCAAGTGTGTGGCGAGTAGTCATAAAGACTCAATCCTCAAGAAATGGTTACATTACTCTGATATGCATCTTAATCTCTCCTTGATTCATGAAGTGGTCGGATATCGGTTTTATCATCTATAGCTTTAATGCTGATTAATAATAGCGTAACACTTCAGATCCATGAGCTGCATGATAGTGTGTCAATTGCAAAATCAATGCTCTTACATTTCAGACTTGATATCCTTTTCACGTCGAAGGAAACAAGGACATGCATGTATCACATATCGACTGATTGCTATCCTTACACATGTACAAAAGCGCATACGTTACAAATAGAATATAGCTAGACGATTGACAAATATCTGCTGTGGTCTCAAGTATTACCACATGGTGTCATGTTGGTCATTTCTATCGTTACTCTTCCAAAATTACGAACTTCTTACTAGAGACTACTAATCACTCTACAAATAGCTTGCAATGGACCAGATATAAGTCCAAAATCCTGAATACTTCTACTTCTTCTTATCATGCAGCTTATCATGTCACCATTGCAAAGCAGCAGCACGACTCATACCGACATTTCTTGTGAAGGGGTGGTGTTGAAAAACACCAGTGAATAATAATATCGATCTACTACCGTCGCTCACACAGCGTATGACCAATTCTTGTCATCAATAGCAGATGCTTCTAAGCCGACGTAAACTTGGTCACAGCCTTTGTGCCTTCCGATACGGCGTGCTTTGCCAATTCACCTGGAAGCATAAGACGCACAGCTGTCTGGATCTCTCGGCTAGACAGTGTCGATTTTTTGTTATAACGCGAGAGTTTGCCAGCCTCTGACGCAATACGCTCAAAGATATCATTGATGAACGAGTTCATGATTGACATACCGCGCTTACTAATACCCGTATCAGGGTGAACCTGACGCAGCACCTTGTAAATGTAAGTCGAATACGACTCAATACGTTTCTTGCCACGGCCTTTACCCGTTTTTGCAACAGTCTTTGCAGCTTTCTTCGATGGAGTTTTTGCCATGGTACAGATAATGTAGGAAGAGAGAACGAGAGAGATGAAGATCAACTGCTTGAACTGATCAAGTGAAATCTGAAAATGACATTCTCCTCCTGCATCTCGTCCGTATTTTCCCGCGAAATTTTAAGCAACGATAGGTGTGTGTAAATGTTCGTATCTTTTTCATATCGGCTCGGTTAATGAAAGCTAATTGGTGGAATATAATCGCCTTATCCTTCATTGGTAAAAACAGAGCGCACAAAAAAAAAAGCGTCAATATTTTGTGTATAACACATACTCGATCCTAGATTAGGCATTGGACTGACCATCTGGTTTGTCTCGAGCCACGCGGCTAATATTCAAGTACGAAACCATTAAGCTCAGTTAAGGAAGCGATTGAGCGAATCAGGATGAAATTAGGATCAAGTCAGGACACGTCTAGTACTGGGGGTGACTTTGGCCGTAGTGGATCGAATATGACGATCTCTTCTGTTATGGCTGATATCAAGGAGAAGTTTAAGACGGATGAAGAAGACCAAGGTACGAGAGGAAAAAGAAGATCGTGTGTCGAGGACTGGAAACGAGCGAGATTTTTGTCTTCTTCAAATCTGCTCTTATCACTGTGACTAATTTATAATGTATATGCTGTCTTTCTTGTATCATTTTAATGTGCACACTACTGGCTAAAGTGTCGCCATTCCAGGGCCTGGACAAGGCGACGGTGCTGCAGGAGACCAAGATCTTTTCGGATGCGAATATGGTGACACGCCACCCGAAGAAATGTTGTCAGCTGATTACAAAACTACTCCATATTCTCACACAGGGAGAGCCATTTACAAGTGCTGAGACGACCGCTGTCTTCTTTGGTGTCACAAAACTTTTTCAATCAAAAGATGCCAATTTACGTCGTATGATGTATCTGTTTATTAAAGAAGTAGCAGACGCTACTGCTGCCGATGAGGTATAATGACACACATCCGCTATAATTCTTGCTACTTTGAAGAGTTACAGGAGGCTGACATACTGATGGTTTTTCGTGTGATGGTGGATAATCAGGTGATCATTGTGACCCAGAGTCTGACCAAGGATATGAGCTCCGATGTAGATCTCTACCGTGCTAACGCTATCCGAGTTCTCTGTCGGATTATTGATGTACGTATACGAGCTGCATGGATCGTCCCGTTTGTTACAGCAATTGATTTATTGTGGAGTGTGTATGGGTGGGAAATAGGGCTCTATGTTGAACGCTATTGAGCGCTATATTAAGCAGGCGATTGTAGACCGCAATGCTCTCGTTGCTAGCTCAGCGCTGGTTGCTGGTATCCATTTGATCGAACGAAACCCGGAAATTGTGCGTCGCTGGGTCAACGAAGTACAGGAGGCCGTTAACTCCACGCATGATATGGTCCAATACCACGGCGTTTTGCTCCTTTATCAGATCCGGCAGCACGATAAGCTCGCAGTGTCGAAGTTCATCACACAACTCCAGAAAACCAATTTGCACTCCAGCCTTGCAACATGCTTGTTAATCCGTTACACAGCGGCGCTTCTACGTGAGAATGTTAGCGGTCAGGACGCAACACCATTGTACGGGTTCTTGCAAAAGATGCTTCGGCAAAAGAATGAGGTACGAACGCAAGGACCAAGAAACGGCAAAAGCATACTGCTGCTCAACCGCATCTGCTATATTTGGCTGGAGATCTAACTCTTGTAATGCTGTCGTTATCGGCGTTGTAGATGGTCATATATGAGGCTGCTAAGGCACTGTGCACCCTGCCTGTCGATGCGCGTGACCTAACGCAAGCAATTGTCGTGCTACAGTTGTTTTTGGGATCGTCAAAGCCTACGCTTCGCTTTGCTGCTGTGCGGACACTTAGCCAGGTTGCACTGACGCAGCCATTGCTCGTGACACGCTGCAATGAGGACATGGAAGCACTTATTTCGGACTCTAACAGATCCATTGCTACTTTGGCGATCACTACTCTCTTGAAGACTGGTAGGTGTTCACTTAAAGTAGTCGGTCGACAACAAGTTGCATCCAACAGGCTGCGCATGTATATGCTAGTTGTCGACATGCATGGAATTGCAATTTCTTGTTAATTTGCTCACTAAACTGTCGTGGTTTGTTGTAAACTAAATGCAACAGGTGCTGAATCGAGCGTGGATCGTCTAATGAAGCAAATTTCGACATTCATGGGCGACATTGCTGACGAGTTCAAGATCGTAGTGGTCGAGGCCATTAAAAACCTTTGCTTAAAATACCCTCAGAAACATCGCGTGTTGCTGAACTTCTTGGCTAACTTTCTCCGCGAGGAGGGTGGATATGAGTTCAAGAAGACGATAACAGACGCTATTCTGTTCTTGATTGACCGCATCCAAGAGTGTAAGGAGACTGCTCTTCTTCATTTGTGTGAGTTTATCGAGGACTGTGAATTTACGCAGCTATCTACCAAGATTTTGCGCGTCCTGGGGCAGAAAGGTCCAACCACGTCAGCACCGGCGCGGTATATTCGTTTCATCCGTAACCGTGTCATTCTTGAGAATGCCCCCGTGCGCGCTTCAGCAGTTTCAGCCCTAGCTCAGTTTGCAGTTCGTGTGGGATCGCTCCGGTCCAGTGTGTCGTCTCTTCTCCAGTGCTGCAAACTTGATGATGATGACGAAGTTCGCGACCGCGCCACAATGTATCTTGCTGTCCTGGAAGGCAATGAGGTGACCAGTCGCGCTCTTCTGGTTGAGGACTTTCCATTGAGCGTTGCAGCGCTTCAGAAATCGATTGATCAGTACGAGCTGCGCCCCATGGATGGCCCGCTTACCTTTGAAACCCTGCCACATGTCGAAGTCGTCGAAAATGTTAGCGATGCAAATACAGTTGACAATGAAGCTGATGATGTAACGATCCAAGCTAATGCTACACCTGAACCTCAGGACGTTGCAAAGGAATTGTACACGGTACGTCATCTGTTAAGATGTCGACATTTGCTGAGCAGAACTTATAAGTTTTATTCTGCTTGGCTGTTGTAGATTCCCGAGTTTGCCGAGCTAGGTGCGCTTTTCCGTTCATCCAAGCGGGTGGAACTGACGGAAGCCGAAACTGAATACGTCGTCACTTGCACAAAGCACGTGTTTTCCCAGCACATTGTACTGCAGGTATGTTCATGTCGATATATTGTTATGGGTTTGCATCTGACGCATTCTTTGTATCGCATGACAGTTTAAGGTGACCAACACGGTGAGCGACCAGCTTCTCACGAATGTGAGCGTCGGCTTCGTTATGGAGCCGGAAGATGTGTGGCAGGTACAGTCGGTTGTTCCTCTGGACAAGCTGGCATACGGAAAGACAGGCTCGTGCTATGTTTGCTTACAATACAGTGGAGATGGTGTTTACCCTATCGTCCAACTTGCCAATGTTGAGGTAAGTCTGCCTGTGGATCGTGCTAAATTGCTTTCGCGGTACTTGTGCTCACTTTACATTCGTTTGCGCTGATTAGTTGAAGTTTAAAGTACATGAGGTGAACCCATCGTCTGGCGATGTTGAAGACGATGGTTTTGATGAGGAATATCCGATGGAGGAAATCGAAATCAGCGCGTCGGACCTGATGGCAAAAATCTCTGTGAACGATTTCCGCTCGGCCTGGGAGCACGTTGGCGACGGTGCGGAGGTAAAAGGAAGTTATGGTTTGAAGTACAAAAGTCTTGTAGAGGGCGTGGCAGCTGTCATCGAGAATCTTGGCATGCAGCCTTGCGAAAACACGGCTGTGCCACAGCCTAAGGCGAAGGCACACATTCTTCTGCTATCAGGCGTGTTTGTTGGGGGCGTCAAGGCGTTGGTGAAGTCGAGAATATCATTGGATGAACAAAGTGGCAGCATGATTTTGCAGGTGCGTTCCAAATTTGTGAAATAGTGGATCAGTTATGTGTTCTGACAACCTGTCTTGCATTTGCAGATAGCAGTGCGTTCGGAGGCGGAAGAAATCAGTCAAACCATCATGGACTGCATTAGGTAAGACGCCTGTTTATCGTTGGCGGATTTCAGCAGCTGTGTCCATCAGACAAGTGAATTACAACGTGATACAGCTTATGGAGAGGAACATTTGCGGGCATGCGTTGTGACGAGAGAAGCAGGAGTAACAGGAGTAGCAGCAAGATTAGCGAGTCTATGTAGTTGCTTACTATCACAATACTTCATCTCAACAAAGTGAACATTGTGGTTGATCTACGCTTTGATTGCATTCATTACAATTGCCGGGCAACATCCAGGAGGCCCTCAGACCACAGACGGAGGAGCATTCCATGTAGTGCTGTCACATTGCTGGTAGCTCCTGCCAGTTCGTCAATTGATGCACCATGGGTAGTGGAAGACGACGCGTACAGCTTCATGAGGGCGGGTGCTAGCTCGCCTGGGAACACAATGCTCTTTGGTTGGGGAGGTAACTGCCCAAAAGCTGCACTCAAATCGCCTTCGTCATCGTCGCTCAAGTTGTCGCCATCATCCTTCAACGCTGCCATTTTCTGCATCCTCGCCAGCGTCGCCGCTGTCGTCGTCTTCAACGTCCTCCTTGCTTTCCCCGTCCCCGCCATCGCATGTGCATAAGCCCATGTGATGTCGCCTGCAGTTGTGCTGCGAAAAGTAGACCGCAACAAAAGCCTCTTTCATCTCATCTTCACCCATCGACAAGCGAATATGCGAGCGGTTCTTAAAACGAATGGTGACGTTGTCATCAAGTGGGCTAGGACTGGATTCGTCGTCCTTCGTCTCGCCAGGCGGTGGGAGACGGTTGGCTAGCATGTCCAGTGCTGCCATATCAGAAGCCTCCTGCAAGTCTTTGTCTCCTACATGCGCCACAAGCTGGCCCAGTAGTTTCCTAAAAGTTGCTGTAAATTCCTTTGCCTTTGCAGAATCCGGTGGGAACTGCGTTCCCATGTAGCCCAGGTACCGCAGAGGGAGTCCCTTGCGAAATGCAACGTTTGAATCAAAGGCTTGACGGATGACGCGAGGCAGCGCTACCTCCATGAAGTTAGCCCACGTGTTGTGTTGGTATACAGAGATCGTCACATGCGTAGAAAACTGTTCCTGGTCTGTACACGCCTGATGAACAACACCACGCGGAAAGTACAGTAAATCACCTTCCTCTACCGTCAATTCCATCCATGGTTCACCAAGCTGATCAACTGCAAGATCTGTGCTATGTTCACCCGCAAGTTCCACTGATGGATGATAAAGCTTCCACTTCTTACGTCCTTGTGTTTGCAGAACAAACGCTTCAATATCATCGTAATGCGGTGCCAGTGCCTGCGAGTTCGCAGGTGTTAAGTACGCGCTGGCACCAGCCAGGCCACCAAAAACCTCTTCAAAAGCTGCATTGAGTTCGTAAAGTCCATCGACATAGCGTTGCGGTTGATAAAACTGGCAGCTATATCCTTTATCCAAAAGATTCGCCACTTGTCGACTCGTTGCGTGTCCATTCGAGTCGTCACCATGAAAGTCTTGTCGTTTCGACTGAATGTATCGACAGACGGTCAAATCTGTACCAAACCTCATGCTACGCGACTCCTTCTCCATAATCTTGATCAGTTTCTTGCGTGAAAAGAGATCACTAGTAAACAACACGCCCTTGTCCACTTTACGCACATGTAAAGGCTTTTTTTCAAAATATTGCGATTCAAACGTATCCAGTGACATGCCACCCAAGAGCTTTATTAGTGTGCTCTCAGCCCACTGATGACTTCCTTTTTACAATCAGTTGCTGCAGATGCATTAGCTACAGTTGATTCAATAGTCTTCTCTAGTTCTTTCTTCTGTTTCTTACTACAAGCAGCTACAGTGACGTCCGTATTGCGCTTACCACGACGTGAGCTTGTCTTGGTTCGACTCATGGTTTTGATGTGGGGTAAATGTGGTGTACATCACATCGTACCACATGAAGTTAGTGTATCCGAAACTAGGTCCTGTTCCCAATCATTTCGCAGAGAGTTACTTGGTAATTTTATGGTAGATAAGAGCCAAGAGGTCAAAGAACAAGCCCAGGAATCCAGTGGTGTTGTATTAGCTGACAAGAGTATTGTAAGGTTTGTATAGTGTATTCAATTTCATGTGTATTGTATGTCTAGTATCATTTATTGTACTAAAGAATAAGATTATTTCCTGTTGACAATTCGATAGAAATAGGACACTTAAGAACAAAGAAACAATCATGAAGATGGAAGAGATTGACAATGATACAGAGATGGAGCTTATACGTATGAAGATTGTCAAAGCTCGGGCAAGATTAGGCACGTCATTCATGGAGATTCCAACTGGTCGCGAGTACGATTCATTGGCTGACGTAGTGTTGGACAAAGTAGTGCACAACGCACTGGAAAAGACGTCCAAGACGACGTTATTGATGCATCCATTAGTTGAGACACTTGTGCATAAAGGAAAATGTATAGTCCAAGACGAGAACAAGTTGGGGAACGTTTATATGCACTTTATTGTTGGCTAGATGCTGCAGCTTTATTTGGACATGGAGGTAATTTACTGATTGGTGTGATTGTTGATATGCTGCAGAAATGAAGATTGTGGCAACGTTGTTTGCTCAGGAGTTATGGACAATGTATTAGTTGCTAAGGTTGTTCATCACTGGTCTAGTGCTGTTGTCGTGGGATAGTATACTAATGTTTGTGTATATTCTTGTCTTATGTGTTAGAGTGAAAACAAAGAGAAGGACGCTTCGTGAGTCAACGGTTTCAATGAGTGTTGCATATCGATGTGTACTCATTGCTTCATGCGCTTACCTTTTTGCTCACAGGCAAGTCGGGACTTTGAAGGGCATGTGTCTTTTGACCATGAAGCAGAATTTTGACAGCAATGACGTGAAGGAGGCAAAGGGCAATCGCTCAATAAGTAGTGTCATTGTAAACGATGGTGTCGTAACAGCATCGCCTTTGACAATAGCGAGTAAGACTGCCATGCCGATGGGTTTTGGGTTGGCGAGCAAACAATTGACCGGTGGCGATGAAGAACAGATTAGAGCGTCAGCACAACCAGTAACATCCGCAACTCCACCACAGTCACCGATGTCAGCACCTAATCGAACCTCAAGTGAGGACGGATTTGTATGCACTCCTGAGGCTAAGAAAGAACCACGCAATGAGGTTATGAGACCTGAAGTTGTTGAAGAAGCAAAGACCGAGCGCGCCGACCATCTTTCTCTCAATGAGTTTCTCATCTCCGAATTGGAGGCATATTGCTTGCGATTACTTGGAAGAGAATGTCCAAACAGTGGGTCTTCCGATGTAAGTGGTCTTGCTCGAATCACCAGCCTGCAGCTTTATCAGGATCACCAACGAGCTCTCATGGATTTTGATGACGAGTGGAAAAGGTGAGGTTGTACAAACTATATTGTGTGTTGGCGCAGTTTTCTGACACTCTTTGCTCTTAGGTCTCACGCTGGTAGTTATCGAGGCTATTCGCCAAAGACCTCCAAAGAACTTATAGTAGCACCAGAAAATGTTCACACCAACCCATTTCAACATGAATCTGCTGTCACATCTGGTGTGGACGGTTGGACGGCGCTAGTACATCAAGTGAGAGCTTCTAGCACGAAGTCGACTTTATTAGGAACATATTCTTCGCGTGAAGTGAAAGCTGAAGAAGGTATTGACGATCTATTTGTTGCGTACAAGCAAGGATCGAATGGAATTATTGTTGGCGATGATAATTTTCACATGAAACGTCTTCAGGTAGATAATTTACGCTCAAATGAAACAAGTCATCGCACTGCATGTCTAATTGTTTTTGCCACGGTGTTTTGTATTAGGTCAGTGCTTTTTTGGCCCAGATTGTCTCAAGTCAAAGCACCTCAGCGTTTTATATTGTCACGGCTGCTGGTTCTGACCTCGCACAATGGGAAAAGGCACTGTCATCTGAACGGCTTATTCAGTTGTACCCATATTGGGGATGCAAGCAAGATCGCCAAAACTTGCTGCAGTTGCTGAACAACGAGTATTTGTCAAGTCGAAACCTGTCAGCGCACGTTCTTCTTACCAGCTATGAAATTTTTATGGAAGACATACTGGTCTTGAACTCACTGCAATGTCAGCTCAGCTTCATTGATATTCCGCGACAAGGTGCTGGCCAAATTGCGATGATTTGGCCACAGTTGCTTTCGCTTCGGTGTCGTCAACGCTTTTTGCTGTGTCAACCTGGATTTGAGGTTGATGCGCGTAGGTTGTTACACTTTGTCGTGCCTGAGCTGTTCAGCTCACGGCGAAAGCTATTGGTATGTTATCTAGAAAACGGAGCTGTTATGAGTCTTGGTGTCCACTGACATGTAATTTGCTGTTATTGGGGCAGGCATGGAATGGTGCAGCTCTTCGCAATGATCAAATTTGTGCCTTATGTGGTGTGTTGAAGGCCTTTGTGGTTGTCACACATGTGGATGCTTGTGCTGCATTTGTGTCGATGGTGGAGTCACGTACTATGCAAAATTGCGAAGGTGAAATGGCAGCCCTGGATATTCTGAATAAGCAAGGCATTGTGAGGTCAATACAGCCATCAATCTTGATGCCTATCAAGCGTACACTGAGTAAAAAGGCTCGTAACCGCGCTCGCAGGCATATCCCTGCAAAGGTGAGATATAATGCTGTTTTTTGGGGCATACAGATACTTGATAATGATAAATAAGCGCATGGTTCTGCTGGCAGGGAATAATCGAATTGCAACAAGCTTCGTTGGATCCTGTGGACTCGCAACTTACCATCACGGCTCCGAGCAACCATTTGAAGAAGCGAATTGGAAGCGATGGGACACCTGGCTCCCGCCAGCGGATTGGTCGTTGCGGAAACTGTGCTGGGTGCTTGGCTGAAGACTGTATGAAATGTGGGCACTGTCAGGATATGAAAAAATATGGCGGGCCTGGGCTTCGAAAGCAGTCTTGTAAGTACCGTAAATGCCTGAACCCAAAGATATGGGGGTTGGCATCCCGAAAGAGAAAGCGTAAGACGAAGCGTGTTAGCGGCATGAGCAGTGTAAAGGGTCCGGAAGTTGACGACGAAAGCTTTGTAGCATATTCTTCAGTGGAAAGCGATGGTGAGTCTGTATCAACTGTGACGTACGGGAACGGCGCATCAGATGATGAATCATTTCGCTACTCGAGCGCTACGATGGACTCTCCTCGCGATTTGTTACTGCCAATGAGCGATACCCTCTTGGACGACCATTTGTCTCTTAGTGACTTGAGTTCTCGATACGCGTCTGCCCGCTCGCGTGTAGTGCGATGTGGAGAGTGTGAAGGATGTCATGCACCGGACTGTATGAAATGCCCTCATTGCCTTGACATGAAGAAGTATGGAGGACCTGGACTTCGAAAGCAAACATGCAAAAATCGCAAATGTAATGCTCCCAAGACTGTCATATTAAACCGTGCAAAAGGTGGTCACGATCAGTATGTGGATGAGATGGGGAACGTGATTTACAGCGCCCTGAATGATAGTACATTTCCAGAGTTCTACGATGCCTCGGATTCGTCAGACCGACCAGAGCCGACAACGTTGTCGCCAAATGTTCAAAGTCAGTCGGAAGTGCTGTCCGTTGTTCAAGAATGCGAGCGCTATGTAACACCACGGCTGGGTTTTACGTGTGTGAATTGTGCTGCGCGCTTCAGCTCGAGCAAAGTGCTCAGTTTTCACGCAAAGGTTGAGCATTCCTCTTCAACAGACCAACAACACGTAGTTCTGCCGACGGCGTTGGAGCGGGAGGCTAGCCGTCTGTTTACACGTCCGAGTTTTCAAAACGCCATGATTAGTGCTCAACTCAAGCAGCAGGGTCATAGCTCGCACAGCTCGCCCCTGGGATATGCAAAGCTGGAGGTACGACATACTACTTGGAATGTATGGTACGATACTAACTCATGATATGTTTGTGTCCGAAACCTTGCTGTAACACAGGGCCAAAACTTTGAGTTCTACTTTATCGATCCGTTGGTCGTTCTCGGACGTATGAATCCTGAGTGGTGTAAACTGTACGAGAAGCTGGGTTTTGGGACTCTCAAGGGCCTTGCTGGTGACAATATTGATTGCCATATTGGAAGCGATAGCATGATTACAGCCAAGCATGCTGTGATCTCTTGGGATGCTTGTCTTGGCAGCTTTGTGATCGACTGTTTGAGTCTTCGAACGCCAATTTTTGTCAATGGTTGCGAAATCAGTTTCTCGTCATCCCCAGTGGCGCTAAGCAGTAGGAATTTGGTGCAGATTGGTACAAGTATTTTCTACTTCCTATTGCCCAAGGTAACAAAGATGAAAAGCGTCACCACAGCAAGTTGAACGTCATACTTGCTACACATCAACCATTTCAACTAGCTCATGTTAAATTTTTAAATTGATGCGCGCTTTTTCGACGGAAATTTTGAAAAAAGATAAATTATCTTGATTTCAGTAAGTCCTTGTCAAACGTTACTGACTAATGGTTGGCTCAGTGCTCACCAACAGTCTTCATACTCAGATCAACAAATCTTCACCAAAACTGTCACTCACACACACAGTCGTATATCTACATATCCTCACACACACACATCATTGTCATCATCATCATACATAGCGTAGCATCGAAATCATGGTCGTCGCAGGCATTGACATTGGTACGACACACGGCTGTGTGGGTGTGTGGTACAATGGTAAGGTGAATATCATTGCCAATGATCAGGGGTTTCGTACCACGCCTGCTTACGTTTGCTACGAGGGAGAGGAAGTGATTGTCGGTGATACCGCCGTTAACAAGCTACCATCGCACGCAGACAGTACTATATTCCATCTTAAACGTCTACTTGGAAAGACACATGCTGATGTAAAGGACTGTGAATATGTAAAAGAGTGGCCTTTTAATGTCACGGAAGGCACGGAGAGTATTGCTCAGGTTGAGACCAAGCGCAATGGTGACAAGCATATTGTTAACCCCGTGGAGTTTATGGCATTACTGCTACAGAGTCTCAAAGAACTGGCTGAGGACTTTACGGGTGAGAAGCTTGATCATGTGGTCATTAATAAACCGGCGCACGTGGACGACAAGTACACAGAACTGCTGGATACTGCCGCTAAGAAGGTCGGTGTTAATGTACTGACGTACCTGAGCGAACCTTTGGCTGCTGCCATTGCTTACGGACTTGATGAAGCTGCTAATAACGAGAAACCCGAATACGTACTTGTATTTGACATTGGTGGTGCCACGTACGATGTAACTTTGGTGACCGCCGACAAGGGACTGTTTGAGGTGGTAGCCAACAAGAGCAACGATACACTAGGCGGTGAAGCCTTTACAGCTGCCGTGTTTGAACACTGTGCCAAGTCATTTTTGCGCAAGACAAAGCTGGACGTTAGGACTAACCAAAAGGCGTCGAGTCGCCTTCGCATTGCCTGTGAGGCTGCCAAACGCTTACTTTCGACGCAAACACAGGCGAACATCGAAGTAGACTCGCTCATGGAGGGTGAGGACTTTGCGCTTAAGTTGTCGCGCCCCCCGTTTTGAGGAGCTCATCAATGACTACTTGCAAAAGACAATCATTGAGATTGAAGCTATTCTGGAAGAAAGTGAGCTTGAGAAGGAGGATATTGACCACATTGTCCTCGTCGGTGGTTCCAGCCGTATTCCGTTCGTGCAAAACCTCGTTAAGAGGTACTTTGAGGGCAAGACGCTGCACATGCAGCTACCTCCTGATGAAGTTGTTGCCTTTGGTGCCACCATCGAGGCGTCTTGTCTTGCTGAGCTCGTAGGAGTACCTAAGCCTGAAAAGCCGTTGAATATGGTGAACGTGGTGCCGCTGAACCTGTCCGTAGCCCTCGCCAACGGCAGTGTGTCGGAGCTAATTCAGCGCGACACTATCCTGCCTGCTTCCGCAACTGAGCTATTTACTACTTCGGCTGACAATCAAGAGGCTGTGTTTCTGCAGATTTATGAAGGTCAGCGCCTCATGGCCAAGGATAACACTCTCGTGGCTCAGCTGAGTGTAGCGGGCATCACACCGCTGCCAAAGGGCGACGCTGAGATTGAGGTAACCTTTACTGTCAGCACCAAGGGTGTCCTCACGGTGACCGCTTCGGAGCGCAAAGCTGGTAACAAAACGCTGGAGGTGACACCGGATTTGAAGCGTCTGACGCCTGCCGACGTTGCTGTTATTGTCAAGAAGGCGGAGGATGCTGCTGAAGAGGATTGTGAATTGCTTGGTGAGCTGGAAGATGCTGAGAAGGCCGCGGAGCTCGAGGTTGCCATTCCCGAGATCGAGACTGTCAGTGTCCCTGCCGTACCCGTTGTGCCTATGCAAGACCTAGACTAAACGAATTACTAATCACTTTTGCTCTTTAAATGCAAGTTACGTCGTTATTTTGTGCTAAATAATTATTGCTTCATGCAACATAAGGATCAACTGCGATTTTGATTGGCTGATAAATAAAAGGATCAAAAACACACACAAAAAAGAAGAAAAAAGCCAGCTATGGACGACACTGTAAAGTCTGCGGCAAATGCCATGAACGTACGTATGGTTGCGTTAACAGTCTGTCCATTTTCCTTTTCTATCTCTTCTTACCATTTGATACCCATACGTTTTATGTCATTTTTCGTTTAGGATCGAGCTGTTGACTTGGACTTTGGTATGGTGCTCGAAACAAATGTGACACAATAATTATACGAATATTTTGATACTAAAAACTACCGTGGTTTGATTTTAATGTTACTTCAGAGGTCACTGTAATTGAATGTGATGAGGTAGAGGATGGTATTTTGTCTACTAAGGTCCGTGACACTCTCATGAACCACAAAAATGCAGTCTACGGAGAAAGCACGAAACCTGTACGCATTACGGGTCTCTGTGGTTGCTTTTCACTAGCTTTTTATCAGCCGGTAATGTGATTCTTGATAGTTTTTGCTGTTGCAATGAGTCTGACTTGTGTGTCCTATGTGCTTAGTATTTTGATGTTGACACAGCAGACGTTCAACAGCGTCTGATACGAGCACTCGTGCCATTTAAGAAAGACCCAACATTTGCTGAGCTAGCATTAAAGTCACCTGACGCTTATGGACCATTCTGGCTCTCGACGACGCTCATTTTCTGTCTTGCATCATGCAGTAATGTAGCATCGTTTCTCGATTATACGGGCGACACGGAGAAATGGTCGTACGATTTTAGCCGTCTTGCTTCGGCGTATACTCTTGTTGAGATCTTTCTTCTAGGTTTGCCCATGCTTATCTGGCTCGTGGGCAAATACTTCCAGGTGCCCATGTCTCTGCTCTTCCTCGTTTGTCTTTATGGGTACTCGGCGATTATGTTTATCCCAGCTGCAGTAAGCATACGGTTTTTTGTACTCTAAAGCTTGACATTGACAAATTTAACCCACTGATTGTTGCAGATATTATGCGTTTCTCCGGTCGACACTTTAGACTGGGTAGTCATGTTGACGGCGATGGCGTGGTCGCTCTTCTTTTTGCTCAATAATCTATGGCACGTCATATCTGAGCATCTGACAAAGGAAAAGATGCTGCCGGTGTTGGCAATCATCAGGTACGCCCATATACGTTTCACGCATGAGCTTTTGGCGGCAACGCTAATTTTGCTGAATTTAATGTTACAGCGGGGCGCACTTGATGTGGGCCGTTCTCATGAAGCTACTGTTCTTTTAGTTGACATGGTCTGCGTACATAATCATACGAGTGCTATCTGTTTCACACTCAACTTAATGAATATTACTACACTTGCAATTCCCACGGACACCTTCACGCCAGAAAACGTTTGCAATACGACGTCTAAACAGTTTCAATTTCTTCCTCTTCATCGCTCTCAACGGCCATTCCACTCTCAGCGTCCAGCATCAGTTCTCGTTCATCATCTGGATTCGCAGCTAGCGCTTCAAAGTCAATTTCTTTGCCAATTGTCGTCGGCCGATCAGATCGATTCCTATGCACATTTACACACCAAGCGTGAAACGCCTGCCACAGCTTGTGAAAGAACAACTGCGAGAGTAACTAACTCACTTGAGAAATATTGCCAACCGAACGTACTGCACGGCGTTTCGCAATGCCAACACCGAATCCGCTGCAACTTCTTCCAGTTCACCTAGCACGCCTTCCTCGTTGAAGTAGATTGCCACCGACACTAGGCTCATAACTGCAGAGAGCAAGACAAAGTTACTCATCACAATACAAATCGTACCATCACAATCGACGTCAGCAAACGACGCACCCAAGGCGACCACGTCAAAAATGTTGCACCACTTGCGCCAAAACCGCTGCAACAAGCAGATCACAAGAAACACATAAGCACAACGTCTCTTGCAAAACACTGATCAGCATCTTTACTCTTGCTCACCCTTTTGAATGCCATCATCCGCAGCAACACTTCAAACACCAACAACGAACTAACTATAATTTCCAGCGTAATGAACACCACCGAGGACGGACTGAGCAGTAGCAATCACAACAGCTACTTGTCATTATCAGCGCCAAATTCTTGTATCTTACTTTCTATGACGTACATTTTCCAGCCATTTATTCCCGTCTGTAACAAACGTTATGGAGTTAGAAATTTGATTTAAAGAAATGCAAGTAATTAATTACTTACCCACGTAACGCATACGAGACTTGATGCAATCATAAAGAAGTACACAATTCGATAAACGTTAGAAAAGTAAAGACGACTGGCTACTGTCATCAGATGCTCCTTGCATCCAATATGCGGCGCCACCGCACCCGATAGCTTGGCGTAGCTCTTGGTTGTTTTCATTTCACGACAAAATGGTCAGGAATGTACGAATCAACTATGTGATTGGTTAAAATATAGAAGCTGACTCGATTTTCCAGTCGTTATTTTGGGTCATACTACGTACAACAAAAGTACACGTCACGCCAGAAAACGTACAGTAATCATCCATATTTGTAAATATAAATACTAACATGTAAATAGATATAGTAAAATTTGTGCAATACGCTTTATTCCATTATGTGATTTATTTCGTGCTCAGTATTTCGTAGCCTGACGAAAATGGAAACGCTTTGAACTGCATGTGGCTGAGACAGTAGCTGCGATAGTTTACAAGTCACGTGCTATTGCGCAATTTGATGATGTCGTTTCCCTTTTACTAGATCTCGATTGAGCGGCTAAATACAGCAACAATGCTATAGCCGAGTCAAGCAGTTGTATTGCTGACGTCACTGAACGAAATACTGTAAAAGTTGGCTATGTAGGTGCCAAAATGGCGTTTAAAGGCTGTCAATAACGAGCATCCACAGTGTTGTCTCTATCATTTTTTTCTAGCGCAAATTTCGTATTTGACAATGCTTAGAAACGGTTGTTGTTGGTAGCACTGCAGCCTGTTGTGGATGTGATGATAAACACGCTTAAATAAATGCCAGGTTGAGCTGGTCATCGAATGGCTTCAGCAGTGGGGCCAACAGATTTTTCTCGTGAGGTGGCAGTGACTCGCGAAGCTTCACAAGCTCATCGTACTTGGACCCCATCTTCTCCACAATCTTGTTTAGCTTGCGCTGTGCTTCGGAATCGCCACCTTCCGTCACCTTGGCCTTAAACGAGAGGAAGTGTCGTAGCAACTCGCACACATCATGGAACTGATTGTACACCTGCTTCTTAAACTCGTTCGGGATGTACTCGGCCGCCAACTTACCGCTCGCGAGGTTTGCCGCTGAGGAGGCTGATGCTGAATCGCTCGTAGAATCTGAGCATGCGATGACTTCAGCAAGTACGTCAAAGCATGTTTTTGAGCTTGGATACGCGTTCTCTAGCTTAATGGGCGCCTTGCACGTTGCTTGGAACAACTGTGCTGCGTCAGATACAGACAGCTGGCGTGTTGCATTGCTATTAGCCTTCTCGGCGCTCTGGAAGTAGCGTGACTCATTTTCCAACGTAAGCGGGTTATACGGCGAAGGATCCTGATCGTATAGATCATCTAGTAGTGTCGCTTCCTCCAAACTGTCGTGGTAAGCGTCTTTGGGCTTTTGTTGTTGGGGCAATGTCTGCTGTGCATTTCTCCCCCTTCCTGCCTTTTGTGGGTCTAGCACATATGCACCGTGTCGATTAAATTTGGCAATTGTAATGCTGAATGGGTTCTCCTTTTTCGTCATCAGTCTTTTAGTATGATGCACCGCCGCATCTTCCTCCGTGGTCGTCAAATCAACCAATGGATCAACAATGCCACGCGGGTCAACGCTAACACCCTTGGCATCTTCTTTCTCTTTTTCTTCATACTTGGTAAACATATCTTCATGTCCAGCTTTTCTATCTCGATGAAAGTATTTCGACTTGAAAAATGCTCCCCAAAACTCTGTCTCCGTCATCTTGTCGGGCACTTGTCCCTGGTACGCCATGTACACGGCTGGATACTGAATGAAAATCTGGTGAATCACTTCTGCATTCAAGTTGTACTTGACCACATTTCCAGCCGTGTCATTGTTCGCTGCCAGGTCTGTCAAGATCGCTGATGTCTTGCCTGTCTTTTGTCGTTTGCTGGCCTCTCTAGCAATTAAATGACGACGACTGGCCCAGAAATCCTCTTCAGAAATGAGACCATCATTCACCATCTCTACATGTTGTCGTTTAAGTGCTGGATCGGCAGCTAGCAGTGCTGCTCGCTGTTTAATCTCCGTGGGGTTGCACAATGCTGCGGCATTGGAGCGTATTCTTTGAGCGCCATTCTCCCGCAAACGGCTGGCAATATAATCCTTGGCTTGCTCACGTATTTCAAATGCCTCCTCGAGACTACCAGACTCTGCTATAAACTCCAACACAAGCGTCGAATTGTGTGCAAGACGTAGACGAATCATAGCCTTGGGACTCGAAAGCGACGACACTTGTTGGTCCTGCACAGTGCTCCACGGGACGATAATGGGTGCGTATTGACCCGTAGGAACCTCAGAAGATATGTATGCTTCCCATCGTAGTCCCTTGCGCGAGAATTCGGCCCGACCGTCGCGTTTCTTGACGCGTGTTAACGCCACTAGAACCTCCGACATGTGGGCAATGGATCAATGCGATAGATTGAAATCTTTGCAAATAGATATCCGCTATTTAAACAAGTTTATATATTGTAGCAGTGTAGATAACTAGTGTATTCAAAATGTATCAGATATCAAATATTACAGTGCAAACGAATCGAGCGTATTATTCCATTTAAGAGGAAATGACGCAAATGCTTTTGCTCGTAGCGCCGGTATTTCTAGCCTGGAATTGCGTGTATGGAGAAGAATATCATCGTCATACGAACAACTGGGCGGTCATTGTAAGACCGATTGCGATATACAGAGCACATAGTCGACGGTATTTAACAGCTCTAACAGATTCGAACGCATTTGCTTGCCAGGTTGACACCTCTCGCTTTTGGAGCAACTATCGGCACGTGGCTAATGCGTTATCACTTTATCACTCTGTTAAGCGCCTTGGTATTCCCGATAGTCAGGTGAAGATATTTGTATTATGTATTGAAAGAGTAGATAAAAAGCTGAGGCAAGTTCCAAGTGTGTCTATAGATTATCCTGATGCTAGCAGATCAAATGCCATGCAACGCTCGCAACTGCTTTCCAGGCCAAGTATTCAACAGCCAAGCACAGAAGATTAATTTGTTACGTTCTTTTCTATAGTGTACAAGTAATCTGAGAGTGTTGGTACATGAACACATTGTATCTCTAACTTGTTATCAATTCTTCTTTTTGAGTAGATACGGAAAGAATGTCGAAGTGGACTATCGCGGCTTAGAAGTCTCTGTTGCCAATTTCATCACGGTGCTTACAGGTTTATGGCATCATTTGACGCTATAGACTTGTTTGCTATGCTCACTGCACGGATGAATGTGTACAGGTCGCCACGAACCCGGGACGCCAGCATCGAAGAAGCTTGATACGGACGAGAACAGCAATATTTTCGTACGTGTGTCATCATGCAAACAACCTTTTACATACCGTTGGCTTACATGTTGTTGCTAATATTGTACAGCTTTATATGTCAGGACATGGCGGTGACGGCTTCCTGAAATTCCAGGTGCGCGCATTATGCGTCAGTGGAGTTTGACGCACACAAGCACTAATTTACTCTTGCATGCTATACTAAACCCAGGATTTTGAGGAAATATCTAGCCAAGACCTTGCCGATTCTATTCAGGAAATGCACGTCAAGAAACGGTGTGTGTCAGTGCTTTGATCTTCCCATGGCAGTGCACTATTGACGTATCCATTCATGTCTATCGTGCACAGCTACAACGAAATTTTCTTCATGGTCGACACATGCCAAGCGGGTTCGCTGTCCAATGCTCTCGAATCTCCTAAGGTTGTGACTATTGGCAGCTCAAAGACGGGCGAAAATTCGTACGCGCACCACTCCGACTTCGAGGTTTGTGCGCTACCATATAAACTTTATGCAGGTATTACCATTGTGCCTGACTTGTGATTGCTGTTGTTTCAAATGCAGTTAGGACTTTCTGTCATTGATCGCTTTACCTTTTCGACACTAGACTACTTGCAACGCATGAAGGTCGGTGATTCCATTCACAATGGAACGCTCCTTGACCTTTTCAATTTTTACGATCCAAAGATGCTATTGTCGACGCCTGATTATCGAACCGATATCTTGGGTCGCTCGATTGATGAAGTACTCATCACGGACTTTCTCGGCTCGATACTGGACGTGCACCTTCATTTTGATGATGAAGCGTATCCGATTGAGGCTACTGCTGTCACCCCCGTTTCCAGATCAGAGGCTACCGCGACAACGAATCGAAACGACTCTCATGGTATGCTGGGCCCGCCTGCTGCAGGCGCACGAAAGTTTGGGTTTACCAACGAGTTTCTGGCTGTATCTACTGCAGTCGCGGTTGGTATCATGTTCGTGATCATGAAATCGATCTAATCGAGTAAAGCGTCAATTGCTTGACCTTTTTCACGACACTATTTGCTTTTTCATAGGCAACGCAATTTCTACGTACTCATTACAGCCTTCTCACGGCCGTAAACAGAGCAACAACTTATACCAACGAGGAAGAATAGATTACTGACTACTTATGGGGAATGGCCAAGTCCCGTATCTTAGTCGTATCCTTGCTGGTTGTACTTGTTTGTAAGATGCGCTCGCCGGTACATAAAATTAGGGTGATGCAAACTTGTTTCTTCTTCTTTCTCTTCGTCTGGATCGGGGCTGAACTCGACCTCGGCAGGACGTTGACTCCGTATCAGCAGGCAAACGAGTAGAACTGCAATACCAGAAACCCATATTGGTGACGTACAGATGCTGAGCGCGATAATCATCGGGCTCAATAGCATGATAAATGGCATGCACACGACGGCTGTCAATTGCCAGACAATCCACATCTGCATCTGGACAACAAATGGTAGTACGTACACCAAACAAAACAGGCATCTGTCAAAACATGCAAACCAACATGCAAGAACTTACGCAAAAGCACCGAACAAACTTTGGCAAATAGGTTGGTGTCTTGGATAAATCTTGGCACTGTGCTTGTCACGATACGACTTATCACGGCGCTACTCGACAAATCCAGTCAAATTATATCCGTTTGTCAGTTCAAACGAGCCAACTCAGCAAGAAGTATATCGTACAATGGTACGCACTGAATCTTGTGTACAAGCTGCATCATTAGCACAATCTTCGACTTGAGCGTTGTCACAAGTTGCTTGCCCGGTCTTTCAACGTACTCGTCCTGCTCATCGTATGCCTCATGCCGCTTCAAATGGAGTTTCATTAGCTGTGGTGTGTACGGCGTATTAAGAGGCGTCCGATCATTGCGCAATAGTCCCTGTATCAAGCCAAAACAAGTGCCCTCAACGTGAACAACATGGCTTACTTTCTATCAAGATTGATTGCAAGATAATTAATTACAGCACTATTTGCGCACCACAGTTGGCTGCAACCCAACACCATATTGCTTGCGTCGCACGTATGGATCCCACTCGACTTCCATACTCAGCGGCGTCACGCTTTCCAAACCTTTTCGACCATTCATTCCATCTAAAAGTCCACAATTGGAGCACAAGTATCGTCAGTCTCTATCATTTTCCAAGTAGTGTGACAGACTTGATGCTATGATGGTTGTAATCTACTCTTGTCTCTTATCATACGCATACCGTAAACAGTGGCAGTCAATGGTGACCATGACATCTTTTTGTGCTCGTCGTCCATACGTTTGGGACGATAGGTATACAAAGAAGAAGTAGTTATTGAACCCCCAATTAAGAATGACCTAATAATAATGAGATTAACTCACTGGAGCTTCGGACTAATAGAGTAGTGACGTGAGTGAGGGGTGACTCACATCGTTGAGAGACTTTATAGCATAGACGAGACGTATCGAATGGATTACAGGTTCTGCCTAAATTAGGTCGTCTAGGATAGGACGGTAAGTCAGTATGTATACTGAATTTGCAATGATTGTTTAGCTTGCATATATTTTCACAGGTAATGTAAACTTATCACTTGTTACTCACTACATTTAGCTGCTTCTTATCACAATACGAAATCTGTTTTCTGTATATATTAAATCTTGCAATTCCTGACACTCACGGGCTCAGAAAACAGCCGTAAAGGAGAGACGAGTGTTTTTCCAAAGCTAGTAGAATCGAATTAGGACAATCACAATGGCCCTTGATGTGGAAGGTAATAATCAGTATGCACTTACACTACTGGGTGGTGATAATGGTAGTGATGATCAGTACCAAGTCTCTACTAATGGTAACAATAGTCTAACTAATCGTCCGTATACTAAAACCACGTCTAATGTACGTCCCTTAATGATACGTCCTGTTTTTATTCTTTCGTACAGAGAAGTCGTTACTAGCTCTTGTGTGTGTAAATATAACGTCTTACTGTGTGTATTTGTTAATAACATTGCAAGGTGGACAATGAGCAAATGCGGACTGAGATTGTACGTCTAGAGAATATGTTGGCCAGTCGCATTGCGGCCCGTGCGAATCAGGACAAGTCAAATCTCCCGCTAGAACGATCGAGTAAGATTGAAAAGTACGTTGAGGTTATGGAACTGACTAAATGTCTTCGTCGTCAAAAGGAGTTTTTGCTAAGTGAAAACCGCAAGCGTCAGCGTTTTGCTGAGAAGATTCAGCAGGCTATGCCAGTACGTGTCAGTTTAGTAGGTTTGAAAGGGTGGTTGGTTATTTTTATAGTGATGAATGTGTTTGTGTATGTGTGTCTCTTGTTGTTGATGGTGTTAGCCTTCAACTGATAGCATCCAGTTTATGAAAAATGTCAAATGCCCGCCAGATGAAGAGCTGGAGAAAGTGTCTCGCGAGGCTTTTTTGGAGATGATGGGGTATCAAGTGAGCGGAGAGGCTGCGACGTACATGGGTTGGAAGACGAAGCGTGAGTCCAAATCCATGTACATGCACACATTTTCGGAGAAACGTTTTGTTGGTGAAGACATGGCGCGCATCTTTGATGAGACATGGATGATGTTTTACGATGAGACCCAGCAAGAACTGCTGCACCGTCGACGAAGCAAGTTTTGTGTACGTAAGAGATTGTTATGGAAAGGATGTAGTAAGTGAGAATTGATTGCTGATGTATTGAAAATTTTCAGGTTTTAAGGAAGGTGAATGACGATATGTACCTCACGCGCAACATTCATCAGTTTATTGGCGAGAGCTTTCCACGCCATGCAATGACCTTGGTGTGCCGCATTTTGGTTGACAAGAACAATTTCGTCATCATCAGCAAGTCGGTGATGCCGCCTACAAATGATGCGCAACACTTAGTGTGGACTGATGAGTGCTACATGTGGAAATTTGTGAAGCACGTTGATGCACAGAACGGGTTTGACATTTCGATCCGTGGCAATTATGGCAGCACTTCGGCGGTGGCAGGTAATCGTTTACCTATGCTCGAGTCCTACTTCCAGCTTGTCGACTGGGAGTCGCTGGTCATTCACCCGATGTTTGACTTTACAGCAGCGTAGTTTCTCGATGCTGAATGGTCAGTTGATGCTCCACTGAAGGTGTTTGACTCAAACGTGTTGGAAGGCATACAACAGACGGTAGCATTGCAGCCAGCGTGCTTTTGTTTTGGCCAAGCCAAGGGCAGCTACGCTTCTTCTTATCCTTTCTTGTAGCACTGAGGCTGCAAATGCGCCAGCCAGCCACAATTGAGCCCGTCGGGGCTTGTTTGTACATTCAATCACACATGCGTATATTGTGCCTGTTGTTTTTCTTTGTCCATTTCACTGAGGATGCTATTGCCAAGGCACAATAGATTACTACAAGATACGACGTTGTGGCCCCTTAGTCCTCAGATCAGTTATTTACGTACGTTTGGCTTCAGCTGGATATGTCCGTGAAGAGCTGGTGGCGCGAAACAAAACTTTTACGGGCGCTTGTCCTGCAACGTTGTCGCAGCGTTCCCACCAGAGCAATAGCTCATTCAGTTATGAGCCAATGCTGTTGATGGGACGTAGAGTGAGCGTCTGGCCTCCTCACCGTATCCACCTGGTCGAGGGTCTGCGTGTATGGTGATCTTCGCCGAATCTTTCTTCACCCATAAGACCGTTAGGGCTTCCAATAGGATCAGGCAGCCCACGACGAATACAGTTCGTCTTGGGCATTGCACTAATGCACATGGCGCTGAAGGTGGGGATAGCAATGGGCCACGACCGAAAGTCTTTTAGCTCGAGCTCCAAATTCTTCGACATGTATTTGTTGAGTTGTACCTTGCTGTTTATCGAGCTTGTGATAGTAGAGAGCTGTTTGAACTCAAGTCTACTCTCAGCAAGATGGTTACTTGGTATTCATGATATGTACCAAATAGAACATTCCGACCGCAGAACACCACACTGTTGTGACACTGCGCTGTATAAACGAACGTGTTACTACTATATTGTGCATTCAGCAGGTACGTGCAGTTTCATGGCAACTGCAGCCAAGATATGAGAAACGATGATGCTGCAGCTTTACGGATCGCTTTATGCACTGGCAAGGGCGCCCATAGGTAGACGAGATACTAAGAAGCATGTTGGTGTTAAATGATCCGTGCAAATCAAGTGAGAAGCAAGCATACAGCTGGGTTTTGGCCACATCAAGGTAGGATTTAAATTTGACTGCAATGGCTGGTGCATGTCCAGATTTGCATCAAAGCAGATACCAGTTCAAGTCTTTCATCATCACTTTCCATTTTGTGGTCAAAAGCACAACGGTCAAATTCTAAGAATGACTGTCGAGTGTCGTGCAGCCAAGTCAATGTAACTTCTTGTTGCTCTGTTTGCGTGCTCGGTAACGAGCGAGGCTCTAAAAGAATCAACGTCGTATTGGATCATGCCCGGCATGTACGCTTCGAATACGCATGTGGCTGATAACAATCTCGTGGCAAAGTGATCTTTGCGATCCAATGTAGTTGCGTCAGAGACTGATGAAATTAACATCCCTGCAGAGAGAATGGCTAAGCCTTCTATTTCCAATCCTGGTGTCGCCGAACAGCTGAAATCAAGAATGTCAAATGGCGGATACAGTCATCAAGAGGATAACACCCGTGTGGAAGAAATGTTTTCTGTCCTGAAACTCGGAGCTTTGGAGGGTAAAGACCTTTTTGCAAGCACCAGGTTTCAATATTAGGCATTTCTCGTCCATGTCTTCACACTTAAAGCGATGCCAAAGATCAGGAGTGTGCTCTTGGAAAAGTTTTTCATCAATGATGAAGCGGAGCTTATGTATTATGTTCAGACAGCACTCAACAATAGATTTTGTTTTTCCGAAAGTTCTTGTTGTCAAACCTGCAGAGAATGCAATTCGAGACGTATATGAACAATGGGATACGTTTGTCCGGTGTTGGTCCCAAGAAATGTAGAGTACGGCGTGCCTACGAAAAGTTTTTACAAGTAACAAGCGGGGAAACCTCATCAGTATGTCATCCTAAAAGGTGGTGATGGTGGTCAGATGATGCATTCCTAGTTGCTTTGCACTAATACACATGTATATTTCAAATGCTTTTCGATTTCATTTTGCTTGGAATTTGAATTGCCGCGGTACTTCTTGGTCAGTGACTGTCAAACTCAAACAACAACAAGCACAAGCTCTTAATAACCGTGATACTAGTCATCGTCATGATAGAATATCTTTCTTGCCAATCATTTACACCAATGTCACCTAGTCGCAAAGTAATGAGCTACCGACACTAAAAATCATGAACCATCGGTTACCACATGTGCTATAAGAAACAGAGTCATGCTGAATATTCTTGTTCAACTCTTTGCTCTGGACAATCGTTGAAAACTCTGATACTGAAAGCAGCAGCAAATGCTCTTTCAAAAAGAGTCCTCGTCATTGACAGTCGGCATTTAAATTATCCAGCCTCGTCTGCATGGAAAGAGGAAGTTTTTAGGGCCGATAGTCTACAATATTGTTAGTCAGTGGCAATCTCGTAAACGTTACTAGATGAAGCGCTTCTTCTTGTACAGCTCGCTCGCTAGCTAGCTAGTCTCAAATTTCCGTATGCGATCATAGACGTGTCGGAGCGGCTGAGTCGCTTCTTGATTCTCTGGGAAGAAGCTGAGAAAGTGTCCTAGCTGTCGGATCCACGGGAAAAGCAGGCGAGGGAGTGACACGACGTCGACTGGGCCACTGCCGCTTGTAGCATCGGTAACAAATGATTGGAAAACCTCATGGTTGAATACGACACCATACGCTAGGTCGGCTAGCGCTAGACTGTGTCGCACAGCATTCCCACGTACGCCATGCCATACCAGCTCGTCTGTAATGTAGTAAAAGTCAAAGTATAGTGCTCGATACGACTGCACTAACTGGTAGAAATCGTCCCGAGTCGGTGTTTCTTCAACACTCTTTGCTTCTTCAAAGGTCTGCATTGCCGCGCGCGTAAGATCGCGAGGGCTCAAGGGCGACGCCAGATCTAACGCGCTCTCAAGATCATTCAAAATCGCTGCTAGCTTCGGTGCCAGTGGCGTCGGTGGTTGATTGAGCAAGTACTTGGGTGAAATTTGCGATGTTTCTAATTTCTCGTAGTGCGAAATCAACCACTTCCATGTGAACTCATAATTCTGCACAATCAGTAAGATCGGAGCAACTGATGTAAGTAAATAGACCACCAAATATAACACATAAAGACGTACCTGCAAAAACTTTGCAACGATGTCTTCAAGGGCCGAGATAGGGTAGCTCTCGCTGATATTCGGTGGAATGTAGCAGCTCGTAACGTTGCTACAGCAAACAAAAGCAAAGCGCGTTAGAATAGTACGAATGCAACAAAGGTGCAAGTATCAGTTAGTCTCGTACCTGCATGTGAAACAAAGGGTAACCTGGTAATGTTCCGCAAACTGCTTGATGTTGTACAGCGTGATGTGCTCTTTCACGCTATGATCCCAAAGTTGATGGTGCTCCCATAAAGCTGCAACATCAGGTTTTACGCGGAAAATCACAGCACTTTGAGGTTGTACGGTCACCAGTAGTGTTGGCCTTCGTCCAGTGCAAACGCCATAAGTCAACAAGTCTACCGTGGCAGCGCCAGACCGAGTCAAACTTTCATCAATCGCTAAGCTGAAGAACAAACTGTCATTGCGCAACGCAAGTCGAGCATTCGTGTCACTTCTGGTATTGCGCACAATCAGAAACTTCTGAATTCCATCTGCAGCTTTCGCAGACAGCTCGGGGCTTGAAAAGGTAGGTTCCAGCATTGGAAAAACCAAGCCAAGGAACATCGGCTGAGCTGAGAAGTAAGTTTCTTGCTGTAACGCAGGTTCGTGGGTTTCGCCGTTCTTCACATTCACCATCAACTGAGGCTGGCTGCAAGTAGCGCGCAAGACGACCGTTTCCCTAAAATCTTTCACCAGTCGGCAGCTCACATAGACCTCAATTACACGCATCCACGGATCGTTCACCTCATCAGCCACTTCACTAGCTCCTAGCAGAATCATTTGGTTGGGCTGAGGTCGAAACTGGAGAAACACCTGCATGCTTGCATGAGCTTCAACAGTGACTGTAGTCACTTCGCTGAATGACATCGGCGAGACAGAAAAGCTCACCTCCTGCGGTCTGGCGTTTGTAGATAGAATGAAGTCAAGGTTCAAACCAGATGAGTTTTCAATCACTATTGAGTGATTCTGGTAAAGCTTGTAGTAATAGACTTCACCGAAATCAATCATCAATCGTTGCGGACCACTCTGAGTGCTTTCTGGAGGCGCCTCAATACTGGGTCGGCGAGGCCGTTTAAGGTTGCCATGATTTGACACAAGCACACGGAATAAATTTGTCGTTGGGTCTAATTCAGACGACATCCCGCGCAGAGAATTTAAATCTGCAATAACTTCCAACCTCACATGAATTACCTTCAGATCGGATGGGTTTGCCAAATTCTGAAGCACCATGAACGTTGAATAAACTCCCAAAACACCCCTACGAAAGTGAAGAACTACACTCTGGTAGCTATGTGTTTTGTCTAGTGTACCACGTTCACGACTGAGCTGCAACCACGATCGCGCATTCTTATCCACGAGCATTAGACGATACTCAACTGAGTCAAGACCGGGATCCGCAACGCTGCTGTAAAGGCTTTCAACCGTTATCTCCCACTCTACTTCTCCACCATTTCGAACCGTGTGCTGGCCCACATCTATCAAGTATCGTGTATTCTCCAGTGATGAATACTCAGCTGGCGTACAGCCACGAATAGCCAATATAGGTAAATGGTTCTTCCGTTCTACCGACCCAGAACGAATCAAAGAGATGTCAAACTTCTCAAAATTATCCAAACCAGACGAATCCGATTGCTCAAATTGCTTGTCCTCCAGATTATTTTTCAAGCTAGGGCCGGAGTGCAGTTTTCGGGAATGCGCGAGCCAATTGTTACGAGCGTCAAATGCTGCAGTGATTAGTTCTCTATCTAGAACGACACTACTCGGTTTGCCATTGTCTCCTGACGAGCTCTGCTGTTGTAGTACTAATAGCACATCGATTTCTGTTGATACTCCGGTATCTAAGTTTGAATCGGCATCACGCACGGTCAAGAACATGTGGTTTTGTCCACTCTCATCCGGCAACGATTGTAAGTCATCCGCATCCCACGAATTGCTCCGCCAGGTTGGGTTATGGCGCATCTGGTGCCGTGGTGTCATTTTTCCGGATACACTATTTTCATGTCCGTCACGAGACGGATTCATGCTTGCGGGAGCCGCTTCTTTGAGATGAACAGTGATTTTCACAGATTGACCGGGTGCGATAGGTCCCGACGAAGGCACAGCTACTGCTTGAATCCATTCGCTAATAACACACATTTCCGCCTCCGCCGAGCCCTTAATAAGGCAAAGCCCGGGCTGATACAACGAGACGGGGTTAATAATGAAGTTCAACACTTCTGACATCGATGGATTGCGGACCCAAAAGCTTTCAAATGAGTTACGCAGTTGGTATACAACACAACTTGTAGCCTCAAGCGACTTTCCAGCCAATGTGATTTGGGAAGATTCTCTACTGACCACAGCTTTTGACTTCAGGAACGGCGGCAAGTGGTCAACAGAAATGTTTGTCGGCAACTCGGTTGCTGTGGCAAAAAAGTGAAGACTAGATGCAGACAAGACAAAAGTCTTGCCAGGCATCAGCTTTCCTTTTACGTGAACCTCTTTCTGTTGGGCAGTGTCCTCAACATTTTGAACATTAATGTCAAGACAAACACGTCCTAAATTCAGAATTTCTGATGTAGCACTGCTCCCTTCAGAAGACCACATCTCAGCCGATAGGCGAGCAGATGGAAGAACATGGCACACAACCCGAATATCCACTGACTCATCGGGCGCAATCAAAAAAATTGAATTTAGCGGCGTATTTGCTGAGCGAAGCATTGGAAGTAGCTCAATTGTTCTGTCAAAGCAAGAAAACGCACAACAATTAGTGCAGTACCCTAGCAACACCAAATTTCACAAGAAGAAGCGAACCGGTCAAACGGACTGTGCACGTGAGTAGAAAGCTTCACACTCAAATCTTCGTCGTACACGTTTCTCAGCGAAAACCAAAAGCTGGCAAGGTGAGGAGCTTCCTGTGGTATGGGCACCGTGATTGGTGGAAGGACAGCTATATGACGCTCGTTTGGCTCTGCCGCCTCTACATCATAGTCTGAGCTCGCTGGGTCTACCACCAGTTTCGCGTAACTGGAAATAATCTGTGCTTCAACCACCACATCTTCGTGGTTGTGAGGATTGTATAGATTAAAAAAGCGGAGCGGAAATTCATGGGAGCCTGGCGCTAAAAACTGTAGCCGTCAAGAACGAAGTTAATCGTGAAGCGCTCATTTATCAAGAATTCAATTAGATCTACTGTTACCTTTTCCGTTCGCACTTGTTCCATGTCAAGTACACAAGTAGTTCTCGGCTCTAATTTCCATGCACTCCAGCGTGAAACGTTTGCACTGTCTAGCTGCCTCTCAGCATGCAGGGCAAGCATTCGAAGTGATGGGACATGATCCTCCGGCTTTTGATCAACCTTATCGCAAATTTGTATGGGGCTCGCGTCGTGGGCATTGCGCACATGAATGCAATCTGGCAAGTTGGCAACTACAAACGATACTATTACGTCGGATACATTTTTCACTGAGATCTTGAACGTTGACGATTTCCACCCAATCGCGTAGCCAATTTTTCCCAATGCGATGCGTCTTTCTGCAATATGAAAGCGTGATTCGCCATATGAACCTAAAAGATTTACAACCTTCAGCGTGCATGCATCTCCCACATCCTCGCCCTCATTACTGTCAAAACCTTGGATTCCAATCATGCCCCGTAGTGGGTACAGCTTTCCGCCCTCTATAGTATCCACAGGCAGTGGCTCAGTCACAGCGATAGATGCAAAGCGGAACGAAAGCAAGGAAGTGCTCTTTGACTCTAAAATAAACGTCTCGCCACAGAATACACTCGGTTGCCGGTTTTGCGGTGCAACGCCCCCTATTGGTGGGATGCCTAGCCTTCGTGCATCATCTGTCGAGACAAATCGAGCCATCAGCGCATCGTTCTCTGCGTTCGGGACATTGGCGTCTCCTTTACGTTTCCAATGAAACGTCAGCGGAAGAGTACTCACTGGACGCACCACCATGCTCCGATCGGTTGCGTTCGTCAGTACAAGCGTTTTCTCGCCAGGTAAATGCCACACACTATCTGCAGTTGGATGAGCTTCGACAAATGATCCATTGCTATGTTCTCTATAAATGCGGTACTTGCGGCTTGCAGATTCATTTTTAGAAACCGATATGGTTTCCGACAGTTCATCCTCTAGCCTGATCACGTTAATATGGCCCAAATCTATAGTTTGGATTGTTGCCGACTCGTTCAACATGTTATTAGTTGCACAAACTCTCTCCTCACAGTGTCGATATTTATTTGTTTCAGACTCTGCAATTTCGCAACTCAGTGCGCAACCATCCACAAAGAGTAAAACGTCGACAAAACTGACTTTATCAGGATAATGAATGTTTTCCACCATTATTCGACGACGAAATAGTCCGTTCGTGTATGCCACAACTCGAAACTCAATTATTCCTGTTTCGCCCGCCGGAATTTCTCCCTTTTCATGTTTCAACGATACATGAAGAGAATCATCATCATCCGAATACCCTTCTGTTGCGTTCGTAACGAATAGGCGATACCCCAAAGGGAGTGCCTTGCTCATATTGATCAGTTTAAACTGACCTTTGTGCGTTTGACACGTTTGCATACGTCCACTGTTGTATTCAACACCGAAATCGACCAAAGATGGTGTAACTCGTGCAATACTCGCACCAGCTACACCAATAAACTTGACAGTAAATTCGGCCAACATTTCAGACTTTTCATCTACTGCTGTACCGCCTGTCGCCAACAGTCCAAAGAGCTGGACGCGAATGCCACCTACCAGATCTCGAGTCAACCCTGTTTTGATAGCGTCTGAAGATAGTCGTGGGCGAATTGCCACGTAAAGACCAACTGACTGCATTCCATTCATCACAACGTGGGTTGCCTCACGCTGCAGACGGGCGTCCTCGTACACGTAGCACTGAGTTTTCAAATTCGATGAAGCACAAATAATCAAGGCGTGCTCGACTTGACTATGCAATGTAAGTTTGTGTACTTTGCTGAATCGAAGACACACATTTGCACTGTCTACAGCTGTGTCTTGCATTTCAGGTGTAACGTAGCATGGGCCTAAGTCAAGAGTCTTCAACTGCCCTGTCACTTGCGGATCCAACTCAGGAATACGAACATATACTGGTCGAACAATACGCACGGATAATGTCAATACTGACGTGTCCAGACGATCGCCACTAAGATTCCGCAATACAATTTGTTCATTATGGTGTCCCGGCACGCTGCCCTTGTATAAGAATCCTGCAGTAATGAATGACCCCGCTTGCACAGTCCCCGTTGGATTATCGAACGTCATATCGCCTCCAACAAGCAACGGAGAGATCGACGATGATGTGCTTCCATTCATTCGATCACGAAAACCGGCCAACAAAAGGTACTGAAGAGCTTGGTGTGACCTGTTGTAGATAACAACTTCGCCTCGTATTTCGTCCCCTTGTTGATGCTCACCCAAATCAAGCGCTTCAACTTCGAAGCATAGCGACCGCTGCACAGCTTTAATAATTGCCACGTCAACTGACGATATTGGAGTATGGAGCGTGGGCAAGTCCTTCATGTTTTCCTGCGGAACCGAGTTGCTTGAAAGATAGAAAAAGTCAATTGTACCTGCTTTAAGTTCTGCAGCTTCAGATGCGCTTTCCAAGACGGACCGACTCACGCAAGATGCCAAGGGAGTTGATGATGCAAATCCCGCGTCACTAGTAAAACACCATTTTACGTTCAATCTCACCGTGTGATCAACAGGAATGCTCAATTTTAGAGGAAGCAGTACGCGGCCAATAGTTTCCATCTCGCCACTTGTTGTTTTCGTATCTTCTTGTACCAAGCAATCAAGAGGAACCACATCGCACGTAAGCGCCAGTACATTTCTAAAAGTGCCCACTGGATTCCACACAACCTCAACAATTGCTGAACTTTTGTGCGAAGGAGAGCCTAGCGATAATGTCACGAACCAACCGCGATTATTTGATGGTGATTCCTCTGCAGGCACGAGCAGGCTGGAACTAGTGGGACATACACCAAGTTGACAGGGAGCAATATTCACATTTAGCCTTTGTACGACCCTTCTCACATCCGGTACCTGGATAGCTAAGCTGCGGCGGCGCTCCACCGCAGCAGATGTCTCGACTGGTGTAGTCAACAATGGTAAAACATCATCATAGCGTGAGATAGAATTACCACTTAAGCCACGCTGTTTCCCTGGACGGCTCTCCACCAAACTCTCGTCCACAATAGAAGGCTCAGTTCTGGTCTTCGGATGCGGAGGAAGCACAGATGGCGGCTTTCGACCAACAGCGTGGCAGTATGCATTTTCACCCGCAGGTGTTCGCAAGAAGATTTCAGCGTTGTACTGAAGTTCCTTCACCACGTCCTTGTTTTGTTGCTCAAATAAAAGAAATTTTCCCACGCCTACAATTGGTGTTGCATCTCGACATGACTGACGTTTCTTCATTTTTTGACTTCGATTCACGCCACGTTTGTCACCAACCTCTCTAGCTTTTGGTGAGCATTCACCAGACTTCAGAGGGTTAAATATTGCATATGCCACAACTCTTCCGGTCGCCTGAGCTCCGAGGGAAAAGTGAAACGTATTGGTGCTGCTCGAAGTAGACGATAGTGGTCCGGTTATTACGTCCACGGGTTTATCAGGCTGCTTCAAGCTACGACGCCGCAACCGTAAGCTTGATTCTGACTCCGAAAGATCCGACTCACTATTGCCGCTGTCATGCAGATCAAATTCTCTCACCTCGCCACTTCCTCTCAACCTTTCTGTCGCTTCTGCGTCACTACATGTCGGTGACCCTGGCGCATTCAGTAGATGTTCTCCCGACAACAAAGCCTTGACTTGCGAAATCTTGGCATTTAATTTGACGATTTTATCCGCCTTCTTCTTCGTTATCGCAATACGCAGCTTGTGTTCCAGCTTTTCTAGCTCCTCATCTAGCTTTTTTTCTTGCGCTTGCGTAATTACGGTTGTCGGTGTTTCGTCAACCGAGAAATAGAATATAGGCCGCAAGCTTGGAACTGTAAAGCTTGGATCCACCTGTATCACGTATTCCCGTTTCTTTCGGCTTGTGTTTCGGACAGCAATCTTCACTTCTTCGGTCTTTTCACCCACGATACACTTTCCCAATGACAACGTTTGACCTGCGGATGCAGAGTGCAAGCAAATAAAAAAGTGATCCTAAAGAGTATTTAAGCAGTGACAAGGTATCGTACCTGACTGTAGAAGTTTGAACATTTCTCGCTTGACAACTTTCGCCTTTATTGTAACCGAAACCGAATTTTCCACGTCTTGAACGTTAATAATTTTCAACTTCTCTTCAAAGGGGCCAGCCAGTGTTGGCTGGAACTGAAAACAAATTTCCTTTCTGCCAAATGCTTTGACCACTCCAACCTCTCCCTCCTTAATCTGTAAGAAGCCCGATGAAATCGAGCCTGTTTTTTCTACGCTATATACAAGAGGAGTAGATGACATGTTTTGTACGATTAACCTCTTTGAGCTCTTTGAAGACGTCGAAATGCGACCGAAATTGATGTTTTTCTGGTTCACATTCATCACCGAGCGACAAACTCGACTCTTAAGCAGCAACTCTCTCACAGACGATCGTGTATCAAATGGGTGCTTTGATGCAGTCCATACTTGTTTGCTTTGATCAAGCGTTGATTCTTCCGCAACTGCTCTTTTGTTACCGCCAGGTGGTAGTGTGATCATTATCTTGTGTCTCTCAACTCGAATCTTTGAAACATCCTTAGTGGTTGCTGTTTCAGGAGCCACAGGACAAAACACAGCTACAATTCGTAGGCGCGATTTTGCTGGAACCGGTAAGTTTCGCTCCTTGTTGGAGCTCAGCAATGTCAACCTTTCGTCAGCTAAAAGAGTCTGTAAACGTTTAGTGCGCTCCCGGACCAACGCCACAATCTCCTCCTCCTTTTCTATCGAGGACAGAGAGCTATGGCAATACGCATCACAATCAGCGCGCGATTTTGCAAATAACTGCAAAAGGGTGGTCACCTCTTCTGATAAACTTCGATCTTCAAATGAATCCGCAGGTGTCAACAGTGACGCAGTGGATGATCCATCCATCGACTTTTTCTCATCAGCTGCCCTTCGCGGCAGATTTCCTCGGTTTTCTGAAACCCTCGTAGTCTGCCGCTCTTGGCGGCTTTTGTCACTCTCAAAATGTTGTGTAGAAACTGATCTAGAAACACAGCTCGTGCCGGACGTGGAAGCTGATGGATGACAGGCTTGCGATGCTGAGAGTGCAGTTAGCTTTTTCGTTAATAACTCTCGAAGCGCTGTTGATTTGCCTCTCTTTGAATTTATTTTCTTATCTGCCAGCTCTGACACACTGCAAAACGACCGGCGTCGACGGATAGGCCGTCCAGCGGGAAGCTGACTCGTTTGCGTTAAAGCTTTGCTGGGAGTGCCACCACCACTGTTTTGCGAATTGAACGCCGCGGACGAAGCACAAAGTTTGCTTCTTTCATTACGCGTCCCGCCGTTATGTATCTGCTTTGCTGGGATTGTCACATCGGTAAATGGATGCTTTATACAGTACAGCCGAACCTTAGATGGAGCTGAGCTGTCAATATTTAAGTATAGCGGGGCATTTGTAATATTCTCCAAATCAAACACTTGAATCCCAACTGAATTCATCGTCACATGTTCAAAGTTCAGAAACGCGGATCTTGTTTGGGTCAATAGTTTGTAGAATAGCGAGTGATAGATCACATGATGAGCGTCCATATTGCTCGAGCGTACGCAAACTTGCGGAATATTGCTCTTATTCTTCATATTGATGATCGATATAAGTCGCGAATAGTTAGGGTTGGTCTTCCGCGGAATGATTTCAATTTTAAGCTCCATTGACTGCTTCGGACCGAGCACCATGTCATCGTTTGGCACCGTCGATATCACTTTAGACGTCACTAACGGTTTCACAACCGTTGGCAGCTCGGACTGGTTTGTTAGCATACAAGAACTGCTCTTAAGTTCTCCAATGTTGCAATCACCCAAGTGCAATATGGAAGGCGTCACTGTCACTATCGATGTGCAGGTACGTGCGCGGATATGGATTGATTTGCCAAGAGTTCGATCATACACACGAGATTGAGCTTGTTGCCATGCGCCTTGCACGAGAAAGCATCGGAATGAAACACGAAACGTTTGCTTAGTCAAACGGGCAGCTTTGAAATCCACTGCATCTGCGTTTTCGCCATATGTCCCTTCCAAATTGCTGCTTGAAGCGGGCGTGTACCATATTAAAATGGTTCGCTCGACACCAGGAGGCAAGTCAACCGTTTCGACTAAAAAATTAGACGCAGTATTTTCATCAACTGAGACCACTTGACGCTTTCGGGAAATGTGTCGTTCAGGAGAAGAGTGCGGACTTTTGCATAAAAACTAATCAATCAAAAGCTCGTCATGCAATCACAAATTGCTGTATCTTACCTGTTCACACCGCTGCCGTAATCAACAGCTTTTGCTCGAGCCGCGGTCTTATCAAACTCTTTTACTTTCGCTCGAAATGCTTGCTCTCGTTGGTCAGCATCCTCTCTTGAACGACGCATTTTTGGGCTCTCAAGTGTATTTTGCGAAAGCACGCGAAGCTCGCGATCAAACTCAAAATCGTCGTCTGGGTCCTCAGTATCACCCATAAGGTTTTCTTCGAATGAGTTTGGCGTCGTTTGTTGAAAGTCATCCTCAAATGAATCCGCCTGTCACAAAATACTATGTCGTCAAAAAGTGCAAAAGATATAAGCAAGGTAAACAACCTAACCTCATTTTCATCGACCTCTTGGTCGCTGTCGGGTCCATATACACCAGTGCTCGAGAACAAAAGCGGCGTCTTGCTTCCACCAAGTGCTGGTGACTCTTGCAGACTCGCTTCGTCGATCAAATTTGTCGGAGAAAAAAGTTCGTCCGCACGTGAGGCTCTTAGAACGCGCGAGCGGTTTTGCTGCGGCTTCATCTCAAAAGTCACTTCCTTAGGTCGATCGCTGGTCAGCTCAACATGCAAAGCTACTTCGGTCATGTTGCGTAATAGAATCACTTTGGAGCTGGCAATGCCGGTATAGCAATCACCAAAATCCAAACGACTCCCACTCATAAGGTATGAACCGCTCGGCTCTTTGATCGACAGCCCTTCTCTAATAGTCCAATATGTGAAGTGTAAGTACATACAAGTTGCGAGTATGTCTATACGGGCACATAAGCTTTCAAACCGTGTAAGTTTACCTGTGGTGTTCTTGATTTGTCGTGGCATGAATTCTGAGAATCTTCACGTTTCTGGAGTCGTGTAGGTTCTGAGCCTGAATCTCGAAAAAACGCTCTCCGACCTGTATGCAACATAAAATGCAGCCACATAACGAGTTGAAAACAAACGAACAGAGTTGAACACGTAACACCCCCAAACACACGTACGTCTGTAGGACGATATGTAACACGAATCCGCACATGTCCATACGCAGCAGCTTGCAATATCTTGTCTCCAATTGCGTACCCGGAGTTGTAGTCGGTACATACAAGCAGCTCTTTACTTTCATTCCACGAAATCATCGGCGAGACCAACTTGAACAACAACGGAATCTCTGAGCGATTCCATACGGTAAAATCCTTGACAAACGATCCACCCGGTACGCAGTCATCAAAATGCAGCTCCTTGACATCCAGTCGTAGTATTGAGCGACATACTTGGCCTTGCAGGGGCACTAGTATCTCCGGAGTTTGCACTTTTCTGCTAACACTGTTATCTTCAAAAGAAGGCTGGAGGATCATCCTCCCCGACAGCACGAAACACGACGTTTCACTAAGATGAGCGCGCTCTTCCTCCGACGAGCCTCCGGCCGCCGCATAAGCTAAATTTACTGTTGCACTGTGCTGTGGAGTCAGCTTGGTGCAAATGGAAAGTACGATCCGTTTGCTCACTCTTGGCTCCAACGTGATCTCATTTACCGTCCCAATATGGTTGAACAGCTCGTTGTAGCCTTCACATAGATACACATTTTCAGCACAAAGAGCAGCCTTCGAGGATGAACGCAGCACCGATAATGGCACATGGTTAAACTCATCCGTAGCAAGCGCATGTTCTTTTGTCTGCTGCAGCTCACGCTGCATAATGCTAACGTTCTCGTTCTCTAGCTGAAATCCCCATTGACTGCTTTGAAACGGCATGCGTAGGTCCATACGCAGCTTAAGATTCAGCACGCATGTACTTTGATTTGTTATTTCAAACACAAATATATCGGACAATTCATTAAGATAAATGTCGCCTAAGCTTAGGAGTTCGCCTTTGCCGCCACGATAATCAACTCGGCTCTGCTCCATTTTGTTCAACATGGATACAGAAACAACAGGTGAACGCGGAGAATACATCATGAAAGCGTCCTCAGACCTTTGACCTTCCATAGTAGCGTCCACATCGTTTACTGACAGCGTCGGCATTTTTGCGGACAAGTGCAGAATTCAATCTTGAGACGTTCTGGTAAATGTGATTTGGTGTAAAGTTGTAGCTCATGTATTTACAGACCAATCAGATGGCGATATTTACTTATAAACCAATCAGACGACGTGGGTTTACTTACGGACCAATCAGACGTGATAAATTGTTTTGTAGAAATTAATAAAAATGACTTCTTTTTCATTAAGTAACAAATATTAAGAATGAATGAAGTAAAAGCTGCTGCGACGTCCATGTCAGATGCCGCTTATGCCTTTGATGAAGACGTGCTCAAGGACGTACGTAATAATAAAGTATGGATACAGGATCCCAAATACTTTAAAAAGGTGATTGTATCGCCTGCAGCCACTATGAAGATGCTGAATCATGCTAATTCGGGTGTTGAGAAAGGTATAAAAATGGGTGGAAAACCTGTTGAGATTATGGGCTTGATCATGGGCCGACCTTCTACTGGTACAGAAAGAGATGCTGGAGATGTACATACTCTTGTGGTTACGGACTGCTTTCCATTGCCAATTGAGGGAGCGGAGACGCGAGTATTGGCGGATGACGCAGAGGTGATCAACTATATGATTTCACTGGGCGAAGCTGTAGAGCAGACACGGAAAGAAAAGTTTATGGGCTGGTATCATAGTCATCCATTTGATGTAGAAGTACATAGCCACTGCTTTCTTTCGGCGACCGATGTCAGTACACAGCTACAGTGGCAGCGCTCGGAGGACCCGCACGGTAACCCGTGGCTTGCCATCGTGCTGGATCCACTGCGCTCATTAGCAAAGAAACACCCAGAGATGGGCGCTTTTCGTGTCTATCCGCCAGAGTTTGCGGCACCTGTAAACGAAACGCCGGATGGAACAATTGTCACGGATGAGAGCGCAAGACTTGAACGTTGGGGCAACTGCTGGAATCGCTATTATACGCTAGAGATCGACTACTTTATGAGTGCCCTGGGTTCCCAGGTCGTAAGTGTGTTATCTGAGGAGTTTTTATGGATGCGTACACTGAGCGCCAATACGATGCAGGAACGTGAGAATCGTGATCGTTTTTCAGAGCGTATTCAGCTGCTGGCAAACAAGTTAGATGGTTGCGAGGCTCACTTGTTGCCGCGCACGGGTCGCAACGCTTCGCGAATTGGTGAATACTATGTACCAGAGAAGCAGCAGTCGCACAAAGAGATTGAGGAATCCGCCTTTGACAAAATTACTCAAGCTGCTAACGAACTTGCGATCGAGAACTCACTTGGTCAGGAGCTACAGGTTATTAAAAAGGCGCTTTTTAACGATAAATGAAATGGTACTACGGGTGACAATCATAATGTAATAAACATGGACTGCGTGGACTATTTTCCAGCTTTGGAATAGATTATGTCACCAACTGCCAACGAAGAGGACTCGTAATGCAACCGCAAGTCTAAAACAGCTTCGTCTTGGTTCTTCCTTCTCCCATAGCAAATAACTCTTCTGCGATGCGCTCCTGCTCTTCCATAGTGTCAAGATTTTTCTGTAGTGCTACACGATTGGCGTTATTGACCACGCTAACTATAGTTCGATGGGGAAACAAAGAAGCGGTCGAAGAGCGTAATTCACATCCATTTCCTTTCCTGAAGCGCTTGTAGTTCACCAAACCATGTCCTCTGTTCTTGTCCTGGCAAGAAAGCTCTCTTTTCTTCACAATCAACTCACAGGTTACCACGACTGGCTTGCCACAATCATTATCCTGTAGATCAGATTTTACGTCTTGCCGACGCAAAACACGTGAAGACTTCCATGCTGACTGACCCACATCATCCAGCGTTTCTGGCGTTATCCCACGCTCACTCATACTTGACGATGAAGACACTTTATCTGCAAGCAACAGCAAATTGATAGCAAGCGTAATAGTGTTACAAAGATGTTAGCATCAAGTACTTGTCCATAGTCCAAGCCTTCATGTAAGAGATTTACCTTGTCCTTGAGCCTCTCTAACGGGAACCTGCATAATGTTAATGTTAGCCTGGCAAAACAATTGTTTAGTGATTGAAGTAAAGTGAACTGTCAAATTAGCCACAATACCTTTTCACTATCATAATGAAAAGCGGTGAGTTGTTCGGAGTCCTCTTTGATCGCCATATCTGCAACATCACTTTGTGGGAAGCCCTCATCCGTATCCTCGTGATTTACTTTGATCTCTTTGTCCTCGTGTTCCTCTGCCGACGCGGATCGTAGGCTCAATTGGTCCGGACAGCTTATTGCTTGGACAGTCTTTGCGTGATTTTCGAGACTGCTGCTGAAAGCGGAATCGTTGAATGCCGTGTGCGCTTTAACAAAAACTACACTTGCCGCTAGTTCTTGTACGCTCGTAAAGACAGCACCCAAAGACTTCAACAACTTCACTCGTCGCTCCACTATATCAACAGAGGAGGAAGCGTCATTAGCAGCAAAAGTTCGCTGTTCATTCTCAACTGCCACGCTGGAGAACCCCGTGACCTTTGGAGGCTCCACCAGCAGCAAGCGCTTACTTAACGCTAGAGAATATAATTCGCGCAGCAAATGATCATCCTCTTCAAAGTCTTTGTATGCGGCAACCACGACGCCACCCATTGCTGAAACAAGCTCTTGCATCGCCTGTGGCATCAGAAACACCACTGCGTATCCAAGGAATAGCGTCTTGCGCAAAGGATTCGGCAGATAATTGCTTTCCACCGACGGAATGGATGGGTCCGAAGGTAGAAATTCTTCACAACGTGGCAATGGTTCTGATACACTGGAGCGGTTCAAAATGGCGTATATCCATGGTGTGCACACCACGGGCTGGTTAAACACCAGTGCCCAGAGCACTTTTACAGTCGCCACAACGCGTCCTGGGTCCATAATACAATGCGTAGCGTCCTTACTCTCCGCCTCAATCAAGTGCATACCAAGGCGCTGACACGTATCGTTCACCTGCGCTCGATTCACTCGCTGGATCCGTGAAGCCACAAGCACAAACGTCTGGTAGCGCACACGCAACACTGTTTTCTTTGCCCCGAACGAAATCTGGTCACCATGGCACAACCGACGCGTTTCAAAGCACTGGTCTTGATTGACAAATGAACCAAAACGCGAGTTTTGGTCACTTAGCTCCAGCACTGGCCGCGTCGACGGATCCGCTAATTGCTTGGGTGCTAAGGCCTCTACGCGGATAAAAGCGTGCGTGCGCGAGATGGACGAGTCCGCATAAAAGTTAAGATGACAGTTCTTGCGTCCTATGGTCCACTCGCCAGCCATGAGGTAGAAAGTTGTGTCGGAGCCACCCGCCACTACGTCCAAGACCCACATCTAAGCTTCAATGTATTTTAATGCAACTCAAAAATGAATGGCGCATGCATGCCCCTGAAGTAGTACAAGATTTTGACACGAGAGATGGCGGTCAATCGAAAACATATTGCACATAGTGTTACTTTTCTTGTTTTTACAACAATGAATGCTCAGGTAGAAGAAACGTCATAGCTATCTACAATCACATACTGATACTTTATCCTTATTTCTTTTCTCTAGCAAAAGTAACGCAGAAGACAAAACACAAACTGCCTGAAGCTTGCAAGTCGTATAACCTACAAGAAGAACTCCATCTGCATTGACTCTTGCTACAATGTGGGTTATATTATAAGTGAATTTCTTATGCTAATGTAACTGTCCTTGATGAGAGTTTTATATCCTGCATCATATACAGCAGTCGCTTACTGTAATCTAGATAACGCTAGTAACTGCAAGCTACTAGCGTTATCTAGATTAAAGTAATAATGGAAACGAATAGATCAGGTGATTCAAGAGGCTCGAGCGGTGTTTACAACAGGTTTCTGTTGCAGTCGGTCGGTAATCCGTGGAAGTGTGTTAGTATCTTGCGCAACTTCAACATGAAAGACGAATGTTTATTGTAATAATTTGAGTTTCTTCTTCTTTTCCTAAAATTCTCATTCGGAATAAAAGTGTAGTAATTTTGAGTGACAACTATGACACGAATGAAGCGACGACGCCAGGAGGTATCACAGCGCAGCACGCGATCTCGGTCTCGTACGTAATCATGAGTGTTGATTGAATGCAATTGGAAATTATTATGTCATATCGTATTAATATCCGACGAGATGATAGATAACGAAGATGCGAGTGTGATTGACGATGACGTGGAGCCCATGAATGTTGAAATGCCTGGTGAATCTAGAAGCGATAGTGATAGCGATAGCGAAGAGAAGGAAAAAGACAATGAAGAAGACGAAGAAGATGATGAAGAAGAAGAGGTGCTGATGGACTTTACGCAGACAGAATACGCATTGAGAATGAGTCAGACGGAACCTGCAAAAGACGATGACGATGAAGGAGGCGGCAAAAAGACCGACCGAGAACCAATCAAGCCTAAAGCTTTACACAAGCTGTCGGAAAAGGTACAGCATACATTTGATGTGATGAATAAGCTTGTGTATGATGATGATTCCAACAACTTTGTTATGTCGAGTAGGCGTTGGAGGAGCTCATTGCTAAGCTGGTGCGCTACATGCTGTACAAAGGCGGTTTGAAGCTGCCCATCAAGTTTGCTGACATTAGCAAGGATGTATATCCGCAGTACAAGACTGTATCAAGGTAAACCAGGATAGGTATTGGATGTAGATGCTTTTTTTGCGTTGCTAAATGATTTCGCAATATTTGGTGGTAGATATTTTTTCTTCTATGCAAAACAGAAGATTGAAAGTGTCTTTGGCTACCGCGTGGTGCAAGTGGAAGACAGTTCGAACAAGGAGTTGTACCTTGTAATCAACAAATCGTCGTCTCAGCAACACTTGCTGCTCATGAACAAAACTGGAAAGGCTGCCTCGCGCGGTTTTCTCATGATCGTTTTGGGACTTTTGTGGTGCGCCCCCGGGCGGCGGCTTTCCGAAGGTTTGTGGCCGGACTATGCCATCGAGTCGAGCAGGGTTTTTGATACGGCAATGGTTTAACTATATGCTTGTCCATTTTGTATGCAGAGGACTTGTGGAAGCAGTTGATTTGCCTTGATCCGAAGGTGCAGTCGAAAGTGAATCATCCATTGCTTGGCGACATACCTCTTCTTTTGAAGACGTTTGAAAACCAGCTGTAAGTAAAACTTGTCATAATGGTCAGGATATGCCATTACTAATTTGATGATACCGCATGCAATCTTGTTTCTTAGCTACCTTGACGCTACGTCGGAGCTTGATTCAGATCTGAAAAAGATCAAGTACTATCAGTATGGTCCACGTACATTCTTGGAAGTGGGCAAAGTACAAATTCTCAACTTTGTGTGCAAGGTGCGGAAGCAAATGGATGACCGTTTTTCTTGTTGTTCATTTTGGTCATTTGGCAACTGACCGAAGACTATCATTTTACTTTGCAGCTGATTACGAAACGTCCTCCATCTGAAGTGCAGGTTGATGAGGTGTTGGCAGAGGACAGCTAAAATCATCATCTCCATTTCTACCAATGAGTTTTAACTGGTTTGTTCAATTTCCTATTACAAAAATAAGTTTTTGTGTAATTGATGGAGTCCATCATTGCGACCTACGGATCGTCATCCGAGGCATCAGACGCTGCTTCATCACCCTCATCGCATAGTGAAACAGACGATGTTGTAGCACACGAGTCTGCTAGTGGTGTTACTACACGGTCTGACTCAAAGCACAAGCGCTCGGATGAATTGCAATGGATACGAGCGTTTCCTCACGTGGATGGCAATTGGCCAAGCCACGTACGAATTAACATTCCAGTTAGTCAGGAGCTGCGTGAGATGGCAAGCAGAGTAATTGAACGTGTGCAGAAAGTTGCTAGTAAATCGGTGTCATTGGTGGCGTTTGAAGAGCTTGGCCTTCGCAAGTGTCTAGCTCCAGACAAAAACAGTTACCTGCATTTGAGTCTCTCGCGACCGTTTATCCTCAAGTATGACCAGATCAATATATTTGTTGATTCGCTTCGTGCTGCGCTCAAGTGGCGACAATGGTGCGTGTGCTATGATGCTTACAAAATGAGTCATCCTGGCTAGAGTAATCTGTGTGTGATTACTTTCCGTAGTTTTAGTGTTACCCTTGGCCATGCACTTGTGCTAGTGAATGACGATAAGACGCGCTCGTTCCTAGCGCTTCGTGTTGTTAAAGGACAAGATGAATTTGTAAAAGTGCTGCGCTGCGTGGATCAATGCCTTGGACGCTTTAAACAACCCACATATTACAAGGTGCGGCTGTTTTCATTGCAATATAACGCCATCGCACATGAACGGAGTAATCATTGATTGTTTTCTGTCATTGTGTTTGCTGCTGATGGCTTGACGCTTGCCTGCTTGCTTTCGTCGTGGGTGATCATCCTTGCAGCATCCTATTCCGCATGTTAGTATCGCATCTTCAATGGGCAAAGAGCTAGCGAAACTAACATCGGACCAATGTGATAGCCTCCTAACCCACCGACCAGAACGGCAGCGTATCACAACGCCATGTTCTTTTACGACGAGTGTAGCAGCAGTTCACGTCACCATAGGCAACAAGCACTATGACATTCCGCTCCGTTGATTCCAATCTACCAATCCCCATTTTTCTTTCCGATGCGGTGTCACTTGGCGTGACGCATAGCTTCCGCGGCTTTCCTTTTGTCAAAACGTTTCTCAATAGCTTCAGTACAAGCTCATCATGCGTCACTCACTTCCGGTGTCGGAAGCGAGGTCGATAACATCATCCATTCCAAAATCTTGGACCTGTGCTGTCATAACCGATGCCGATGTCGCTGACCCCAATGGCACGGGCAATGATGACAAAAACGGTTTGCCACTATTCTCATCAGAACTAATATCCGACAAAGCAAAGACTGACAAATCGTCTGCCTGCTTCTCCCCATGTTCTCCTCGTTTTGACCGCCTTTGTTCGCTCTTGCCTATACCTTCAAATACATCGCAAGATTACATACGTCAGTGCAAGAAGTACTTCTCATGCCTATCACACATACTATACCATTTCTTTTCCGCTTTTTGCCGCCAAACCCGCGTTTTTCTTCGATCCTTGGCTTTTTCTTGTATATCGTCGTTCCCTCTTGAAAACTTGTTGTTATAGTATCGACGTCAGACATTGCATTTGTAGCAGTAGCTACTTTGCTGCTAGGTTGTTCTGAGCGCGAACGATCCCTCGATTGAGACCGACGACCATTTCTGCTTCGGCCTCTTCCATTTGAGCGCCCGTCGTTACCACGAACTCTCCTGCGTGTTGCTTGGTTGAAACGAGGTGCGATGACCACCTGGCGACCACGCCCAACATCTTGTATTTCATCAACGGATGAGGATGAGTCGTCGCGATGCTGAAAACCTTTGCCTCGGTGATCGTCAAGCTGTCGCGCTTCGTCCTTGTACCCTTCATGTTTTCGTCCTTCTTCCCAACCTTGTTCATGATTGTTTATTTGCTGAACACTCTTTACCTGAGACCATAAGTCGTTCATCCAAATCACTCGCGACGCCAGCTGCTGAAGGTCCCCAGAAACTGTTCCTCGATAACCTAAAACACGTGGTGTCAGATGCATCACGATACATCAGATGATCACCTTGCGCTTCAGTCGTACTACCATTCAAGTCGCGGCATGTGCTTACCCATTACCCAAATATCCTTTCGCAGCACATTTCGCACATGGCTCAGTGAGCTATAAAAATCGCCATCGCCTGCTCCACATAGTCAGTATGTGAGCACATCGTAAACTTTGGCCGTTCAAAAACATCAAACAGTTTCAATGCGTACCCGCAAATAAAACAAAGCGATCGCAAATCTGGTACATATGCAGCACAAAAATAGTATATCACACAACTTCATGAAGACGTAACAACGTAGAAAAGCGTACATTCTCATAGGCAAGAGACAGAATTTTAGTTGCAATTCTGAAAGTGGCAGCAAACTAAATAAGGACGATGTATATTCTCAGCGGCATATAGTTTCACTGCACGCACCCGTTGTCAACACCCTTCTGTACATTCTGTGTAAAGTGGCTACCACATCTTCGACAATGGCAGCTATATTTTTTCATAGGAAACAAGCTGACTTGGAACTATGAACAGCCAACCATGCCAAGACGTAGCACCTAATTAATAACTGCTCCCGAACACTATTTTCAAAAGACAGCACAGTCCATTCCAATACCTGAGGCCCATCCGGTGGTGCAAATTTCAGTTTGTTATACTCGAGTCTTAAGGATGGATTAAAACGCTGCGTAGAGGGGCTCTGATCAAAGAACCAGCAATCTAATGGGGCACGAAAAGGTCAAAAGGCATCCGCGATGTTCACACCTCGCGCGGACAAGAATTGAGACACCTAGACACGACTGCACACACAAGTATGCAGCGAAACGGTAACTCGATACATATATACATACATAAATATGTGCCTACCTCCAAACTGTGTCGACGCCTGTTCTTCCAGTGCCGTACGAAGCTTGACGTAATCAATCTTGCCCCCCTTCAAGTCGCAAGAAAACAGCAACATCAGTAGGACGTATTGCTTGTAATACCACATTTTTCAATCTGTTTTCCATACCAGACTTCGAGCTCCAATCATTGCGTAAGATCCGTCTACATGCAATCAATTAATCAATCACCGACATTATGCCATAAGACGACCAATTCATCGATGTCTCGTCTTCAGTAATACATATATAGATTCACCTATGATCAATGCTGTACGAGTAGATGCTACACTTGTCTCCGTTGTCGATGCAAAAGACGACGTCGAGCCTATGGAAGCCATTACTGGCGGTCCTATTGTCTCCATGCTGTAATTGATTAGCTCAAGGTTATTATCTATCATTGGTCGAATACATTTCTAATTCCTTCAATCAATCGTTCAAGTGCCAGCAATATGGTGTCTACCACACTAGTGTATCTCGCCCCTCCGCACTCCCTCCCGTTTTTGGTTTCCCGCCTTATAGTGGGCCACACAATCCAAATCTCCACCACCCGAACGCCGCGTATCGCTTGATCGCTGCGGAAGAAGTCGTTTACCGTAACTTTCGTTTCTATTTGATAAACATCATGCCAGGTGAAGAGAATAAGGAATTTGACGATGAATTAGTCGACTATGAAGAGGAAGAGGAAACGACGACGGATGCCTCGAAGGCTGCCGAGGGAAAAGACGCCAAGAAGTAAGCTACCACAAAAAACAATTGCTGCTAGAGTAAAGAGAGAGTGTGTGTACCCGAGAGACGGAAGAGTAAGAGCTAGAGAGCGATACCGGGGGAAGAAGACGAAGCTTTCTTGCTCGACTGCTCTCTATTAATAGAGAGCTGACCGATGTAATGACAAGGTCATGCACGCTCGATCGGCTGCTCATCCGCTCGCTCGGGACCGCGAGGAAGGAGGAGGGAAAAAGGAACCCACTTATGTTAACAACTTCTTCTGTATCTGTTCCGTGGTGCTGGGGAATTGTAATCATCGGGGAATCATTTCGACAGGGGACATTACGTCGGTATCCATAGTTCTGGATTTCGTGATTTTATCTTGAAGCCTGAGTGCCTGCGCGCCGTAGTGGACTGTGGTTTTGAGCATCCTTCAGAAGGTGAGTTGTTTATCTTGTGCTAGATAGCAGGAGACGAGTAACAAGAGCAGTGTACTAATGATTATGGATGTGGTGTGATTGATGTGAACAGTCCAGCACGAATGCATTCCTCAGGCTGTGCTCGGTATGGACATCATTTGCCAGGCCAAGTCCGGAATGGGAAAGACTGCCGTGTTTGTGCTTGCCACCTTACACCAGGTACGACGTGGCGTTTGTAGTATGTTAATGGGTTACGGCTGCTCATGTTTTTTTGTGTGCTTTGTTTTGTGTATTAGATCGAGCCAGTAGACGGACAAATCAGTGTTGTGGTGATGTGCCACACTCGCGAATTAGCTTTCCAGATTGCTCATGAGTACGAGCGTTTCAGCAAGTACCTTGTGGACGTCAAAACTGGGGTGTTTTATGGCGGTAGGTCCTAGAATTCTGGAGCAGTGAGTTGTTAAATTTAACAACAACTTGCATTGTATGTTGTAGGTGTGCCCATTTCTCAAAATCGCGATGCTTTGAAGAATAATCCGCCTCACATTCTTGTGGGCACCCCCGGTCGTATTTTGGGTCTGCTTCGCGAAAAGACGTTGAAGCTGGACAAGGTAAAGCATTTTGTCATGGATGAATGTGATAAGATGTTGGAGGCTGTCGGTACGTCTTACAGCCAGTGTGCGGCGTTGATAATAATGAGGGTATGTAAAGCTAACTAATCCGTTTTGGTCAGACATGCGTCGTGACATTCAGGAGATTTTCAAGGCGACGCCGCACGACAAGCAAGTCATGATGTTTTCTGCTACTTTGAGCAAGGAAATTCGTCCAGTGTGCCGCAAGTTTTGCCAAGACGTATGTCAAGTGTTGGACAAACAAACGTGATACTTTTGCTTGTTAGCTAATAAATGCGTTGCCTTTGCTGCACAGCCGATGGAGATCTACGTCGACGACGAGACAAAGCTGACTCTGCACGGTCTGCAGCAGTATTACATCAAACTGGAGGAGTCCGAAAAGAATCGCAAGCTGAACGATCTGTTGGATGCGCTTGAGTTCAACCAGGTGGTTATTTTCGTGTCCAAGAAAAATCGTGGACGCGAGCTCAATCGTCTGCTGAACGAGTGCAACTTTCCGTCGATTTGCATTACGGCCGACCTTTCCCAGGACGAGCGCATTAAGAGGTACAAAAGTTTCAAGGACTTCCAAAAGCGTATCCTGGTGACTACGGACCTGTTTGGACGTGGCATGGATATTGAGCGTGTCAACATTGTCGTAAACTACGATTTCCCGAACGACAGCGACCAGTACCTCCACCGCGTGGGCCGTGCCGGTCGTTTCGGTACCAAGGGTTTGTCGATTAGTTTCATTTCGTCGGAGGAAGACACGGAGATGCTAGCTAAAGTGCAGTCGCGTTTTGAGGTGAACATCCCAGAGCTTCCGGATCAGATTGACATCTCCACTTACATGACAACTTAGGCAATCAGTTTTGATCGCAAGGAGAATGACGTCAGATGACGAAGTGGGTGAAATAAGCAAAGGCTCTGTTTAAACCAGCCAATCAACCTCGTTTTCAACATGTGCGAGCTCCATTTACGGAAAAGAAGTTTGCTGCTGCTTCACAGCTGAATGAATATACCTAGAGCAAGACTGCGGATGACGCTTTTACGACTCGGCTCGCGCTGTTTCTGCTGGCGTCATCCCAAGTCGCCAGTTCCAAGTGTTACTCTTTTCTCCGTCGTTTCGTCGATCCATCGATATCCTTCATGCCACCAAGTTGGCTTTTGTATTTTTCGCGGATGTCGTCATTGCGGGCCCACAACGAGTCCCGACTGGATGTGTCCTGGTCTGCTAGATGCGTGTACTTCGTGCTGCGGATTTTGATTGTAACAACATGGTCGTACATTAGAATGCTTGCGATAAAGGATGGACGGTGCAAGTTGTAACACAACAAGTTCGTACCGGCCAGCGCGTCCAAAGTTTTTGACCTGCATCACAGTTGGGAGCATCTCCTTGTTAAACTTGTCTTCTAGCGTGGCCTCGGTGGCATCTCGCTTGCGCACGTCATCCTTCGAGCGAATGCTATCGTCGTCTACGTAAAATACACCTTTGTGGTAGTATTTCTGCATAAACTTGAGCTTCTTCTTCTGCTTGGGTTCGTTCTTTTTCAATTTGCTAAACGTCCAAAACAACGCAAAAGGTCACAATCTGCATTTCCAAATCACACAGTAAGCAACACGTACGCGTCCTCTGCAGTGCGCTCCTCCTGTGTCATGTTTCGCCTCCTTCTAGCTTCTTCTTCTTCCTTTATTCGCTGCTCCTTTCGGTCTCGGTCACTGAAGCGACGACAACATGAAAACAAACGCCGGATTATCACACTGCCACCTAAGATAATTTGCTGTCAACGAACAAACCCGCCTACCGTTTAATTCGACGCATTTCACGCAGTTCCCACTCACGGTACTCTTGTGCCGGATCCAGACCATCCGTATCATCTGGCATCTCCACATCTGTATCATCATCACCTTTATTCGTGCTGTTTTGCTCGCGCTGAACGTCTTCGGCAACTAAACGACGCGACTCCATTTTTCGTGTCTTCATCTTCTCCTGCTCTCGTTTCTCGCGTCGCTCCTCTTCTGCTGCAATTTCTTCCTGACGTTTCAATGTGCCACGAGATTTTTTGGGCACGAACACAGGCTTCATGAGCTCCTCACCAGGTTCCGAATCATCTGTATCAGTTTCATACTCCGAGCTAGAACTGCTACTAGTCTCCAAGTTGCCATTACTGGCAGTAGGCAGCAGGTCTGTCACTGTGCTCTGTTTCACAATTTGAGGCACCACTGGCTGTCTTTCTCTTCCTTTCTCAGGTTCGGCATGCTTATCCTTCTCTTCCCTCTGGGCTTCGCGTGCCATGACTTTACTGCGTAGCATTCGACGACGTCGGTCAATATCAGAATCGTCTTCCTCATCCGAGCTCGAATCTAGCAGCGCTTTCGCAACGTCTTCCCCACTTGACTCTTCGTTATCTCTACTCATTTTTGCATCATCTTCCTCATTTCGACTGACTTTTTCTGCTACAAGTGCAGAAGAACTCACGACCAGTGCCTCCACGCGTTTTCGTCCAGTACTGATCACCTGACCCGTCTTGTGTTTTGCTTTAGCCTTAGACAGCACTCGCACTTGACTATTTGCTGTTACAAAGCCACGATCATCTTCATATCCATGCGCAAACTTTGGCACCTGGCCCGCCCGGTACCGTACCACCTTCTTGGACGGGTCTACTCGAGGCTTCAGTGGTTTGAACACGTCAGTCTTCTCTCTGTAGTAAATGAAACGCACAATAGTTAGGATAAGAAATGTAGCAGATAGATACGTGAGCATGTGAGCAATACATACATACTTTGTATTGGTGTGGCGAAGCGATATCGGGTCACCGGGTGTGTCGTCCGGCAGCAAGAGTCCTAGATCCTTCTTGGAGAAAAGCGACATATGTTTTTTCCTAAGTATACAATGAAGTAAGTAGTTTCGGCGAATTGTAAATTTCTACTTTGAAATTTGACAGTAGCCGCCAACGTTACTGTCATTTATTTTTAGCTAGTTTGGGCTCAAAGTATATGAAGTGAAAGTAATTTTGGGTCAAGAATCGAAGAATAACATTGTACAATAGCAAAACCCGAACGTCCCATTGATATTCTTCAAAGTCTTTGACCTCATGGCGTTCCAGACGCCCATGTTAGCGCTAGGACTCCCACAAACGCGTTCTTGCAGCCGAGATGGCGTTTCTGTGAGTACCAAGGATTCTACACTATCTCGGTGGCCGCGTATGATTGCCGGCGTCGTACTCACAGCTTTGTGCGTGTGCGGAATGATGACGTGGCGTCTCTTTACTCAGCTACCGTCGTCTGAGGCGTCTCCACGGCGGTCACTGCACCAGACGGTTTTTCCTGAGACCGAAAGATTGCAGCGTTTTGAGAAAGAAAACAGATTGATCGACGAGCGTCAACGTGACATTAAGAAACATATAGAACCGCGGGGCTATCACGACAAGAAGCAGATTGTCATGGTGCTCACCCACTTCCGGAACAGCAACGCGTGCGCTCAAACGCTGGTAGATGCTCGTGCAATGGCGCTGTTAGCTTCGCGTGTACACTTTCGTGTGTTTGAGGAACTCTATTTGACGCAGGAAAAGACGTGTATAGAGCGGTTTTGCGAGCTGAAGCCGAATGATTGCAAGCAACTGCTGCGGTCTGGACAACTTCGCACACAGAAGAGAGACGCGTCAGGATCAGTTGGAGCGACCGTTGCTCGTTATGTGGCCGAGGGAATGGTGGAGCACAAATACATAAGTGACTTTTACCTTTCGATCGATCCGGCAATCGTGGTGTTTACGCAGAAGTGGGACCTTGAGCTGCTTAAACAATGGTACAGTATAGGCAATGATATGGCCGTTTTGAGTGTCTCACCCAAGTCTGTAGAACTGCGTGGGATGGTGGACAATACTATTCTCGTGCAATGCTCGGCGCGCATTCACTCCAAGTCCTTAGATGCTGTGGTGGAATTCAACTCTCCTGAACCAGTATTACGTCAAGGTGCTGCATTGCTGTCACCGGTGTTACATACCCAATACTCTGAAGTATTTCATTTTGGTCCAGCTCGCGCACTCTTTGATGTGCGCTCGGACCCGCACACGCCTCTAGTTTCTGTCGGACATGAATACGCGCGAGCCGCGCGCTTTTGGACCCGAGGCTACGATTTTTATGCTCCTAACAAAGACGTAGTATTTGCTCGCTATCGGTGGCAAGAACCTCCGCTGCCCGTGCCTTCTAGATCAGTTGACGATGACACGGAGAAGCAGCGGCAACGTACGATAGACAAGGCAAATCGGCGAATTCGCCGACTGCTAGGATTGTCTGTATCGGTCCAAGACGATAAGTTAGAGCAACCTGAGGCCTACGGACTCGGTAACAGCAGATCAATGACGTCATGGCAGCAATTTTCTGGTATTGATCCAAGCAAAGCCTTTAACGAGTCCACGACGAACCAATTTACACGCTGTGAAGCAATAGCAAGTGGCCAGGTGCATTTCATTCCATATGAATATGAAAACAAATGAGCTACATACAATAACAATAATAATAAAATACCACAAAATATCATTTGCGGTAAATAATTCGTGCAAAATACAATATCTTTCACATGGCTACTACTACTATTATTATTAGCCAATTGCCGTGTTTCGATTCGAGTCTATCATTCATAAACAGAAATTCCAAGTGACTTGCAGACGCGGACGGACGTCAAGGGACGACAGACAATGAACGTGGATGTCGTACGTCAAAAGCTTGTAGATGGCGATACGGACGTTTTGCTCAAGGAGCTTATGGATCTATATCGTCGTGCTGAGATTCTACATACCCCACAGCTTGGTCGCATCCTGGAGGCGCTTTTTCCTATTTGGAAAGGTCTGCTACACCACAAATTACCGCCACAGTTGCACGCTTCAACAAAAAATCGATGCCGAAAAGTGCTTCTTCAAATACTAAATCGTTTGCCGAGCAACGAGGCATTACGTCCTTATGTGGCGCAGTTACTGCAGTTGCTTATGGAGGTATTGCAGAAAGATAATGAAGATAATGCGCTTATTGCACTAAAGACGTTGTTTGATCTACATCGCAACTATCGTCCAGGACTACGCAATGAAGTGCAACCATTTTTAGAACTTGTTCAGCTCATGTACAAGAATTTGCAGACGACGATAAAGAAACAATTTAGTGGTCCGCCAGAGGCTTTCAGGTCTACTTTCGCGTCGGCAGCTACAATACCTACTGCTGACAAGTCAGTATCGTCACTGCGAGCCAACGTTGCAGAAAAAGCAAAGGAATCAATAGTAGTTCAGAGTGAAACATTTGGTGCAACAAGTGGTGCTACGACAGAATCAATACCAGCAGGGGGGTCGACACCCCAGGCAACAGCGAAAGATAAAACTGGTGAAATTACTATTGCAGCAGCAGTTTCCAGTGCTTTAGCACCGGAAAGTAATGCTGCAAGTACTACGGCTGCTGCTGGAAGAGAAGCAGCAACGGGCAAACCCATTTGCAGCAGTTTGGAATCGTTTAAGACAGTCTCAGAGCTGCCGTTAGTTATCATGCTGCTCTTCCAATGCTACCCGAGTTATATCGAAAGTTACATACCAGTTTTAGTGCCGTTGATGATGTCAGCTTTGGCATTGCGTGCGCCCGAAACTGCCGCTACTGCACATCCGTCGCGGTACTTGGACTTTTTGGATTGCCAAGTAAAGACGTTGTCGTTTGTAACATACTTGTTGCGCGGATGTGCAAAGCTGATGCGTCCATTTCAAGATGCTATTTGCGAGAACACCGTGAAATTGCTTATCGCCTGTCCTAAAGATGCTTTTGTTTTAAGGAAAGACATTTTTGTGGCCGCGAGGCACATTATTTCCACAGATTTTCGGCGAGGATTTTACTCACAACTTGAATTGCTCATGGATGATGACGTACTTCTTGGAAAAGGACGTTGCAGCTTTTACCAAATTCGCCCGCTGGCGTACTCTACGCTTGCAGATATGATTCATCACGTTCGAGATATGCTAACACTCGCGCAGGTAAGCACCATCGTGGAATTCTACGGCAAGAGAATTCATGATTCAACGTTGCCGATATCCATACAAACGACAAGCATTCGACTGCTACTTAATCTTGTCGATATTAGCGCAAAGAATGAAGATGCTGATGCATGGAAAGGCCGCAATATTTTGTCACGTATTTTGCTAATTATTTCCGGAAAGTTTGGTACGACACTAGCAAACCTCCCTGCAGCTATTGCTACAACACAACGAAGTAAATCTAGCGGTGATCGGTTTGACTTGTTGGAGGGAAGTGCCATGGATAAGATTAAGCAGTCTAGTCTGCTTCCAAGGGACGTTGTGCAAAAAACGCAATATGAGAGAAAGTTAGAGGCTTTACTGCTACCGCATATGCGTGTTCAGCGTCCTGCAGATTCTGTCACAGAAGAAGAACCGAGTATTCGTGACATCAAATCACTCTTGCGCACAATGATCCTCGGTATCCGTGCTGTTATTTGGTGTACAGCTAATTATCGAAATCCGCACGCTAAAGATCTGTCCACCGCTGACGCTACCACCACAGATGAAAGTGTTGCTGCATCGACTTCACAAGGGGTCCATCCTGGCTTGAACGCGCACGCTTTTGACGTGGTGGGGAGTTCATCCAGTCGGGCATCTGGAAGCGACCACATGTACCCACTGACTGATGATGAGCGCTTGCTCATTGCAAAAGTGTTTCGAAATGGACTGCGTTGTTTTATTTTATACACGTTGTCGGAAAACACACTTTCAGAGGAAAAACAAATGCTGGATCACTTTGCTGGTGCATTTACTGTATTGGAGGCAGCAGATTTCCGTGATCTTTTTATCTCGAATATCCAGCTGCTTTACGAGTGTATTCTCCAGGACCATGCCATTCTGACGATTCCTCAGCATTTCTTGGCTAACTCAAACGTGAGCTGCTGGTTTGCTGAGATTCTGCTGAAGTTTTTACTCTCGCAGATCGAGGACTTGAGCGTTGAGGCAGAAGGAGACCTGCCTGATACGAACCGACTGGAAAAGATCATGACGATTGAAAATTTAGAGTTCGAGAAAATGCGTCGCGTGCCCCAAGTGCATCGTGCTTCCATTGTGCTTCGTTTGTTCAAGATTGTCTTCGGCTCGGTCACATTGTTCAAGTCGAACGAATCAGCGCTGTTTCCGCATTTGCGTACGATTATTGAGTCGTGCTTGAATCAAGCGACGTTTACGAAACATCCAGACAACTATTTACTTTTGCTTCGCGCCCTGTTCCGGTCAATATCAGGCGGCAAATACGAAAACTTTTACAAGGAGGTATTTCCCTTGCTGCCGGGCGTGTTATCCGCTCTGATGCGATTACAGAAGCACATGGGCAAACCAGCAATGCAGGAGGTGCTTTTGGAGCTGTGTCTAACAATCCCTGCAAGATTGAGCTCATTGCTGCAGTACCTTCCATCACTTATGAAATCTGTAGTGCGTGCGATCACATCACGCGGAGAACTCGCATATTTAGGATTGCGGACACTTGAGTTCTGGGTTGACAATCTTAACCCAGACTTTTTGTATCCGATTATGACGTCTCAGGATCGATTGCTTACAGAAATTATCGAGGCGTTGAACACACATCTCATCCCACCTCCGTACTTGTACGGTGAGTTAGCTATGCGAATTCTTGGTAAAATTGGCGGGCGAAATCGGCAGTATCTCATGGATCCGCTGAACTTAGACTATCATGAACACTCGTTCACTGGACTAACTTTCACGTTCCAGTGGGATGAAGGGGGGGGACATGAAAGGCGATAGCGTTTTCCCGATGAAGATGGATGTGTTAGTTACGCAGGCAACAAAGATACTTCGCACATACCTACGAAAGTCGTCGGCGGAGCGCGAAAACAGCAGCAAGACTGACTCACGGCTTGCAGATATCGACGAGTTTGAGGAAGGTGAAAACCTAACAAGTCCTTCTTTCTTGCTCGAAAAAGATGACAAGACACTTGCACTGGAGACAGAGACAATGGAAAAAATTTGTCGATCTATTTCGCAGCATAAACGGTGCGCGTTTGTGTTTGTCTCTCGCGCAGCTGTAGTGTCGCTCAATGTCAACAAATACGTAAACCTACGTCAAGAGATTGATGATAATAAAACAGACGCAGATGATCTGGGCGCACAGCATGTGGAGCCAATGCGGAAGGTGATTTTACAGGAGGCATTGCGGGCCACACGTAAACAGCTACTGCATGTTTTATTTGAGACGATGGTGGATATTGATGTTGGCTTGGAGGCCAAGAAGCAGCTGCAAGATATTGCAAGTCATTTAACAGTTTTAGCCTTAGCCGAGTGCTCACGAGAGGAATCTAATTTTCCTGTGCTTTCGTCGTTGCATGCATCAACGCTGTATGCAGCGACAAGAGGCTTGTCACCTGGTCGTCATTTGGCAACTACAAAACGAATCGAAATGCTGCGCCAAGCGACTTATGGTACCGCAAAAATGGCGGAATCAAACGTAACAAATGATTTCTTTTCTTTTGTGCAAGTGGTAACAGTTGCGCTAAGCTCTCCGGATCAACACGCCGTGGATGCCGCAAAAGATATCGCCATCTTCATGATTAAAACGGCAATCGCGCAGTTTGGCTCACCACGACTAGCTGTGGAACTTGGAGGTGCGTTATTTAACAGCATGTGTGAGGCTTTTGCGCACGAATGCTACGACAAGGGAAGTTGGCGTCAGAAGCTTGGAGGTGCGATTGGCATCCAACTTCTTGTGGATTTACTGGAGCCGCAATGGTGTCACGAAAATGAACTCACAATAATCAAAGCTTTGTTCTTCGTTCTTTCGGATCACCCGCCGGAAGTGAGCGCAACTGTAAGTGCTGAGACTGGTGAGGCGCTAGTGAAGGTTGTAAAGACAGCTTGGAGAGCTCGGACAGGGTATGTGGACCATCTTGGCGATAATGATCCCAAGAAAAAAGATTTCTTGTCGTGTGTTGCTTTCCAGAATACAGAAGTGTTTCAAATGTTTGTCGTGGAATTTTTTAGTCCAAAGGCACCAACACGACGATATGCGAAACGTTGTATCGCCACGGTGGCATTACTACAAGAAACGACTACATCAGCGCTGCTGTATCCGTACAACCAGTTGATCAGCAAGCAAATTACTGGATGTAACCTTCGCATGCTGCCTAGTAACACTAGGACTGGTTATGTGGATGCTATGGCGTACGCATTGTCGCTAGATCCACCAATTTTCTCGCTTACAAAGGAGATAATGATTTTTCTTCAGGAGGTATGGAAACTAATTTCGGAAGATTCGCAGCGCGATGGAGTGACAATGATAGGGGCTGAAAGTCCCAACAACGTTGGAGGTTTGGCTCCAGCAATTCCAGGTTCAGGGGTGTCGGCTCAGGAATATCCTTTTGGGCTTTCACAAGCGTGCGAACTGCGCATTGCTGCTGCCAAATTGCTTCGAGCAGCCTTTCTTGCAGCGCCAAACGATCTAAATCAGCATCCTGAGTATCGCAATCGTTTTGTGGGCGTGTTTTTTCGATACTTGACGGGCCAGCCCCCAGAGCTGGTGCAGGTAGCTCAAGATGCGCTAATGGACGTCATTCAGTTGAACAAGCAAAACAAGGATGTGTTTTTACCGAAGGAACTTTTGCAGCAATGTTTACGACCGGTGCTTCTTAATTTGGCTGACTATCGGAAACTCAACCTGCCGCTGCTAGAAGGACTGTCACGTCTGTTGACGCTGTTAAGCAGTTGTTTCAATGTGACACTTGGAGAAAAGTTGCTAGAACATCTAAAGCAATGGCGGGATCCAGATCGTATTATTAAAGCAGGAATTTGGAAGCGAGGTGAAGAGCCCGCTGTAGCAGCAGCAATTATGGATCTCTTTCACTTGCTACCTTCGAATGACGCGTTTTTGGAGCCATTAATTGACTGCGTAGTGGATCTGGAGGCTGTCTTACCCAAGTACGGAAGCTACGGTAAAATGAGTTCGCCTTACCGAGTTCCGCTGACGCGTTTCTTGAATCGCTACGCGTCTATGGCCGTATCATTCTTTCTCAAACGTGAGCATTTGGTTGAAGTGAAGTATTCGTCACTCTTTCAGCAGCTTATCAAGCTACCAGAGGCGGCTCCTCTTCACGCGATCATTATTAGTGATGGTGGAGCCAAGTTAGTGATGGAGGCAACGTTTGATGCAGCGCTTAAGCTAAACACTTCTGATTTTGCGGACACGAAAGTGGGTGCAGATGTACTAGGTGATGGGAAGATGCAGGCTCAAATTCAGTTGAATGCGCAAAAAGCGGCGACACAGGCTGTTGCGACCGCACAGGCTCAAGGGATGACAGTACCCGCGGCGGAGGCTCGCGGAGAACAAGCTCGCGCGGCATATGTAGTAAAAGCTCAGGCCCAAGTAAATGCCCAGCAAGCTTTGAAGGTGCAGTCTCAAGTGCAAATTCAGGCCAATGCTCAAAAACTTCATGCGCAGACCCTGGCAGCAGCGCAGGCCCAAGGATTGTCACTTGTACAAGCCCAGGCAAAAGCTCAGTTTGCCAGCAAAGACTACATCGCAAAAGCCCAGAGTCACGTCTCATCTGCAGCTATGCAAACCTCTTTGCCCAGTGCAGCGATGAGTACACTTGTCACACAGCAGCAAGCACAGCAGCTGCAAGCCCAAATACAGGTGAACGCGCAGAAGGTCCATGCTCAAGCCCTCGCGACGGCACAGTCACAAGGCTTAAAGCCAATGCAAGCGCAGGAAAAGGCAAAGCAAGCACAAGCAACTTACGTGCATCGTGCTAATGCCCAAGCGCAAGCGAAGATCGCCCGAGCTCAAAGTCAAGGGCTAGCATCATCGTTGGTGATGAGCGGCTGCTCAACTCCAGTCATTGGTGGACCATTTGCATCCAAGGCTCAGCAAGAAGCATTGGAGCTACAATACCAAGGATTGCGACTGGTTCGGTCAATTTGCAAGCTACATCCATCGTGGTTGGCGTCACAGACGCTTATAATCGATTGTTTACGAAAGCTTTGGCGATCATCGTCACGTGTCCAGCGGCTCGTTGCGCATGACCGGCTGCCTATTAAGTTTCATTTGGAGTCGAAATGGCTGATTAAGTGCTTCATCATGTACAGTCGTGTTAAGCCAGACGACGTGCAAGTGTTGCTGGATATGTTGTCAGTGTTTTTGCACCGGACACCTTTTGACTTCAGTTTTCTGCAGACATTTTATCGTGAAGAAGTTGCAGCCAAGTACAGCGCTGCAAATAAACGCAACCTTGTTCGATTATTTCTGCGCATGCTTCGTGAAACGGCTGCGTCTGAGGAGCTCAAGGTACATGCTGTACAGTTGTTAATAATGCCTGTGTTAATTACATCGTTTGAGGATCCAAACGTCAACAATATTGACGTGATGGACCTGGATACCGTTATGTGGATGTTACGCGAGATTCTGGCGAGCAAAGATTATCCACTTGATACGATGCAAAGTCTTCGAATTGAATTGCTTAAGTTAGGCACTTTGCTCATCCAGCACATGAGCAAGTACGTAACAGAGCATCGAAAGGAAGTGATTAAGTTTGCGTGGAATCATTTGAAAGCCCACGATCTGACGTCCAAACTTTGGGCGTACGTAAATGTTTGCCGTTTTATCTCAGTCTACGACACCCCGCCCAAAATTGTCTTGCAAGTCTATGTGGCACTATTGCGTACCCACGAAATGGACGCGCGTTTTCTCGTGCGCAAGGCGCTTGACATTCTCTTACCGGCCTTACCAAGCCGTTTGCCGTCGAACGAGTTTATTAAGGCCATTAAGTGGACGAAGAAAATTGCTTACGAGGAAGGTCATGTGCTTGGACAACTCGTCCATATTTGGTTCTTAATAGTTCGCCATCCAGCCTTGTTTTACCCATTCCGCGGCCAGTTTATTCCTCTGATGGTAAATTCGCTAAACCGCTTAGCGATACCTCCGAGTAGTACGCCAGACAATCGTAGGCTTGCGGTAAATATTGTGGATTTAGTTGTTTCATGGGAGCAAACACGTCAAGAACGTCTGGCGATGCGAGGTGCTTTCTCTAAAACAAAATCTACAAGCCTTGGTGAAGCGCTAAAGCGAAGCTCACCAATGAGCACAGCGACGACGGAAAGAGCTATGGGCGATCATTCTGCAAAGAAACGAAAGATTATGACAACTGAAGGTACTTGTGTATCGGATACAAAGGCTGTTGTTATCCAGACGAGTGAGGGTTTGAGCGTAAGCGGACTTAGCTCGCTGCAGGTTCAAGTTCCAACGCAAACTTTGATCACTGGAAGTGGCCACGTTTTAGCATCGCCATCGTCGGAAGTAAATCGGGTGGCGAGTAACGAAGATGACTTTGAACTGAATGGTGCTATGGTAGATCTGGTGATTAACTTTGCTTTCCGTTTTGCTCTTGCATCTGCGGATAAGCAGGAAACGAGTCGCTTAGCGAAAACTTGTGGTGAATTATTCGACAAGGCACTTCGATTGTGGCCGTCTGCGTCCATTCGATTTTCCTACTTTGATAAGCTCATAGCTGTCACTGCTGAGACAGTGATTCGGCAACAGCATCAACTGCAGGCTTCTGTGAACGCTGCTGCTGCCACTTCTGGAGGGACAGGGCAGCAAATTCCAATTTCGGCACCATTGCCGTCGACAGTGATGCCTTCATTCTTTGACGTTCCAAAGGGTGCGCCTCTATCATCGCCAGCAATTCTTGACGCTGTCCTGGGTATCTTAAACTCATTGATCACCCCCGAGGTCGTTACGATGTCTAAACGTCTGATACCATGTGTTGTCCAGTACGCACCACGTATAATGAAGTTGCTTGAGCCGTGCTTCGATCACCAGAACCACGACATTCAAGCGAGCCTAACGAAGTTTCTGTGCCGAATGATCGAGGTACGTGATGCATTCCTGTTATTTCGTAAGCATTGTTTTGTCTGAACTCATGTACTCATACTATATGCCTCGCTATCATGGTGACTTTACTTTCTAGTTGTATCCACCTTCTCGCGCACCACAACCTTTGATTGCATGCAAGTTTTATCCGTGGCTCCGCGAGATTATCAACGAGCGTATTGTAAGCGCCGCGATGTTTCAGCAAGACTTGAACGTGAGTGGAGCAGGGGTACCGAACGTGCTTGCTTCGAAAGCCAAGGGAAAAAGTATAACACAGACTGTCACAGAATCAAAAACTAAAAAAGGGAGGACCAGGTGGTAATGCCACATCAGGCCATGGCCACGTTGCTGTCAAGCAGCACAAGGATCCGAGTGGCATCAACCCGTTAATCAATTACGAGGGAGCACGTATGCGCTTGCTGTTCGCACAACATCCTCGGATTGTTATGTCGCCTTCGAACTACCCCGGCGAATTCACTTTAAAACTCCTAAGTGGTCTGGCTGAGACTACGCCAGATTTTGCGGATCACTTTGCTCCAGCACTGTTGAAGTTGGCGCAACGATTCACGCGTGAGCATTTAATTCAGTCAGCTACAGAAGAAAATGAAGGTGCTCATGGTGGAAAGCGCGGAGGAAACAATGGAACAGCAATTGGTGTGGAAAGTGGGCAAGCTGTTGTGGACTCGTTTGGACGGAACCGAGTGATGGCTACACCATCGTTAGCAATTGTGAATGAATGGAATCAAATGATGGTGGGAAGATCCAACTTAGCAGTGAATAATGTTGTACGGCATGTTGCGAAGAAACGCGAGGTTTCAGGTGAGAAGTCTACGTCCAAGAAGAAGTGTAGTGCCAACGATCTATCTCTTGGAAGTGAAATAGCTAAGACAAAATCAAGCAGCGCAATGAAAAAGAAGATGGGGACTGGCATAGGCAGCACGTCAGCGCGAAGTGGGTTTATTGATGGCAGTAGCAAGAGACCGATTGAGCTTCTTGTCTTGTGCTACGCTTTACTGGCAAAGTGCACTTTTTCAACAAGCGAACACCGTCGTCTTTACACGAATTTGCTGGTGCACTGTCTTGAAGGGTCATTCAACATTCCGCTTCTGCTTCAAATTACGAGAATTGTTGCCAAAATGGTTGCATCTACAGATGCTCATCAGATTTTAACCACCAAAGACAAGATGACCTTGCTGAACAAGATGGCGACCTTTGATCGGCTTAACGAAATATCTGCTGTTCCTTTGAATGAGGAATACTATTTGTTGGTTCTCAAGCTCTGTGAGCAACCACCGAGCGAATCTAGAGCACAAACCCGTTTGTTGCAATTAAGCCCGACGCCACAGAGTCACAGCCTTACGACACACTTTGTGGCTGGCTTGCTTGCTCCAGATCCAGCAATACGCAAGAAATTCCTGAATATTTTCTTTGCAGCTGCCGGTCCAGGGCCCGTTGCACGGGTCCAATTTGTGCTGCGTCAGGATTGGCAAGCTTGCGGAACTAGATACTGGCCCGTTATTGTGATTGAAACGCTGATGGCGGCCGTCTCCCCAATTGCGTCACCATCTGTTTCCGCAATGCCAGGTTCACAACCTCCAATAAATATAACTTCGGCGAGAGCTTCTACCCATTCTGAGTTCCTTGCCAACTACGGTCGGGTGAAATCATCCGAACTGATTTTGAGCTTACGCGACTTGGCACATATCGATTTGGAGCTAGCCAAAGAGTTGTGGGTGAATTTGTTTAGCGCAGTATGGGAACTGCTGAAAGAGTCGGACCAAATGCAGATGACGAGCCAACTGCTGAAAATTCTGGCGTCCAAATACAACAAACGCGACCTAAATGTGCCACTTGGTGCGTCAACTCCTCGCCGCACAAATGTGGTACAAACCCTGATGAAAGGTATTGTGAGCACAAGGTCCAGTGCGCCAGTAATGACACCCGAACTTGTTCTGCACGTTGCATCAGCCTACGATGTATGGGGCTGTGCATTGAGACTCTGCGAGTTTCACGTAGAGAACTCGAACCAGAGCGTGGAGAGCCGACTGCGATGGATTGAAGCCCTCAGTGCTATCTACAAACAGCTGGGTGAAGATGATCTTCGAATTGGATTAAGTTTTGAAAATGTAGCGCAGCCTGAAACGCGCACAGCGCTGGCTTTAGAAGCACTCGGCTGTGTCCACGAAGCGCAGGAGGAGTACTTCCGTGCTCTTTTAAAAGCGCAAAGCGGACATGTTAGTATTGAGGAGGTGAACATGTTTGAGTTAAGGTTGTGGGAGGAACGCTGGGTGGAGTGCGCGAAGCAGCTTTGCCAGTGGCAGCTCATGAATGACTTTGCGAAGTCGACACAAAATCAAGAGTTGCTGCTAGACTGTGCGTGGAAACGTGGAGACTGGTCTTCAGCAAAACAATTACTGCTATCACCATCGATGCAATCCTCGACGGAGCTGGGATGTCCGCAGACCCGTCTACAGCGTTTGTACATTGCAATTCTTGATGCAGACAAGCGCAGCGCTATCGATAACCTTGCCGCTCAGACGGCTGAGCTTGCGCTGCATCAATGGCAAGGACTACCACGTATCCTTTCTCGTGCGCATTTACCGCTCATGCACCTCTTTCACAAGTTCGTGGAGGTAAAAGAGTCAATCCAGATGATGGAAGACATTAAGTCTGCAAGTACTCAACATGCAGCAATGCCGAACCTCAAACCGTCTATAAATACATGGCGGGAGCGCTTGCCGAATAAGTGGGAACCCATTCTTCTTTGGGATGACATTCTGACGTGGAGATCACATATGTTCCAAGTGGTTAAGACTACGTTTGCGTGGAGCGATGCGCAGGTGCTTGCCTGTATGCACGACAGTCCGTGGTCCGTTATCAAACTTGCGCATACAGCTCGTAAACAACGACTACCTGATGTGTGTCTCGGCGCGCTAGCCAAGTTGTACTCGGTTCCAGCCATGGACGTACAGGACGCCTTCTCAAAACTCCGTGAGCAAGTTAGCATTTGCTACGAGAGTGCTACAGAGTATTCAGGTGGACTTAGCATTCTGAATACAACTAACCTGGATTACTTCAGCATTAGACAAAAGGCGGAGATGTTTCGGCTCAAAGCCCTCTTCTTAGAAGCACAGGGATCTCTTTCGGAAGCCAACCAGACATTTTCTCACTGTTTGCAAATTTGCAATAGCTATGGCAAAGGATGGCTTTCGTGGGGGCACTATTGCTACCGGCTGTTCCTGCAGCGGAAAGAACTCTCTCTGGCTTCACAAACGATTGCGTGCTACTTGCAAGCAATTCACCACCGATGTAATTCAGCACGTCTAATGATTGCTCGTGTGCTCTGGTTGCTGAACATGGATGACCGACATGGAGCTCTTATTCAGGCTTTTGAGACACATGGAAAACAGTTACCGATCTGGATTTGGATCATTTGGATTCCACAGTTACTTATGGCGCTCGGCCGTCCGGAAGCGCCCCAAATCCGAGGTTTGTTACGTGGCCTTTCAGCCAAATTCCCTCAGGCGCTGTATTATACAATGCGAGCTTTTTTTCTTGAAAACCGTGACATTGCACTGATGCTTGCTAACCAACAGCATCCATCAACTGCAGCAAGCTCAACGGACACGTCGCTTTCTGCGAATGCAGCCTCTCCATCTGGGACGCATACGTACTACAGAACGAAATCGGGACATGTTGTTGGAGTTCCCGCGACTATGTCAGTTGCTCAAGTACAAGAAGTTCCAGGACTCGTTGGTCCACCTCGCCCGTCACCTGCAGCATTCAACGCACCACCAGATGTTGTATTGTCGCTGGATGCATGGACTGAAAAGCTTCGCAGCCACAGTGTTGATGGGCAATTGCTGAAGCCTGAAGTCGGCCCCGTGCAATACACAGAAGACTTATTGAACTTTTTGCGTAGATCGCACGACTCCCTTACGTTTGAAATGGAATGTATGCTGGAAGAGATGATTACCCGATTCCGGCCAGAGCCAGAAGAAGAACTTCTCACGGCTGTTCACGCACTTTTACAGAAGTGTTATCAGCTTCCAAGATTGACAAAAACGGAGCCTGTACCAAAAATGCTGCGCGCAGCACTTGCGAGGGTGTGTCGGAAGCTCTTTGTGATGCTTTCACACCAGAAAAACGAAAATCACGAGGCATTTGTGGAAGAGTTTAAGGACGCGTTTGAGCGTGATTTTATTCCACTTGAGAACGTTGATGCGCAGCAGCAAGACAAAGCGGCTACAACTCTCTACGAAATCATGAACCGACTGAAGCGTTGGAAAAGTTTACTTCAATTGCGTGTAAAGAAGGCGGGCAAGCGAAACGCTGGTAGGCTGTATCTAGAGCGGTGCAGTCGACACCTGATCGAGCTCAGCAGTTCCAACGTTGAGGTCCCAGGACAGTATGTCTCAGATAGCGAGCCTATAAAGGATCTACATGCACGAATCCAGCATTTTGAGAGTACGGTAGATGTGCTATTGCGTAACGGATTTACTCAGCGACGTGTAACCATGGGTGGCAGCGACGGCCGGGCATACTACTTTTTGGTACAATATGCAATGACACACATTACACGAACGGATGAGCGAATGATGCAGATGTACCTACTGTTGAATCGATTGCTAGTACGTCACAAGGAAACCAAGAAACGCAATACGGTCTTTCACGTACCAAAAGTGATTCCCTTAACGCCGCGAGTGCGGCTACTCGAAGACAACCGCGACTTTGTCACGCTTGGCGAAGTCTATGAGCTAGATTGCCAAATTGAGAACAAGGATCCAGACATTCCAATGGAGCTATATCGTGAGCGTGTTAGCGAAGCATTCGCAGCAGCAGGGGCAGAAAACGACTCGAGCATGCAGGAGGAGAGGCGTGTTGCGCAGGCCAAAGCTCGTGCTTTCCGCGAAATCTGCAGTGAGCATGTACCAGAAACTCTGTTGGCGAAGTATGTGTACGGCATCTCGGCGCACAGCGACGCTTACTTTCAGTTTCGCAGCGAGTTCATAAAGCATCTAGCACTATCAAGCTTTCTGTCGTACGTACTCTTTGTTGGAGACCGGGCACCTCACCGCGTGCTCTTCTCACGGCGCACTGGTCGGGTGGTGAGCACCGAGCTACGTCCTGGATATGCAAGCAGCGGAATTTTGGAGGCGGCGACGACGATGCCTTTTCGCCTTACGCGCAATCTCTATAGCTTCATGACACGCTCGGGTGTACAGGGGCCATTTGGTGTCGGAATGATAGCCGCCGCTGAAGCCCTTATGAGTGAAGAGGACATCTTGAGCAACCAGTTGTGTCTCTTCTTCAGAGATGATTTGCTGTCATGGCACGCGTCGAAGACTCGATTTCTGTCTCTTGACACGCAAGCCGCGGGTCGTGCGTCGTCTCCTAGTGCATCCCCTGGTCCCGCATTAGCGCAGCGCCATGTGGAGTCGCAAGTACAGCAACGTGTAGAAGCAAATGTGAGTCTCGTGCTCGAGAGGATTCGAGGAGTGTCGCTGAAGAAAAAAAGTGGCGTATCCTTGCAAGGCATGAGCGTGCAAGAGCTGCTGGATATTGCTACCAGCCCGGAACGTCAGCAGGAAATGTACCCAACGTGGTCTCCGTGGCTGTAAGCGACGCTTGGCTAGGCTGTGCATATGATATATGTTGGCGGACCCTTCAATTGTGTTGGAATGGAATGTTGTGCGTCTCGCCATTCTTAGCTTGATATGTTATTCGTCTATATCGTGACACCCATATTTAGTGTGACCGTGTTTAGCTTGCGAGTGGCAACCGTTCGGGAAAGAGATAATATGGAAAGCTTAAGCTTGTGCTTGAGTCGCAATCCCTTCAATCGAATACCGCTGTCAGCACCAAAACAAATGACTTTTCGCTCGTTTTGGCGAGCTCTTTTGTCATTGTGATTGAAGATAGCCGCATGAGAAGCACATTGCTTACCGGACTACTGTTTGGTTTTGTTGCCACATCAATGCAGCTTCGTGTTGCTTGCTTATTGTTCCTCTTGTAAAGAAGCAGAAAGACACGCCCACTTACAATCTCACAAAAACCTTCCAGTCGTCAGATACGAAGCAAGTATGTGTCAAGTGATCTACCAGCACCAATGGACCCATTTTGCACTTGCCCAACCGAAGAAATGCAAGGTGCAAGCATTTTCTGATGCTCATGCCTGGACGAACCAGACTAGCAGACAGGCAATTAACAATTAGTTCATCTCGCAGTGACATGGCAACAGATTCCACAAAACTTACCCCAATCGGTGAGATGACTCAAACCCCACAGCTGCGGGTGCAGCAGCACCATCAGTCCGACCTCCACCATCTTTGCTTCGTGTTGGGAGCACTAGTGTTAAGTCAAAATCACTGCGCATCGAGCGATTTGTCACCGTCACACACACCTTGGCGGCATCCCCAATCGATATGCTGGATGCAAGGGGTACAATAGTCGTCTGCAACGCTGAGTCCGGCAAAAGGCGCACACATTTAAAATCTGCATTGGGTTTCTCACCTTGCTTGACGTGTCCTTTTAGTACATAGGTCACCAGACTTTGAAAGTCCGTCTGTGGCTCATTCTCACCACTTAGAAGCGAGGAAAAAAACGAATGTGAGGGTACCTTTGGACACCAAACAATTGTATGATCCTCCGTAATATCATTCATCGAGACGGCATTTGCTTGCCAGGATAGCTTCAGCAAAGCATGCTGCTGAGTGGATGACGCCCGATGTGCTACGGGTGACTCGAATTTCTTTTGCAGCGTGGTCGACATCACCGTCCCTTGCTCATCGTCACCAGACTCCTCGCGCATCATGACTTCTGTTGGCTCCAGTACAAAGAGAAAGTTGTAGCACTCTTGAGGTTGTAGCATAACTGGAAATGGCACCTGATCGCCACTCACGATGCAAAAGCGACTCACCTCTCCGCTCGCCGCGTCCTGTGCCTGTAACGATTGATCCAGATGAATGTGTACGTCTGTCACCGCCAATGCCAACTTCGAGTGTGTGTTTGAGGCTTGAGCCAAGATCCCTACACGCCGTTCAGCCAGTTCACGTATATTGACTTCAAGCTGCAACGGCTTCGTGACGACAATGCGCTGCTCGACACGACGTGTCATCAGCGGCGTCGGCTGAGCTTTTTTCCGAGTGAGCGAAAGCAGCTGTGACCTCGCCCATTCGTCTCGAAGCAGCGAAGCTCCAGCAGGATCTCTCAATCCAATGCTCAGTAGCCCGAGACTGTTAGCTCCTTCAGCAACATGAACAACGCCGATCTTTGGCGTCATGTGCACAGTTAGCAGTACTGACCGATCCCAGAACTCGTGATGGATGGTCAAATCAAAATGAATACCCAACATCACGACCAGCTCAGCTTCACTATTCCCTGCATCGTCCAAAGAGACGTGAATAATCTGCGTCTCTTGCCGGAACAAGATGGCTGGGGATAAAGCAGAGCTGGTTGCGTCTGAGTCGGGTTTCGAGACCTCTATAACCTGAATATGGACGCAAGCACCGTCACAATGTTCACGCCAGCGTTGTAGTAATTGCGTAGCCGTTTCGGTCTCCTTGAGCTTGTTATGGAGAGTTTTAGAACCACTCGATGATAGCATCACGTCGGCACAAACTTGCATGTTTACAGTCTCGCCTATCAATCGCAATGCAGCACGTCACGAGATACAAACTACAAGCTGCACTATAAATTTGTCTACATGAACATTCATGACTTACCCTGGATAAGCTGCTTATCACGAAGATGTAGCCGTAACCGCGCGGCCTTCCATTCCTCACTCCATGTCTTCATTCTATCGGATTTCTGTTAAGTGTCAAAGGTTGATCAATGCATTGAAATGGCTGACATTAAGTGTCTAGCTTCCTACATTTTTGCAATTAATGCTCGCATTGTTTTTTCCTTACGGTTCGCATTACGTCTCCATCTCTTAAGACGACCAACTAGCTATACAGCGCTTTCTCTCTCAAGCTTGAAGCCAAAATATACGTCAACTTGCTCTCGTCACAGTCACATTCTCTTTCAACCTTGATCGGCATCGTCAGTACTTTTTGTCTTCCCCTTTCGCCTACTGCTGTATGTCCTGGAACTGTCGCGTTCAACGCTTGCAGTCCACCATCGCGCCAAGTAAAAGCGCCTTCTAAAGCAGCATGCATCCGTTGATTACGACCAGTGTGCTAATCACCCTACAAGAAATAGTCTGGAGCTGGCTTCTTCGCAGGCACACCACGTGCATCTTGTGGTGCAGCTTCAAAAATCTGTATTTTATTAGCAATCGTATCGAGCAAGTCATAGTAGCCGTAGTTAGTCTCTAATTCATCTCAACAAATGCGTCCGATCTCTCTCTCTCTTACCTTGAATCGCTGCTCCAAGTTCTCATCAAGCTCCAAGATAGCCGCAACATTGCCACATCGGTAGCAGTAGTTAGGTGCAGACCAGACCGTTACCAGCGCATTGTTGAACATGGACTTGTGTCCTTCCATTACTAGCTGATGTGCTCGGCATATGAGCTGAATATCGTTCGTCTGGTTGAACTGTCTCATCACCCCGTTTCATATTAGCATTCAATCACAAAAACATTCGACAAGCTTGAAAAAAAAACAGAGACCAATGCAAACTCGTCCTTACCTTCTCCACCACATCACCACCAAACAAGTATCCAGCACCACGCGGACTTAGTCCCCAGCCATCAATATCTTCCGGATCAGACCACATGAGGTCGCACATCGCACCGTCATGTGGAACTTCCTGCTTGCGATCAATAATCCGAATCTGGTCCAACGTATTGATTGACGGAGACAAACCACCGTGCACGCAAAAGATCTTGTCTTCGATAATAGCTGATAAACTTAAATAATCAAAGATTTCCGTACAGTATCGCCAGACATTCACCGAGCCATATTTGCGTAGACATTCATCATAAAAGCCATAGACTTGCGTAATCTGACGACTTTCATGGTTGCCACGAATCAACGTAATACGATCCGGGTATCGTACCTACACATTTTACATTACGATAATAGTCAATACACCTCCTCTCCTCTCTCTCTCTCTCTCTCTCTTCCTCTTTCCATTATAACAAACCTTTAATGCAAGTAACAATAAGAATGTTTCCACACTATAAAACCCACGATCAACAAAATCACCCATAAAGAGGTAATTCGTCTCTGGACATTCTCCACCAACATTAAACAACTCTTTCAAGTCATAGAATTGACCATGAATATCACCACAAATCTATCATTACATGGTAATATTCCAAATAAAAAAAGTCAAAAAACCCAGTCAGAACTATAAAAAAAAACCCTTCCTCCTCTTCTTTTTCTTGCTTCTTCAATTTACCGTCACAGGAGCGTCAATACGTTGGACATTGCTCTCATCCACAAGGATCTCACGTGCTTTTTGACATAATGCTTTCACTTCCGATTCTTTGAGATATTCGCAACGTTTTAATTGCTCAATCTGTTGATCTAATTCACTGCTTTGACTTGACGCCATAATTCTCCCAAGACAAAAACAATGTCGTCTTTTTTGCTATGTCTTCTTCTTCTTCTCTATGGACTAAAAACGTAATCTCCTGTGGGTTATTCGTATGTCTTTGCTGCTGTTGCGGCCTCTTTATTTATTTAACCCACTATCAACCGGTCGTTTCAAACTTGCATAGTGCATGATCAACATTCTGGAGAAACAAACCTATCGAATCGAATAAAACCCAAACTCTGCTTTCATAATCATAAATCACATTAATCCCACAGGTGTTCATTGACATCTTCCTTCTCCTTGGGTGCATTCATATAATGTAACGGGTCTTCCTTTACTTTCTCCATCAGTTGCGCCAACTTGTCCTCGGTTTTCTTTCGCTTCATTTGTTCCTCACGGATCCAACCCATGTACAATTCATTTAGAATCTTCAATTCACGCTCCAGCTTCACTCGACGCTCCTTTTCATGACTCAGCCACTCCTTCACATCCGTAACGGCATCTGTTTCTTGCAATATAGACACATGCTCTCCTTCATTCTTGCCATCCAAAGACGCACGAGACTGTAACAATTGGCGAGACGACAGTTCTACTTGAAGAGAGGCCTTCTTGCGGAGCCAAGCACGCTTTATACGCTGCGCTTCAACTACAGCAGCAGTCTTGTCCGGTACGAACATTTCCACGCACATCTTGACGGCCACCATAGCGTGTTCCATCATAGCGACTACCACCAACAGCCCGGCAAATGACATTTTTGGAAAAAGCCTGTTCAGAAATCCCGAATGCAGCCCGAAAATCGCGCAGTTTGTCATTACTGACAGGTAGCCTAGCGCACTAAAGGCATAATACCATGTACCAATGCCTTGGGTAGAAGTTCGATGGCATCGACGAAAACTCACGCAAAGTTTGAAGCCGTCACTTCGAATCTCCATAACGTTGTTGCACAGGCTCCAAAGTGAGGCAAGAGGGTATGCCGCTGCAAACAGTGTTACTTGCCTACAGAACCATAGTATTGCACGTCATAACAAGTCAACTCTAATAAACAAGCGATGATTATGGCAACAAGGTGCTTCCACGTACCCAAACTGCACAAACATCTCCAAGTAATCATCAAATGTGCCATCATAGGTAGGGAAAAGCAGCTCTGCGTCAACCTTATTAAATATAGCGTCAGTGTTGTGGGTTTCATGCACCAACCTTCCTTCTTCAGCCTTAAGTGACGATTGTTTGCTCATATAGGGCATAAGTTGCTCTTGCAAATTTCCCAAAAGCTGTCGCGTGATCAGTAGCGAGCTCAGAGTTTGTTCCAACAGAGCCATATCGCGAGATTTAAATGCTACGTAGAACAGAAAGCCAAAGTTGTTTACAAAGTAAAACAACGCTAGCTTTAGCACACGCGCATTCGCAAACTAAAGCAAAAAAAGACAACGTCAGCCAAGATCAAATATATACATCGCAGAACATGAATTGTATCTTACATCACTCTCAGTGCGGTGGTTTTCGTACTGCGTTAAGTCAGATGCAAGCTCGGAATACTTTGCATCCACATAAAGCACCACGACTGAGTAGATGATGGAAGGCAAAAGATAGATGTATTCGTAGATACCATCCCACCCTTTAGCAGGTATAAATGCAACAGCAAACCATTCCTCCATCCAGCAATAGAGCACCATGAGAAAGGTGACCACAACCATTGCAGCTATTGTCGCTGATATCGTCACGAAATAGCGTTTTGCACGGTCCTTGGACGAAAAGTAGGTGTAATAGCACCCTTCAACCGGATCAAATCGTTTTACACCAATGAATTCTATGCGAGTAGGTTCCAGGGTCACTGCATCAGAAGCAGAAATACTCCACTCGTGGCGTAACGTGCTCTCGCGGCGCTTCCAAAACTTTAAAAAAGCTGTTGCCCAACTTGTTACCAAGAGTGAATACAATCCACGACCATAGGCAGCCCAACCCGGGTAAAAATCAATCACAAACGTCAATAAAGCGACTGCTGCCAATGGTACGAGCCACTGTGTGTACATTCCGAGAAAGCCAAAATAAAATCCCACCTCGTCTCCAAAGTACGATCGCACAGTGTTGATAGGTTGCGGCTTTGACCACTTTTTCACCCACTCTTCAATCAACTCACTCCGTTCCTTGTCGTCATGCAATGGAAAGTGGTCCGTCAATAGCGTAGAATGCATCGCTTGTTGCAAAAGTGATCCATGCTCCTCGTCCTGAAATGGTTCAGGTATGTTCACCACATCGTTTTCCGTTGTCTTCTCTATCTCATCACTTTCAGTAAGGCGATAAGAAGACGGGTGTACTTTCAAACGCCCTAGTTCAAAGAGAAGAAGATCAATCCTGTCTCCAGAACAAAAGCGTTCAGGCGTAGACTCGTCGCTGACTTGACCATACAATACACGCTCCTTCTTTTCCTTAATAGCCACCAAGGTAGCGTGTGTACCTCCTAGTAAATAATATCTCTCATCAAGTCCAGTATTCTTGTGTTTCTCGTCTACTTCTTCGTGCTTTTCCAGTACGTTCTTTGGCTTTGGGACAATCAGCAGATGACTTTGCTTCTCCACCATTTGCACAAAAAATTCCACCGCCTCCTGTGCAAATTCTTTTGTATTGAAACACAATACAACGTCCATATCGTGCTCAGCCTCACCACGTGGTGCAGTTTCCTATAGTAAACAAAACGTCATAGATAAACATGGAAAAGATGTCAGTTTAAGAGGAATAAGCACCAGATTTTCTCCTTTAAGATACAATACACACCACGGGAGTTGCTACGATGAACTTTGTGAGCGTATAGGCACTCGCAAGGAAGCCAGCAGCTCCAACAGCGCCCTTGATCACTGCATCTCCTACAGTCGACATGGATATTCTTTTTGTACGCAATGATTTCAACTTTTGTCAATGGATGGATTTTTATCTCATCTTTTTAGATTTTATCTGGATAGATAAACTATCCAATAGAATTGCGCCAGAAAAGGAGCGCAACTCACGATGGTTATATGGAGGTGTTTGATGTCATAGTGAAACCAAGTCAACCATTATTGCTGGCCTTAATTGATTATTTTTGTGACAAAAATGACGAAAGGTTCAGATGCTTGTAAAGGGCTTAAACCCATCGAGTCTATGACAAGAAAGTCCGCTATTCTCAATGAAGAGGTCAAAACAAAACTATCCAAGCGTGCGATGCGGAAGGAAAAGCGTCGTATGCAGTGGGATGACCGAAAGATGGAGAAAAAACGCAAGCGTCAAGAGCAGCAGCGAGTGAAGAAGGCGAATGGACTCATGCCGCTTGTACAGGAGCTCGATATGAGCGAGAATGCTGTATTACGACGCAAAGAACGAGCAATTGCTAAGCGTGAATCTTATCTAATGGCTGCAGAAGAAGGTATCAAGGTGGTTATCGACTGTGAGTTTGAGGAGAAGATGACTGAGAAAGAAAAAAAGAGTCTATCGCAGCAAATTATGTGCGTATTTGCTCGTGTTCGACACGGGAAATTGAGTCAATTACTAGTCTAAATGTATTGTATGGATGATACTATGTAGGTTTTCATATGGAGTAAATCGACGCAGTAAGACGCCCATGAAGTATGTGTGACCTACAGAAAGTGGGCTACCGGTTTAGTGGTTGTAACATGATTTGTATGGTATTTGTTTTCCAGCACGTACATCACTTCGCTTCATGGAGATATTCAACAGAATCTGGAGAACATTAGTGGCTTTCATGAGTGGCAAGCGGTACAGTTTGTTTGTTCTATTCAGGATGCTTGCTTGCCTGGTACATTTGAAGACAGTAGCGATTAATCTTCTTGCGTTTTTTTTGCAGTTCACAGGATCGTCCAAGAGCTACATGGACCTCTTCAAGAAGGAGTCACTTGTCTATCTTACAGCCGACTCACCCACCACCATCACAAGACTGAGCCGTGACAAGGTTTACATCATTGGTGGCATAGTAGATCGCAACCGTTTGAAGGGTATTACGTACCAAAAGGCGGTAGAGCAGGGTATTGAGACGGTGAAGCTCCCGCTGGATGCTGTCGTCGAGATGGGTTCGGCAACGCGTGTGCTGACCGTCAACCATGGTACATAACAATTAGCTTGGCATAACTTAGGTCGAGGCTGTTCTAATACTTATTGCAATGCAGTTTTCCAGCTTTTAGCGCAATTCTCAGAAGTGAAGGATTGGGCCCAGGCTACATTAGCAACGCTTCCGTCGCGCAAGGGTGCTCATTTGAAGGAGCAATAGTTGAGCACTTTCTAGACTGATGAACATCCTGAACAACCTACGATGACGAACGCATAAACTTAGCCAAAGCGTTTCTTCCAAGCAGTGCACCTATGCTCCTCTAATATTGCACAGCGCCATTTCCAGACGTTCTTCTGCCAGCTTCATGTCTTTCACCTATGGCGGTACGAAAAAAAGAATGGAATCAACAAGGTGAGATTGGTGTGAAAGTCAGCAAATCAAAATTGTGAATACCTTGAGAGCAGCAATAGCGAACTTGGCAAACTCAATCGCGTCATTGATCTCGCTCTGTGATACAGGCGTATCACGGGCCCGGACAGGAATCTTCTGCAGCGTATGGCTAGGAGGAGGCTGATGTGACGGTGTTGAAGTAGACAGAGATGAGTATGCTGAAGTTGGGGCTAGCGGTGGTTGCTGTGCTGGTGGCGGTAGAGTAGTAGGTGGTTGGTGTGCCGATGGCGGGGTGGTGTGCCGTGGCGCTGGAGCACCAGAGGGTTGGTGTGTCGGAGCCGACGCCGGAGGAGACTGGTGTAACGACGCCGGGGCCTTGGGAGCTGAATATGTTGGAGCGGGAGCTGAATGAGTTGGTGCTGAAGGAACGGTCGGTGTGTGAGCAGGTAAAGATCCGAGCCAAACACTATCGAGTTCGCTAGCGCTCATTGCACCAGCGGATCTCACCGAATCGGCGAGCGAGGGGATACGAGACGGCTTCATTGGTGGCGGGGAGCTGGATCTCGGCATAGCTGGTGCAGGGGGTTGTGTGGAAGAAAATGTTGCTGTTGGCGCTGCATCGCCGCTTCTGTCGTCAATCTGTACGCACGAAAAACAAGTCAGCTTCCCACTGACACAACATGCATGATGCACACACCTACATTGTTCATGTCCATTTCCTCTGGAGGACCAGGTGTTGGAGTTTTCCCTTCCTTGATTGCTTTCAAAATCGTTGCAGCTTTGTATTTGCAATAACGTCGCTTCTCCACAACCTACAAAAAAGCAAAACATGACATCCAGCATCAGACCCAATCGACCGTTCTAAATCATGTCCCATTTGCTACATACATCCTTTGAAATCTCGCCAAACTGGTTCAGAAGGTCGAAAAATGTTCCAGCTGCGTAGAATGTGCGAGCTGTGCTCCTGTGCACACAAGACACCAAATAACAAAACAACAATCAGTCATATAAAGTCGATCCATCACAAAGTTCCATGCTCAGCAAACACTACCCACTTGCATGCCATGCCTGCACGGTCTTCATCATCTGCCTTTGAAAAGATTTCCATAGCAAAATCCTCACAAATTTCCTGTCATGAAATCCCATCAATGTATCGAATATCGTCTTCAGTACCAGAGCCAAGTGCATTTAATTATCCGTGTTTTGATAACCACAAACCTTTCCTTCCTCCTGTGTAAATTCTGGCAGCTTTTCTTTCTCACTCTCTAAGCGGTCCATGAGTGATAACAAATAATCCGTAGCTTCGTTGGATGTATCGTTTTCACGCAATTTAATGCCAAGCTCCATGGCATACTGACGACAATAATACGCAATAAGCTTTGACTCGGGACGTGACGTATCCCTATCTAGCTCTTCTGCACGTCGAACATATGGTAGCAGTGATTTAAACGTTGATGGCACCTTCACAGGCTGTGGATCAGCCATGATGATGCTCGTTCCCTTTGATGATTGAAACTTGGAAAGATGTTGAGAATATGAAGAAAAGTAGTGGTATGAAGTAAATATACGGTCAAACTTATATCTCAATATTTTTGGATAATATCCGATAAACTAAAAATAAAAACAAGTGACATATCAAAACAGGTCTCGTCCGTCACTCCATCATCATCGGATGGATAATTCATTGACAATCAATCATACATTGTGTTTGTTACCCCCCTATCGTGCATCTTTTTCAATGTGTGATCATATCTAGCTTGTAAATGACTGGATTGGAGCAGGTAGTGGTTCAGTTGTGACCTGTAACTGTACAAGATTCGTTTTCCCACGGCGCTTCACTTGAACAGGAATATCACGCCCAATAGTGTAACCCACGGTTGTCAAAATGTCTTTGGTACTAAACACCTTCTTTCCATCAAACGAAACAATCACGTCACCAGGAAGCAAACCTCCTTTGTGAGCAGGTGAACCCGGAGAGACTGACTTGACAATAACGCCTTCCTTTACATCCGGAAACATTCGGCCAATCTCTTTGAGCTCTCGGGAGTTAAAGTTAATCATCTGCATGCCAATGTACGGACGCACCACTTTTTTGTGCTTGCGTAGCTGCTCAATTACTTGAACTGCCGTATCAGCCGGGATCGCGAAGGAGATACCCACGCTGCCATACACCTTCATTGTATTGATACCAATCACCTCACCGTCCAGATTAATAAGCGGGCCGCCAGAGTTGCCCGCATTGATAGCTGCATCCGTTTGGATGTACTCACCACCTTTCTGCGGGTAACCCAGCTCGCTGCTATGCCGAGCTACAGCACTGATAATACCAGCACTCACGCTATTTTGCAAGGAAAATGGGCTACCGAGAGCACACACCCATTCACCAGCGCGAAGTTCTGACGATGACGCGATCGAAATCATAGGCCACTCTTTCACTTCATCAGATTTGATCTGGAGTAACGCAATGTCTGAAAGAGGATCGGTGCTGTGGATTACAGCAGGGTGTGTGCTGCCGTCGGCAAACGTCACCTATGAATAAGCGTGAATATTTCTGTAGAAGGGTAGAGAGAACTAAGTGCAAATGCAACTGCAGGTTACCTGGATTTTGGAGTAACGATTGCATCGTGCGAGAACGTGGGCGTTTGTTACAATTAAACCTTCCTTCGTGATGATAAAACCCGATCCATTGCTACCAACGTATCCTACAATCAACAAAATCCAACAACAGCATTTTCACACAAAGCACGATGAATCCAATAGTAAAAACCTATCAAAAACACGACATATATACTCACCTGAATCCACAGCAATGTTCACAACGGCAGGAAATGCTTTCTCCACAGCATCAGCAATGAAATTCCTCGACAGCATACTCTTCTTTGCCAATGATGGCTCTAGTTTTACCGTCTCGTCTGCAAAATATACAAAAATCACGATACAAACGGACTGTCTCTCATTTGCCAAACTCCAGACACTCACCTCGCTTCTCATGACTAACGACTGCTGCTATCGCGAGACCAGCGCTAGCGACGACGTATGCAGACGACAAAGACCGTACCGCAAGTTGGCATGTAGTAACATCCGTTCTGGAGCTCAATAATCGCTGCGCACCAGCACGACGAGCTACAATGCGCCACGAGCCTCGCCACATTCGCAACAATTCTAACACTGTAACCCATTATTTCATTTATTTCACCTAGGAGATAATTGACCAATCATTGCGATTTTCATCTTGAATATTCTGTTTTTGAAAAAAAAAACTTATATTAATGTCCAGCCTTATAGTCTTAATTTCAACAAGAACTTGTCGTTTTTGTAAAATCTGACGCATGGTATTTAAAAAAACCCACTTTATGTGTGTCTTTTACCTTACATAAAATTCACTCCTACAATTGCAATAATACCGGTCATGGTAAAGGTAGTAAACAAAGCTGCTGACGACGAACCAGATGAGTCACTAACGTCGTCGGCTCTACTCGTCAATTCGTCCGCCATAGAACCAATGTTACTGGCTGCACTACCTAGTAAACTACCAGCATAATCAAGGGTCAATCCAGCTGCATTCGACACATTGGCGGCAGTTCCATTAGCCCATGCGCCCGTGGCATTTTTAGCGACCATGGTAGCATTCGAGACGTTGCCGAAAGCGTCATCAAACCAGCTTCCAGTTTTATTCATGGCAAGCGAAGATGTATTGGACACAGAGCGAGCAGCATCACCTACCCAATTGTTAACCGAATTTGCAGCGGCGTTGATGTCGTTCATGACGTCGGCGGCTGCAGTTTTTTCAACCGATACAGCGGCAGCTAGAGTAGCGATAACGAAGCAGACGCAACGGGGCATTGTGGAGAGAATACGAGATGGATTGAATTCAATGAGCTTGATGAAGCACGAGTCTGATGAAGATGTTGGAGCTTGAAAGCAAATGTGAGAATAACATGAACGACTGACTGACTGATGCGACTAGCCGCGTGACTGAAACCTGTGGAGTTAATGACAATTCGAGCGTACAGATTTAGCATACGTGATTGTAGATATTTATAATTAAGCATAACCTGCGCATTTTACAGCGTAATGTAGCCGCATGAGACACGTACGTTACCGGTGCTAATAATAACAACTGGGGTTACGCATGAACTCGTCCTGCATGCATTTATTTATACATCAGTTTCAGTGAGCGCAAATTCACCTGTTGTTTCTGGGTCCATAAGTACTTGAAGCCGTTGTCTAACGCTCAGAATTTTCTAAATATACATGGTGAAGGTCAGAAGGTCAAATTCCAGCAAATTGGTAGGATGATTCTAAATTTGAATCAAATGAAATTTTAGATAGTATTTAGAAATACAATTATTTTGTACTACCAAATAAATCTAGAAATCGGTCTATCTACCAACAAAGCATGCGTAAACAGTGAAAAGTATGCGTAAACAACCTATTTTTGAGAATAAACGGTAGCAACTTTAGGACAAACAACTTAACCCGGAAGAAGTGTATCAATCATTATAACAATAATGCTGCGTCCTATCGTCACCACAACAGGTAAGTGCGATACCTTTTGATACATTTTCTATCTGCATCATTAGTAGTAAACTGAGACTCTTGTTGCTGATAGTGGCGCTATTTGCTGCAGTTGTAGCAACCGAAGGCTGGATGTGGTACTGGGTGCCTGCTCGCTATGCAAAACTAGAGGAAGCGGAGCGCAAGATTCTCACGCGCGCTGTATCGGTCCCATTTGAGATGAAGAAGGTTGCACGACTTGGTACTGTCGTGGTTCCTTGCTCTGATGAGAATAAGCGCAAAGACGCAACGAATCTTGTGCTGATTCACGGCTTTGCTGGTGGCAATGCAGTGTGGGCGATGGTGAAGTGACTGTTATGCGCTTACCATCATTTAGTTGGATTGAGAGATTTGATCCTGGTTGCATTGTGGTGTTTGACAGAATTTGGAGAAACTGTCCGAGCATTTCAATGTGGTAAGTTTGCAGCATAAGTACAAGTGTAAGTGTTTAGTGTCTAAAGCTCCAGACGGGTTGATTATATCTGTGTGTGGTCACAGTATGCGGTGGAGTGGATTGGTGCTGGTCGTTCTGATCGACCTGACTTTAACTACAAAGACGTAAGAGTTTGGATTGTGGTGCTGCTTATCGATGGATTATGTGTCGAATACTTGATCTTGACGATTTACTTTTTCATGTAGTACGACAGTGCTGATGAATTCATTATGAACTCTTTCGAGAAATGGCAGCAGGCGATCGAGCTAGAGCAGTTTCATCTATGTGGTCACTCGATGGGGGTATGCCATTCCTGACACGAGCTTGCTTGGACTAGAAGTGTTTCTAACTAAAACGCTAACATTGTTATGCCAACCATTTCAGGCAATCTTTGCATCATCATACGCTCTAAAGCACCCTGAACATGTCAACGTAAGTGTGAAACACAACTGCGTAGTGACCGCATTAGAAACTAACGTCAACTACATGTTTGATGCAGCACCTGGTATTGGCATCTCCTGCAGGTGTTCCGCAGCCACCACCACCTTTGGACCCGACAACGGAAGACGGAAAAGCTTTGAACCGCTCATGGCTGAGGCGTTTAATCTTTACAGCATGGAAACACAACATAACGCCGATGTCTATCGCCCGATTTGTAGGGCCGTTTGGACCAAAGCTTGTTCAAAAGGTTGTGCGCCGTCGAACATCATTCATGTCGGAGGAAAGTGCCATGCGGGACGGTCGTGTTGACCTCAACGAGCTAGGGGAGTATATGTATCACAACTGGGCACTCAAGCCAAGTGGAGAGCGCGTCATGAACACGCATCTCGCTCCAGGCGCACACGCTGTGCGTCCCCTTGTGGACAAGTTGCTCCCTGAAAATGTCAAGATGCCGCTTACGTTTATATACGGCGAGCACGATTGGATGGATTACTACAATGGACTAGGCATTGTGCAACGATTTAAGGAGAAAGGCCATGCAGCTGATCTTCACCATGTGCGGAACGCAGGCCACCAAATGTTCATGGAGAACCCAGATGAATTTAGCTCCATTTTGATCGAAAGCCTGACTACGTAGACAATGCAACAAACATTCTAGTTGCAAGATAAAACATGTTTTGTGTATCTATGGGTTCCTCAGACGTGCTTGAAAAATCATAATGTCGCCTCCTTCTTGAAAATCTGGATGTAGTTCTGATTTGTCAACCGGTTCAACATCAAACACTTTGTTAAATGTGTCAAAAAACTTTTCTTCCAAATTTTGACGCTTCTTGTAAGCAAGCAGTACCAGCGTCATGGGTCCAGCCAATGCTCGGAGTGACGTCATTAATGCCTCAAACGACGAAACGTAAGGACATGCTACAATATCGGCACCTAAGATCACGTCATAAGGACCACGAGCGCCAACCTTCGGAACCAGGCGATGGTCCAAATCACCCCAGAGATACGTCTCAGCAGTGCAAATATCTTCAGAAAGGCGATTTACCTTCATATTGCGTTGAGTGAGTGTAATGGATACAGGATCTCCATCCGTCATGACGACGCTACTAGGTTCCAAGTGAGCAGCTACGATTCCAACAAGTCCTGGACCGCAGCCCAATTCAATGACCCGTTTTTCTTTCACTAGATCTCGATGAGCGGCTAAATACAGTGACAATGCAATGGCTGAGTCATACACGGAAGCACCAAATCCTAATGTTGTACCGCCTCGTCCATCGCTCTGCCAAGCTTGATCAATTTGAATGCGCTTGCCGACAATCGGGAACCAACGGGTGGCATCACGCAACGCATCGTGAAAAGGACTTCGAAAGGAATACGGCACTAAAGCACATGTCAAAGACGCTGTAGATGGAGACGAAGCCTCAAAGTCATCGGAGAAGCGATTCATACCTTCTGTCGACATGGCGAAAATGAAAACTACCCTGCAATTCTGCGACTGTTAGAAATGGATTAGAAATATCATGTCCCGAAATGTTATATCGTGATTTTTCCAATGCAAATATTGCTATAGTCTAATTATTGGCTCGATATCACGCAACAAACTATGTATGACCATTCACATGATTCATGATCCGCTTCCATCTAGATATGTGACCTACCACATCTGCTTTATCGTTGCTTACATAGCGGTGGATGATATGGTCATCAACGTGATCGCACAGTTCTTGTTGCTACACAGGTCAAAGTCTAGTCATTGAGAGATCAATACCATGATTTAGCTACAAAAACTGCCGTGATATCGTCGGTGATGTAAACTTGGAATTGATCTGCTTTGCCACCGTTATCATGCGCTCCGCATCGTCCCTAGACATTCCTCGACGAGCCGTGAGGTCCCGGTCTCTACCACAACAACAAAAATCATTTCAAACCCTCAAAACCAGCGACACGTATGACTGTTGCTCAGCCAGGGTATAATCTACAAACCTGTTCCATCTACCGCTGGTTTGCGTTGAGCTGACCCCATCTCTTGTGTGCTCGGCTTGTTTGCGCTGGTGTTGCTCTAGCAGCGATGGGCCTCGTGCCCTCCGTAGGTTCTCCATTTGCTTTCGCATTTCGGCATCTGCCTCGGGGTTTGCATGAGGTAAAATCGACTCGTTCACTGTTGTCGGGGCTATAGCGGGTGTTGCACTGCTAGCATCTGTACTCGACACATTTTGTTCACGAACGCAACCAAGCAACTCCCTGTAGACAGCAGAAAGACGCAGTTAGTATACAAAACACAACAATGGAAGTCGCATCAGATTATCGATCGTACATGTCGAGCTTGGCACGTTTGGCACGCTCCCGTTCTTCAGGGCAATCAAACCATGTTTTGTCCACAGCAGCAGGTTCCTTACTGCACATAAACAATTGTAAAACACATGCATTAGCATGTAGCATCCATACAATCGACAGCCAAGCGTCAGAAAAGGTCAACTGTCAGCAACTTTTGTACTGACCTCCGAAACGCAACAGCTTTGCCGAGAAAAGGTCGGTTCTTGGGACCAAGGGAATCCTTCAACATCGAGCTTTCAGGCATCATCGTCATCCACGCTTCTCGCACCAAAGGACTCTTACCATCTACTTCAGCCATTGTCCTCTTGCTGCCCTCACGCGCGCGCTCCCACTGCTCTCTATCCAACTGTTCTGCCTTACGAGCCATCTCAGCCTCCACCTTCTCGTCGGCTAACCGAAAGCCCTTCATACCAGGAAGTGCTGGACCTACAACTTCATCATCGTCGTCGTGGATATCACTTCCGTCATTATTTGCCAACACAGGAGGAAGAGCTGGTCCAATAGGCAATTCCCGCTTCATTGCCTTTCCTCTGGCAGGTTCAGCAGCTTTCGTGAACAGTGTCTTATCATCATCTTCAAGAAGTACAGTTGCCGCTGGCAGTGATGACGACTACGGAGGACAATTTCATATTCGTTTATTCTGTAACTTCTCCAACTATTCCTCGCAGCTTGTTTCAAATTACCAACCTCGTCAGTGTTGTTAGATAACATCTTTTGGAAAACCTCCATCAAACATTCTGCTGCATTATCTTTGCCTTGGCGTGGTTTAGCAAATGAACCATTGGCTTCTCGTAGCTAAAGAGCAATATTCCACAACAAAAGTGTTTTGGCATTAGCATCATCAACATCTACCTCTCTCCAATTCGCACACACACTCGCAAACTCCAACAACGGACCTTATGCAACCCCAACAACGGGAACAGCTCCTTCAGCTTCGAACGAATGCGTCGGTTTTCGATACCACCAATGACAACCACTTCACCATTGTCCACCATTTGCAGCAACTGTAAAAGGTCCTTGGTAAGCTCCGGTGTTTCCATCAGCAGCTCTCTCACCACCTTCATCGCTCTCTTGTAGTCAGGAACGGGGGTATCACTATCGCTGTCACTGCAATTCCTACTGTGCCGCTTGTGGCTCTTCCTTTCCTTCTTCTTCTTATGCTTCTTCTTCTTCTTTTTCTCGTCATCATGTCGCTTCTTATGTCGTTTATGCCTCCTATCCAGTCGACTCAAGTCTTGGTCACGTTCATGCTTGCTCCCCATTTAATATCTGAGCGTGTGTAATTGTGATGTGGCAGAAGAGAAACACAGCGCATAGCTTATGTATGCAGCACTTTTCGCAGAATATCTGAGCTTCTGCTCATGTAAATATGCACCTAACGGAGCTAGTTGCTTGACCTATTGACCACAACATGTTTCTATAATTCTGACCTACAGGATCGACTCTGAACTTGCAACGAGAGGCAGCGTGGTACAGCGCGTACGACCGAGGCAGACCGTTCATTGTGGTCACGTTCTTGAATGTGTGCAACGAATTCACAGTCACTGCTGCATGCATCAACAACTAGCGATAACCATGTGCGTCAGTTTGCTCATGCGTCAGCTACTGAGTTGAGGAGAAATTGATCTTGAATCTCGCGTAGATGACCATGTCATTGACACCTGACCGACTATTAGTGGTCGAGTATAGCAAGATAGCACCTAGAGTCTTAGCTCTCGTAGGAGCTTCATTCATCGAGACTGCCTGTTGTGGTATCGCTACAGCAGACCCCGCTGACTCACTGGTCCTTCCAGGTTTCTTGACATCTCAAAGCAGTGAGCAGCAAACGGGATGTTACAACGACCACGGCTTACCACTATGACAACTGGAATGCTCTGCTAGTTGCTGTTGAGTTTCACTATTTTTATACCTGCGTCCAATGCAGCACCACTGCCAAGAAGTATCACCTGCAGTGACGGCAATTCAAATCTGTACAAAATGAGTTTAGAAAAGCATTTGAAAATATATGTATTCGTGCAATAGCAACTAGAAGTTCCACAGGCCGCCACTACTTATCTTCCGTTCACGTCTTTCGGACTTGCCAAAGGTAAAGCGACCATGGGGTTATGCGGTCCCACCAAAACGCCTATTAGAAATCAAGAACTGTGAGTAGGCAGTCATGACCTGATCATTTTTGATATCTGTCAACGGGATATCATTTTGCAACCACAACGCGAATTGTTTGGCCTGCAGATTCTCCAGCATAAACTCTTTAATAAGCGTAGGCTTTTCGTTGAGCGCTGCTTGAACTGCAGCTGCAAGCTTATGTTCGCCTTCAAACTTGTCCAATAACACACTTCTGATGTGACGCATCGGGTCCTCGGGGTTGAAGAGAAAGACAACGGTGGACCAAAACTCAAACTTGAATCTTGCAAAGGGGTCCTCACCTGGATTCACATTCGCCTTCTTGACTTTCACATAATCAAACAACTTGTCCGGAGACTTCCTCAGCTGCCACCACTCAGGTTTCATCTTCTCGATGAATGCAGCGTATGTTGTCGATATCTTTGATTTCAGCTGTTGGCTGATGCTCGTTCGGGCGACGTCTGACGTGGAGATGTGAGCGCCATTAATCCTGTCTTCAAAAGTGACGGTATTTTGATTACTCGTTGTCTCGGGTACGTCGGATCTCAAGTATTGCTTGTCCACGACGCTGTTTTCAGCTGCATGCACCGTATTCAAAGCACGTGAGCTTCCTTCAGATACCAATTCTGGGGGAATCTCGCTCGTAGCCGAACACGCGACCAGCGCAATAACAAGCAGTATCTTCACAAAGGATGACTTGGCTGCACTGAACTCGACGAACATCCTCAAACTTGACTGCTGTGGCTTCGATCGCAGAATGGAAAGTGATGATAGAACACCAGGACTGATGTCTGATGAAACGCAAACCTGGTCTTGAACCAACTACTGCTGTCCGATTCAAATCCTGCCTCCATGTCGTCGAAACCCGGCTTGAAAAAGGTGATTTTTTTGCGGATTACACAACCGCCTTCTTCACATTCAAGAAAAACCAGCTGCAGTCTGACTCACGCCCGATTTGCCCGGATATTTTCCAACAAGTGCTGTTTAGGTCCATGTCAAGTCCAAGTAGCGCACATTTCACGAAAGTGTGATGTGCTGCGATAATGTTCCGTTTGATACATACCTTGAGTAATAACCATCTTCTGAGAAGTGAATAGAGTTACACAGCATTTTGCTACAAGAGGCTCCATAAGCTGCAAGTCAAACTCAACAAGTACGTATGAACTCGAGCGGAAAGATTTTCGGTCGCTGCCCATTGCATCCCCACCTTCAACGTCATGTACACTAGTGTGATGCCCAAGACGAGCTGCATTCGTCGTGAGCTGTCCCACAGGAGGCACTGGGGGGCCATCTGGAGGAAAAAGAATGCTTTGGAATGATTTGGCACAGACCACTTTCGACCAGCGCATACGTGTAGAGGCTTGACACTCACTCACTCCAAAGAATTTTCACATCCTATCAGCTCCTAACTAAATGATCCATATCCGTCGTGAGAACGTTGCGAAGAGTTGAAGGATAAGAAATCGTGAAGATTTTTATATCGTGCCACCAGCACTTCAAGGATAAACCCCCTGCTGTTGCGACAGAAGCTGAATGTGCCTATACAACTGATCTGAGAAAAGTCATCTTTGGTGAAAAATATTCATGCAGACCAACTCGATCGGTGACGTTGGTGTGGTGTTGTGAACAGGATATATGTACAACAACCATGACTACCACTACTAAGGGTAACGAAGCTTTTTGCTGTTAGGGCTTCACAATACTGCTACCAATGCAGTTACTGAGAGGAAAAGTACATGCGACGTACTTCTTCTACGTTGCGTTAATCTCACGTGACGTGGATGGCAAGAGAGGCACGTTGCGCTATCTTTCAAAATCTTGTGCTTTGCATTAGATACCAAATACTGGTAGATATCCTTTTGCAAGGGTAGTCAAGGTACATGATAACGTTTATATCGCTATATAAGCAGCACATTTGCTGTTACTTTGCGCACCAAGCAAATTATACCAGCCCGTTCTCAACGCAATATTACAAATGTTGATCTGCTTAGCTTTAACGAAGAAGCTCTGCTCACTTTTTTCCTTCGTGGGTTCTGTTGAATCGCTTCAACACAGCTATTTTTGTAACCTTGTCCAGCAATATGGCAGTATATAAGTCACAGCAATCAACAAAGTCAGCATTCTGTTGCCACCCGCAAGAGTCCAAACGTCACTTTCAACATACAATTAATTACCCAAACTCTTTACCTTTTTCACTCGATTGTAGGCAAATAAACCTCTCTGTTCTACCTCATGAGCTATCTAAAGCATGGCTGGCTTTCCAAATACTGGGCAAATTGTGCTCGAAAAAGTTGACTAGTAATTGGTTTACCGTTCTTGGTGTCACTTAGCGGATTGTTGACAACTGTCTCCACATAAATCTGTCCGTAGATATACTTAAGTGTAGGGGTCATGTCCCCCACATAGTTGTCCGTCATCATCACAAACCGCAGACCACTTGGTGTTTCATATTGATGACACGTGTATGAATTGGTCTGATATCTCTGCATTCCTTCCGGTATGCCCGCTGCCACAAGTTTTGTTGTCCCATACAAGTCTGTAGTCGACATCATTGAAGACACGGGTGCAATTTTCCCCACAAATTCCTTGAGCGAGAATAGGAGACCAAATAATAGACGTTTTTCTTCTTCTGGATCAGAATATTTGACACTTTTTCCATCGTGCCATTTCTTTTGGTATAGACACGATCCATTGCGTGTGTAGATATAAAACGAGTAAATCATTTCGTCACGTTCTATAAGCTGCTTAGTCAACAATGAACACGTACATGTAACTAGGTATGGTACACAATATTAACTACATGATTCACAATCTAATGACACAAGCTGAACAATCTAATGACACAAGCTGAACGATCTAATGACACAAGCTGAGCAATCTAATGACACAAGCTGAACAATCGAAGGACACAAGCTGTGCAATTTAATGACACAAGTTTTACAGTAGGAACGTACAAGTTTTACAGTAGGAACGTACAAGTTTTACAATCTAATTGCATACTATATAACAGACATCCTAAAGCTTATAGACTTGTGTAGCAAGCAAGAAAACAGTAGCATTGAGCCTCTTATTTAGACATGGGAATTGTATTGAATCAGATTCATGTCTGTATTGCAAAAGATGCAGATTTGTCTCTATATACCAAAATGTGCATACAGCAACTGGCACGTGTTTGTGGTCTTGTAGCAGCTTTTCACAGTGAAAAGTCCACGTTTTGCACATTATCAGGCTTTAAGGACACGAAACAACAGGTAGCAGTGGCATGTATGATCCATTGGAAGCTACAGCAAGATCAGGAGGGTGGTGTGAAGGTATCGATGAACAATTTGGCCATGGGCACGTGTCTTTCACTCGCGCAGCTGCTGAACTGCGACAAGATGGCAATGGAGATACTTGAACATGGTATTGTGACTGTGTTGGACGCTGACTCATTTGTTAATGAAGTGCTACATCAGACGAAGGAGGATAATGAGTTGCAGGTAGTAGACTGCAGAGAGCAAAAGGAGTTTTTGGGTCTTGCAAACGACAAGGAGGTGTCGGGACACCTTGAAGGTGCCAAAAATGTTCCGTTTGCATCAATATTTGCGACAGATAGCGATTCTAATGGTACAGAACAGGAAGACGGAGACTCTATGGTCGAAAGTAGTTGTGACGGAGCGTCCCTGCTGCCTGTAGAAAAGCTGCGGGAAGTCTTTGAAGGTAATGGCATTGATCTGAGAAAACCTGTTGCGGTTGTAGCGAGTCTACCAGCAGAAGCAGCTGCTGTTGCAACTGCCTTGTTGCTTACTGGTCAATGTACTAGAGTTGCATTTTGTTCCGATGCGCTCAATGACGAGCTGGTCGCATCTTTTCCCTCTTCGTATACTGCTGACATTCTCGGCGAAGGTCAGTTACTATATAAAGACGACAAGGGCACCTTTGACCTATCGCCACAGTTAGATGGAATCGACACGGCCGTGGGTGCGGATCGAAAAGCAAAGATGGCGGAGCTTGAAAACATCTACAAGGAAGAACTTAGCAGGAAGGCAAGCAAAGAGCGAGGAAATGACAAAACGGAAGATAAAGTGGAGGAAATCGTATGGATTAAGGACAGCCGTCGTTTTTTTGACATGCCATCTCCTATCAGCAAACTAGAGTTTTTGGATGCGTCACGAGCAATTTTCCGTGTGGTATCCTTTGTGCTGGCGCCTTTTGGGTTTCCTGCTTTGTTGCGCAAAAAACTCTCTTTGCAGGAGGTTAAGACCCAATGTGGATCCCTCTTTCAGGATGTGATTGAGGTATGCTCGGATCTTATCTACCAGCAAAAAGAGCTCAATGAAGGCGCGATGGCTATGAGCGTACACAAGTGGATAGAACAAAATCATGACTTTGAATGCACTGAACAAGTAAAGGCGATTAATGAAATCTGGGAAGTCTTGTACACACCTCCTGCCGTAGTAGAAGTGCCAGACCTTAGCGAGGACCATGTATTTGAGCTCGCAACAAGATTGGATCAGAAAATGCGCGAGCTGGTTGGCCAGCGCACACCTTGGGCGTTTTTGAGTGTGGACGAGGAAGAGCCCAACGACGAAAAGGATTTTGACCCTCAAGAGGTAGTGCGAAATGTGGATAAAAAGGAGTTTAGCGATGAGGAGCTCAACAAGATGGACAAAGAAGACAAAGCATGTACGAGAAAAAACGATACGGATGAGCAGGAGATTAGAGCCAAAGAAGGTGGAGTCGATGAGGCTGAAACTGCCAGCAAAGCAGACATTGTGTTTGAAAATAAAGCTTCTAGCAAGGCAGACGGACATATTGTGGAGGACAAAATGTCCGACGAGGTGGATGCCAATGATGGCAAAGTGATAAATAAGAAGCAGGAGGATAAAGAAGTGCAGGTGGCTAGCGACAAGAGCGATGCGAATGACAACGATGTGGAAGCGGTACACTCAGGATCAGTGGACGTTAAGATCGATAGGTCTCCTGATCGGGAACGATCTGAGTCCGAAGACAATCGCATAGAGAGCTGGAAACACATGTATCCGAGTGTTGTTTACTCGCTCGGTTTCATCCCACAAGATATGGACACAAACCACAAAAAGCTGAGTACGTTGCAAATTAAGTCACTTGTCCAGGCCTTAGCAGAAGCTTCGTGGGATGTTATCAAGAATGAAACGAAAGAGCTCAGTCAGGTTGAATTTCAGGCTTTGTGCGAGACACTTGGCAGTGAAAAGCGGGATCAACTGACCGAATGCGTTGCTGAGGCAGATAAGTCGCTGTATGTTCTGAAACATTTTCTCACTCGCTCACTAAAGAAGGATGATGATTCTTTGGGTGACAAGTTAGCTGGTGTGCGCGAAGCTGTATTGGATGGTGACAATCGCCGACGGTCAGGACGCAACCATGTCGCCCTTGCGGCATACTCTAAAGCCTTTGATTATCTTCCACTTTACCACAAGGACCTTGGAAATGCAGTGGTTGGTCGGGCCAGATGCTTTCTCGACATGAAAGAATTGGGTCGTGCGAAGACGGAGGCTCTCGTTGCACTAAGACTGAACCCATATAGTGTTGGGGCTTACGAATGTCTTGGCAGCGTTGAGGAGAAGACTAACCACCCCGAAGCAGCAATGCAGCATTACGTGACGTGTTTCATTCTTGATGGCTCGCGCTCACCAGAGCACGCCGAGTCCATTGACCGCGTGTCGCGCGTGGTGGGCCGACGTGTGGCGAAGGCTCGGTTTGCCGAGATGGAAAAGGTGCATGAACTTCCGTCAGCGTGGCTGGTAAACAGCTACTTCGAGTCTTTTGAACACGACTTCGATCATGCGGCGCGAGTGCCGTTTGATATTGCGAAGAAGGAAGATATGAAACAGCTCGATCTGGATGCGCTCACGCTGCTTTACCGGGCAATTCACTACAAGCGAAGTAAAAAGTATGGTGAAGCACAACGCGACATCAGAGCGTTGGTATCCAAGGACATGGAAGCTGAAGGGCTTTCAGTGGAAAACCGTGCTTTGGCACTTAACCTACATGCATCGTTGCTGTATGTTGCTGGCGATGTGCACACCGCGTTGGAGGTTATCGACCAAAGCCTGGCGCTTCAGCCAACCATGGTGAATTCATTGGTGAAGAAGGGTGGGTTTCTCGCAGAACTTGGCGAGACGGATGAAGCGACATTGTGTTTCTCCAAGGCCGTGGAACTGGACTCGAAGGAGGCAGACGTGCACTTACATGTTGGGCAAATGGAGCTACTTAACGGCAATTATTACGAGGCTGTACAATGCCTTCGTCGCTGTATTTCTCGATCGGATGCCCTACCGGTTACCCACGTTTCATATGGCATGGCTCTCTATAAAAGTGGATCAACATATCAAGCTAAGGACGTGTTCAAGGAGGCCTCTACAATGTTTCCACACTCTGCTGAGGTGCATCTCTTCCACGGTGAAGTGCTGGCGGACCAAGGGAATTATGCTGACGCTATGCGTCATTTTTTGACAGCTTGGGAACTGTCGCCTCAATGTCCATTGCCATTCCTAAATGCTGGTCGCGTCTACGTCGGTACAAACGACCCTATGCGAGCAATCACACACTTTCAACAGGCACTTGAAGTGGATCCTCGCTGCAGTTCGGCACATCTTGATATCGCCCAAGTGCTTTTTGCTCAAGGTCGTACCACTGAAGCATTTGAGCATTTTGAAGTGGCTGCATCTTGCTGTCGTTTTCTTCCTGAAGTGGAAGAAGTATGCGCTTGTGAAGTAATGGCCAAAATGCAACTTAAGGTGACGGAAATTCTTGGTGTCGAGTTGCGCCATATCATGCGCTCAAAGTAGACACGACCTGATAGTATTATTCTCTTGCCTGGATTAACGAATATTACTACGATACAGCATATATTTATATGATTTTATAACAAAGCATAAGAGAAACAAAAAATCTGATCATGGCACGAGGACAACATCAAGCATTTACGTATGCGACGCTTTTAAGTCTTGCAGGTGGAGCTGGCTACGTTCTTAAGCGTCATACACCATCACTTGTAGCTGGTATGGTCCTGGGCGTTGGGTTTTTAGGTGCTGGTATATTGGTACTTACAGAAACTATCACGGATCATCAATTTGAACATGGCACGTCATTTGTCATGGCCAGCGTCATCTCAGGCGTCACAGGTCAACGTGCGTTTGTCACGAGACAACGTACTCCTTCTGTAATTTCAGCGGCGGGGGCGATGTTGGCTGGTTATCATGTACATGAGCTATGTCATCCACCACGTAAGATGCGTTATATTCCTGGTGCTTCGCCTGTACCGAGCAACTACGAATAAGAACAGCAATTTGTACGATTTATTGCAGTTATGGTCGATGTTTTGGGTAGGACTAAAATGGTACTTTTGGTAGGACTAAAATGGTACTTTGGGTCTACTATACACTAATACAGAACAAAGGGATAAACACACATTTGTTGAAGCAAACACATGTTATAACTGAAGTGGTACACTGTACCACTTTTATTTGTCATTTTTAGGGTCGTACACGTTAAAGAACCTCATTCATTCATTAAGAGACAAACTCATGGCGCAGCATCCGACGTACACGATGGCTGGTTTATTAGCAAGTGGTGGTGTGATTGGCTATCTCAAGACTAAGAGCGTTCCTTCCTTATTGGCAGGTATAACTCTTGGTGCAGGATTTGGTGTAGCAGGTTATTTGCTACAGAAGGGTGAGATGACGAACGGTCATGGTGTCGCACTACTCATGTCTTCGATTACAATGGGTGCAATGGGCGTGCGTGCTATGCGGACGAAAAAGCCGCTGCCAGTGACAATTGCGTCACTTGGAGCAGTATCATCTGCCTATCATATGCATGGATTCACTGAGTGGACTGGGCAAGAGTAAATCAAGCTTCTAAAAGCAGCATCTCTCCTCCATCCAATGACACTTTAACAAAGTTGACAATGTCAGTTTCATGTTCTTGTTACACCTCTTCTATTTGTCATCAGACTCATGCGAAAACGTAATGACGTCTATCTATCCAGAGGTGCTTTGAACGGATGAGACGCAAGCTGCGAGCATATCTTCAAACATAACACCCGTCATGTTCTTGGTGAGGTAGATCGTATCTTGTACTCCTTCCGCGCCTATAGGAGAGTCTGCCAGCCCATCTTTGACGCCCGCAGAAAACGAAATCTCGACACGAAAACGATCTTCACTATCTTCCGGCAATGACGGAGTCTCAAAGACGCGGATCACAATATGCGCGAGGTAATTAATCTCCGCAATGCGGTCTAATGCATGCCAACTGCTGTCAGAAATTAGCTTGGACTCGCTGAAAACGTATTTGCGCTGAGTCATGCGATCGTTCACGCAAATACCCATTTGTTTCAAGATTTCGTTGCTGAACATCTCCTGTTCTAGAGAAATATCATACTCGTCATCTTCGCCGCAACTGTGGATACGTGCGCGCCAAGACGGGCACTGAAAACGCAACACATTCAAAAACGTGTGGAGATGGCTCTCACTCGTGAAGTAGAGACGTGTGCGGACTTGCGTGCCTGGACTCTTGATACGAAGTTCTTTCGCAAAGGAAGGATCCAAGCGATAGCCGTGATGCTCGATGTCCTCAGCTGCAATATCAGCAACAGTTCCGTCCTCAACATTATCCTCATTCCCATAGAGACTCTTTAGCAATGATAATGACGACTGTTTGTTGATTGATGCCGACATCACAGTCACGATGTCAGCACGAACCTTTGCACACAGTGCTTGCGAAACGCGGTTGCCGATAGACTGCTTTTCTGCAATGTCCATGCCGTATTCTTGTGAGACATAGCAACGCGCTAGAGCCTCAGCAAGCTTAAAAAGATCAAGACCGCACTTCCAGCCGACACTCGCGTTGTGGAGCAGGTCATACTTAATACAGTCGTGCACGTCGGGGATCTTGCTAAGATTGAATGTGCCTGTCTTGGTCGAGTAAAAGTCGCGAAAGATCTTGTTCCAGCGCTCAAACATGAGCGAAAACGTTTCACCCATGTATAGCGGCGTAGTCTCATCAGCATCTGCGTAAACAGTAGGAACTAGAAATGTCAAATGTGTCACCCACATACCCTTGCAGTCTCAAACGCTGACTCACGCTTATCTTGCACGCGCTCAGCAATTTCACTTCGAAGCTTGCGAATCAGTTCCAGCAGACGAACTAATGCCTCTTTCGGGTTCTTTATGATTTCAAGTGCTTGCAAGATCGACTCGACCTTCAACGGTGCAATCGCAGCCCGCATCTCGTCAACAGATGAGTAGTTACGCTGCAGCAGTGTCCCCAGCTTGGCTTTTATAGTCTGCATCTCTTCCGTCGCATCAGCTTGTCCGGAATGATCCAGCATTTTATTGGCATCTAGATGTATACACAGTCACCACAAATTAGACAAGTTAACACTGACAGTACGCATCATCTGACGACACAAGACCACGCATACGTACCTCGATCGAGCGTGGTGACAAGACCTACAAGGATTGGTGTAAGGTCTCCTTCCAGTTCCAAAAAGCCTTTGGCAAACGCAGCTGCAGTCATTTGCACGCGACCTTCATCCGACGTAAAAATTTTTAGGTCGTGACGGAACGTCGAGTGCAAGCGCAGCAAACCTCCTTCTTCCACTTCAACAGGATAAAGACTGTTTCTAAACAACTGTCCCAATGCTTCTCCCTGCTTTTTGCCTCGTTCCGTCAGATCTCCTCCCCATTTTAATATCATAAGTACCTTCGGCTTTTCAGCTCCTTCTAGCCCATCTGCGTATGCACCAGCAACTGTTGCAAAGCTCTTGTGTGGCTTAAACTGTACCTTACGGTTGATGCCCGCAAATTTCCACCGCTCTAACACGCGTTTCATTTGGAGCAGATTTTCAAAACTGTCTCCACCCTCAACTTCCCAAACGGCATCCTTCGAGCCAACACCAGGGGCGTATGCCTTGACGAGGTCTCGCACCAGGTCTAATAGCGCTTGAAGATCCGCAACTGACTTTACCTTCACCTCGTCATACTTGCCTTCACTCCGCCGCTTTTCGTAAAAGTCTACAAGGTCTCTCTCCCATACATAAGTTTTCAGTTTCTGTTTTGGCGTACGATCACCATGACGTACTACAGCAATGACGCAGCGTAGCTCCTCTCGGTTTTCGTCTAGCGGCAAGCCTGCGCTGCTTGTACTGGCTACGCTCGACTCCGACACGTCAGAACCCGAACGAGTACGCTGCCAATCATGGCCTCCGTTGCTCACGACGCTGGACTCTGTTGCGTATTGTGGACACATTTGCGTGCCCAAAGCATTTAGCGAGCTGGCACGACGCTGACGAAAGTACTGCGACCGCAGTGCTGAAACCAAATGGTTGTGCAATATGAGTCCGCAATCATCGTAATATTTCTTCGAGTTCTTCACAAAGCTCCAGCCATTGACGTCACACACGTACGAGGTGCCCCGTACACGAAGGAGATCAAATCCGCATACTGTCTGATGAAACGCCAGACACACTTTCCTTGCCATCTCTTTTTCGTTAGAATTTAAGATGACAGGATAGCGAACTTCCTTTCCAGCTAAGTCACGTACGACGCGACCATCAAGTACTGGTGACTTGCGAGCTTCTGCATGGCCATAGCTCGAGCCAACCGTATATACCTTGACGTCTGTTCCTTGAGTATTCAAAAACTCTTCGTAAATATACGATCCATCTCGTCGTACATGGCTAACATCCGGATAAAATTCACTTGAGCGATCTCCAACCTTTCGAAACAAACGTTTACTACCTCCGCCTGCACTCATTGGATAGTAAAGATAGACATTATGATCCTCTGCATCTGCTGGTTTTTCAACAAATGGCTTATTAATTCTCACGTTATTAATCTCCACGTAATTGTCGTGTTCAATAAGGTTGTCCTGTTTACCATCAGGTAAATCTCGATTTACAATAATATGACGAGGTACTTGAATTCCATGACACGTGAGCAACGCGTAGACTTTACGACGATCAAATAACACGTGTTGCATGCTCAATTCATTCACTAGTACAGGTCGTACACGACGGACATACTCTTCAGCCTTTTCAAGTGGAAATCCCATGGAATAGAACGAAATGAGCGCATCACAAACCGGCCACGTTGCAATTGGATGATTCAGAATTGTATCATCGTCAAATACAATCACATCAAACTGTCGTTTCTTCTCAAGACGACATAGAATTTCACGCATGGGTTTTGAATGTGTCTTCTTTTCCATTGCACATACACCTACAACGTATTTTGTAATTACTGGTGGTGAAGAACATGGAGGTGATGATAATAATGACAAGGACGAGGATACAGAGGTCGTCACGGGAAGTGAGATGGAAAGCGACTGCGTGCGCGTCATAGAGCGCGGAATAGAAAGTCAAGAGTGATGGTCCCTTGATTCAAAACTGAAGCACACTAGCCATAAAAGGGTGCAATGTTTCAAAGTCGTCAAAAGATGATATGTTCAAGTGATTGATTCATGTTTGTCCCCACGTTCAGTTATTATGGAGAACTGTTGTGTGATTTAATGAAAAGACAGGTGTCTAAATAAAGAATCAATGGGTCAGTTTTGAGGAATTGATGGCAGACAGCCATTGGAAACTGCGACAATGCGTAATATGAATGATAGGACGGGCAAATCTGATTAATATTGGGATGACATCGTACAGAGATTGATTGTTACCATCAAGTGACATGAAGAGACACATCAGTTAGTATTTGGGATATACTATGGAGCTGTCTCCAAGCGTCGCGTGTGGTACGTGGACGACAAAAACTGAACTACCAGACGTTACGTTCTGTAAAGAGCGTGCTTGATATCTTGAAGGCAGGTATCCACAATGTTGTATGCTCATTTGACGGGTAATTTTTATGTGCAGACGCTGAGTGGCTGTCGAAAAGGCTCGACCGCTTGAACCTACTTGCTTCAGCGAATGAGAATCATGAGGGATTTGTATAGATGGTTGTAGTCTGCTCATCTTCTTTGGCACCATGACACCATATCATTTGATGAGATCGATAAGGTGTTAACATACAAATGCTGATGTTTGCAGATGTATACACTTAGATGAGCTAGCTCGATATTGCTTGACCAAATGCTCATGTTACGTTGAACTGCATGAAAAGATAAACTCATCAATTATCGGAAATATAATTGTGATGGATCCAGAAGTTCTTTGATGAGTTCATCATTGACGGTGATTGAAATGCTGCTGTTGCATTACACAAACCTCGTCCATCCAAACCAAATGGTGCGTGGTAACATCGTCTGTGCTATTTTGGTCGCCAGGCTGGCTACCATGTTGAAGCTGCTTTTGGCGTTGTAGTTGGGCGCGGTTCTAGTACATATGCAGCAGCGACCTCACAACCAACCTAGTTTCTATCTGCACACACAGCTCATAGCTGCAATCACTTCACTTTGCGACCTGCCTCCACTTACTAATTGCTCTGCATTACTTCAGCTTACGGCATCAACTGCTTACCTAAAACGCTTCATGGAAATGTGAATGAGAGACTTGAGTCCACGCAGCCAATCTTTGTGCTGGGCCCAGTCTGAGGCTGTGAGAGCCACGTAAATAGACTGTGCGCTGCCAAAATCGCGCTGTCCAAAGCATGCCACCAACTGATGCAGTCGAGACACCACTTCCGGCGACAAATCACCGATATTGAGCTTTGTAAACATGATTTCTTTACCCTTCTGGATTTCCTGTAACTGCTTTTGCTCCATCTGCACAACAAATTATCAGGTCAGTTTCTAGCTGATGCACCAGTTCAACCAACTTCAACGTACCATGGTGAGAGGAAGACCTTGAAGCTGCACAACGAGATCATTAAACGCGTTCACAATAGGCAGATCCTGCGGGCCAACATTACCGGTACTGCCCGGCACAACGTTTGGCGGGAAACCGCCAGGCTTTGGTGCAGCATTTGCAACTGGCGAGAGCGAGGCTGCCGTAGCATTTCCATATTTTAGTGTCAATTCCTTGTTACCAACACTGCTCACGAATCCATCTCGTTGATGCGAGCTCATATCAACTGAGGGCTTGGCGATGCGCGATGACCCCATCGCAGCAGCAAGCGGATTTACACCCGTACTTTGAGGGATGGATAGCGAAGAAGGCGAAGCAGCTGACGCACCGATTCCTGCTCCAGGACGAGGAGCACCACCGTACGCAGAGGACGGCATACCAGGCACACGAGAAGTGCCACCTGTTGAAGGGGGGCCCAGAGTACATCGACTGGTGCGGACGACCGCCTGATGATGATGGAGGGCCTGACGATTGGAAACCTTGAGGGGGGGGGACTCTGGCCTGGAAAGCCCGGTTGCTGCGGGCGTCCGTAGCCAAGCTGTTGCGGTGGAACAGGATGCTGTTGTGCATGGCCTGGAAACGCAGAGGCTGCAGACTGACCCGGGAACGGCGTTGGCGTCAAGCTTGAACTCTCTAGAGGTAGTGCAGACTGGCCTGGGTAGGCAGGTTGCTGCTGGCTCAAATATCCTCCGGACCGCTGCGGCTGCGGAAGTATCCCAGAAGTACCAGAATACTGAGGCTGTGGAGGTATCACAGGAGTTCCAGAATACTGTGGCTGCGGAGGCAACACAGGGGCACCAGAATACTGTGGCTGTTGGGGTGGTTGTTGAGGTGCCTGCAGATAACCACCAGAACGGGCAAGGAAAGCTGGCGTTTGACCCGGCGCATGTTGCTGAGCCGAGTAGCCCGTACCTTGTGCGCCACCGAAAGTGCCTGGTGTAGGCACCGGAGTCGGAGTGGGCGTCACCGCAGCAGAAGCACCAAATTGATTTCTTCCTGCCCCGTATGCCGGCGTGTTGCCGTAACCTCTCACTTGTTGCTGGGCAGAGATTTGGCGCTGTTGCTGCTGTTGTTGCTGCTGTTGTTGCTGCTGTTGAATTTGAGCCTGCGACTGAATCTGAACCACGTCGAACGGGAACGGAGGAGGCTGGTAGCCCTGAATCGGGTAGGCGTTAAAAATGCGGTCCTTCAAGACCGCGCAACTGAGATCCGGGAAGCGTGCGTATTTTGCGGCGATATCGAGTCGGCCCTCCGCTGCTATCTATCAAACCATAGCAAAGATGTCACAGTAAGATAAGCAGTACTTGTTAAAGCATCAAATTCGTTCCAGATTGCTTGCTACGTACCAAAGAAGCATAATCAGCGAAACGCTGCGCCACTTCGGGGCCCATAGATTGGTCGGGTTGGTCAACAGCCATGGCAAATACAGACACCTTCTCAACAAGGCGGTGTAGTGCGAAAGTGTGTCCGTGTGTACGAGCCTCAACTTCGCTTTCTTTACACCAAGCATTAACGGTCTTTTCGACGTTCACAGCGCACATAAAACACAGAGTTGCAAAGTGCAAATCACCAGCTGCCTCCAGTCCTGTGGCCAGCTTGTCGCAAAGTAACGGAAACTCCTCACTCTTGGCATAAGTGCTCAATATAGCTAAAGTCTCGCGCCACTCAGCAAGGTCTGATATGTCCACGAGTTCGCTCAGTTCGTTCTTAATGATAGCCGCCACCACTCGCATTACAGGGCGTTTTTGGTGAGAAAAAATGCGCGCTGTGTCTTCTCCCAAAGCTCAGGACCACCGCAGGAAGCTAGCAGCAGCGCGTCCGCAAGCTGATTGTATGCCAAGCAACAGTTGACGGCTACTTCAAAGTTTCCCACCAGCAGTGCCTGCATCAGCGTGCTCTCGGATTCTTCAGTGTATACTGGAGCAGGAGCTGCATCCACACGCTTACTCTTGTCCTCATCCAAAGCAGAGGGCATCGAAGCAGCCAGAGCAGAAACATTCGACAATGGAGATGCCGGCGTACCATCGTCGCCTCCCTTAGGGTAGAAGCCGGATGAAAATACATCTTCAGCTCCCAATCCTGAAGACTAATGAGTACATAACAAAATAAAAGAGTCAGCTTCGTGAATCAGCACATCTATACCATAAAAAATACGCACATCAATCCGATCATTCAGCAATACTCCAGTAACTGGATCAAGTTGCGTGCCAGAAGCGTGGGTCATCGTATCGACACCGGTTACAGCAGTCTGCGCTGCAGCAGCTTCCGGGTTGAACTTGGCGTTCAATTTGTTAATCTCTTCAGCGTTCAAACCAAGGTGAAGTAACAAGTGCTGCCGGGCATCTTTTTCAAACAGAATCTTCATAAAACACCACACACTGCGTTCTTCGGCAGTTATGGCAGCTGCAATCTTCTGCTCGCAATAACTTTTAAAATCCTTCGTTTCCAATGACCGGTCCAAAGCCTCAGCCTCAGCCACTAGCCCCGTGTCACTAATAACACGTTGCATGTGAATAAGGCGACGGTGGTCAACGTTGGAGCCTGCAGGTACTTGCGGGTTGGCAATCGTCACCAACTTTCCTCCAAATCCAAAAGACGCACCAACTGGTCGACTCATCCATTTCGGTGGACGACAGTTCGGATTTCCTCCACCTGATAGGCCCCAAACCTGTATCTTACCGTCAAGTGAGCACGTTGAAGCAACTGCGGGGATCTGGGGTGACCACTGAACGTTCCAACGACGCTGGCCAACGAGGCCACCACCAAAATACTGATCTGATCCCATTGCTGGAGCGTTCGGAGCATCAGAAGGAAGTTCTACAACCGTCTTGCGCGAAAAAAGATCCCAAAGCAGCGTCTTATTGTCCTTACCGCACGACAACAAGAGACCAGGGTCGTTGGGACACCATGACATGGATAACACACCGGCAGTGTGATCATGAAACTCAGCCAGTGGTGTACTGGTCGAGTTACGCAGATCCCAAAGCTTCACCACAGGTTGTTGGTCATCGCCTGACGCAGTCACAATTTGCAGACCCTCGTTCGGATTCCAGACAAGAGCTGTTGTAGCTCCACGAGTGGGGTCACGCAGTTCACACCACGGTTTCTTCTGCTTAAGATCCCAAACCACGACAGTGCCGTTCTGTGAGCCTGTGGCCAAAATGTAATTCACTTGAGTGTTCCACGCTACACTGGTGATCTCGTTTGTTTGTGACTGTGGTGTCGTGGGACCTCCAGGCGTAAAGACACCTGGGCTGGACAGCTTTTCCAGCGACATAATGTACACTTCACCGTCACTGCCACCTGAGACCAACAAATGTGCGCTATCCTCGTGTGGATTGAACTGCAGCGCGTTTACAGCACCTTTGTGGCGTGTGATACGACCAATCTCACAAGTCGCAGGGGTGTCCGTGCCCGGCTCTCGGTCCAATAAGATCGCAGGGTTCCATAGCGACACAGAACCGTCGGCCATGCCGCCAGCAATGATGCCATACGGACACGTGTCGTGGTGACGTGGCACATCGCGCCAGGCTAACGATGTAAAACGTGATGGTGTCTTAATGGAGCCCAGTGTGATCATGTCTCTACTAGGATTACTGAGATCCATGGACACGAGCTTAAACTCACCGCCATTATTCTCAAAGCCGACGCCACCGTCGCCCTTGGAACCGAGTGCCAAGAGCTCTGCACGCCGCTTTATGGGACTCCAAGCCACCGCCGCGTTGGCTTGAATCTCCTTCAGCAACGACATGGTTCAATATCAAATGTGCGCGAGCGCGTTCACGCTGCTTTCTTGTTCAGTACGTGCGCAAGTCGTCAGTGCCGTGTCAAGTAGTATCGGCCCAACCGGAAAGCTGCTAAACTGACAGTCGAGAGCAAAGGGGGAAAGTGTCTTTGCTTGATATGGCAGCTAAAATTAGCCAATGGAAGACGAAAGTGAAGGAGTTTGTACCAATGATTGCAGGACACACGCTGCGCGATCTTGCGTTTGTCGATAAGTCCGATTTGTGAGAGGCTAAGTTGTGATTGGACATAATGTGATGGTCTTTATTTCTACATGGATACATACTAGAAGTATATACTATAAACGCATGATCTGGGATAGCAAACAGCGTGAAGCAATCATTAGCAAACAGCCTTATATTTTGACAAACCGATTTGCATCTTTTTTGTTAATCGCGTTACGAATTGGTGCAACATAAGCACTTCAACGTCGAACGATCTTCCGAATTTGAACCAAGCAAAAGATCATGAGATAGTCTATCTCAAGCATTATTATTCAGTAGCATCGATGTTTTCGAGTTGGGGACTATAGTGAGGTATACAAGTACACAATAAGCTATGACAATGGTTTCTTTGTTCACTATTTACGTCTACTTTGTGGTAGTGAAAGACCTTATACTTGGCTACACTGAATCTGGCGGCATACAACCCGCAGTATGTGATTTGTTTCATATCCATACTAAAACAGTACTTACCTTATAAGCACACGCACCAGTATTTGGCGGTTTCGTTACTACAAAACCCAGCAAATAAAACCACTATTTACTATGGCCAACTTAGATCTACAGAATCTATAGATTCTGATACTTTGTACCACCGAATCAGAATCAGGTCAGATCCATCCGTTCCTCATTTCTCATTATTAGTATGGTACGCATCTTCCATCTCCCGTCCATACTGATACTTGTGGTGCTGACCATTGAAGTTATATCGATTGTAGTGTATCCCAGGTACATGTGTTGCCGTTGACAGTGCTGCCTCTATGTAACTTTGTGTGCTGACTGATAATCTGTACTGCGTGATTTTACGTTTGTAGTGAACTACGTCGTCTAGTGACGCTTTCTCGCCATGGCAGTCGAGCGCCGAATGATGTTGTAAAGATCACATGTCCACGTAATAAGGCCAACTTGGACGCCTACAAGGTGCCGCTCACGCAGCTTACGGAAATTGGTATGAAGCAGATGCAGATCATGGGCGAGCACATCCGCCATACGTACATGGTAGACGAGCTCGTGCACGAGGAGGACTTCCTGTCACGCTCGCTCAATGGTGTAAACCACTCGCACTTCGAGACATACTTTCGGGCGGACGCCGCGACGCGCTGCTCACAGAGCGCGGCAGCAATGGGGTACGGTCTTTATCCGGACGGAACCGGCCCGCAAGGCTTCCCTCACCAGCCTGTACCAATCACTATGCAGTTGCTGGAAAACGAGCATGCCTTTGCAGCTCCTAAAGGACCCTGCAAAAGTACGTTGGACGCTGATCTTGCTGTATACGCTACCACTCGAGCACCTGAGCTTTTTGATCAGTATCGTGACGTTCTCGAGCAATTGAGTAAAGCCTGCGGTGTTGCCGTGGAAGATATCCCAAACTTGCCGGGTGGTGAAGATATCGTATTGGGCGTGAAAGACTTGGCAGATATGTTTGCCTTCGATCGAGACGAGGGTCTTTTGATTACTGAGGGAATGACTGTAGATGCGCGCGAAAAGCTAGAGCAGTTGGCATTCACAAACCTCATGGAGAGATACTACTCGACAGATCGCAAGATTACGTACTGGGTGGGTGGCTTTGGTGATTTGCTCATAAGCACACTTCAGGGTGGAGCTGTGCCGACGGCACCATCTCACACAGAGTACCGCTACTTTTCCTTTCATGGCCACCGAGAGTTGCTGCATGGTCTAGGCATGATGCTGGGCTGGGAGTTCCATTTCGACGGACTCCCAAAAGCTCTTAATGTGACAGCTCTGCACCCAGGTACCTCCATGCTGTTTGAGCTCCGCGCGCGTCAACTTACTGCTGAAGAAGCCCGAAAACAGCCGGAAGCGAAGGAGGCTTATTTTGTGCGAACGTACATGTGGTCGCCGTTTACTGAGCGTGAGCGGATTAAGCTAACGAAGTGCTCGGTTGCAGATTGCCCGTTGGAAGAGTTCAATCAAATCATCACCAATCATATTGCCATGACCGGCACCTGGGATACTATCTGCAACTATCAAAAGCCGATTTGGGACAAAGGCCATGCTCAGGAGCCCGCTGAGGACAAAAGACATGGGCTTGCAAGTTTTTCCTTCTTGCCCGTGGTCAGTATTATCCTGGTGGTGGGTCTGGCGTTTACGGCTTTCAAGGTCTATACTGCTCGCCGTCGTGGGTATACCACCATGCTGTAAGCCCGCTGCCTTATGTTTGCGTGCTGCAACTGATAGCAGAACAAGGGAACAATGATAGAAAGGATGGCAACAGCAGACATGCCAGCAGTTTTCTTATCAGACCGGGAAATTCTGCACCACTTCATTCAAAACAATATACAAGTCTGCGTGAGTCTTCAGTTGTTTGTATTTTACTGCTAACCCGTTGAGCATGAGCGCTATCCGGCAGTTCAAATAGAATTATTGCTGCTGGCTTAACTCCTGAAGTTTTGCAACCAAAACGCCAACTTTTGCCAAACCCTGCGCTTTGCCTTGAATGACACCATTCTTACCACCACCGCCCTTTCCGTCAATAAGTGGCAGCACAGACCTTCCATGAGCGATGATGAACTCAGGGGGTCCAGCGATAAGAAAGAAACCATCGCCTTGAAGCACGCCAGCCGTAAGAACAAACACGGTATTACTCGGCGCGTCACCCAGAAGACCCAGCAATGTCTGCAAAAAACCAAGGTCACCCTCATGGCGATGATAAGCGATGACACCCACTGTCGTCCTCGCCGCTAGATCACGCGCAATGGAGGCGGCAAGCTCCTTCTGCAGACTTTTCAGCTCTTTCGATGCACTCTTCTGAAACTGCAACAGCTTCTCCGTTCGTGACGCGTGGTCTTCAGGTGCACTGCTTAACAGCTTCGTCATTGTGTGCTCATTTTTCAACCTAGACACGAACACAAGCACGACTTCTTAGCAAAGGTGCAATCAGTTCTGTTTCACTCGAAAGATTAGCACTCACATCCGTGAAAATTCGCGGTTCACGCGATCACCAGCGACAAACCAAACACGAGTAGCTCCACGTGCATGTTCAGTACTAAGCACACGCAGCGACCGAATCTGTGCAAGATTCTGGACATGTGTCCCGCAGCATGGGTTTATATCCAGGCCGTCAATTGCTACAACGCGCACCGCTTTGGGCATCTCTCCAGGCCCAAACTTCAGAGCAATCTTATTCCATTCGTCCGACCCAGGACTTGCAAACCAATTTGTCACGGCTAAACCTGCAGCAATTGCTTCATTCACAGCATTCTCGATTGTCTCGAGCACCTCGGCAGGGATTACAGTTTTCTCCTTGCTACATGTTTTGCCCTTTTCACCGGCTATAGACATGGACGATGCTGAAGCACCATCCATCGGTATAAGCTCCACATTGCAGCGCTCTTCTCCAAGCGACCACGTCGTAGTATCGTACCCATACTTCCTTGCGATTGCACTGAAAAGGTGCTGCGCCGAGTGCTGCTGCATATGATCAAAACGGCGAGCCCAGTTTACGTTAACAACAACCTTCTCACCCTTTACAAATGGAACCAAATCTTCATCGCGTGTGAAAACTCGATGCAAACAACGACCATCTTTCACGTACACCTTGTCCACTGTCATGTCATTAATAGTGCCGGTATCCCAAGGTTGTCCTCCACCTTCTGGGAAGAGCACTATACGACATCAAGAAAAACATCACATCAAGACAGATCAGAAAATAGAGCCACCAAAATAAGAGAAGTCCAACACGTTGCAAGATTGTACTCTTACCCACTTACTTACGCACCTGTATCGTACAACTCCAGTTCGTAATAGTGTTGAGCCTTGGTCTTTTTAGTACCAGGCACCACAATCTCATGACACGCGTGCACAGCTGTGTGTAGTAAACGCAGCGATGAGTTTTGCTGACAAGCGAGAGCTCCTGGGAGCGCAGGAAGAGCTACTTGAGTCATTTCGGAGCAATTAAAGCTATCGTCAACGTGTAGCCAAAATGTCTCTCGAGTCAATTTCTTTTGGTTATGATAAAACGGTTGCTCACGTTAGACTCTCAAATCTAATATTGTTGATACATCTACATGCTCTAAGCTTTCATTCTAATACGATTTTATCTCTATCATTTAATTAGCTGCATCAATTTGTATAAATACAGCTGCGAAACATGGTGCTTGGAGCGGCTGCTTTTTTTTATACTGGGGTTAGATCGGGTCATACATATCAAAAGAGATTCTGTGCCCATCGGAGTACGTCACTACCGTGTATTTACATCATTTCCATATGAGCACCACCCAACGATTCGCCCGACGCAAGTCTGTGGACTCGTCCACTGCCGACTTCCAAGCTGCACACAAGACTGCACCATTCTCCAGTAAACACCCCAAGGGTTTCGGTGAGATGGTGCTAGTTGATGGTGTTAGCATTACACAAACGTACCTCTTGCCGGTGCCACACTTGCGCCAGTGGCTGCCAGAGAAGGATATGCAGGTCTGCAACCGCCGCAAGCTCGATACGCTGGCTGAAGACTCGGTCGAGCGAAAGAGTACATACAATAAGATCATGGGCGAGTCCGACGTGATTCTGGGCGACATCCGCCGCAATGATAGACAGGCTGCCGTTTCGCGTGCCTACTTGCGTGCCGGTCCTCGTGGAACTACATATTTTGACCCGTCCACGGTCAAGGCTGCCGTCGTGACCTGTGGTGGACTATGTCCCGGCCTGAACAATGTAGTGCGCGACATCACCCTTGCTCTGTGGAACCTGTACGGCGTGCGTGAGATCTATGGTATCCGCATGGGCTTTGCTGGCTTTCACAACTGGAAATCACTAGACCAGAAGGAGGCTCCTATCATGCTTACTCCCAAGTCTGTGGCTAACATTCATCACCACGGTGGCACTATTCTTGGTTCCAACCGTGGAGGCTTCGACGAGGACAAGATTATTAATTTTCTCACCACCTATGACATCTCACAGCTGTACGTGATTGGTGGCGATGGGACTCATCGTGCTGCAAACAAGATTTCGGAGGAGTGTCGTCGCCGCAAGCTGGCGATCGCGGTCGCCGGTGTACCCAAGACCATCGATAACGACGTGGACCTTCTCGACCGCAGCTTCGGCTTCAACACAGCTGTCGAAGAAGCTCAACACGCAATTCGTTCGGCTGGCACGGAGGCTCGTTGCGTGCCCAACGGTATCGGTGTCGTCAAGCTAATGGGACGTAGCGCCGGTTTTATTGCTGCTCACGCGTCGCTTTCTAGCGGCGATGTCAACCTGTGTCTGATCCCAGAGATTCCAATTGAACTTGACGGCCCTCGCAGCTGCTTGGACCACCTCGAGCATGTTGTGGAGGAGCAAGGCCACGGTGTGGTCGTTGTCGCTGAGGGCGCCGGTGAAGAGCTACTGGGCACTTCGGTTGAAGCCGATGCTGGTGGCAATAAGAAGCTGCCGCCTATCGGCGCTTTCATGAAGGATCGGATCCAGGAGCATTTTGCCAAGAAGGGCAAGGAATGTACTGTCAAGTACATTGATCCCTCGTACATGATCCGTTCAGTATCCGCCAACGCCGCTGACAGTCTATACTGCATGCTCCTGGGCCAGAATGCTGTGCATGGTGCCATGGCCGGTTACACTGGTTTTACAGTTGGTCTTAGTGCCAACCGTGTCGTATACTTCCCCATCGAGGCCATTACGCGCAATTCGCCGCGCTGCATGGATCCCTTTGGTCGCACGTGGGAGCGCGTGCTATGTTTGACGCGTCAGCCGAACACTGCTCGCGAGGGAAGCATTAAGGGCGCCAAGTCGTCAGATTGAGCCAATTGCATATCAACAAAGGCGATTACTAACCGCCTTAACAAATTCAAATAAGACTGCACCGCCAATTGTTACCAATATGACGTTATGGTTGTCAATATGACGCTATAATATGATTGGCATCATGTCACATTTTAGTCCAATCAGTGAGTCTTTGACGCTAATCATCGTGTTGAGTTCAAGCTGCCGCACAGCAATCAGGATGCTTATCAAAATCCTATAATTAGCGCATTGTTACCAAATGTCAGGGTCACCACACAATAAAAAGCATTAGTAAACTACCAGGTATTTTGGCCAGCTAATTTAAAAACACTAAGTTAGGTAGCTGTCCTTTTTTTTCTGATATGACAAGCCGCCCATCACCCTTTTAAACCATTAGCATTCTTCAAGCCGCCATCAGTCTCACACGTCCATCTCTCTCTCTTTCTCTACACATAGACACACCATAGCACAATGCTCACTCGTCAGATGATTAGGCAGTTACGCACGTCATCCTTTCTGGTCAGCCGTAGCTTTGCCGTGCTCACTGTTGACACGATGAATCCCAACATTGTCAAGGCTGAATACGCTGTGCGTGGTGCGCTAGTGCTGCGCTCGAATGATTACGCGGACCGATTGGCCCGCGGAGACAAATCACTTCCCTTTGATAAGGTCATTCCATGCAACATCGGCAACCCGCAAGTGCTCAAACAAGAGCCTATTGAATTTTATCGTCAGGTGCTAGCGCTCGTCAATGTACCGGGTCTCGTCGACAAGCCGGAGGCGCACAAGATCTTTGCACCGGACGCGATCGCTCGCGCCAAGCATTACATCGACAATATTGTGGGCGGTACAGGCGCGTATGGACATAGTAAGGGCTCGAATGTCGTGCGTGAGGAAGTCGTGCGATTCATGGAGCGTCGTGATGGCCATCCCGCCGACCCGGAGGACATTTACCTCACCGATGGCGCGAGTCCTGCTGTCCAGAACTCGCTGCTGACTTTGATACGCAACGAGAATGACGCCATCTTGGCCCCAATCCCTCAGTACCCGCTATATTCGGCGGCCATTGCCATTAACAGTGGCTCTTTGGTGGGCTACTACTTGGATGAGGAAAATGTCTGGGGTCTTGACGTGAAGGAACTGACACGTGCTGTGAAGGAAGCTCGTGATGCAGGCAGGATCGTGCGTGCAATGGCTGTGATCAATCCTGGCAATCCCACGGGTCAGTGTCTGTCAGTGGAAAACATTGAGATGATTATCAAGTTTTGCAAGAAGGAGAACATTTTGATTCTAGCTGATGAAGTCTATCAGGAGAACGTATATGCTGAGGGCAAGAAGTTTTTGTCGTTTAAGAAAGTATTGCGTGATATGGGCAAAGCTTATGACGACGTGGAGCTCATTTCGTTTCACTCGACATCGAAGGGTTTCACGGGTGAGTGTGGTCGTCGTGGTGGCTACATGGAGCTGGTGAATATTGATAAGAGCGTCAAAGACCAGATTTACAAGCTCATGTCGGTAAACTTGTGCTCGAACATAGAGGGTCAGCTAATGGTGGGAATGATGACAAATCCGCCACAGCCCGGCGATGCGTCGTACGAGCGGTACACCGAGCAGCGTGATGGTATCCTTGGGTCGCTCAAGCGCCGTGCGATGAAGCTTGTGAAGGCTTTCAACGAGCTAGAGGGAGTCACGTGCAACGAGACCGAGGGTGCGATGTACACGTTCCCAAACATCACGCTTCCGTCGAAGGCAATTGAGGCCGCCAAGGATGCAGGCATGGCGCCTGACGCATTCTACTGCACACAGATGTTGGATGATACAGGAATTGTGGTTGTGCCAGGCTCGGGTTTCGGCCAGAAGGAGGGTACGTGGCACTTTCGTTCAACGATTTTGCCGCCAGAGGAGGCTATAGACGAGGTGATCGAAAAGACGTCCAAGTTCCACGTCAAGTTTATGGACAAGTATCGTTAGATATAAATGTCAGGCTGTAGAGGACAGTGTCATGTGCTTAGTAGGATGAACGATAAGAAGGAACATTGTGTCAAGTCATTGCTGATACGAATGCCTCACTATTTGATCAGCAAATTAGCTCAGCGGTAGTAGTGAAGAATTAGTCAAAAAAATAGTCCAGTTAAGGACAAGTAAAAGGTCGTAATCAATCAATCACAGTATTGTAACATGCTGTTCCTGCCACTGGAAGAGGACTCTATAGTGTTCCGTTTGTGTCTCTATTATGGTGTTATTGTGGTAATACTAGAGCTCATTATACCTCTTCTCTTTCATCGTCGAGTGCGCATCAAGATTCCGCATATGGCGTTACATGCGCCTGGAGTTCCGCTATCCTCTCATGAGTTCCAACAGCGTCGATTAGTACTGCAGCAACAGATAACAGCACTGCAACGAGCTCTCGCTGAGACACCGGTTGAATCACCACAGAAGAAGAAGCAATGCTCAAGCGTGGATACTACTAAGAATGGACTAGTAGCTTCTCCTTTGCTCAATGCCAACGTCATCACTGATGGTGACGAGACCGAGCTCCTCACGGAAGAGAAGCAATGGAAGAATTGCGATATCTCGATCGCCTCTTGCTGCTGATTCATTGCATACGTCAATGCCATCGCCTATGGCAATGTGTGACTTTTTAGCAATCCGTACTGTTCCACGAGGCGGGTTTTCATTCCACAAAGTGTTTGAAGAGGAAGAAAGCGGCGAGGAGAAGCAGGATGAAATTTTACAAGAGGAACAAGACAACCGGATGGAGGCGGTGAATAGGAGAACAATGAGGCGAAGGGAATCACCGACGTTCTCACGACGAAGACCCGTGCGGTTTGTGTTGGAAGACGCCGACAAGGCCGGGTATCTAGGAGTTTCATTGAAACCCAATGAGGCCGCTACACGATTCGAGACATTGATTGGCGCACGCAGGAGACAGAGAGCAAGCACGTTGCAAATGTATGTGTCGGCTGCGCCGGCATTAGATCGAGTTCCTTTGTCAGCAGCAGCAGCACCAGCAACTCGAGTTAAAAACGTGTTAGAGCACTCTGCTTCGAATGAGTCCGGTACGGCAGCGTCTGAAGAGTTACTGCGACCACAAGATAAAAACAAGGTTATGGAAGAAGATGAGGAGAGAAGGGAGCTGGAGCAAAGTGGGGTGTCTTCTCCACCAAGACAGCAAGTCGGACGTGACGCTTTAGAAGAAGACGAAGGGAGGAAGAGGCCGGCGACAAATGAGCCTCTTACTGATTTCCAGGCCTTTTGCGCTTCATTTGCAGCCGGTGGCTCAGCAGCAGCTCATCGAGCTATGGCGAAGCGAAAGCAATACGGAGCAGTAAACAAGCAGGCGGATAGCAGTGCTACGGCGCTTCACCAAATCTTCGATAGGCTCAAACATCCACGAACAGTAGGACAAGAAATGAAGCAGCCAAATGGCGATGATACAGCTGTAACGCCTCGCAGCGCAAATAAGCGCTCACACTATGAAGCGTTTGGATTCGATGAAACAGAGATGACTGACAATGCTGTAGCGACTCGCCAGGTCCTACAAAAGAGCAAGAACGAACAAGTTTCCGGCATGACTAACAATCAGGAAGAACCAGAGAAAAAGTACGGGTCATTTTTCATTGCGTCGGCAACAGACAAAGTACTGAAAAGCTAACCGCATTTGGTTTCTATTGCTCATTTACTAGAACACCCCAAATTGCCAGGCGGATTTCGTTTGATAACGAGGTAGACGCACTTGTGGATACACCTTCGAAGGGAGTATCAGGGCGACTTTCAAACCGAAAGCGCAAGCGTACGCAGGCGTTCGGTATGAGCGATGAAGACGATAAGGATACAGAGTGGCGTGACTCGCTTGCTTTCCGCCCGCATCGCTTTAGACAAGCGGACTGACAAAGTAGGTGCATGCAGAACAATTTGAGCGATGACCATACTAACGTCCCAGCTGCATCGGAAAACGTCTGGTGCAAAGAATACGGAACAAATCAAGTCGTTCGTGACTCCTTTCGGTCTTCACAGCACAGAATAGCGCGCGGATACTGCTTTACGAAGCAGCCTTGCGGCAAAATGCGACGACCGTGGTTTCAGCGTTTTGAAGTGCAATCGGGTGATCAGCTGATCATGCTGTTCGATTTCGTTTAGAACATCTACAAGAGCTTGGTGGCTCACTTTGCTTGATGTACTTGCTTGGTGGTTCATGGCTCATGTCCTCTCCAAACCGGAAGCTGATTATTCAGTGAGAAGTAAATCAGTTTGTAATCGAAACGGTGCATGCGTCACCTGCATGAATGCACATCGCGTCAGTTGAACCTTTTCACGACTCCAGTGTATTATCAAGCCGTGCTTTGCATGGACAATTTGGACGTTAGCAGCTAAATTGTTCCATCCAGTATGTGTGCCTTTGTTGAATCGGGTGAGCTGAAGTCCGTATAAATGCGTGTAGACTTCCGCAGTTTATCTGACAAAGCTAATGCCATTCGTCTCAAGATTGCCAGCCATTTTTGAACGTGTGAAAGCATGTTATGATCTGCGTCGAAGGCTTGCGATTCTCAATCGCGCAAGTCAAGTGTATAATGCTGCCATGATTTGCTTGCCTTGCCATACCCACAGCATCATCCAATCATGAGGTCATTGTTGCAGACGTATAAATGTGCAGAATCTTCAGACGTCAAACTTGGTAATTTGAAGGTGGATTTGAACGAAGAATACTATTAAGGCTGGTAGCCGTGTGACAGACGTGACAGACTACAGCATTTCCGAGTTAAGATGCCTTGGCGAAGCTCAACAAAACATGAAAGCAGGTTTCTTGTTGGACATGTGACAAGAATTGGCCATTGAAAAAATGCCCGCCTTAGCTCAACCAAGGTTACCGTCTTATTGACCGCGACTTATCAGCAAAACTTTGGTTTGAAGTTAATGGCAAGTTTTGCTGCCTTCTAGATCGCATCTTGATATTGACGTGATTTTGTATTATGCTCTAGCTATTGCCCTGCTCTAACCGGACAAGCCTTATTGTCCTACTCTACAAAGTACAGTCACCACTCCAGCCACAAGTGCAGTCACAGGGTGTCACTAGCACGTACTTTGCCATTATTGCACGTAAACGGTTTGCTGTGACCGTGTCAAAGAGCTCATTTTCGTCTTGATAGAGTTGAATGTTTCGAAACACATTGTACAACATTCAAGGCACATGAGGGTCCAATGCAAGGGAATACTTTATTAAATATACACTTACGAATAACATCCATGACGAGTAATAAGCCTGTGCTGACGTTCGTGACTGGTAATGCTAACAAGCTCAAGGAAGTAGTAGCCATCTTGGGTGCCGATTTCCCTTTTGATCTGCGTAATCAGGCTGTGAATCTTCCAGAGCTGCAGGGTGAGCCAGCCGATATCGCCAAGGAAAAGTGTCGCCTTGCGGCCAAGCAGGTACAGGGTGCCGTATTGGTGGAGGACACGTCATTATGCTTTAATGCACTCAGTGGCTTACCCGGTCCATATATCAAGTGGTTTTTGGAAAAGACGGGTCATGATGGACTGAATAATATGTTGGCAGCCTATGAGGACAAGTCCGCCTACGCCCAATGTATCTTTGCCTATGCGTCCGTAGATATGGAGCCGCAGGTATTTATTGGTCAAACGCACGGGAAGATCGTACCTGCTCGTGGGCCAAATTCATTTGGATGGGACCCTATTTTTCAACCTCATGGATATGAACAGACGTATGCTGAGATGGAAAAGGTGACTAAAAACCAGATCTCACACCGTTACAAGGCACTGGAAGTACTGAAAGCCCACCTTGTCAAACATGATGCTGACAAGTAAATGATTTATCATCCGACTCTAATAAATAGATGATACTTAATACCTCTGTTCCTGAGTTACAAAACATGTGATTGGAAATGATTGCTCCATACATTCTAATCAGCAATCCCATCATCAAGCATAGTAAGGAAAATTCCCCACCGGCTTCCTATCGGATATATGGAGCCTCTACATTACATAGAGCCATCAGAGTTAGTAGAGATTCTACGTAATACTCATACATCCAATAAACTTCCTGTAATTATTGATGTGCGTGATACGGACTATGCTGGTGGTCATATTCGCTCAGCGGTAAATATTCCAGAGGATCATTTCATGGACGACCATGACGTTGATGCTCTTGTGGACAAGTACAAGGATGAAGATCTGATTGTCTTTCATTGTATGATGAGTCAAGTACGTGGACCTTCCTGTGCAAAAAGGTTTAAATCTCGGATGGAAATTATGCTACAAGATACAGCACCAAAACCCCGAGTGCTTCTTCTGCATGGTGGCTATGAACGCTTTGGCAGTGTAAGCAAACCACACGTAGCTGGCATTATTTAGTTATCTGCAATGCACACAGTGTGAAATGCTAAATGTCTTGTGCATCTTGTGTTCTTTGCGAACAGATCTACAAAAATGAGACTGACCTTATTGAAATGGACGACTGAGACTTCGGATTCACTGTCGTCGTCGTCCCCATAGCGTTCGTGGGGTGGTGGTGGTATGGTACACTTTAGAGATGGTAATCGGAGTGCTTTACACGAGACGTTTGCTTCTTTGTGACATAGTCAATCAGGAAGCTCGCCTTTAAACATTCGATCTTGTGTGTCTTGAGCTTCTTCAGCCACAGGTCTCGGGTTGGCACTTCGGGTGAAAAGAGAGCTACGACAGGCGCCTTGGGAGTCGACTCCGTCGCTAACCCATCAAAGTCAACGGACTTGGTTAGCGGAACTACAGAGCCACCGCCAGCGAGGACAATACGCTCGCACATCTCTCGCGGGGGAGTGCATTTTGCGTGAATGAAAAAGCGCCAGTCAGCGAATGCGCCAGGGTGACCCCCGGCGCGCTTTTTGCGCCAGTATTTGCACACTTCTGGCCATATTCGCGAATCAATGTCCTTATTGTCCGAGTTTTGCCTTCCCCACTCGTGCGCTACCTCGTCGACAAACTTCTTAGCTGCAGCGCTAGCATCCAGGTATGACGGCTTCAATATCCACTACAGTAGACATCAAGACAACGTGAGATTTGTTACAACACAAGGTACGACCCATTTCTCTTCGGAAGGCGGTCACACGCTCACCTTGCCAGCCGCACATCCAGCAATAAACTTTTCTGTCCGCTTGAGCTCACTGCAAATAATGTGTGTACAGTTGCTGTCATACACGCGACCAAACTTACTGACGCTCCCACCCAATGAAGAGATGATCGAGGTGTGCACCGCTGCTTGGTCTCGATCGCCCGTCAAAAGGAACACACGTTTAGCTGTTGGCAACGAAATTACAGCAGTCTCCTGCCTCTGTTTCTTTGACAAGCTCTTGCTCGATTTGGAAGCACTCGTTTCGTCAGAGTCAGAGTCAGCACCTTTACGCTTCTTCGTTTGGAATTTCTTATCCAAGATCTTCGTTGACCGTGTCGCTGCCTCCTGATTAGAATCACTGACATGCGCTGTCTCTACATCGCTATCGCTGCTAATGTGTATGACAGACGGTAGCTCCTTCACAGCTTCAGCTTCGGAAGCCTTTACTGCAGGCTCTTTCTCTACTTCATCCAAATCCGCGGATGCTTCGTGAGGCTCATTCTTTCGTGGCTTCCGCGTAGTCGTTGGAGAAGTGCTTGTGTTTGGTGGGGTGTCGAACAGCGTACAAGTAACATCTTTCGAGCGGCCAGAGGTCATATCTGATGAGATCGAAATTGCCGCTGTTGCTACTGTCTGTTGGTTTGCTGGAATCGTTTTATCACTCGGAGTAGGCACTTTGTCGATTTCCGTGAGAATACTGTCAACGTCAAACCGCCCCTGACCAGCCTTCTTAGCCTTGTTTGCGCTTCTGGTGCTGGGCGTGGCGGCTAGCTTTGTTTTGCTTACTATTCCCTCGTCACAAGTGATATTTGCGCAGTCCTTCTTCTTTGAATTGTGATCTGACTCCGTGCTATCCGTATCACCCGATTGCTCCTTAGTAGTGTTGTACCGAAACGCATCTTCGGCAACGTGCACCCATTTTGATAGACACGCAAAGATCCACTACATGTATTATCACATCAACAAATCACCATTAGGTTTGACGACAAATCACAAAAGCTACACAGACGTACCTCGTGGCTCAAGACGTTATTAAATCTCCAGCTCAGTGCCTTCTTGTACTTCTCTCCTGATCCTTCATAGCACAGAAGGTGCGTCGAGTACGTTCGTGAAAGCACCGGGAGCAAGCATGCCCCAGTGGCATGAATAGCAATCTGGAGTTCTTCGCGAGTTGGGCTTGACCGGCTCGAGTAACCGGACAAAGTAATAACAAAAGACTGCATTCCAGGAATGCTTCCAAAAGACCGGACTGGCCGCTGAATTGCCTCATTATACGAAGTTGGCTTGCTGACTTGTGAAAGCCCTGCGAGAACCCAATAGATACTAACCACTTTCTTGCCTTGGCGCACGGCCTCGTTGTACTCAAATCCACAACGATACCGACATACGACAAATGACGCATTCGTGACCACCTTGCCCACAATGTCCTGAAATGAATCACCATACGGCACATTCGCCACCTTGGCATCTACTGTCTTAAGCATATCTGACAATTTTTCTCGCAGCAGTGGAGCTATATGCTGCGCGAGGAGTACAATCGCGCCTTGTAACGTTTTCTTCATCGCCTCCAATTTCTATGAGCAACAAAGTCAAAAGTTAGGTCAGTGTTTTCCATCACTACCCAACGACCCCTACATATCCTCACGTCATTGGACAATTTGCGAACGACCGAGAGATCCGTGCCAAGTTCTGTCTTTCCCAGCTGATACACGTTTGCCCACTTGCTGAGGTTTAGATCTTCCAGCTCTACTGTCGGTTGCGTTTTCCAACTGCGCATCTTCTTGTCTGGCTTGACAACAGCAGATCCACTTGATTTTTGATCAAACGGACCTTCGGGCACGTGACGCTGCTGCATAACGCACTCTTCAATCCACGTGTACTTTACATGATGTTGTATGGCCAATCCAGCGCGTTGTCCTATAAAAGCAACAAGACAACTTGGCAGTGTATACGTCGAGTCTGTCGATTGTGTCAAAAGATGTTGACACCAGGCCTCAAGTCTCCGACCTACTTCGGCTTTGGAAAAGTGAAGCTGCAGTAGTTTCTGATCGTTTTCTTGTTCTTCTTTTGCTTTAGAGATCATAGCAGCGTCCATGTTACTGTCCTCTTGGTACAAAATGTGTGTTGCACCACAATAACCTTCTTTATCGTCCACAATCTGCCCTCCAAAGTGTGTAATAAGGCCATTGATAACCTTTTTCGGGTCCTTGCCCATCGTTCCTGCCGAAATCGCGAATGTTGAGAAAATAAGCGCTGGATTGGGACTGAAACGATCCACGGGCAACAAACGCTGGAGTAAAAAGGTCCGAAAGACCCATTCGGGTCGCACAAGAGCCACAAAACGCTCATTTCGCTGCTCTACAAAGATCTCGTAGGCCTTGGGATGACACACAATGTGTGTCACAGCGCTGCTACTGGCAGCATTCACGTCTTGCAATAAAGTAGCCCCACCATCTTGAAGACATGAATCAATTGCAGCTATTTCTATAGGATCTAACCCTGTTGGATGTACGATACACCGCATGGATGCGTACAGAGAGCGCTGCCGCATATCACTCAGTCCCGTCTTCATACCCAACCAATAGTTATTGGTGTGCGTTAGAAATGCGTTTCTATCGTCTACTATATATTAATTATTCAAGGTAAACCTTGGTGAGGATGTTTTGGCGCCAAAATTTTTAAATTGGGCACGTTTTGACCGGTCAAGCGTCTGTTACACTCAATACAAACGCAAAAGTACTACATATCTCACTAGTGCCCCTACGTCAATATCAGCTTATTAATGGCTGCATCGGCAAAGTCCACGCGACGCGAAAGCACTTCCTTCACACGAGCAGCCGGTAAAGTCCAAGCCACACCCCGGCATTGTCGTCCATACACCTCCAGTACGTCTTGAGGATTGTCGACATTCAATACCTCGGAAAGTTGAGTCAAAGCAGCAAATGCCTCACGTATTGCATCACTGGCACCACCTTCACCGCTAAAGAAAGTGCTAATGACACGCACGTCTTTATCAAATTGCAACGCACCAAGCTGGTTTACGCGAGTAGCTCGAGCGACGAACCAAAATTCAATCTGACTAGCCGCGCATTGAGCCACTCCTTGCACAATTGCATGGTAATTGCTTCGCGATAGATTCCGACGGAAGCCACTAAGTAACGAGCGCAGTCCGCGTACAAACGCATGTGCAAATGGATCGTTTGCCTCGTTAAACGTGAACATTGCCTCTGTTAGCTCATACTGCACACCGTTTCGTCTCTGTCCAGACGACGAGATAGCTGCCGCAGAGGATGCCGACGAGGACGGTGATAACAAGCTGTTGAGATATATAGCAATCTGTGGTTCTAAGAGCTTCAATAGTTTTTTGCGCGACGCCAAAAGTAGTTGCTTTAGTTCAACTGATGCGTCTTCGAGTGCATTCAGACAAGTCAAAATGTGCTGCGGCACCTCTGGGAAGGCTTCGGGTAGTTCGTGTTCAAACTCACCCTTCAGTTGTGCAATGTATCCGGTGATAACTTCCAGACTATTCAGTACAACATCGGGAGCGTGTTCCTTGCGTTGTTCTAGCGCCTGTCCAGTAATCTCGGCATTGATAACACCACCCACAGGCCCAACAGTCTTGCTGAGCTTCGCGAACTGTTGTTGCATCTGATCACGCAACTGCGCAGAGGAAGCAGCCAACAAGCTTGCCGCATCTCCTGGTGCTCTGTCCATCTTGGCGGACGTAGTCATATGTCGGATGCGACTTCGCATCGTATCTCCAATGACGTCACGTAACACCGTGTTAATCATGTTGAGAACTCCCGCCGCGCAGTCGACATGACCTGTAGCCAACGCACGCAACCCAGAGTTACGTGCCACGTAAAAAATCTCGTCAATGGCCGATGATATTGGAAAACACAGTAGCTCATCGCCAACATCGACTTCGTCGATCTTCACACTACCCGAACCCAAATCGTCGGACGAGAAATGAAGTTCCTCCCACTGAAATGCTTTCTGAGCAGCCTTGTTCAGTAGTGCGTTCTCGAAAAAGCAGTAGAATCCTGCAAGCTCTTGGACAGTTTTCCCCATCTCACTCTCGTGGATTGGAGGCAATACGGGGATCATAGTGCTATCCTTGACGTTAATAGTACTTGATTGTTTACCACTTCCAGCTTCCGTGGCATCGGTTCCTTCATCTGTCGCTTCAGACACCACCCTTGAGCGCATAAAGCGCTCGTATGTTTGCGTGTGCTGGATCACCAGGGCCATTTCATTTAGCTGTTCATTCATGGCAGATACATCATCCTCCTCAGAAATTCCAGATGCTGTTTCGGTCCCACCGCTGTTACCGCTGCATTTTGATGGTGACAACGGAGTGGCAGAAGTTGGCAATCCAAGCTGCTCTCCATCTGTAATGCGTTTGTGGAACATGCGTTGTGTCATGTATGCATTCAACACAGCAACAGCCGATTGCTCGCCCAGTGCGTACAGCTTTGCCACAAAGCGATTTGGGCCATAAACTCGTGCAAAGCACTGCGACAACAACGACGCATGTTGCTGTGCTTCTTGTGCCACTTGGTTGAATACTTCTGCGAGGCGTGTAAGTAGTTCTCGAGTACTAAACACACCAACACGGGGGATCACCGTCCCGTTTCATCGATTCTTTCAATGACTTGTGCACATGGTCCAACAATATCACTAGTCCACGTTCTTCATAGTCTTTACCCACCACTTGAAACAATGGTGCATATAACTGCACCTGGTGGTTGTCTCCAGCGCGCAGTCCATCATCGAACGCGCCTTCAATGATTCCTTTGAGATCATTCTCAATCGTATCAATGCGTAATTTATCAGCTACATCCAGTGGCATTTGCTCTTCAATGCTCTTGAGCTTCTGAAGAAACGTGGCAGCCTCTGGATACTTTTGCTGTTGCATAGCTAGTCGGATCCCCGTCAATGCGTTACGCAGCGCTAAAAGCTGCGCCGACTGTTTCAACGCCACACTCAGACGCGACTGAATCACATCCAGATGTCTCACCTCACGTGTCATCTTCTCTGCAATATCATTGGCATTAGCAACGCGTTCTACGACCGCACCAGTCTGTGCACACAGCACGGTCACATCAGGTGTCATTTGACACAGCGAACGCAGTGAGCGCTGGGCTGCCATTTTCTCTGGATCTGTAGAAGAATGGGCAAACAATAACGATTCATCATACAGTAATTGCTGCTTCTGCCTGACAGCAACGAGCTGCTCGACGAGCGCCGCGTGCTCCGTACGACGGCGTGAAGTTGCCATGTTACTTCAGACATTGACTGAAGTGGCACAAGCATTTGGTGTATGTCACATCAATGGTACATAACGTACACATCATAAACCTCAATCTCATGACAATCATGGCAAAAGCACTGACGTACGTCGAGTTGTGCACGCGTTTGTCACGTTTTGTGCAGCTCGAACCGAATGATGCGCTTTATAAAGAGCTACAGGATGTATTGGAAGAATTGGTGATGTTTTATGACAATATGGACAGTGTAGACTTGTCTTCCTTATTGGATGATTGTGGAATTGACGTGCCATTCGTGGGTCTCGCAGCAATGGATGAATTGGTTTTATTCTCATTACACAAGCTCATTGGCTCCTTTGTATTGACTTCTTCTTCTTTCGCGCTTCAAGAGCGTTTATTTGTAGTGTTGTCACGTGTTTTACACCGTTGCAAGCCTCGGATGATAGGGAATAGCCCGGAACAAGTCCAGCGGCGTCTAAGCTTCGTGCAGAGCTGTGTGTTGTATCTACCGCCACCACCTGAAGCTAATGATGCGCACAATGAGAGTGCTGAGACTTTGACCATTTCTGCTCAGCCGGAGGAACTGAGACTTGCTGTTTTGTTGTGTCTACGAGAGGTATTGGAGGAACGGGAACAGGAAGTCGAGAAGCAGGCGGTACAGCTACAAGTAGAACACCAGCATTTCTTTGCGTACGTTGTGGCTTCGTTGCTGAATGTAGCGCAACGTGATCGTTGTAGAGACGCTGCACTGCAAGCAATTGAAGTGCTGAAGTGTGTGCTACTCTTCGTTCAGGACCCGCAGTCGCTTCGGCAATACTTGCCTGGCATCGTTGCTGGACTTTGGAAAAGTGCAAACGCACCGCAACAAGCATCTAAGGTGATTGTTGCAGCTTTGCAGGCTCTTGCAACAGCACTAGATCTGTGCATCAGTGACGAACATTTGCCAGGAGGTGAGGATGGAGGAATGAAGCAAGAGCAGCCAAGATTTACACTTGAAGCGATTCGACAGTCTGCTGAAAGTAATGTTAATGATATGCAAGGAATGGAAGACGCGCAAGACCCGGTCGGTGTACTATCAAATGACAATCAAAAATGGCTGGAGACAACAGCGATGAATCTTGATCTCTTGCTTTCGCGAATGTTTGCTGCTAGTGCCACGGCTATTGCTGATGGTACCAGTACAGGTCTACCACGATCGTCTTGGCGAGTTCGCTGCGCGCTTGCACAGCTTTGTGACACAGTGATGCTCCGGTGTCGACGAGCGCTCCGCGTATCCTTTTTTCGGTGTTACGATGAACTTTTGGTTCTTTGTAGTGACGCTATTACAGAGGTTGCCGAAGAAGCAGATACTGTTTTTGAAAAGCTACAGATGTCAGCTCTTTCTTCGGAAGAGCAATTGCGATTGCTACCAGAGATGGCAGATCGCTTCCAAATGCTGCTTTCTACCCTTGTGCTAAAGATAGCTACGGAGCATGAGGCAACTAAGGTGCATCTTGTGCGCACACTTCGAGGATATGTAAATTTTCTCGGACCCAGTATCACTCCATACCTTGACGCGTCTCTAGATAGCATTTACACGTCTCTTTGTCGGGTAGTGTCATTTGCTGCCCTTGACATTGAGTTGGTCGTTCATCAGTTGTTGCCAAGTCCAGCCGAGCCCAATGAGAACAGCGACAACATCCGAGCAAGAGTCATGATCTCTCAATTTCAGAAACGATTGCGGTTTTTTAATGAGGAAGCCTCAGTCCGCGAGGTGTTGGAGATGCTGCGTGAGATTGGTGCTGTCTTAACACCAGCGGGCTTTATCGACTGTGCCTTCACGCTATTATCTGAGGCAAATATGGAGGTCAGAGAACCCGGTGGTGCTGAAGTTGTGCTGGTTCTAAACGAGTTTTTACGAGCTTACTGCCCGAGCAACGAATGTAGAAAACGTGTGGTTCATCAATCAGTAGATGTTCATCTTGTTGGACGCATTCTAGAAGATTTGCTGGTGCTGGACTCATGGAATAAGCACAATTCATCAAGCAACCGCGGTTGTAGCAAAGCGTTTGTGTCCCAATGTGCGCTTATGGTGGAGTGCATTGGTGTATGTGCTGAAATTCTTGGCGCAGAGTTCAAGCTGTTTCTGCTATACATCCTATATCCATTAGTCGAACAATTGGGGTCGCACAGCGTTGAAGTAGAGCGTGCGGCACTGGCTGCGCTGGAGAAGATATGTTTTTTCACAGGCTACAAGTGTCTTGAGGCTCTTTTTCAGGACAACATGGATTACTTTGTGGACGCCTTATGTGCTCGGCTTGAGCAATTGGACGCGTACCCAATGACTGCATCTGTCGTTGAGGCTTTGTTAAGGCACACTTCATTGGCGTCGTTACCACTGGTGGATGAGGTAGCATCGTCCTTGCTTCGTAGTGTTGATCTGTATCAAGATTCACCTCACGTTGACGGTTTACTGCGCGCGCTTAAAAGCCTACTTAGTAGCATTGCACGCGACGCGCAAGAAGCTGAATGTAAAAAGGTACACACACTTGGCGATGACGAGCTCGAAAAATCGAGACATCCCCGCTCGCTCCTGAGTGAGTTTATTCGTGAGATGAAGGTGTTGGAAAATGATGGTATCGATGGCCTTGAGATTGAAATAGAGGGCGGTGATAAAGAGACTTGCTCCGTTCCTGAACACTCTGATCGTGCGAGTGTGAAAGGTGCTATGCCTTTGGAGTACGATGAAATTCAACGTGATAGCCCGGACAGTGGAGAAGGAAACGAGGAAGAGAATACAGCAGCATCGGCCTACCGCACTCTAGTCATTGACATCATGGAACGGTGTGGTTATTTTCTCGTAAACTCAGATCCTATTGCGTGCTGTTTGGTTTTGTCTTTGATTGATGAAGGTGTGAGGTTCCTTTCAAAACATCCAAGACAATTGCTACCTCTTGTCGCACGCATGTGGCCCGAGATTCTACCTCGATTACGTGTAGAGAACCGTGCTATCGTCACCAGCACCGTCCGTGTTATTGCCACACTAGCAGAAACAGCAGGCGACTTTGTGGGAGACCGCTTTGTGGAGACTGTATGGCCAATACTTCGATCTCAACTCCAACTCATTCATTTTGACGTGGATGCTAAGTCACCGCAACTTACACGATCCATGCTTTTGCTCTCAAAACCTACGATTGATGATTCCCATGTCGAGGATATTCGGTCACCTAGTTCAGACGCTGAAATTCAAAAGCGGACGGATAATGAACTCAGTGCTGTTAGTGGAGTACGGAAAACGCAAGAGGTTCACCAACTGCTGGCAATTCTATCGTGTCTGACCATAGTGTGCCTACAATCAGAGACGATGACCAAACTCGTGCCTGAAATAACCCGCACGTGCTGCAAGTATCTAAGTCGTTCAGCGCCACGGGAGGTTGTACAACAAACTTCCGAACTTTTTGCAGCGCTGGCGCAATTAAACGGTGACGAAGTGTTCTGCACTGTAGCAGCACTTGCTGACTGGAATCCGCCTACGCCACCGAGTGCGCGTTTTCCTGGGTATGCGCCAGATGCAGTCCAACGCTTTTATCGAGACCATTTGGCAAAACTAAGTGGATACGCACAGACTTGCCGAGACAATGCTTGCGTCTTGATAAATCGGATATTCAGTTGATTGTCACTGGATATAGAGAGCAGGAAAGCCTGCACCATCGTTTATTGAGCGAGAGATGCCAATACAGGTCAGTCCAGAGTATAGTATGTTGTCTTGCTTGCTACTCGTGTTCTACTATCTAGACAACTGGATATCATCGCATTCGTCTAGCCGAACATACCGCCCATATTTCCGGCATATGCCATCGGGCGAATTGGTGGGTGCTCCTACGTGGTGAAAATGCGCATGTAAGCAGCTTATTTTTGTACAAAGTGGCATTTACCAAACTAGACCCATTGCAAGCACGTACCACTGCAACAAATTGCGTGAATCGGGGCTGCATGTCCTTTTCAAAGCGAATGAACGCGCCCTTGTTGCCCATCTGGTCGCAGTAGTTTGGCGCACTGAATACTGTAATGCACTTTCCGTCGTGCTCAACTAAGTATCCCTCATCCTTGACCTCATGCGAGCGCACCAACAAGTCTACAGTCACCACAAAAGAGCACGTCAGTGCATGCAAAGTACAAGCATCAACTAGTAATGGTGTAGTAGACCATACCAAGTTTGTTGTGCTCCAAGAAGGCTTTGGTGACATCAGGTCCGAAAGAGAGGCCGATACCACGCTTGCTAGGACCGCGACCCTGAAAAGGCTGTGGATCGCTCCACATCAAGTCACTCATGAGTCCACTCTCAGGTGGCTCGTGGTTACGGTCGATCTTTTCAATGTCAGCAAGCGTTACATTCTCCTCGCTGAAAAGACCACCGTGCACGACCAACACCTTGTCTTCAATCACGGCGGCAAGAGGGAGCCAATTGAAAACCTCCGTGAAGAGCTGCATGACCGTCTCGTCGTACTTGTGCTTCACCTCGCCTTCAAAGCCGTAAATCTTGTTCATGTTCTTTGACTCGTGGTTACCACGCAGCAAGTGTACGTGCTGCGGATATATGACTTTCATGGCAAAGAGCGTCATGACAACCTCAAATGAAAACGAGCCTCGGTCGACGAAGTCGCCATTGAATAAATATGGGTTGGTATCGCTCGGTAGCCCATTCAGTGAGAAGATGTTGCACACATCGTAGAACTGACCATGCGTATCACCGCACACTGTGAAGTGTGCATCCGGGTCGTCGGACGGAAGCGAAATGTGCACCAAGGACGGCAGAGCACACATCATCTCCTTGAGCTTTAGCAAAATTTGAATCACAAACTTGCGATGTAGCAGCTTCCCACGCTTAAAGCGGTCTATTAGTGCTACAATAAAGTCAGGCTTGGTCTGCGCCGTATCCTCAGGAAGAAGCGGGCCGTCGTAGGAGGGGTCCACCACTATATAAATTGAGAGCATCATGCACACTATGAGTTAGCTCCACAACCACTTCAAGCGCTTCTTTATCGTTTTACTATACCCATTGAATTAACATCAATAGTCTCAGAGAGTGGCAAGTTGCGTTCAGATTGTATCGCAGCTGCAAATGCCGCTTCCTTAATGATCTTTTCACACAATTTGAGCTTTGCACGTGCATCGCGATCTTGTGGTTTCATATGAACCACTAGACGAAAATCCTTGACCGCTTTTTTATGATGTCCCAGTGCTAGTTGTGCTGATCCACGTCGATAATAAGCTACAATCGCAACCCAACACACCCAACTCCCTTCATCAGTTCTCCTTCTTGTCTTCATTTAAACATCTTCCAAGTCCGAATGAATGCTACAATCATCAGAATACACACACCTTTCACATATGTTGAATCCAATTCAATCGCACTGGATGCATCATCAATAGCAAGACCATAATTCTCGCTCTTGACGTGTGCAGCCGCACGATTGGCATAAAAGATCGCAGTAGGAGCCAGCTCAATGGCCTTTGAATACAATTCAACAGCTTTTGCATATTTAAAATGAGCTAATGCTTCATTACCCTGCGCTTTTAATGCATCCGCACGTGCGATCGTCTCATCTGATACAACGTGTGGCATTGCGACAGCAGCAACGTGCGCCATCTCTTTTAATTCCTCAGAATGGGTTTTTTGATAGTAAATGAAAGTGTCTGATTGGATAAAATATCACTCTCACGCTCTCTATTATAATAAAAAAAAATCCGTATGGACCCATTCGAACATTTAAAAAGGACCCAAACTTGAGCATTGAGACTGAAAAAATGACAAAATTTGGACCCAAAATCGGTAATTGTTGCAATCATTTTAATCTACCAATACCAATTACTGGATCACACACGATAAGCAAGATGTCCATACTAGTGCCTCAACTCGATGAGGATCAGGTGCTAAATGCACTGGATGCTCGATTTTATACCGAGACGTTTGATCCTATTGCGTACATGTTTGTACGTCTCTTCTTCTTCTTCTTCTTCTTGTCCCATTTGTGTGTAACTTTTGCGTGTTCGTTCAGGAAAATCTGCCAGAAAATACCGATGATATGAAGGCATTCATGCACACGGAGATCAGTGCCGTGGACGTAGCAAGAGATGTTATTGATACACAGCTACGAGCTGATGTACAAGCGAATCAAAGCACATTACTTGAAGGTCTGAACGTCGTGCAGGAGGTGGATCTGGACTTGATACGAGCACAAATTCACGTTAAAAATGGACGGCGTCTTCTTGCAACAGCAAAAAATGACCTTGTTCTCAGGTATAACTAGTCGTATTATACTGTGTTATTGACTATCTTTTGCAGTGTATGCTGCTTGTTTATTGTCGTTGGTGCTGATACGTGAAAATTTGATGCAAAAGGTCTTTGGAAATTATAAAAATCAAGAGAAATCGAGACCGTGTCAATGAGGTAAAACTTGCAGCTATTTTTGTTGTCCTTGACGATGCAATTCTTGCATTGCTAATGCTGATCTGGCACTGAATAGATTATTAGACTTGGATCGCAAATTGTCCTGTTCTTTGATGAAGAAAAGCACATGAATGAAGCTTTGCAAGACCGCCGTTTTATCACTGCTGTAGGGTGCCGTGGTGTTTGAGCCTTTGTGCTACTTTATTGTATTGACTCAGCTATGTTGGCATGTAATTTATTGACAGGTTGATGTTTGTATAGGCTTACGGAAAGCGTTATCACGCAACGAGTTTCAAGGTCTTACGGTAGTAAATGACATTCGACTCCGAATGAAAGACTTTATTCCAAGATTGAGAAAGATATTTGATCAGGTAAGCAATAACTCTGCCGTTCGATGCTGAGTATCTGGCCGTGTGGTTTTCAATAACTCTGGCGCCATATGTTTGCTGTAGTCGCTGCGGAAAGTCGCGGAGCACTTTGACCCTCTTGAGTATAAGGAATTGCTACAAGCATACATTACATTAGCGGATCACTGTGAAAATCTAGGCTTTGAGTTCTCGTCATATACTCTGACCGAAGTACTGTCCAATATCCCTGAGATTATTGTTCTAGCAATCGACGATATCAAACGTGAACTTATGCGTCAGCTGTTCGAAGCTGTGTCGCCAAAACAAGCTAAAAATGAAAAGAATACAATGCAGATAGAAGAGAACGACGCAGACAACAATGATAAACCAGCAGATGTAGCGCTTACACCGGCGTCCGAAACGGTCGAGAGTATGAAGCGATGCTACGAACACCTCACTGATTTAATGCACACATACTATCTATTGGTTCAATGGCATCGGGATCCATTCAATCCGCTCAACGATGACATTGCTTACCTTCATCGCTGTGGAATTGACGACGATGATGACGATGATGATGATGATGATGACGATGATAGTGGCGAAGAAAATGATCATTATGTGGAGGAGTGTCATCATTCTTACTCTTCAAAGCACCGCCACGGGAGCGACATATTGAAGGAGCCCAAGGTCCGATCGCATAATTCGGAAAATAGTAACCTGGATTACTCTAGCTCACAAATGCCACTTTATAACCAAATTTTATGTGATACGGGTATGACTTTGCTGAAGTATCGCAAGATCGTTTGGGAAAATATTCAGCAAAACGTGCTCGAGATGGTTGGAACGCTGGACACATCATATGGTAAGTATGTCGACGCTTGACGGCGTGAAACGGATGTGGTTGTTAACACTATTTTTCGGGTTTAGGCTATCAGATGGAGCACATTATTGCCCTTTCGCTAGCGACAAGAACGTTCACTGAAATTGGGGAGGAATTTACTGGTGTTTCCTTGTTAAAGTGAGTCCGACATACTGTTGTGCGGCTGGATATGTACGCTAATTAGACATCTGTCGACGCTATTGTACAGGATTCGATCGGTTCTTCAAGCCAAATGTGAGCAGTATCTCTATGCGTTTCATGACGACAATATTGAATTGGCTCGGATGCTTTTGGAGACAGAAAACTGGCTTCGCATCACTACACCGTCATCGGATGGTGACGATAAATTAAGCCTTCTTCGGCTGATTGAGAAGCGAAGTGGATACTTTTTTGAACGGAAGGTTTGCAAAGACCTTGCGGCCAACCTTATTTATTTGAGACGAGTGTTTCCCTCATTTTACACCGAAGGAAATCCATTCAGCGCTGCCAATTCGATGGAGTGGCTTTCAACGAAGCAAGGTATTCGGTTCCATCATGAAACTAGTGGTGATGGAAGTAGTGGTGATATGACATTACCGTCAGAGCGTCATAATCAGACGCTTCATGTCATGGATCTTGACGCATCAGAGCTCGTATTGACTTCGTCTAGTCTCTCAGGTTTTGTCCGGTAAGTATTGCTTTGAGAAAGTGTTGGCTCAAAACAAAACGACAACTGATCGACCTTTTGACTTTAGGTTGTGCGGTGTTTACTTGAAAATGATGGAGTACCTTCCGCACATCAGTTGGAATGTTTTACACTCATTGATCGGTCTGTTCGAGTTCAACGTGTATGTTGTTTTCACCAACTTTATTCCTGTAGACGACATCATAAAGTTTTTTCACGGCAGACGTGGAAGTCTAGTCAAGAACGATGCAACGCGGTGGAACGAGTTACGCTCTGCAGTTTGTCGTACAGCGGATGATATTAAAGTCGGTGATGTACTGCTCCAATCTTCTGTAATAATCTACCCATCGGCAACATATGACGAAAAAGCGGACCAGCTGCAGAACTCGCCTATGCTGAGAAAAGTGACTTTGCGGAAAGTGACTGGAACGCCATCGGCCGTTGAAGATGCTGACGAGAGCAATTTGTACGCGCTAGCCGAACGATCGATTGCTTGCGAAACTGTTATCGGTCAGTCCAGGCTACTGGATGCTATCGAAGACTTGGCTCGGTCGTATCTTCCTGATCGGTACCTATGCCTGATGGATGAAGTTTACGAACGAAATCGTACCGTAGCACAGGAACTTTGCAGTTTCATGTACAGTACAATTGCAACAAGACTTGTGGACGTTCCAGCCCTGCTAGAATCCGTAAGTGCAGTGTCTTGGGATATTAGCTACATCAGTGATCAGCACAACGAGTATATTGTGCATTGGGTACGAAATTGTGGAGAAGTATGGGGAAGACTGCAGAATCTGGCGGACCGATCTATTCCGGTCGACGCACGGGAGGATGTTTGGGCGGCAATGGTACAGACTATCATGGATACGCTATTGCAGGCATTTTCAACGGCCCCCAATCCGACACCTCAAGGTCGCGCACTTATGTTGCTGGACTTGCTTGCGCTCGAAAACGGCCTCGATCTGATTAACCACGTCAGTTCTCGAACTGTACCACGGGGTCGCGAGTATGTGAGCAACTACATCAAGGCCTTCTTCTACGACGAATACGAGCTTTTGGAATGGGTTCAAGATAACAAGGTGCGAGCTACAAGTCGCCATTGTTTAATTGTTGATTTTCACTACTGCCGTGAGCTTACCACGTTGACATGAAATTCCAGGCGTTCTACTCGAAGATCCAATTTGCCAACCTAATCACGAACGGCATTGGTCCGACACTAGAGAGAAAGAAACTCCGCGAACTTGTGTTGGAGATTGATGCAATCATTGGTTGATCCTGCCATGGACATTTATTCTTATGGATATTTGTACAGGTCAAATTATTCCGCAGCAGCTTCTGTCGCTGCCGTTAGTCTAGGTTAATCTCATGATGCTCAGAAAAGGATACTTGCTCTTTCCAAAGTCAAAATTAAGTCAGTCCCATTGTCTGCCGACTCCCCCTGGGCCCAAACGGACGTCGATTCCTGGCTCTCAATATTGAATTTTAAACACTTCCTTCATCTCTTCCAATGGAATACTTGCTTACTGTGCCAAGGCAACGCGTAGCTCTTGCTGCACCTGAGGTTGTGGAACTACCTCAACGACGAGGAGAAGGAGCTCATCCGCCCCCCCTTTGCCGAATGTAGCGCGCAGAAAATTTACAAAAGCCTGACTGCTCATCTCTTGGTTTCCAAGAGCCTTGGCCGCTTGCTTAAACTCGTCCACCGTGTGCATGTTGTCGCCCGAAAGCGTGCTCACTCGTTCTAATATATGACGATTGGCTTTCTTCCGAGACAGCCGTCCATTGGCGACAGGATCGCATACCCGACTGCCTAAACTTCTTTCACTGCTTGTAAACCCTTTCAGTTTCTGTTCTGCTGGTAAATGTAACAACAACGAAGATGAGTCATCCTGCTAACGAGAACACACCAGACCGTCTCATAGCCACCGTACCACATTTATCGGAGTCAGCCTCTTCTTCCCGGTGCTGCGTCTTGCTCTCCTCCGCGTCATCAGTGTCAACAGAAGCAATGGAAACACCACTCGCAGCACATAATGCTTGACGCTTTTCCGCGCTCTTCAATGAGCGCACAAAGCGCTGCAAAATCCAGCTTGCAAAGTCAGGCTCAAATTCCTTGTGCAAAAACTCTATGAAAGGAATAGCAGCTGCTACCGGATCATTCTCTTTCCGAAAGGCGCGTGCACGCTTCTTAAACCGTTTGAGCTCATGAGTGTCAGACCGGAGAGCAAGTTCCTTTTCAATCTCCAGTCGGTACGTATTACGTTTCAAACTCAGTTTGTCTTTTGCATCAGACACACTTGCACCGGACACGCGATAATCTGAGTCAGACGAATCACGTAGTGTTCCAATCGAGGATGCAAAAATTCCCGCCATGCTCATACTGCTTGGTATCGTCGGATCCAACAGTCCACTGCAGTCAATGTATTTTTCAGCACCAATAAAGTCTGCTAGTACTTTACATCCTCCTCTCTTGGAGAATTCCATAACGTCTGGAAACAACATCACGCGTTGCATATAAAAGTCCAATTCCGCACGTCGTTTCTCTAGAAAACTCGATGTATGATCCTGATGAAAGAATGCACGCACACGATGATTCGGCGCAAAGGCGACAGTGACCATCATCTTGGCAAAAAGCGATTGACGAGCTGCTCGCATTTGATTATCAAAAGCTTGAAACTCTTCGTATGTTTTCCAGAGACTCCATTGAACCACATGCTGTGGTTCATCCTGCTTCTCTCCTGTCTTATTAAGGTGACAAAATAACTCGTACTATAGCAACAATACCAATACCAATAACAACAATAACAATAATGATCAACGTTAACATTAGTCTCTTGTTTATCTCCATAAATATCGCTCTTTCAATAACAATAACAAGAAGAACAATCATCATAAACGTACTACAGCTGGTTCTCCATTCGTTTGTGTAGCATTGCGTACATGCAATTTAAGTGGTGCTACTCGTAGTAAGAAATCAGGGGGTGTCATCATCATTGTAAGTAATTTACAATCACTTTGTGGTCTACAGAAAGGAGGAGAGAGCCACTAGTGAAGAAGAATAGAGAGAGAGAGGGACGTGGAAGGAGGAATGGGAAGCAGGAGGAGACAATGGATGCGAGAGAGCGATAATGATCTGGAAATATTGAGAGTCAGAGCACCAAATTGTACTTTTTTGGGATAAAGTGAGGCCATTTGAGGGAAATTTAAGACGGACTTTCTATCAAATTGTGGAAAAAAAGCCAAATACAATATGATCTTATATAATATTTTTCTATCAATGTATGTATGAATGAGTATGTGATCCGTTTGATCCTACAACATTGAGACGAAACAATAATGATTTTGTATCTTATTTTAAATATTTGGTCCTTGAAGAATGGGATTGATAAAGTATTACAGGTAATTATATTGGAACTTGTAGTGGTAATATTGCCCATCACCTCATTCGTTTCCCAAAAAAGAATGCTTATTGTTATATTGTGCTGCTACATTATTGCAATATTTTCACACCAATCTCATGAAATTGCTCGAAAAACATTTTTTCTTCAATACTTAGCAATAGCAACGACATTCATAGTCTTAGTGACAATGATAAGGGCCAACACGTTCGTTCGTGGAGCTAGGAACAACGCAAAGTGGCCATGCACGACAGAAAACTGTTGCATGATTTGCAATCTTGGCGGGAAGTTTTAGGAACAGATGGCATTCACTGATGAAAATAACACGCATACTCGAGTAAATACAACCGATGAGACGATCAATGGGAGCTACAGTCAATCAGATACTGCAAGTAACTTTCGTGTTACATTGAAGCAACAATACAAGGCTATATCAAACATGTATTAGTCTTTAGTTTTTATACCTATGATCTGAGAACAAATCTTTCGCAGCAGAGAGATCAAGTAATAAGCTGAGATAATGCAGATACTACGGCAAAAAAAAAGAATATCTCTCGACACACAAATCATCAGCTCATTTACTCGTCACTATCTTTTAAAATGCGTGGTGTTTATAAACACCAGAATGAAAATGGACGACCATCTTATGCCATCGTGACAATTTGATTGATACTTATCGTAGTCTCCACATGGTAACGACTCGTTCCAGACACCAAAAACAAGACGAAATCCAACAATCCTTGGACATCATGAATACGGATAAAACGCCTAAGCTGATGTAAACTTTGTCACCGCCTTTGTTCCTTCCGACACGGCGTGCTTTGCAAGCTCACCAGGAAGCATAAGACGCACGGCCGTCTGAATTTCACGACTGGATAGTGTCGACTTTTTATTGTAGCGTGACAATTTACCAGCTTCCGACGCAATACGCTCAAACACATCATTAATGAACGAGTTCATGATCGACATACCACGCTTGCTAATTCCGGTATCAGGATGCACTTGACGCAAGACCTTGTAAATGTAAGTTGAGTACGATTCAACTCGTTTCTTACCACGTCCTTTGCCTTTGCCAGTCTTGGCAACTGTCTTCGCAGCTTTCTTGGAAGGAGTTTTTGCCATTATTGCTGAATCAAAGAGTAAATGTATTGCAAGTACTTGGTAAATTGAAGAATGAGGATTTAATCATGGCTTTAATGTATCAATTCGTTGACAGTTTTTCGACTACGTGTGGAGTGTTTTTATTCTACGACTCGCATGACAATTTGTGATTGGCGGAACTTCGCAATTTGTATTCTCATTGGTTATGAGAATAATACAAGGTATATGATTGGTTCATGTTGATACAGTGAGTAGGGTAGTTTTGGCGCGTAATATGAATCAGACATCTATAGACACGGATAATAGAAAGACAACCTGTAGCGCCTTGGATGGATGAATGATTCCCTCATATAAGACTGATCATCTTGCTCAGGGATACCATACAAATTTACTGTTAGTTACGTTATTGGAACAATATGTTTTTTGCTCATTACATCGACTACTGACACCAGGAGCACATAACGGCAACAATGTGTTCATAAATCAAGTACCTGACCGACTCGTGTTACCAGTTTTACGTGGCTATTAGTTCCAAGCTACGTTCAAAAGATCTTGTATAAGCATCATTTCTCCAATTGCTATGCATTCTTAGTATTCTGCTGACGCGTATGAGCGAGAAGATCATAACGATGTACGCCATGTGGCTTGGAACACGCAACGGGTCAGTCATTAACTCGTTGCAAAGAGTTGACTACGACTCCGGTTTAATAGCTTGAAAATGGATACAGCGTGAGCAAACTGTCAAGAAGATACTTTCTGTGCAAGTAATGTTATTCGGTCAAAGTATCCGTTCTTTTTCTCAAGAATGTGCTCAAACTGAGGTCCAGCAAACAGAACCGAGCTTCAAGGCCTTACTGCATCAAGTGACGCAATACTGTGCGTGCATTCAGCTTCTTCAGGTGTGTGTACTTCTGGCCCGTACCAATAAACATGATTGGCTGGCCGGTCTTGTACACCATCGACACCGCAGCACCAACTACAAGGGAAGACGTAACGCCGCATGTGAGGTACATAACACTATCGCCAAAGAAAGAATCGATAGCTTACCCTTATCATCAATCGTGTCAAACTTTGTGATTACAATGCCATCAATGCGGTGCGGCTCGCGGCGGTCCGAGTAGTCGGCGAGAGCCTAGAAATCGCATGATCGAGTCAGAAACAAGCACAGGAATATGGCATACTCGCAAATACGTACCCGGTCAAACATTGACAGCTGGTCGATACCATCGTTGCCAACCAACGCTTCTCCGACAAAAAGAACAAGGTCGGGCTCATTATTGGACACAAGTTTGGCCAATGCGCGCATGAGCGGCTCATTATTTTGCATCCGACCAGCCGTGTCGATCAGCACACAGTCGTAACCGTTGTCAGCGCCGTACTTGATCGCCTCCTTAGCCACAGCAGCCGGGTCTTTGGCATAACCCTTCTGGAAGAGCTCCACGTCCAACACCTTAGCGTGCTGGTTCAGCTGCTCGACAGCTCCAGAACGAAACGTATCACACGCAGCGATCATAACGTTCACACCCTTTGATTTCAGGTAGTAGCATACTTTGGACAAGCTGGTGGACTTGCCCACACCATTGACACCCACAAAGACAATGCTATATGCACGACCTTCTGCCTTTGCCTGCAAAACCTCGCGTAGCACATCAGTAGATTTCTTAGGCGTCAAGATGCGCAACAGTGCAGCCTCTAGCGCCTTGCGCACGACCGTGGCGATGCGCGTGAAGCTCTCCAGCCTCTGGCCGACAACGGTCGTAATGACAGATTCGCACAGTTCATCAGCGACTTCCGAAGCCACATTTTTGCTGATCAGCTGTGATGAGGCGACTGAGTCAGTACGCTCACGTGTTGCAACACACTGCAATATACACGACACCTACCATCTCATGCAAGGGGTTGATAACAAGCTCCAAGTCCTCCCGCCCAAGAATTTTATTGCCAGACACCGCGCTCAGGAAATTACCAATACGAGATTTTGAAAAGCTCCAGACGGAATCGGACTCCGCTCCTGAAGAAGTCGCAGACTCATCTTCGCTGGCAGAAGACTCGTCTGAGTCACTATCTTCCATTTCCTATACGTACAACACAATCTTCATTTTCTCGGTGCTCATGATATGACAGGTATATAAAAGCAAACCTACTCCAATATACGCATCACGTTTCTCCCGAAGCTGTGCCTCTTCCTCCTCGGCAGTAGTCTGACAATACCACACACCACATGATTACAGCAATCTGTCAGAACAAGTCTTTCATTTACAGCAAATCGTTCGTAACACCTTTTCTTACCGTCTTGGAGCGATCCAACACTTTCGCCTCCTTCTTGGACACCTTCGTGTCGTCCCATTTTGTCATTTTCTTGCCGCTATTCGTGGCCTCCTTTGCGCCCTTGTCCTTTCCCTTACGTCGCGGACCCGACCGCATCGTCCGCCCCTTGGACGAGCGAAGTGTGGCTTCATATTCCAGCTCCTCAAGATTCCTGTCTTTTCCGTCGGTTGTAAGGCTGTCATTTCCATCGCCACTGGACTATTCAATCCCAAATTGCACACATCAAGTCAGCAAAAGAACCAACATCGTATCGCATGTGCGAATGCAACAATAGTACAAAAAGGTAGCAACAAACGCCAGCTCGTACATCTGCAGTCGTCGTCGAGCGCAAAGATGATGCTGTCTTGCCGACTGTATTGGATGTTATGCCCTTCACCTTGGCTTTCTTCGATGCGTTAAAAGCACGTGGAAATTTGCGTGTATGTTTCTCCGTGAATTTCATTTCCGTGGCCTGAAGGATCTTGGTAAACTTGCCTTCGTACGTAACAGGTGTCTTTTGAATGATCTGCTGAGGAAACGTCGCAACAAAATCCTTCTTGACAATCTCCAGTAATTCTTCAATATAAAGTAGCTGAAGAATCTTCTGGTAGACCACAACAAACACAAGATCTAACTTGTTCTCGAATACCCATTGCATCGCATACATGTCGTTCCTGAATTTCTTCTCACCAGCGCGATCTTCCATAAGCATACGATTAATGAGAATATTCACTGGATCACCATTTAATTTGCATAATGTACGTGACCACAATACAGTTCCTGTCTTTGAAAAGATAACAAAATGATCAATCATGGATAAGTGAATAGATAGCTGGATAGATATTAGACCGTGCTTTCTCGGCTTTTAAATTTTTGTATCACTAGCCACTAGAGTATGATGTGTTACACACCATATTGTGCAATGAATGCTCTGGATGAAAAGCTTGCTGCATACTGCAGGGCACTGCCAAAGGTGGAGTTGCACGCGCATATCCACGGATCTATCCGGCCATCGACTTTACAGGAACTTTTGGATGATGAAGCAGTACTTACGACCTCTGAGTTACTACGAATCCCGAAGAAACGAAGTCTGGACGAATGTTTTAAGATGTTCGAGCTGATTCACCACCTTGTCGTTAGTCGGTGTGTACTCCGCCGGATTGTAGTTGAAGCGGTGGAAGACTTTGCAGCAGAAAATGTAAAATATCTAGAGCTTCGTTCTACACCACGAGATCTGCCGAAGGATGGTGCCACTCGTGCAGATTACGTGGATGAAGTAGTATCTGCACTAAGAGAATGCAATGCGCGACGAGATTTGGACATTGAGGTGCGACTACTACTAAGTATTAACAGGAACCAGTCGGTAGATCTAGCAGAAGATACTGTTAACATGGCGATTGAGCGCAAGCATAAGCAAAACTGTCGGTTTATCGTGGGCATTGACCTCAGCGGCAACTCCGAGCGCCCCAATTCCGAGTTCCACCGCTTTGAAAACGTCCTAGAGCGTGCACGAGCGAATGACCTGAAACTCGCTGTGCACTTTGCTGAGCATTTCGACGACAATGAAGCGAATCGAATTCTCGACTTTCGACCGGACCGATTGGGTCATGCCTGTTGTCTACCGGAGCCGCTCTACAACAAGATGTTGCTGCTGCGAATCCCCATCGAGGTTTGTCTGACCTCGAACGTGCACACGCTGGCGAAATATCGCAGCGATGGAGACTGCAAGTGTATACCCAGTGCAAAACACGAAGTAACGGGGTTGTGTATGTGTGGCTTTACTTTGCACCCGCACGGCAAGTTACTCACTGGCGAGCGAGGTCAAGAGCAGCATGGCATCTACCCCATATGTTTATGCACGGACGACTTTGGCGTGCTTGACACGACCCTATCGCTTGAGTACATGCGTGCAGCGCAAGCATTTAGTCTAAGCAAGGAGCGACTATTGCATATTGCACAATCACCTATAGAGGCTATTTTTGATCCGAGTCAAGTGTCGAAGCTAAAGAAATTGTTCCACCATTGACTTAACAGTCGACATTTTTTTGATGTTAACGATGCTAACGAGGAACTTTACGACTTATTTTTTGTATGAATACCTCAAGTTTTGCCGGCAAAACGTTCCGACTCTCTCTAGTCGTACATTTTCCTGCACCTGATCAAGAAAGTCATGCAAACGTTTGTGCTGCTTGTATCGTCTATTGCTGCTGTTGCATCTGCGCAGTCCGTCTCCAACTCGACGTTGTCATCGACACCAGGCTCTACGTCGATGCCGACGGAGCTCGCAGCCATCATCGAATGTAGCACGACGCAGTTAGACGACGCCCAGGTAATTCTGACGTCAAACCGGCGCCAGAAGCAGTGCGAGACAGCGCTCAAGCTAGCGTCAGGTACGATGCTGCAGGTGACAACGGTGTCAGCTACTGAGATGTGTGACACGGCTTCGTGTAAAGCGGCTCTTCAGGAGCTGTACAACGTGCTGCCCAACTGCCGTTACAACCTCTGGGGCCTGCAGTACTCGGCAAAAAAGCTGCTCGAGTACTGTGGCCTTACACCAACCAACACGAGCGAATTGGTTCCTCCTAGTGGACCCGTCGGCCGGAGCGCGATCTCGGATTTTACCTCAGTTGCACCGGTGAATGCGGACACTTCTCCCACGACGAATGACGCAAGCGCTGCGAGCTCTGCGTCAGCCGCGTCTTCAGGATCAAGTGTTGCGCTACGAATCACCATCGTTTCGACTGTGTTGGTGACGACTACAGGTCTAGTCGCTGCTTTTTTGGCCTGAGCCTGGGGTCATAGGAACTAGCGTCTTGCTTCTTCGATTCTCATCATGCTATTCGAGTTTGTAAGGAGCGCACGTCACTAAACACGATGACTGCTATTATTTGACTTTGTTGCCAATGTGTGGTAGTGTTGTATAAGGTTTTGTGCATAGCAACATTATCGATGAAAGACAGAAAGGTGTCTTACCGCTGCATTGCATCATTTAGCAGCTCCTCAGTAAATTCAAGTGCGTCAAGGACTGACGGACGCTCTTCAGGGTTCGTGTGCAACATGTCTCGGATAAAGTCACAGAACTCAACCGTAAATTTTGTACCTCGATGGTGAATCATACCACCTTGCTCAGGAGGAAATGGCACACGGCCGTTCAAACATGCCAATTTCATAAAGCCCTGTACGCATTGCAAAACAAAGAAAAAGCTCCTTAGAAACATGATGTAGTGCAATGTGATAAAGCACTATCAAACCTCGCGAGGATGCTCAAATGGGCTTGATCCGAATGCCATTGTGTATCTGTAAGATGAAAATGGTTGAGGGGCATTAGTGGGCTCAGCTTCTGCAACTAGGAATTGAAAAACAACATTCAATGGTACTTACAAGACACAACCAAGGGACCACACATCTGACTGACCATCCAGCGAAATGTCAACTGTTGGCCTAAACAGTTCCGGTGCCCAATAAGGAGCTGAGCTTTTCTGGTTTACCTCGTCTTGCAACTCGAGCGAATTCCGACGAGATTTTACTTGAGCGTGAATTGGAGCGCAGCTGCGAAAGTCTGTCACCACTGGAATGTACGCCAAATAATCTTCTCCAGTGGATGACGATGAAAGTAAGATATTTTGAGGTCTGATATCTCTGTGGCAGAAGCCTCCTCGGTGCAGCGCAAGTACGCCCGAACAAATGCCGTGAAAGAGATGCAATGCTGTGCGTTGTGGGAACGGCCACAGAGGAGACGATGAGTGACACGCAGCGTCAATTGCGTCCCACAGGCTTCCACGCTCAAAATACGGGACTAAGAAGTAAAACTACAGGTGAAGGCAATAAAAGAGGGACAGTCGTTATTTAGCGATAGCTACACGGCGCAAAGGGCCCAAAATCTGTACCTCCATTCCTTGTTGTATGCGTGCCTCAGAAAATTCAACAAGCGGCATTATATTCAGGTGCTTGACAGACTGCGTAACAACTCCAATCAAAAGACAGCTGTTAGCACAAAATTTACATATTTCTACCAAGAAGCACGTACGCGAAACACTTGGAGCTCCGTTTGCACATCATGTTCAACCTCTTGGGACTGACAGAGGATCCGCTTGAGGGCAAATGTTTCATTGGTAGCCAATGACCGGACCAATAGGACTTGAGCATATTGACCTTCGGCAAGCGGCTGTACGACTTGTACGCTAACTCCACCCACCTGGATGCTGTCGCTCTGTTATTCATCAATAATTACGAGAATAATCTGTTAGCGCATAAGAAACAAGCAAGAGCATGTTGCATACACATTCCTTCAAGACATTAGCACTAGCATTGGATATAGTTGCGCTAATTGACGAAATCAAAGACCCTCCCCACTTCTTCGCCTTCTTGGCCGTTTCTGTCGCACCCTTCTTCGCATCCTCAATGGAGATTTTCTTTGCAAAATCGTACGCTTGCTCTGTCGGTTTGCGCAAATAGGCCTGTGATTCTTTTCCTGGACCTTCTTTTGACTCGTATCGTTCATCACGATCAAATCTTGAATCATGGGTATCGTCTGTATTTTGGTATCCACTATCTTCATGCTGATAACTGTTGCAATTCCAGTCACGTTTTTCCTTTCGCAATTTATCACGCAAAGATAAATGTTCAGCTGATAACGGAGGTTCCTCATCTGATTCATTCAAGTCTCATATGTCAATCACAAATGCTTTATTAAAAACCATCCAACCCATCTCCATACCTTGCGACTCGTACGTCATTGACTCAAACTCCTCGTAGTCATCTAATGGATGACCACAACGATCTACTTTGTTGCTCGCATAACCCTCAGAACGTATTTTTGTCCCCGTGTTTGTCTGTGTTGGTATAGAGGATCGTATAGTCCCGCAATGCTCTTCATACCACACATACTTGATACTAGGCTCTTCAACTAACGGTGTAATACGAGCAAAGATCGTACGATCACAGAGTGGCACAATAGATTTTGGATCAATTACATCCAGATACGCCCCTTCTTCACATCGGAAAGCAAAGTGGAAGTTGTTGCCAAGAGGAAATGCCTTGTGAACATCTGAAAGTGTCACACGATCTCCAGTGGGTGGAAGCGGGAGTACAAAGGCGTTCCAATTTGTATCTGGAATGTGCTGTGGTTTACTTTCCTGTACAGGCTCAAGATCCTCACCTACTAGTGAGTACAGTACGAGCGTAGTCTTATGTTGCGGCGCTGCCATCGTCGGATGTCTGCTACTTTGCCTAGTCAAAATGAGTTGTTATAACCTGTAAAATTACATATTCAGTCTATTCGAAAGGTGTATGTAAAAACAAAAGCGCAAAATGATTGACGTCTAGTCGAAATGAGTGATCAGAATGATAGTAATCTCATGTAAACAACAAACTATAGACAGAACAACGATTGATAGCACCACGAGACTGTCTTCTGCATCGTTTGACCACATACAAACTTCGCTCTTGCAACTTCATTACTTTTGCTCTTCTTATCCTACAGATAGTGATTTTTGTTGATTCTTCCAGATCAATGCGCACTTGTCAAGAAAACTTCCCATGGCTTCGCGCTCCTTTCGTGCCTTCTCACGATGCACCGAGAAATCCATCACAGTCCCGTCGTCCATCTCAAGGTTGCGAAACAATGGAAGGTCATTAGGGAGAATGACCCCATTCTTAGCTGACGGACGGGTCTTTGATGTTGTTGCAGCATTTGATTGATGCCGTTTTCGTTTCTGCTTCTTCGTATCTCGTGGTAACTTTCGTTTCTCTTCGGCGCTTCTCTTTGCCTTCACTCCTTGTGCTGTATGCTTCGACACTTTAGGTTTGTGCCCGTTGCTCTTAACTACTTTTGGTGTTGCAGCTACGTGTTTCACCTGGTCCTTCTTGCCACTACCCACATCACTTTTTCTTTTCAGCACTGACCTCTCACTTTTGCAATCGCGCGTCGTACAAGCAGATTTCTTGATCATTTTGGCCTTCTTTGCGGCAGAAAGTGGCAATACAGCGACCCGTTTCTTGTTTTCTAGTGGAGCTGGCGCTGTCGCAAACATCGCCTCGTCCATCGGACCGAGCATATCGTCAAAAAGGTGCATGTCGCCATTCCAGCTCTTTACATTACTATCCTTTGTGCAATCTGCAAGAAGTAGCAAAAAAATAATCAGTCGACACTTGCAAAAACAAGCAAAACTCAATGAGAAAACGTACGAGCATAGCGGCCATGAGCCGAAATGGACATGGCATCCGTCCAAACGTCGTGGTTGCTATTCCAGCCTACAAAATGCACCTTGATCTTCTGAGTAGTAAGATTGCAATCAACAATTTTGGCTTCACCCCATAACATTTTCTTGTCCAAAGCATCAATATAGTAGCCCACACATGATGCCGTATCCTTCTTTTTTGGTTTCGAGCTTCGGTCACGCCTTGTTTTATTTATCGAAGGTTTTTTCTGCATTGAAGCCTTCACTTCTGCTTCATATTCTCCTTGCTTCTTCTCTAATGATACATCCATCCCAGGTTTTAACGGACTTGAAGCTGCAGATACCATACTAGACGGCGCCATATGCAGCTTTGATTTTGTCTTGAGATCAGATCCACTACTCGTTACCAATACAAAAGAGCACATAGAAACTAAGTATCAGCAAGACACAGCTAATCAAAATGAATATAGACTTCTAGTTTACCTTGGAGTATCGCAAGATAAGGAAGCTGAGCGAGGGAGACCTGTAGCCATGACGGATTTCGACCTCTTTACTCTATGTTGGCACGCAAATGCTTCATTTGTTTGTCGTAACTCGTCAAAAAGCATATCAAAGTCAAGTCATATGCAATATAAAAGGATTATTCGTGATCATGGGGCTAACTATATATGCTCTAGTGGCGTTACACACAATAATTCTTCAACTGCAACAATCTGAATGTGTGCCCTGTCCGTGACATTTTCTTTATCCATTATCGGAGACGGCTGAGACAGCAATGCAAAGCGGTATTTGACGCGGACGTTGTCGACAATTTGGCAATTGACGTTGTCAGGGGACGTCCACCGACGAGTCTGGTACTTGCTACGAACATCCACTTGTAATATCTCTTCAATAGCAGTCACAAAGCGATCAGAAGCACTGCGATAATGTACGGATTTGCTGGAGAGCTTGTGGATTGTCGATATCAGCGTGTCGGATTTCCATTCAACCCTGGAAATTGACACATAAACGTGTTACGCTTAGTGAATGACTTATGAAAGAAACAGTGGTCAACACAACTTGTCATGCATACGTACTTGATGATTGGCTGTGGAGTGGACACCCAAGCCGCTACAAGTGCGTCAGGAAGGCTGTCATACGCTGGATGGCCGTCAGTAGGGTTACATGAGAAATCACGACAAAACGCAGACCATGCTCACCTGGAATGTATGGCTTGATGTCCAATACTGGCGTATTATCGAGTAAGTCGACTCCAGAGAGAGATACTGTGCGCTTGAGAATATCGACGTGCTCAATTTTTGCTAGCGTGATACCGATTGGGTTGGGTCGGTGGGGTGATCGAGTACAAAAGATACCTACTCGTCCTTTCAGCATTGGAGGAGAAATCTTGGCCTGTTGCAGTTAAGTATCACGTTAAATTGCACAAAAACCACATTGTTTAGCAAATCATAGGCATGCACCCGGAACGTGTGACGATGACTATCCGGTCGTAGACCCTCATGGGCTCGAGTATTCTTGCCGTTTGTGTTTTGGTGAAATATAAAGACAACCCAAACATGACTAAACTCATCTAGCCCAAGCAAAGTATCGGGCGATATGCTTCGATGAAACGTTATCATTGCTCGCGTTGACGGCGCAAGTAAGCCTTGACGAGGCGTTCCTAACACGAAAAGATCAACCCCACAAGACGTCAGCAAGTCTACAAGCTACGTGATGGAGATCATCGTCTATCCAGTACCCAAGCACACTTTAAAGCAAGAGCAAACCGTCCCCACGGGTTGTACAAAGCAGCCCTTGCTGGTGTCCAGCTTCTCCTCCATCACACGTCGCAGCTCCTGGTACGTGTAGACACCACCCGTCAGTAGTCAATATAATCATGTAACCTATCCAGTTCGAAACCTTTTCTGCAGCAACACGTCCTCGTCTTTCATTGACTCGTGCTTTCTCATGCTTAGCGACATCGCGCTCCATTTCCTAATGTGGTGGAAACAATCAACAAGTTATGATGACACGTCATTGCAAGCAATTGTAGCACTTTTTTTACCTGAATTTTATGGTTTAAGTCTATAGTATCCGACCGAGTCTGTAATTGTCGCCACCATATCCACAATAACGCTGTTGTTTGCAATGTTAATAGCACAGTCTCCAACTTGAGGCTATATGGCATTGCAATGGCTACTTAAACTGCGACCAAGTTATGGTAAGCATCCTGCAGTGTACAATCATTGGCTATTATCGTTTTATGATTGGGTAATATTTATAACGATAGCAATGCCATTTGATAGTTTTGTGCCAATCTCTAAGTACTTTTCGGTTATATTGAAGATTACGATAGTCCGACCATGCAGATACACTCCATGCCGTCTTATTAAAAGAGGTGTCAGCAGTATTTACGACGACCGCAGTGTCGGCAATACACCATAATCAAGATGCTGGCTTTGTCTTTGTTTTATTCGCAATGTTGCATGCTTTCCAACAATGTATGTCGTCTTGTACTTGTTCGCTTTTAAATGGACACATTTTTGTCAGTACGTTTATCATTTGTCATCTAGCTGCTTGTCAATCTCATTGCCACTATCATCTACCACATCTGACATCTAGTGTGATGTCGCTTTCGTATCGTCAATCTTACGATCGAGATGTTGTGAGTACCATTGTAGTTCAGAGGCTACCGAAGTAACATCGATGATTACTGCGACAAGAGAAACAAACATCGACATTCACAACCTTATAAAGCACGTACTATTGGTGAGAGACCTGAACTGCTCGTTGCTACCCGAGTCAGGTAACAATCCATCATTGAGTCTTTGCATGTTGGAGCAATGTCCCTCGATGCAAGCCCGTCCATGCCAGTTCAATCAATACACAATGTGTCAAAGGGTGCGATGCCTTTCCTATAATTGCTAAGTGAGGTCAGATTTTACACCCTGGTCTACTCAAGGGTCTTTTGTTACAATGTTCACGCAGAGCTTCGCGGCCACTTGAGCTTGAGTCTTGTAAATTCGTGCAGTTTGGTACGCTTCGCAGCATACATGATATCAATTGACCTGGATAAATGAGTGTGCAGCTATGTATGATGACGAAACTAAACATTCCAATTCGGCTGCAGGTACAATAGGTCTTTTTTGTAGCCTAGTAGAAAGTTTTTCATCGCAGTAATTATATACTCAGTAAATGTATGCCGTCCATGTATTTCCCCAGTGTTCTGATGGGTCTTTTGCATCCAAAATGACTCCCAATCATCCGTTTATTTTAATTTCCTCCCATCCATTCAATACAAATGGACAAGCAAAGTGCCATTGCGCTTGGTGTGACTGCAGGTTTAGGAGTCGGATATTTTCTAGGTAAAACGCAATCTGCTGCTGCAGTAGCAAAAGCTACTACAGAGGAGAAGACATGCGTGAAGGATCTAGATGAGATAGACCGCCTCATTCGCCCCAACATTCTAGCGCTCACTCCATACCGCTGCGCCCGCGATGATTATAACCAAGGTAATGATGATGGGTAGAACTATACGCAATGTGTAATGTATAGATTATGCTACTAACAGTTGACTTTTACTTGTCATGTAGGAATTTTGTTGGATGCCAACGAAAACAGTTTAGGTCCTCCTCTACACGGCCATGAGCACTTGAAAGCCATGGAATTGGAACGCTATCCGTGTCCGTATCAGTTTGAGCTGAAGAAGGCCATTACTGAATTTAGGTTGGTTGAAAAGTGATCATGAATATTGTTGTGTCATTACTTAGTTTGTCTGTGACGTGTAGGAATTTGAACTCCATGGAGAAGATTAATGAGACAAACACGTTCCTGGGTGTTGGAAGTGATGAAGCCATTGACTTAATTATCCGCGTGACTTGCACTCCTCGCGTAGACAACATATTGATCACACCACCGACGTACGGCATGTACAGCGTGTGCGCCAACATCCATGACGTTGCCATTATCTCTGTGCCACTTCAAATTGAGGCACCAGCAGAAAACCTTACGGGTAAAAAGCCCGATCTGCCGCTGCCATCCTTCCACATTGACCCTCAAGAGGTGTGCAGCGCAAGTGTTATGAACTTACAGTCAAGGCGTTAACCTCTTGTGTTGCTGCTACAGATTCTGAAAGCTGCCACGGCGTTAACGAAGGTAATCTTCCTGTGCAGTCCCGGCAATCCGACGGCGAATGTGCTGCGCTTACAGGATATAGAAACGATTTTGGACTCAAAGGTTTGAAGCTGATTTTGTTGGTTGGCTAGGAAGGGCACTTTGAATCTAACTGTTTGTTTATGCGAACAGAAGTACAAGGGTTTTGTGGTGGTCGATGAAGCTTACATTGACTTTGCTGACACCCCGAGCTTTTGCACGCTAGTGAACAAGTACAAACGATTGATTGTGCTTCAGACGCTTTCGAAGGGCTTTGGGCTTGCTGGGATCCGTCTTGGCATTGCATTCGGTGACCCAAAGCTTATTCAAGTGCTCAATAACGTGAAGGCTCCATACAATATTAGCAAGTTGACGTCCGATGTTGCCCGCAAAGCTTTTTCGAATTTGGAGCAGCTACGCCAGAGCGTGAATCTCATCAAGAAGGTATGCACAAGTGTTCTGTTGCTTTGCTTTTCCATAACTTCTAATTTTTGCACTTGCAACCACCACAACACAAGGAAAAACACCGGGTAATTAGGGAGCTGCAGAAGTTGTCTTTTGTGCGCCGCATCTATTCGTCAGACTCCAACTTCGTGCTTTTTGAGGTGAATGGCAATCTAACATGCGTAGATGCCTGAACAATTCTCACACGTTTTCTCGGTCTATGATTTGCTTTGCAAATAGATCCCCCACGCGCTGAGCGTCTACAGACAAATGGCTAGTCGTGGAGTAGTCATCCGCTATCGCGGCAACCAGCATTTGCTAGCTGATTGTGTTCGTGCTACAATCGGATCACGCGACGAAAACGACCAAATGCTTGAGCTGCTTGTTGAAGTATCGGGCCAACAGTAAGAAGCAACGTTTGCTATTCGAGTAAAAACGAGCTAACGTTTGGACAGCGTGTCACTGTGTTTGGTTTTGACCTCAACATGGTGCAAATGTGCTGCCTTTATAGTCTGCGTGAAGCGACTAGGGCTCATCTCAAATATGCTACCGAGTTGACAGCTCTGAGACCGCCGCTAGAAACAGTGACCGCACATCTGCATCAGCTTACAAATGGGTGTATATATCTTTGTTAAACATGGCATTTACGATCCTTACTCGCGTAGCAAACTCGTCCTCAACGAATCACGTCCATCGGAAGCACTATCAGCACCCATGCCCTTGCTATAGAAAAGACTTCGGCCTCGAATAGGCCTCGAAGTTGCGGGTAAACCTCCACGTGTTCGGCAAGGAGGAAGCCGGCAGTTGAAATATAACACCGACAGCGCTGGCACAATTTCCAGGAGAGCATAATACACCACCACAACAAACCAAGTGCTGTGGTCGTGTAGTTGCCGTCTCTCCGTAGACAAAAGGATTTGTAGAGCACAACGTGTCATAAAGCAGGACGTGCCGACCGATGTTATGACCGCTAACTCATTCAACTTTCTCGACCGGATTTTCAATTCTACTGGCACACATCTACCCCATCATATTTGATAACACGTTAGTTCAATATAACAACAACCTGTCATTTCCAAATCTCTAATGTCCTCACCGCAGTTCAATGTAAGCTTTCCTTCCAAAGTAAATGAAAGCGGTGGCGATAACTACAAAGAGCTCCATGTTGAGAATAGCTTGTGTTCTCGTAAAGAATGCATCTAGAACACAGATACAATCGTATCAAAAGTGGCTCATTGTATAGTATATATCAAAAAAGTTGGAACGTACGCTCATTTCGCCACACTGATGCGTAAAATACCCAAAACAACACTTGAACTAACAGCACAATCTAAAATTCACAACAAGCATCAACTTATCAGGCCACCAACTTTTTTTTCACACTAATCGACTGTCTACACCTCCATCAAACATCTGCTTCAATCTCTAGACACGTACCACAATAAACCATCGAACAGCAGGCTTAACGATTGTTGTCAACGTCAACAACTTGTCAACTGCGTTGTAATAAACCTCTGCCCAAAACTGCACTAGCAGCGCATATATTGCAAAAAACGACAGAATCGGTACTTGATTCAAGACGTAGAATAGATCTCGCTCAGAGATCGAGCACTTTGACGCGTTGACTTGTCCAGACAAAACGTCGCACCAATCCAAACCCACTAATGCCAAGAAGATTGACCGATCTATCACGACAAAAAGGTACCCACCAGTATATATGTAATATACACTATTAGCTTGTATCAAGTAATATGTATACAAATACACACACATACTTACAAAGCTTTACCAAGCGCCGCGACAAACATGAGCAAGTGAATCATCTTCTGAATAGTCCAAGGACGATAACGACAGCAATTACGTACGAGCTGAACACCTGCGATGCATCCTACCAATGCATACACGATACTATCGACAAGAAAAGCTGCTCCAACGCCTAGTTCTTCATCTACCGAGCCACTGTCATTGTTCCTGGAATCATCAACATATTGCGAAACCCATGGCGTCATAATAATCAATACAAATGAAGAAATAAGTCTGAATGGACAGAATTTGTAATATTTCACATATTTATTGTGATATTTCGGTTACGTTTTGACTTTGTCACAGTACAAAGATGACCGAGCCAAGCGTTGAATTGGACGCTGAGGACGTACGACAGTTGTGGACCCTTGCATGTCTATTAGCACAGAAACAATTGACCAATCAAACAGCAAATTGTCTACAGGTTGAGCAAGTGATGCTACGTATTGAGCGACTCGATAGTAATGACTGCTCACTTGTTTTATCCTTGTCCAGCCTCTGTGTGCAACTGATTGCAGCGTTCGTAGTGCTGAAGAACAAGTGATTCTTGTACAGGCGAATATCCTTCTTGCTGAGATTTGTGGTGTAGCATGCAGTAATAATCGGAAAGCAGACGATTCTGAATTGTGGACACGTCGTGTGCATACCATGGAGGATTGCATCGACTCTGTTGATGCTGCTGTAGCACGAGGTGTTTCCTGCAGTGTGAGTAATGTAGATATGATGTTAATGTGGGTGTGATATCTATGAACTGATTGTTTCGGTGTGTTATGAAGCAAGAGAACAAGTTGCGTCTAGTGAAGGTTAAGTTTCTACTCCAGCAGCAATTAAAAGCAGAACGATCAGCAAAGACCCAAAAAATGCTAGAGATTTTATCTGATGGACTCAAATCTTGTGCAGAAGCTGAAGGTGATGGTGTGAGTATGTTCTGGAAATACTTTGAGATCAAGTTGAAGGCGTGTCTGGTGAAGATGCACGCTGCAACGGTTATGGCAAAGTATGCAAAGGGCAGCAAAGACATTAACAGTTTTGCAGACAACTTGCTGTATTTACGAACCACACTGCCAAATGATGTACACAAGCGTTTTCTGGTAAGTTTTTTTGATTTTCTGGTATCTTTCACGGTACTAAACAACATTGCACTGCTGGCTTGTGGTTATGATGACAGTTGTGGCTGGTAGAGGCGACGTGCCATACTGCTATCTCATCGTTTTACCCTGGTGAAACTGCAGATATGCGTCAGCTGGTTGACTTTAGTGCGGATTTTTTTGATCGAGTGTCCCAACAGGAACCTGTGTCCACATGCCTCCGCTTGCACCACCTGATAATAATTGGGTTGTACTACTTCCGGTGAGAGCTTTTGTGTTTGAGAAGCTTGTGTCGTTGGTGCGAGAACTTTGACAGCCAGATTTTGGTGGTGTTGCACAGGACAGGCAAGGTAATTAAGGTGGCGCCTTTGCTGGAACAAGCCAAGATGTTGGCTCATGGTGACAATCGCAACAGTGACCAAGAGCCAGACGTTGTTGTCACGAAATCCTGCCTGAATATAATTTTGGACTCGATGCGGGTGAGTGTTATTGCATGCTCTGATCCTAAGGAGGCATGTGGCCTCGCCATGAATACCGTTCTTGCTGCCCAAGCAAATTTGCAGGTATATGCCCAGTTTCCAGCAGTGCGGCTTATGCTCATAGCAACGCTGTTCGACATGCTACACGTCTATTGCCGGATGTTGAGCTTACAGTGTCGATACGCAGACATGGGTGCTAGCATCGTGGAGATGACTACATTGTTTATGACATACAGGGCTGATCTAGAGCGCACTGTATTGTATCGTTTCTACCTCGCACGCTGCCACACACTGATTGCTAAGGTACATGGGATGTCTCGGATAGCCACACTACACTTATGCGTACTTTACCACTAACAAGCCAACTATTGGTTATCGTTTAATATCCTTTTTTGCAGTATGCCGTAGCAATTGGGAAAGTGAAGGATGCTTGTGCTCACTTAAACTTTGTGGTAAACAAAGTGCTTCCTATCCCCACAGTTGACGAGCCATCGTATCCTGACGCATATTTGGCGGTGTGGGTTGATGTGCTTGAAGTTACAACATATTGTTGCGAAGTGGTTACTGTAGAATCCTTGTCAAGAAACAGCGGTAATCCAATAGGTCTGCAGATAAAGCAGATCTATCCGAGCCGACTTTTGCTCAAATGGGTTGCTCGCATTTTAAAATTAGACGGCTTGCAACACCAAATACATCAGTGCTGTAGTGTTGAGTTACGTGCAAAGGTATGTAGACATCCAGTTGAGTTTTCTTGTCCAATATTGATCTCATATCCATTGTTGTATACTTTGTTTGTTGTGACCAGTACAACCTTGCACTTGCCAAATGGATGTGGGCAACGAAAAGTCTATCAGATGTTGCCAAAGAGGGCATTAAACCGTTTAAAAAGTACACCGCACTGGAAGAGCTTCGCCCCAGGATGTTTGCTCTCTTACATGAGGCTCTTCAGCACATGAACACGAGTGTGTCGTGTTGTGAGGCCACATCCGAAATCATGGCGCTCTTTGGACTAGAGCTGGTTGCCGTTGGTGAAGTGGAGCAAGGTGAGGGTATGCTGAAAAGCGCCATCCGCATCGCCCTTCACAGCAAGAACGTGTTGCTGCAGACGCGACTTCTTGCAGATGTACTCAAGCATTACACAAGCAAAGGACTGGCAGCGACGCAGGCGGCTGCAGCAATAAAGTACGAGAAGAAGCTGGCAGTTTTGCAGCATCGTATCGCAATAGCTCAGGACAAAAGAGACATAACGGCAGCTTTGTTGCGATGGACAGTTGGCAGTATTGACGACAACACCAAGACGTCAACATGTTCACCTGGACAACGAAACTAACACTATAATGTGTCGTAGGAATCATTGAACGTAAGTTCAATTCCAACCTCATTTCTAGCACGTGACAATGGATTATTTAATCTCATTTATTGTAGTCACAAACGCGACATTGCGCTTGCCGTGTGTTTCACTACTTGCGCCATGGGTACACCTTGTGCCCTCAATGCATTTGCTGATGTAGATCCCGCTGCTTCTGCCTAAACAATTGCAAATATCCGTGAGACAATCGTTACAATCTCATCAACCACTTCTACTATGATAACAATGTTGTATCTGTCCTAACTGACCATAAAACGCAACTCATTCTGGAACGACACTGTAAAGTTAGACACCAATAGATTCGCAACACATTGTAATGCCTGCATCATGTGTTCTTTCATTGGGTTAGATAGGAATTTGAATTACCGGTTTTACCACAGTGCCATACTAGTGGGTACAAGGTACCACCTTGTCTCAGCTGTTTTCTCTGGTCCGTCGTTACTAACTGACAAGTTGAACCTAAATTTGAGTTCATTATTTTATCTTCTTCATTGTGTGCACATATTTTTTTTCTTCATGCGTCATCAGTACGATACTGTTTGTTTGTTTTTTGTATATTGTTGAGTGTAGTAAATACCGGTATGTCAGTTTTACATCACTTCTGTCATGATGTCTAATGTATCATCACATTTACTTGATGGATAGGAAACGACTGTGTGTAGAGGTAGTAGGTGCACGGAATCTCGAGAGTCCGCAGTCTGTGGATGCTTACTGTGTCCTAGGGTTTTCTAATGTCAAGACGAAGAAGCAACGTGGTGATAATATGCCTGTCGCTGCTGCACGTTCCTCGACGGTTACAAATTCCAGCAGTCCTACGTGGACTCATGTATCAGAGTTTATCATACCCCCTCGTCCAGCAAGCGTGAGAATGATAGTACAGCTCTATAGCGAAAAGAATTTCTTCTTTGACATGTTTCCATCCAGTAATAGTAGCGCTATTTCTGACAAGGAGGAAGAGGTAAAAAAAGTAAGTGACCAAACCACATTTACAGTGAAAAAGGAGCCGACGAAGCCGCGAATTTTCGTGAATGGATGGAAAGGAGTCCAGGATAGTGACAGTGATGAGGTCGTGACGCTTTCGGAAGAAGAAGATGATGAGGACGTCCAAGAGAGTGTTGATAACGATAATGGCTGGCCAGTTATTGAAGAGAACGTTGCCTGTGCAGTGGGAAATATCGACGACGAGATGCTCGGCGTTGTTGAAATTAATTTGAGTTTGTTGTGCAAACCGTCAAGGGCTATTACAGACTCGTGGTACAGCTTAGGTGGTACAAGAACGGGAGAAGTGAGGATTCGAAGTATTTGGTATGATCATTCGACAAAGTCCCTTACGTCGCAGGATCGCGACATGCTGTTTGAAGAACACTTGACGCATTCTGTTTTGAAGCCTATGAATGATTTTTATGGATTCGCAATACCGGAAGTAGCCAAGAGAGATTGGGTACACTTGCGCTCGTACCAGGAATGCCGAGAAGAAAGACGAATTGAGGATTGGACGAGGTTATATGGCACCCAACTACCTGAACGTCTTCGGCGCTGCTCGTATAAGGAAAAAAACACGGAGGAGAAAACTCTTCTTGTGCAGTTGGCTCGGGCTGGAATTCCTCGGCACCTGCGAGAACAAGCGTACATGAATCTATCGGGAGCGGCTGAAAAGCAATCGAATGCAGGTTTGAACTATTATGTGAATCTTGTAAAGCAAGCAGAGGCGATCGAGACAGAGGCGTCCCGCCAAATTGAGCTCGATATTGATCGTACATTTGGACAGTCTGAAACGACGATATGTTCCGAGTTGGGACGTGGGCAGCTGCGCCGTATTCTCAGAGCGTATTCTCTGCGGAACGCGTCCGTTGGCTATTGCCAGGGACTAAATTTTATTGTGGCATTTTTGATGCTGATGGCAAATGAAGAAGCTGTTTTTTGGCTTTTGAGTGTATTTTGTGAGGATTTGTACCCAGGTTATTATTCTCCAGCCATGGATGATATTCAGAGAGACATGTTGGTGCTAAAACAGTTGATTGTTGAAGAGCTTGGGAAGCTCGATGAGTCTACGTCGGAGGTGGGACTCCCGTTAGAGCTTCTAGGATCTCAGTGGTTGTTGTGCTTGTTCACCACAACCTTTCCGAGCGAAACAGTGTACCGCATTTTTGATTGCCTTTTCACAGAGGGCCCATCCTTTGTTTTTCCCGTCATCATAACGCACTTGCGGCAAATGGAGCCAACATTGCTGGGCTTACATGAATTCCATGGTGTGCTGTCCTCGATTAAGAACGCAGAAAGCGCATGCATTGATGGTGATATGTTCATGGCAGCAGTTTGCAAGGAAGCCGAGAGCATCACTGCCATTAGGATTCAAAAACTTCGCGAGGCGCAATCTGGATTCGTGCTTACCGAAATGGACCGAGCAGAACGTGCTCGTTCATTTAGCCAGCAGTTGGCTATCGTTTACCAGATCCCTGCATTTTCAAGCTATGCAGCGGGGCTCCTTCGTTTTTTTCACGAGGAGGCCGAAGGATCCTCATGCACAAATGTGGCCTTTGTATTGACTATGCTCTGTCATGGCCTTGTGTGGCTTGCCGAGCAGTCCAAGCGCTGGAATCGCTAGGAAAGCGCTCGAACCGTTTTCGCGAGATACATTGCTATATTGTCTGTATTGTATAACCGCCACTATCTATTTAATTCACACAGAAGATGTAGTAGCGGGGTTGCCACGCTATAACCCCCAGGCTATTAATTGTATACGGCAAACGAGACATCAAATGAATTTGCCGTGTTGCGTCCTTCATTCTCTAACTACAGACAACAACACGTGCTGCAAGACGTAAGAAACCATGATCAGTAACTGAATATCGTCACCTAACAAAACTATGGACTCACACTTCATTGTTTTTTGCCCTTCTTAACGATAACTACCTTCTTGCCTCCCTTCACCGCTACAAGCGTCTTGCGCTTCTTTGCGCTACCTCCAGCGCTTGGCAGCACGGTGAAGAAGCTGTCGAGGCGTTTCTGCGACTGTGTACTCTTCGATTTTCTCAGTCGCGTAATGGCTGAGAGCACACGGTCCTCCTGAAAGCCGTGTTTCTTGACCAGAAAATTTACCAACTCAATCTTCTGAGGGTCACGCCACTTGATCTCCACCTCCTTAGCATCGACGACCTCGGGATGGATAAACATTTCTCGTGCATCCTTATAAATGGGGTTTTCTCCCAACCATTCGTCAGGAATGACCACACCCTTGCTCTTGTTCTTCTGTAGTGCTTCAATGAATTTCTCAATGTTCTTGTACTCCTTAATACCTGCAAATGCTTTCTTTGGACCCACACCTCGGATCGAGTCGCAGTAGTCACAGCCGCACAAAATGCACAAGTCCACAAACTGTTCACTAGTCAGTTCCAACTCTTGTAGTGCACGTTCGAGGCGAATTTCAAGAATTGGAACCTTCTTAGCCGGTGACACCGTCAGACGACGATATAGGACAGGTACCCCAAACGTCAGAGCATCCATATCCTCCGTGCCTGCAGCGTAGACTCGTCCGCCTTTGGCCAGGGCGGCACAAGAAGCTTCAGCCTCACACGGGGCCGTTATGTATGGCACTCCCATCAGTTTCAGCAACTCCTTGCAATCGTCATTGTGCTGAGGCGTGGCACGCACCAGCCGCTTGTTAAAGCGGTCAATGTCTTCGGTCTTTCCCTGTTCCGTGGCTTCTTCGAGCGCCTTCTGAGCTTCTTGGCGACGGTCGCTTCGCTTCGCTAATTCGCCGCTTTTCATAACAGGTGGCTTACCATCAAACACATACAAGGGCTTGAGGCCGCTTTCCATCATGCGGACAGTACGACTAAACATTCCCTGCAAATGAGACGTCACTTCGCCATCTGCGTTGGTTAATGCTTGGGAGGGGCCACTACCGTCAGTCGAACGGATAGCGATAAGAAACTGATACAAAGCCATACTAGCATCAATGGCCACAGTACATCCCGCCAATGAAGACATTTTCTCGACTTCTTTGATGCAGGATGGAGCCTCTTCCTGTAATAACTTCATCAGACCTTTGATTCCCATATTGATTTGAGCTTGTAATGAGACGATAAGGCAAAATCCAAGGTTCCCGCCAAAAAAAGTTATTTAACATATCAAGTTTGTAAAGTGTTTTATAACTGATTGTAATGAACAAGCGGTTTGATAACGTAACAGGGTTACACAAAGGTGTAATTTATAGACAACGCCTGTCACACCATTCTGATGTGGCTGTACTTTAGGTGGTCGCGTCATCTTTAAAGGCTTTACAACCTTGCCACAGTATGAATATGATAAGCATCAAATTAACAACACATCCATGCGAAGTGCTATTTAACCAAATTCTACACTTCATCTACTGTTTATTAAAAATCACTGCGTCGTTTGCACTTCAACTACGTATAAGGCTTCATGCCGTTGCTCAATGTGGGCACGCCGATAACATCAAGGAGCACTCCAACAACTGATGCTACTAGATGTTGCCACTCCACTCCATGCCTTATGACAGTGTATCTGTGAAGATGCTGAGGACACCATCTCGTACGATGCACACGAGGCTTGCCTTCTACTGCATCTTTGGCACCATTTTTCAAACTTGAAGGATAATGGAGGTTTTATGCAATGTGCTATTCGGCAAGATGTACGTGCTAATAACAGAGCCGAAGAGCAACGATTGAATCAAGTATCGAGGGTTATCTTGATCGAAAAAAAAGTATTGGTCATCCCTGTACATCGTCTATCGGGTCATGAAAGACTTTATGCAAAAGAAGCATTACAATAAACTTCTAGTCGGGAAGCAAGAGGAAGTCAGTCATCCACAGGACATGTCATCATCATGGTATATAATGCTGTAATGAATGAGGTGCGCAAAGCAATTTAATGTGACTTTAGTTCGATTGCAGATATCAAATTTATGACGCGGAGGGCAAGTGTAAAAGAGTGCGGTGAGCCCGTGACCGATCGGTTGGGTTAACTATTCAGTCGTCCATTGAGATAAATAGATGCGAAAGGTAAATGAATTGGTAAGCAATGATCGATAGACTGGCCTCCATTATTAGTATATGCGTAATGTCATTGAGCTTAAGTGTTGTGAGACTGCAAGACGACATGGTGGCCAAACCTTTTTTGTGTGCGTCACTGGTCGACATACTAGGACTGTGTCAATTAGTTGAAGATTTATAACGATGGCGCTGGTTTAGGATGAATCGACTACAAGTATGAATAACGGTGTAGGAAACAATAGCTGACACGGACACACGCCCAACAAAAAAGAACAGCCGTGGAGAACCGAAAGCGTGTATTGTTGTGAAAAGAACCAGCTTTTGAGCGCAACGTAGTTTTTGGAACTGTCGCTTGTTATCGTTCTTATACAAGTCCTACCTTCTTACTACATACATGTATGTGCTGTCGCCTCTACAGCAGCCTTCACAGTCCGCTTCTTCCCATACTGGGACTTCCCATACTCGTTGGCATTTCTCGGAACCCGTCCTTCACCTTACAGGCCCATCACACAGTATCATCGAACTCACAAATCCAAAAACATCCTTGATACAACACGTATGCGTTGTCGTTAACATTCATCAATCACATTTAATTGACGTGCATCAAGTTCTAACACATTCACAGTTGTAACCCCTTCCCTACTAGCTAAAAGCTTGTTTGACGTAAAGACATTACAAAGAGACAAGATGGATTAAGCGCAACCTCAAAGACGGACCAAGAACTGATCATAGTGAAGAATAAAATGTGCTAACTGAAAACTTATCTGATACTTTTTCCGTCCGAAAAGCTTATGAAAAAGAGTTTGATTGTTATAGACCCAAAATATGGAACTACCAACCAAAGGTCACACTATTCATTATAAGAGCGTTTGCCGCCATCGAAAACTATTGCAGTCTTTAGCCGGTTCTTGCTCGGCTTCGCTGCAGCATTGCACTTTCCAGACACATTACAACGTTTACAGCCACTTCTGACGCAGATTAATCACGTAAGGCTCAGCCTGAGGAATGAACTTCGGTTCAAAACCGGCAATGGCGTCAATCTTCTTGCGAACTTCCGGCGTAATCTTGTCCACATAATCCATTGCCTTCAGGTTTTCATCCAGCTGCTTGATACTAGTAGCTCCAAGAATTACCGTGGACACGTGTGGGTTGGCCGCTACCCAGGCAATCGACAACTGTGCGACAGAGCAACCCACCTCCTTGGCCACATCAGCGAGCTTGTCGGCTTTAGCAATCTTCTCCTCCAGACCGTTCGACAGCATAGCCTTGTACGACGGCATAGATAAACGTGATCCTTCCGGAATGCCCTTGCTATACTTTCCCGTGAGGATACCTGATGCCAACGGCGACCACGTCGTGAGGCCGTAGTTGTACTTTTTGTACAGTACATCAAAGTCATATTCGACACGCGAGCGCTCTAAGATGTGATACTGCGGTTGATCAAAAATGGGGCGGATCAGACCGAGGCGATCAGCAATCTCGCAGGCCACGATGATATCCTTGGCACACCACTCGCTAGTACCCCAGTAGAAAGCCCAGCCCTGCTCAATGAGAAAGTTCATAGCACGCACAGTCTCCTCAATAGGCGTAGCTGGGTCTGGACGGTGACAAAAGACAAGATCCACATAGTCCAGCTCAAAGCGCTTGAGCGATGCCTTCATCCCTTCGATAAGGTGCTTGCGGCTGTTACCCACGTCGTTGGGGCCAGCCTTTGTTCCGAAAAAGAGCTTGGTACTGATCACAAGGTCCTCACGCGACCACAGCTTGCGCTCAATGCCGGTCTTAATGACTTTGCCCATAAGGAGTTCCGATTGGCCGTTAGCGTATACCTCAGCATTATCAAAGAAGTTAATGCCTTGATTGTAAGCATGTTCCATAATGCTGTAAGCCTTCCCAGCGTCCAATTGCGTGTCAAAGGTCACCCAGCTACCAAATGATAGACGTGATACCAACAAACCTGAGTTACCAAGGAAGCGATACTTCATCTTGTGCTCAGGAGTAGTCGTCATTCTGGTAAAAGAAGTTCTAATTGAGTTTAAGCTCTAAGTCGTACGAATTGGAGAATGGCGTTCAAATTGGATCTTCCCGAAAAGGACAAAACAAATAAAGACAAGAGATGTGGAATGGTGGCTTCTTTTATGTGTTCTTTTTTCCTTATTTAAACCTTACGCAACATGCAAAGAAATCGATTTTCGAACGTAGAAAATGGTAGGAAAAATCTGCCTGGGACGAGAGCTGCTTGAAAAATGATTTCAATCTATCAATTATAATCATAACCGTATTCGATAATATATGTGTGACTTATCCTGGCGTGGCGTTACCCCACCCGCTAGCTGATGCTAGCTCAGGCCTCCGACGGGTGCTTTGCGGCATCCGTCCATTTGGACGGGTTTCCTCTCCATTTACACACCTCTCTCTTGTCGCTCTCTCCCCAGCCGCCAGCCAAGCCGCCACGATTTACGCCGCCCCCCCCGAAGTCCCGGCATCTCCGCTTAGGTACGCTCGCGTCATTCTTTGTTCACAGTGCAAACAACATGGACCCTCCCCCTCCTATTGACAAGATAGAGATCCAAGGGATCAGCAAGAAAACACGCTGGATACCGCCGCCTTGCCCCAGACCTGTACCTCCTTCGCCAATGTACACAGGTTCGTGCAGTCAGGACGGCGTTCAGCGCGGCACTTATAGCGCGCGCCGCTTAATGGACCCTGGCGAGAGTAGAGAGAAATGTAGAGAAGGAGGTATAACCTGACGCATGCAGAAATTGAGCCACTTTGGTGGCAAGACGGCTCGCGTAAAGCGATCCCATACACATACATGTGTAACTTGTTCATGACGAGTAGCAATGCCGAGAAGCCGCTGTGATGTGTCATTGCGAGGTCATCGTTCCATCACGGTAATAAGGGTTACAACGATACTGAAGTATTGTGGTCGGGCTATAAAGCGCACGAACTGAAATAGGGATGGCAGTTAAAAACTACACAATAGAAGGTTTAAATAATATATGAAAAACAGGAGATCTATGCTTGTTTGAAGCTCAAGCAGTCTTTCCTTGCGCTTTCTTCAGGATGCACTTGTGCAATTCCTTTGCCGGGAGGTGGTGCGTTTTCATTGCCAGGAGGTGGTGCATTTTCATTGCCAGGAGGTGGTGCATTTCCTTTGCCAGGAGGTGGTTCAGGATTCAAGTAAAGATAATAGCGATAGTAAAGATATTCGCTCTCCGTACAAATCTCAACTTCGCTTCTATTTGTCAATCTCCACCTGAAGAATAGTTTGTATAGCAGATAAATCAGCATGTCACGATTCGTAAGTACTCCACTTGCGAGACAACTTACAATGTGGTGTCCAAGCTTGAGATCCAAAGTTAATTTGATTGATAAAGTGTCCAAGACTTGATCCCACCCCTTCAATTTACCAGCAACAGAAGCCCACTTGCGAAACTTACTGCAACTAAAAAAATTGATTATTTCATCGGGAGCTTGTGTATCCATGACGGTAATATGTGGAAAAAAATAAGCAAACGATTTACTCGCAGGCATTATGTACAACACCAGTTTGTCAATCAAATTCCGAGACATCTCTACAATAGGCTTTGTCACGACGCGAATAAGCCCCACGACGCGAGAAATAGCGTAATCAAGTACTACTCTTTCTTCTAGACCGCCAATTTCGTCGCTCTTTGTCACGGCTGCGTCAGATCGCAAGTACCGCTTGTTCGTATGACTCGCATTCAACGTACTCAAGCGTGCGTACTAGGAATGACAGCGTCAGACGCCGATTCTGCGGTGACAAAACATCTTGCTGCTGAGCATGACAGCACAGCAACAACAATCAGTACCTTAGCTAAGGAAAACGTAACGGTGCTGGGCTGGACTGGCATCGGGGACGAACCATTAAGTTTGTGTGGTTAAAGTGGTAAAATTGGAAGTGATGAGGTTAGTTGGATGTAAATGCCGCTCTATCGGCTGATACTATCATATCTCACCGAAAGCTCACTTCAATTGTCACAACTCTATCTGGTCCGTCTGCTTGTATTGGTATTATATTGTATGCAATAACATTCTCCCGCGATCAGATGTAGAGCCCGCATTATTCAGCTAATTCTATCGATCAGTTCTCGTGTGCTCAATCCCAATAATTTCGTTGATGGACAAAGAAGCGGATTGATGCAGTCCCACGTGTAACGATGTGAGTCCATTACATAACATTGACACCATCATTAGGTGCCAATGCGAAATTCTCTGAAACAGATCATATTCACTAATGATCATGATGTTAGAGGGCTGTACCGTATAGCACGTATTAAGCACGATATGTGGCTTTATGTTACAAAATTAAAGCTGATACATCAAATTACATCAGTAGATAGGTTCTATTTAATAAATTACACAAGTAAACAAGAGGTAGGATACATTTTAGCGTATTCTCCAGTGAAAGAACTATGAAAAAATAAGTCTATAATCCCACTTTCAGCTAATCAACAAGTGACATTCCTGCGGGTATAGCTGAAAGAGCCACCGGCTCCTTAACATCCCCAGTCAAGCCATTGACAAGTGTTTATAGCTGTTCGCTATCACCGCCAGTCACGATGTTCTCATCGCTACTCTTGATGCTTTCAGCATTTGACTCAACAGCGCCCACAGATGTACACACCTCAAGGTCAAAGACAAATCCATTTCCTGAGCCTCATGCTTAGAGGTTCAAAGAAGATCACAGCTTTAGGCCAACCTTAATTAAAAAATAAAGATATTAATAGACCTTAGCACGCAAGCCAACTACTGGCTTCTTCCGCTTCCTCGTAAGCCAACGTGTAGCCTAGAAACCGGAGCTCTCGCCCGTTACACATAAACAGTATACACTCCGCCTATTGGCTATATATGGGCATTATATCAGCCAAAGCACGGGTCAATGACACCTAGACGCTCACTTTGAGTCCATGTCGTACGTATTACAGTTTAAAATACGACGGTAATCGCTGTACCTTGTCGAAATTACATACGCCGAGTTGAGCTTATAGCTACATCTTATGATATATACATGTACACAAGCCAAAGGAGGCAGGCGTGCTAAAAACGAACCTGTCTGAAAAGAAAGAAAACACACAACAAACAACGCATAGTTGGCGCGCTACAAGGCACCTAATGAGCAGGAGCCGCAACGATGGCTCATCACAGACTAGAGTGAATTGCGGTGCTCTATGTCATAGAACAGACACATGCAAGCACGAGCGCGCTACTTGTCGTGAAAATGACCTGGTGGCCGGTAGCCATTGAAAGAGGCGCCCATTGGCGAAACCAATTGCCGTTGTCGTTGTCCACAGAAGATGCAACGTGACGCAGCGTGTCAGCTTTAACATTACAGCGGCATTACTACTTCAAGCAGGTGTAAGCCGTGGTAAACGACCAAAAGCAATGTCGAGCCACGTTTGCCTGGTGGCGAATAGCGCTGGCCAGTTGCGGCACAGAATAGACCACAGATTGGAAGCGAGGGCATGCTCGTAGAATAAGCGTCGTCCCGCGGCGCACTCGCTGCGTGCGCAGTAGATGATTTTGGGATGTGCATCACGGGGGAAGAAAAAACGCGAGTGCACCGGCAACAGATGAAAGGATAGCTGGACCTACAGATCCTCGTTTGCAAGAATCAGAAGCTGTCGTAAATGCGTCTCTGGCGCAAAACAATGGCTTATATTGTGGGATGTAGCCTTGGCGGCATTAAGATGTAGCGGGTGTGGCTCCGTAGATGTTTCTGCCGTCCACACAAGCAGGCACAGTTGATTCCGGCTGCAGTAATCCACGCGCATATAGACTTATGGAGCATAATGGAATGCCTAGGCTCCCCTTGAAGGTAGGAGTGGCGCATGGCTGCAGAGGCTCTTGAAAATTTGCGTGGTTTCGTAGTGAGACGTAGGAGCCAGGTACGCAAGGACCGATGTGGGTCGGTGATCGATATGGCTGCACGCAGATGCAAAAGCATTCGGCTATGCACCGTCCACGTCGTAGAAACCGTGAAGAAATCGAATCCTGGAGGTCTTTGAGGTGTGCTGACGGTAGTTCTGCTGGGGGTCAGAACTGCGACGTTGTGAGACAAAGGTGACGATTCGGACTGCAAGTTCAATACGGAGGTCGCCCTTAATGTGGATGGTGGATCAAATAACTAAGGTGGGCGAGAGTAGCGAGGTCGTGCCAGGTGACTTTTTACAGGTTCATATACGCCATACGTGCCGCCACCAATGGTACAACACACACCATTGAGCAAAGCGCCGTGACGCAGAAGAATGAAGAGGAAGTCGAGCGTTTCCTAGATTCTCCTTGTAAACAAAATACGAGTTACAAGAGTACGGATCCTGACGTAGACCAGTTGTGCCGGGTTAAGGCCGTCGCCGCTATAAAGTGAAGAAGTACGTTAATCTTTTGACGCTTAAGAGAGCCTCGATATTGGCACAGCAGAGCCAGCGTCGGATCGAGATAGGCACATTAATTTCTGCGAATCACTCTAAGATTCTTGGCGTTGCGCTCTAAGCGACGGCGCGCACAATGAGTGATAGGTAAGTTAGTTAACATACATATTAGCAATTATATGTAGTTAAAGTAAGGTTATGAAGAATTGAGTTGAAAATGGTCATGAGCTATTAATTTGATAAAACAGTTCCATTTTTATTTTTTTCCAGCAAGTGTTCTTGTCAGGCAAATAAGTTTCCTGCTGCGCGTTCGTATATTAAGGGCTTTGGACACCCACGTACAATTAGTCAGTATAAGCTGTGTTAGAAGCTATTGATTCTGACACGTCATGAAGGTGTTGAAGTTGTATCTGTAAGACTAGTTACAGGCAATGTGCAGCCTTACCTGATTTGCCGAACTTGTTGACAGCTTGACAGATGGGCCAGGGTGGTACAGATTGACTAAGGAGGCAGAGATGTTACATGGACGAGAAGCTAAGGTCGTTACATGGGATTAAAAGCTAAGAGCGCAACATGCGATGGTCAACTCGACCAGGACCAGTTGCAGTGCACAGAAATCCATGTTATAGTGCTGATCGAATAAGTTAACATTAAATATATCCTACTTTTACTGCTACACCTCTTTGCACAAGTGCAAAGTACTACACTTGCTTTTTACGTGTTGACAATGCTGTTGTTAGTAGAGTTGAAGGGTGCTTCATCACATGACGACTCCGAAACAAGTTTGCCGGCTACAGCGCCTTGTAAGCACGCAATTTGCTTTGTCGTATTGAGTGGCTTGGAAAGTGAAGAGCTAGAAATTGTGTCCGTGTACTTTCCAGCAACAGACCGATCAAAATCTTACTGCACTTAGGTGTGTAAGAGTAGAGTAAAGTAGTGATGCACTTGTGCACGAGTAGGTAGAAGTAAAAGTAAGATATAGTTAGCATTAACTGTTCTCCTTCGCTAGTGCTTTAACATGTATGATCAAATTAACTGCAACTATACTATGTCTAGTCTGTAGTCTTTGCCTATCATGCCTCGTCCCATCTGTTGTAGCACTTGGTAATCTCTTCGATCGTCTCATGTGTCACAACATCCAGATGGTCCGACGTAGCGACGTCGTCGCCTCGTCACATCTGTCAAGATGCCACACTATTAGCCAATCAGATGCGGTCGCAACCCAGCCTTTAACACCTTCCAACCTGTCAAAAACGATAGTTTCTAACATAAGAGAGCTGGTCTGGGTTCACTGCTTCAAGTCGCGCCGATCCTGTATTAGTCAGCCTGTTGCTAAGGATTAAGGCGAGCCAAGTTGTGGAGCCCATAAAAGCACAATTGGATGTTAGATTCAGAATGGTGACCAATTTCTAAACATTACGTTTTGGTCAGAGTGTCACTACACCATTCTGATGGTGCCGAAACTCGCAACATTAGTGCCCACGTCTAGCTTCATTCATAAAGACTCACTTCATGGACGGAGGCTCGACTATATCAATATAATTGAATTTGTTGCTGAGTAATGAGGTTGACGCAGCAAAAAAACTCAAGTACCGCAAGAATTGATAATGAATGATGCCAAAAAAATGAGTGCATTACGTACTTCGCAATATAATGCGGGATCTACAACCACCAGATCTTTTTGGTTGAAACGAGGCTACATCAAGACCTTGTCGCCGCCTGTCCATATACTTCTACGGATGCTTGTTGTCGTAGCCGCAAGAATACGAGCATTTCCACGTTACAACGTACACGGATTTACCTATCAGCTTCGACGTGTGTGACCCTTAATGGCACATTAACAAGCCGTCGATCTATATATTTTTCTAACAAGCAGTCGTACCCCACAGATCAAAACATTGATGGAAACAAGAAAAGTTTTATTGCTAGATTGGGTGATGATCTCGAATCTTACGCTGAAGCAAGTGAGTCAACGTCATCGATGACTTACTTACTAGCTAGATGAGGATGCTGCAACGTGAAAAGCCTAGGGTTGTTGTACAACCAAGGCTTGGACCTGGTGCTATGAGCTTTCCCTGAAAGCGACCGCGCTCACTTTACTACCTATTTAAAATTGGTGGAAAGGGTTGCGTCTTGCTTACAACGAGAATTTTCTTCGTGTGCGACATGTATCCTTTAATGTAGCCTTTGAAAATGAGGTTCGTAAGGACGCATTCAATCTCATCCAAATCCATGGACTTTCCCGTGGAAAAATGCAACGCCAACTGAAAGTCTTGCAACTGGAGCTGGTGATTCTGCTGGATCAGGTAACTACAGCGGCAACAGCCATAAATTTGATAAGAGTGAGTAAATCACGTTTGCTTGAACCAAAACAAGCTGACGACAGACGTACACTTTTTTGAAAAGATTTCGCAAAACCAATAAGCGAAGCTTCTCAATCAATAAATACACACCCTGCTGGATGAACTTGTCTTGATATTGGGCAAGATACTCCGTAAAAAGATGAAGATTGCCACCACGGATGGCATTCGTAAGACCGGTGTACTCTTCCAGTGAGTAATCAGTCAAAAGCTTGGGCGAGGGCATCACGCCCAACAACAGTTTCACTGGCACAAGGAACTGCAGAATCATGCGCTTATTGCACACATTGCCGCGGTGGCAGTGCTTCCACGCGTAGTCAAGACACATTTCAGCCTTCTGGTATTGGTCCTCGAACATCGAGATACGACCCACGTAATATTGGTACGTAACCTTGTCACTCCTGTTAAAGCGTTCAAATTTTGGAAAAGCCGGTCCTTCAACTGCACGAATGAGATTGCGGCACAGGTGGATCATATTGAGCTTGAAATAGATCTTGAACAGCTGATTCACAATAAAAAGCGCGCCCATTTTTTTGTTATGCTCTGGCGGAGCTCGATCATTTGCCGCCATCGCAAAGCCTTTCTTCAAATGCTGTTCTGCACTGCGTAGACTATCGTGAATCTCGTCACCTGCTTTCTTTGAGGCTTCCTGATCCGCCTATAGTAAACAGTCATTAAGAGATCATCAGACACTCCGTGGTCTTTTTTATCTTTCTATGCATCGACTTACCCTTGAAGCCAATAGCCTCGTATCTACGAACAAAACGTTCAGGAAAGGCATGACCCAATTTGTCTCGTCCCTAAAAATCTCCATAAACTTGCTGCTCAAGAACCAAAAAGAGATGACAGATGTTATAAACCTGTCCTGCGCTACTCTACTTTTCTAACTGCTACTACATACATGACAGCACCAATCTGTGCACAGTATGCATCAGTAAAATTCTTTGCGTCCAGGTTCTTGCGGGCCTTTATGATGCCTGCTGCGACCTCGGCATACACACCTAACTGTGCCAGCTTATCGTGGCATGTCTGCTCGATCTGCTGCTCTGTCAGCGAGCGCATATTTATATCTGCGCATCCTCCTATCAAGCGAAGCATCTTTGCCAGTGACAATCCATCCTGGCCGCTGATAGCCGCCCGAACGCGCTCCACAAACCCCGCGAGCTGCATTGTCCTATGATGCTGCTGACACACCGTCAACAGATTGGCTGAAATTTAATACTGAGGTAAGACTATAGTTTATTCAAGTGTAATATTCTAGCTCTTTTAGGTCGGAATAAAATTTACAATGGTCCAGACTGTGTCGCTTGTCTTAGACAAGAGCCAATGAAACACAAGGAGTTTAAGCAATAATAAGTCAACAACATTTCTAACCTTAATCTAGGCTGACTGGTTTTTATTTTCAGGTAAGAAGGAAAAGAGCGCCCATTTTCGAATTAATATTCCACATATCAAGTCCTGCTGACCCAACGATATTTTCATCTCTCTATAATGGTATCAATTGTGTCCATTAAAGCCCGCCAGATTTTTGACTCTCGTGGCAATCCAACCGTCGAAGTTGACCTCGTAACTGATATGGGCGAGTACCGGGCCGCTGTGCCCAGTGGAGCATCGACAGGTGAGTTTGAGGCCCTGGAAATGCGTGACGGTGGTGCTGCCTACATGGGCAAGGGTGTTTTAAACGCCGTAAGAAACGTGAACGAAATTATTGCTCCTGCTCTTATCGGTAAGGACGTGACCCAACAGGCCGAACTTGACCGCTATATGGTGGAAACCTTGGATGGCACGCAGAACGAGTGGGGCTGGTGCAAGAAGAAACTTGGCGCTAATGCTATTTTAGGTGTGTCGTTGGCACTATGCCGTGGTGGTGCTGCCGCCAAGAAGCAACCTCTATGGCAGTATATCGCCGACCTAGCCGGCAACCCGACGCCGTGCCTGCCCGTGCCGTCATTTAATATTATCAACGGTGGCTCTCATGCCGGCAACAAGCTAGCAATGCAAGAGTTTATGATTCTTCCTGTGGGAGCCACTAGCTTTACGGAAGCTATGAAGATTGGTTCAGAAGTGTATCACAACTTGAAGAAGGTCATCAAGAACCGCTACGGTCTGGATGCAACGGCCGTGGGTGACGAGGGTGGGTTTGCCCCTAACATTCAGTCAAACGGAGAAGCCATTGACTTGATTGAGGAGGCTATACTGGACGCTGGCTACACAAATCAGGTGCGTCTTGGTATGGATGTTGCCGCGTCGGAGTTCTACACAGGTGCCACAGATGCCCGCTACAACCTTGACTTTAAAAACGAGAACGCTCCCGAGTCGGAAAAGATTTCGGCTGAAAAGCTGCTCGAGGTGTACGAGGGATTTATTGCAAAGTGCGCTGGATCGAGCAAAATTGTATCGATTGAGGATCCGTTCGATCAGGATGACTGGGAATCATGGATGAAGATAACGGAAAAGGTTGGCAAGGACGTGCAGATCGTGGGAGACGACCTGACGGTGACGAACCCGACCCGTGTGAAGAAAGCCATCGAGCAAAAGGCGTGCAATGCTCTCTTGCTGAAAGTGAACCAGATTGGCAGTATCACCGAGTCAATTGAGGCCGTGACGATGGCCAAGAAGGCTGGTTGGGCCATCATGGCCAGCCATCGCAGTGGTGAGACGGAGGACACATTTATCGCTGATCTGGCTGTGGGTCTAAGCGCTGGCCAGATCAAGACGGGCGCCCCTTGCCGTTCAGAGCGTCTAGCGAAGTACAACCAGCTTTTGCGTATTGAGGAGGAGCTCGGCTCTAACGCTCGCTACGCCGGCGAGGACTTCCGTGACGTGGAGAAGCTCGGCAAGTACTTTACCTTTTAAGTGTTTCATGCACTGAGCGTTTGCTCCCGCAATAAAAACAGGTTAAAGTTTCAACACGCATACCAGTTCAGTTGACTCACCTGTTAGCTGACACTATTCATTTCGTCAAGCGGCCCTACCAAGCTGGACAAGCTGAAAGGTGGTTGCTACTGCAGCAAACCGTGGGTGGTGCAATAACTAATATTGTGGTGTCGCTCGGTCCTTTTCTCAATCTTCTTAGTACGTAGGTTCATTTGCTTTTAGTCTTTTTCAAGACTTCTCCTGCATCTCGTGCTACGCATGGCATTCTTTACGTGCTCATGCTGTTCATACGTTTGATAAGTGTTCGGACCGCTAGGCAAAAAATTAGCAATCAGCTACACTCCAAAATTTCCGGTTTTTTTGGCTCCCGTTCGATTCAATTTGGGCTTGTTAGAATTTCAATTATAATGCTCTTTCACTGGTTTCGATGTGGCCACTTTGCAGAGCGAGGGCGAGTCAAGCACTTGACACTCCGTTTTCTCGGAGCCCATTCATCAACGGTAGTACAGATCGAATCAGAAAAAAACGATGATGGTTCTGTATCTGCCACGACATTTGCGAGCTTCGTGCTCAAGTGCGGATTATCTAAGAAGACGCTGCACAAGAAGCTTTATCCTTACGAGTTTGGTACCATTTTTTACTCTCTTATGTTGCATCGATTTTTATATATAATATTGACGTGTGTCAATGATGACTGCAGGACAAAGTGCACGGGCTGGCGAGTACCCCATTGCAGTTGCTGCGTCTGGAGGCGCTGATAGCATGGCATTAATGCTGTTGCTGCGAGAATATTTGCAGGAAAATTGCATCACGACCCCACTGTTAGTGATTACGGTGGACCATCAGTTGCGGCATGAAAGCAGTAAGGAAGCGTTAGAAGTTGCGAAGATTTGTGACGATCACGGGGGTATGCATCATATAACGAAAGTATGTGAATGGTACCGTGAGGCTGATTTGTCAAGGCCAGCGAAACCACGCGACAGCAAGATGGAGGAGCAGGCACGACAGAAGCGGTACGACTTGTTACGACAAGCTTGTTTAGAGCACCGAGTGCGCTGTTTATTTGTGGGTCATAATTATGGCGACCAGATCGAGACGACGCTATTTCGCCTTGGGAGGGCGAGCAGCATTAATGGGTTGGCAGGGATGGCAAGCCGATTGCCATTCATTCCAGCTGATGAATCATTCGCTCGTTCTCGTGAGACTGAAGACCTGAAGCTATTCAATATGGCAGTGCTTATACGGCCATTACTTTCTGTAACAAAGGACAGATTGATGGCAACCTGCAATCGATTTCAGCAAACGTGGATACACGATCCCTCGAATGATAACCCCGTGTACGACCGTGTTCGCATACGTCAGGTACACTTGTCGATATGTTGTGTGGAGGTTGCACTGATCTTAACATAATACTATTATTTGATCAGGAACTAAAGCGGGTGGAAAGGGAACGAGGAACGGCTATTCTAGATTTATTCTCTAGATTCCAGCAGACTGCTAAGAAGGCGAAAAAAGAGTTTGCATGTGTTGGTATGGAAGAATTACATATATCGTTATGCTACGTGTTCTAACAATTTCTCCTATCGTGTTGAAACCAGAACGATCCATACTTTGCAAATACATTGTGATATGGGAGCCAGAATTTGTTGTCATACAGTCGACAATTCTTTACGATCCAGAGATATTCAACGAGCTGCTCTATCGGTTGCTTTCAATTATTACTGTACATGTTGGTAATAAGGAAACACCTCCTCGATTGGCATCCGTGGCTCGTCTTGCACGCGATCTACCACATTTAGAGACAGGAAAACAGCGCACATTAGGCGGATGTCGGGTGCGTTTATTCTTGTTGCTGGATTATTCTATTATGTAATTCGTCGTTAAAACTACTTTATTGGAATGGGTTTTGGCAGATTCAACTCATTGCCAATGGCCATCAGATACAATTTCAGTCCGAGTACAAAACGAAATAAAAAGGTGCGTTTTTACAAACCGGTACCTTGTGCCCATTCGTTCCACACCATTAATTTGACCACCAGTAAACCTGTTTAATGATGGACAAAAGGACGAAGCGAATTGAGCTGTCGCCAGTGCCCGGTTTTTTTGGCCATGTTGTGAAGCCTGGTCAAACGCTCAGGTGGCTGAACGAGGTTGACGACTTTTGCATGCAGCTGAACTCGGCGGCGCTTAGTGCTGACGTGACCAAAGGCCGCTCGACATTATCCGTGGTGGCCAAGACGGCCAAGATCGCGCTGTGTACACTGACACCTGCGGTGGCAGAGCAATGGAACTTAACGCAGACATTTACACCTATGGATGGGGAAATCGAGTTTGTCGTTGATGGTCCAAATGCTATTCATATCACAGGTTTTATCGAGGTGAAAGAAGACGAGGATAGCGGCGACGAGCAAGATTTTGACGAACATAGTGATGAAGAGGGCGAAATGATGGTATTTGGAGACGATGACTCAAGTGACGTGGATGTTGATGAAGAGGAGGAAGTGAATTTGAATAATCAGGACAAAAATTCTCGTTTTGAGGTGTTGGAGGAACGCCTTCACAACGACGAGCCGGAGTCGAAGAAAAAGTTGCCGAAGAAGGAGGTTCCGAAAAAGGAGGAAACCGAAAAGAAGAAGGTAGCGCCTGAGGAGGAGATCGCCGCTGCTGCTGACGCAGAGAAAAGGGAAAGGGAGGAAAAAGAGGCGACCAAGGGGGTAACGAAAGCTGCTAAGCTGGCGGAGAAGAAGAAGAAAATTGCGACGAAGCTTGCCGAGGCCACTAGTACGAATCCAAAAGTAAAGAAGCGCGCGGCTCCGGTGGAGTCTGTCGAGGTTCCAAAGAAGGCTAAGGTTGCTACCCGTGTGCACAAGGGTGTCACCATTGAGGATGTGTAAGCATATCCCATTTATTTGTTGTGTAAAAGTCAAAGCTAATGCTGTCGTTTCTCGTGTTTTTAATTTCGTAGCGCTGTTGGCAAGGGTCGTCCAGTGCAGCGTGGCCGCAAAGTGGGAATTGTCTACCGCGGCCGTCTGATGAACGGCAAGCAGTTCGACGCGAGTCAGAACCGCAAGAAGCCGTTTACTTTTCGCCACGGTATCGGTGATGTGATCAAAGGTATGGACATTGGTATTGAGGGCATGCGTGTCGGTAGTAAACGTACGATCACGATTCCATCACGTCTTGGTTACGGCCGTGAGGGCTCACCGCCTATCATTCCTGGTAACTCTGACCTTATTTTTGAGATTGAAGTTGTGTCCGCATAGAGCACTGCAAGGCTTTGATCAACCAATCAGTTTGAAATCGGAAGATAACGTTTTTGAACACCTTTACAACTAGCTGGCTTAGCAGTTTAAGACAAAATAAATAGACTCTTGGTGTCGACAAAACTAAATGGGAAACAAATGTTAGAAGCTTACGAATCAAGATAAAAGTGCTCAATCCAACCAGAAGACTCAACGCTTATGGCAAAGGAAAAAAATTCAATCAAAAGAAGACCAGACGGAACGAAAGAGAGAAACTCTCATGAGAAGCACTAAAGCTTGAGCAGAAAAAAATGTTATTTGCTGTGAACAAGCGTAACCCCGTAGCAGAGTCAAGGTGAATAGCAAAACGTATGCAAGACAAAAATGCAATCCTTCGTCATAATTATCAGAGTATTAGATAATTCACGAATCAAAGAGGTTCAGCACAGTTTCCTCGCTTTCGTTTGTAAACAACCAAAAGAAAAGAATCATGTTGACAAAAATGAAAGCGTCCATCACCACATCATGTTGACAAAAATGAAAGCGTCCATCACCGCATCATGTTGACAAAAATGAAAGCGTCCATCTTGGCTTGTTCATATTGCTGCTCTGGGGTTACAATTCCGTTGGCATCTTCTATCCATGCTCGAAGGTCGGTAAATGGTCCCGAAGCCACGTTCTGTTTGGCAGGCGAGAGACGGTTGGTGGTCGAAGGTGACTGCAATGGGCGCTTGGTCTGAGGCAATACCATTGAGATAAAATCCTTCAGCAGATTTGGCATTGTAATTGTCGAAGAAGAAGTGATGAAAATGATGTTTGAAGGACGTTCACAACAAAAGCAAGTTGAATAATTGGTTCTTTCAAGGCTCAATGAGACGTTGTTTTTGACCTAGTGTTCCATTGGTTGAAACTTTGATCGGTAACATCCGAGGAAACTCGGTGAGGAATTTTTGACGACTGATTTGCTACTCGCCATGTGTTGTTTTTGGAAGCATTGGATTTCGACCAGCTTGTAATTAACTTCAGCTAGTATAAATCAATTTTTAGCGATAAATTAATCAAAAAAAGAGAAAGTTGACCCAAATTTGGCGCAAATTTGGCAACACATGACACCTCAGGAAAGCCCAGCTGATATCAATACAAGTGCACCACAATACTCGTAGCTGTTTTTTCTTGTCAAAATTAACAGACATGCTCGACGTATTTGCTTTGATTGCAGATGGAAAACAAATTTAGCACTAGATGGTGCGAAAGAAGATTGCCCAGCACATCATTACGAAAACAAATATTCTTTTACTGCCTCAGAAGATGTGCATGCTTGCTCATCGTAGCAAGCATGACACGCACGCAAGAGTTGACAGCATCACTGCAGCAAGGATTTGGTTGCGTTCATAGCACTTACTCTGTTGCGTAAAAGAGACTCATTCTGTTCCAGTTTGACCTTAAAGCTCATCCTTCTCAGCGGCGTTGCCGAGAATTTCATTCATGATATCGTCGTCGTCATCATCCTCTTCAATCGCATCAAGCTGAACGTCTTCACCATCCCATGGCTTGACAGTCTTGATCTCAGGCAACTCTCCAAAGCTTACCGTTGACACGCGGCCCTGCATAATACTCTGCAAAAACTCACTGATAGCTTCTGCAATAAAAGCTCCGCGTTGAACGACGAATCGCTTCCGGTCCAGGTTGATAGCCACCAGTGACGGATATCCGAAGGTTAGCTCAAAACGGTTTTCAAAGTCAACTTGGTCGCCGCCCTGCATCCATCCAAATTTAAACGGTTTGCCGCGCATCAACTTGGCTGCCTCTTTCAGCGTGTTAAGGTAGCCATCACGGGCACTTTTGCCACCTTCAGTAATGTGTGGAAGCAAGCCAATCACGCAGCTCGCCTTGCCTTTGCAAAAGTCGATCACTGCGTCTGCTGATACAAGCTCTTTAATCCGTAGCCCGGCACCCATTTCATCCAGTGCCGCGAGGGCAAATTCCGTGATAGCAGAAGCTGTGCGCTCTCCCTGGTAATCTTTTGCATCAGCAGGGCCCATGGCATTTGGGCCAAATAACTTAATCATAGGAAATCCTTCGATGCCATATTCACTGATCTTTCCTTCATTCACTGTCGCATCAAGAGCAGCAACCTTTACAGATCCTTTAAGATCCGACGCAGCCTGCTCCCACTCCGGCGCGAGAGCCTTGCAGTGTCCACACCATGGAGCGTAAAACTCAACCAGCCAGATATCTCCGCTGTCCAACACCATGTCATCGAACGTCTCATCCGTAAGAGTGATAACATCACTCTCACCACTTGGCGACGTCTTCGTTGAAGAATGCTTCTTCTTCTTTTTCTTCTCGGTACCATCCGGTAGACGGGACTTGACTAATCTACGCGATGCAGTAAGTGCAGCATCTACGATATCCTTAGCAGTGCGCTTCCCCTCAAACATCGTGGGCTTCGTTTTGTCTTCTCCAAAAATCATAATAGTTGGAAAACCTCGTACCGCAAACTCTTGTACAAAGTCTTCATGCTCTTCGCAATCAATAGCTCCAACCTTAACAACACCCTCAAGTGCCTTCGCTACCTTCTTGTACTCGGGTTCCAGTTCCTTGCAATGGCCGCACCACGGTGCGTAAAACTCCACAAGCCACACACCCGAGTCCTGCTGCACCTGCTCACGAAAGCTCTCAGGATCCAGAACCTTCACACTATCTTCATTCGTATACATGCTCTCAATGCCAGCCAGCAGCAGACCCATTGTCGTAGCGCTCACTAAAAGCGCCATACGAATCATACGCATGCCTAGGCGTCTTGTATCAATAGCTCAACTTCAATAATGACCACACATGAGCACTGTGGCCACGTGAAGCACGACGATTGGCTGAAAACAGTCTGACCAATCGACGTGGAGACAGAAGCGAAGAAGCTCACAATAACGCCTTGATTGACAAAAAACTGATCGCTGCTGCTTCTTTTTCGCAGAGCAAGCTCTTCTTAATAATAACAGTAATGATAGTAAGACATTGGGAGGTGTTACCAAGATTCATGCATTGCATACATTCCATACAGTAGTTTGCTTGCTACCTATTAATGCTACGCTGCAAGTCAAAGGTGCTGTTTCTTAATGAAAAGAGACTGTTACGTTGCTGATATAGAGAGATTTGCGACTGCATATTGTCGTCAGTCGCTCAATTTCATTCTCAGGAATGCACTAGCTACTTTTAGCCAGCTTTGATATCAATCCACTCATTTTTGTTCTGCTTCTGATCTTAGCAAGCTTGGTCATCCTTGCAGTGGTCGATCGAAGCTTGCAGTCAATCAAATGTACTTGGCTGATCGTCATATCTATCGGTCGTTTCTTCCTTTGCTGAGGTAGCAAACTACTCGTCGTTTCTGCGGGTGCCAATGAGTTTCTAAAGCCGAATACATTACAGTCACGTGATACTCTTCGGGTGGAAGAACGTCAACAGTGTGTTAGAGCCAACATTTGAAGGTAAGTTTCGTGCTTGGAATAGTGTTGGAACAGCAGTTAACACACTTACCAAAAGGTCTGGACCATGTTGGTGCAGTGGTGTAGCAATAAACTCATGGTCGGAGCGAGGGTCAGCGAAAGTACAATGACGTGCAGCATTAGATGAAAAGGCGGATGAATATAAGGCAGGGCAAAGCCAATATCGAGGCAAAAAGTAAGTGGACTAAGTGGACCTTGATCTCACTGTAATATCAAGCCAGCAACTCACATGGAATGAATTGATACATCACCGCCGCAAATAATCAAGATGCTCAATCGTCCTGTATAATGTGCTCGACGCATTGAGAGAGACATGTCAGCCGAATTATGTTTTCACGGCGTACTTCATACCAAAACCAATCCGTGTAGAGTCGACTGCGAAGGACGCACTCGTGTTGCAGGCAAAACTCATTCACGTCTGCTCACTGTCGGCTGCACTACGTGCTAACGAGACATCAAGCTATCGAATGAAGGTCATGACGTATTCGGTTATATCTTCGGACATCGTATCAGTGTACGCCGCCGAAATAAACACCTTTGTGCACCCATGTCAAGCCATAAAGTTTGGGTTCAGACATACATAGTATGGAACCATCACCAGATAGTTGCAGAAACCGCCCAATCGATCTTTGTCACTTCCTTACCGCTGGCAAGTCACCACCGTTTTCCATGGCGTTCTACAGCAACACCTAGGCGAAGGAGCTGGTCAGCACCTGCGAGAACGTTTACGTCTTGCCTCTTGTTGTCGTCTTGGGTTGCCTCGCGGCTTTTTGTTACCTTGGTTGACGACCTTTACTCGTCAGCTTTCAAACCGCACTTTACTATCAGAACTCCCGCTTGCCAAGCAGCACAACGGCTCATCCGAGTTAATATCGTGGCTCCTGAGTGCAGCTTCAATACTCTATAGATTCATGTTACTAAGCATAAGTAACAAAAACAGCACAAGACAACGAAGCAAGCAAAACCAAAGGACACAATGCGCAGAAATAAACAAATTTGTCGATTACTAGTGGTGTGTGATTCACAAGTGCTTCTTCTTATACTTGACAAATCGCAACAAGTTGAGCCGGGTCTCCTTCACGTGAGCCAGCAGAGCACGGTCTAACAGCTTTTGCTCTGCCTTTAATTTGGCTTTCAGCGCACTGGAGGTGCGCTCCAGTACACTGAGAAAGTTGAGCGCTCGAAACGTATCGTCAAACTCCTCGGCGTCGTAAACGTCAAAAATGGCGTTAATTGTCTCGACCACCACCTCCAAACTCGAGTCGTCTAGTCGTGACACAAGAGCGCGTCCAACAGTCTCCTTCTCAACCGCACTAGAGCAGCGCTTACCCATGCACCCGATTATGCCAATTGCATTTTGTCGAGACTCACAAGAGCGTCCGTGAGCAGCGCAGTTCACAATAAGCTGAGCGTCTTCAGCAGTCACGGCTAACTGACGGTTGTCTAAGCTGCTACAACGCAGCGCAGACAATATTGCAGCAGTCACTGCAACCTCGAGGTCGTTCGTTGCACCGCTTTCTAAAGAAAAATCGGTAGGAGCACCAGAAGCAGCCTCAACCTCGCGATTCATGTTTCCATACAATTGACACAGATTGCGAAAAACCTGAGGCACTATATCTTCACCAATAACCTTCCGAGGTAAACTCAGCAGAAGATTGTTAACAGCGTTGCACATACGAATACGCATCTTCTCAAAATCATTCCCTACCAAGATAAATAGGTTAGAAATATAGCAAGAACAACGCGAAGCAAGCATTGGAAGCCTTACTGATCGTCTTCGTAGCAAGTTGCGGGATTGACACAAGTCCTTGCAGAATGATCACGCAAAGTGGAAATATGCGGCTCGTTTCGAGTGACTTCAACACTGGACTGCCATTTGCGCAGATAGTTTCACCCGTGTCCATTCGCGACGCTGCATACTCCTCCATAGCGTCTTCTTCGTCGCTGGCCCACTCTTCTTCGTCTTCATTGTCATCTCCAGACGCAGCCAGATCAGCAACCAGTTCTAGCGCCAGCGTAAGCGTTTGCACACTGTCACGCCATGTACGAACCTTAATCTGCGCGATAGTGATCTTCTGCTCTTTCTCGGAAATCAACTTGTCGTCATCAACGTTCGCATCTTCCAAATAGGACCGTTGCGATAGCTCATAGTGATCCGATGCCTGCTGCGCCATATGCACTACACTCGCTGCATCATATGCCAGTGCCGCCTCCAGAATAGGCACCACTCGAGCCACATTGTTGCCCATCTGCATCGCGGACTGCACGTTCATTGCGATGCCTACTGCTTCAAGTCGAGCGTGTAGGGACAGTTGATCCACTGGCGCTTGTATAAGGTCTGCAATCGTCTGCTGGTAACTTGCATTCACTCCAACAATGTCGTTTATCTGCGCATTGCCCTCTGAGATCAGCAGCAGTAACTTCAACGACTCTAAATGCAGAACCGGATGCGTGCGAGCCAGCTTCGCTATCTTAAAGATAAGTGGTAGCAATTCACCCTCAGTCATCTCATTGATAGCTGCCTGGCAGCTCTCGCATAAATTACTAAGGAGTGACACAGCCTGTTCCAGCAGCTGCACAGCGCGTAAATCTCCACTACCACAAAGCGCCTTTTCGGTGGTGTTCTCTGTAATAACTTTGGCAAGAGGCGTTACAACATTTTGCGTTGTCATGATCTCACACAGCTCATGACCACCCGTTACACTCATGTTGCGCAGCGCGCCTAGCGCATGCTGACGTACCATGGGCAGCGGGTCCACAACCCGCGGAATAAGCTTCGTGAGGAGTCCAGCATCCACCATGCGCTGAAGTTTACGGCGACTCTTAAATTCAAGCTCGTCGCTCTCTGCATCACCAAACATAGTGGCAAGCGTCATGCACGTGGCTTCACGCACGGCGCCTCGCAGATCTACGAGGCCCTTAAATAGCTGTGCCTCGTCCACTGTCATCGTGTTAAAATCTACATCCCAAAGTTCTTGTAGCTCAGTGGAAGACGGACAACCTGTAGGTGGTATACGCTTCTTGTGACTAATGGAGCGTAGCTTCTTGGCCTTGCCCATGATCCTAAAGAGATGACAGAGAATGGCTACATGACTTCGCCTCCTTTCAATCAATTTGGACGATGTGTCCACATAATACTCGGAACGACGTGCAGCCTATTGAAATGGCCTAGTTTTGCGTGTATGGCACATTTTGTGACACAAAAGAAACTTCAAACGTCTTTTGTTTCGACCATACATTTTGTAGCCATAATGCTGCTTCCTCCTGTCCTTCGTATATCATCATCCCTACATCGTTATGCATCTTCGTCTACTTGTAGTACCTTTGTAAATCGTCTGCGTAATGAACTGGCAGAGATCAAAGCAGCTGGCACGTATAAGCACGAGCGTGTGATCGCGTCTGCTCAGGGCGCTGAAATCTTTGTAAACGGCAATACAGTGCTCAACTTTTGTGCTAATAATTATCTTGGGCTAAGCAATCATCCCGACGTGAATCAGGCGGCAACTGAGGCAATTAGTGAGCGCGGCTTTGGTCTTAGCTCCGTACGCTTCATTTGTGGCACACAAGATATTCACAAGCAATTGGAGACAGCCATCTCTGCTTTTCACGGTACAGAAGATACAATCTTGTACCCATCATGCTTTGACGCCAATGCTGGTCTTTTTGAGGCCGTACTGAACAAGGAGGATGCTATCCTGACGGACGAGCTCAACCATGCCAGTATCATTGACGGTATCCGACTTTGCAAGGCTGAGCGCCATCGCTTTAAACACATGGACATGAAGGATCTGGAACAGAAACTCAAGGGCACACAGCACTGTCGGACGCGATTGATTGCTACGGACGGCGTTTTTAGTATGGACGGTGATGTAGCTCCGTTGCAAGAAATTACCGCACTAGCAGAAAAGTATGATGCCCAGCTCTTTATTGATGAGTGTCATGCTACCGGGTTCTTTGGACCTACGGGACGCGGTAGTGATGAATACTGCGGTGTGTATGGCAAAGTGGACGTGATTAACTCAACGCTTGGGAAGGCTCTCGGTGGCAGCACTGGTGGATATACGACTGGCCGCAAGGAGGTCGTGGACCTGCTGCGTCAGCGCTCGCGCCCATACCTTTTCTCCAACTCACTTGGCCCGTCGGTTGTAGGTGCATCACTGAAGGTTTTTCAGATGCTCACCGATTCGTCCGAGTTTGTGGATAAGATTCGTGCCAACACCCACCACTTTCGCGACCGTATGACTGCTGCGGGCTTTACATTGAAAGGATCTCGGTATATTTTTTTCATTATGCAACATGCCAATAGAACTGCTGCTAACATTCTGCGAGGTGTTGTACAGAGATCACCCGATCGCGCCAGTGATGTTGGGCGATGCTCGTCTTGCGTCTAAATTGGCTGATGACATGCTCAAGCGCGGTATTTATGTCATCGGCTTCAGCTACCCGGTGTGAATACATTTAGCAGAACACAAGTAAAGAGCTGTATACTAACATATCTTACTTCTGGCTTGTGCACCACCAGGTTGTCCCAAAAGGCCACGCGCGCATTCGTGTGCAGCTCTCTGCAGCTCATAGCATCGAAGACGTTGACAAGGCCGTGGACGCTTTCGTCGAGTGCGGCAAAGCGCGTGGTGTAATCAACTGAATATTTTCGGATTAGCTGTAAATGATGACATTTGCAACGTCATCGTCGCCAGGAAGTGCCGGCTTGTATTGTTCGTGGCAAGAACGTCTTGATGTCGGGTAGCATCAACTTGTACCTAGATATCAGAGATATGATGCAGAAAGAACAAAATATACGTTGAGTTTGCAAGTACAGACATGAAAACGCCATCATTAATCATGCACATGCCACGACTCTGACGTCCTAACGAAGCAGATTCACGAGCCCTTTCAGCTCTCGTGGGTTTGCCATCAATGTAGTTATGAAACTCGTTGCTGTTGACAAAAAGCACTCCCGACATCTTGGACGGCTTAAGACCAATTTAATCACAACAGTGACGATATCGTCCAACAATATCTAGTAAGGATTGACAAGTGACTGCTTATATTTCCTGAGTGTTTGCCGTCTATGCGTTTTCGTATCCGAGTCGTTGATACTAGCGGAAGCAGTTGTGACGCAGGTATCGATTTCAATGGCTTTGTAACCTTGACTTGCTACTTGCTTTAGCTCAAAGTGTTCTCGGTGACATGTCCTTACCTTACTCTGCATACCTGAAGAAATATCACCACATGCGATCTCCAACTGCAGCTTCCTGCTTTAAAGTGCTTCAGTCAACAAAGCTGTGAAGTGCTTCAGTCAACAAAGCTGTGTAGTCTACCTTATACCTACGCAGTTCAAAGTGCACCTCCTGAATAATCGTTTACAGACAGCCACAGCAGACACTTACAAGAGAAACATCATATTATTTAAGTGCTACCTTGTCACTTTGTGCATTATTTCTCTCTTATTGCCGCAGTTCGTGGTGTTTCTCAAGTGCATAGACGCTTTTTGAGCCTCTCGGAAAAATGTCTACGTACTTTTGGATTAATGAACTGTGCATCTTTATCAAATAATCACTCTGCACTCTCGTGATACGTCGTATGTCACCCTCTGGCGTCTGTACCGCCACGAGGATGGAATTATCCAGTATGTGCTCGCCTGCAGCCACTACAACGCCGCTGCCAATAAGACAATTGCTGCCAATCACCGAGCCCATCCGAGCGTATGACTTGGGCTCAAACCAATTGCCGTTTCCCACGCGATGACTCTCCACGATGCAGCCGCTCTCAAACAAATTACCGTCACCAATCTGCATCTCGTCCGGCGCGTCGTTAAGTAATACGGCCCCATCCTCAACAAAACAGCGATCACCTAAAATGATTGGTCCACTTGAAGATCGTATCGAAGCACCTGGATGCACACCGCACTGCTCACCCACAGTTACATTACCTTGGAGCTGCGCTTCCATACACACAGCGGCAGAACACGCCACTTGCATTATTTGTGTCTTCGATTGTTAACAAGACACAGATTATGATTTCAATTGGTCCTATTTAGGTACATTCACTCGCAAAATAAGACTAAAATCTCGTCCACTTTGCGTTATATTAATGCCACGAGCACGAGTGATCGACGGTAAAGCCATTTCAAAGGCGCTGCGTGCCACGCTCAAAGACGACGTGGCCGCTCTCATTGCCAAGTATGGAAGGGTATCCTTGCTTACTGTAAAATTTTTGATGATTGATATTCGATCTCTCCCTCACAATGCGCTATATATCTGTTAGGCGCCAGCACTTGGACTTATCATGGTTGGAAACCGCAAAGACTCGGCGTTATACGTACGCAACAAGCACGCTGCCTGTCATCGCATTGGTATACGGTCTGAGAATTTTATTTATAATCAAGGTGTCTCGCAGGTACAAGATACACATTTGACAAGTAGAGAGAGGTTAAACTAAATCGTGGCTGACTGCTACTTTGCAGGAAGCTGTGATGCAAAAGGTGGAAGAGCTCAATCAAGACCCGACAATCGACGGCATTCTCGTGCAATTGCCATTGCCTGATACACAGTTGAATGCACAGCAGATTATTGACTGCATTCAGCACGACAAGGACGTGGATGGCCTCCACCCGTTCAACGCTGGTGAGCTGTCTATGCGTGGACGATATCCCTATTTGATCCCGTGCACAGCCAAGGGAATTGTTGCAATGCTCGATGAGAATAACATATCATTGCATGGAAAGACAGCAGTGATTATTGGACGTAGCAATCTAGTTGGCAATCCGGTGAGCATGTTGCTTCAGAAGCGCAATGCCACGACGATCCTTTGTCATTCAAAGACGATAGATCTTCCGTGGTATGTACGTCAAGCAGATGTGGTAGTAGCGGCATGTGGACAGCCGTATCTTGTGCGAGGTGAATGGTTGAAGCTAGGTGCGACGGTCATTGATGTCGGTATCAACTTTGTGCGTGATGTGGATGGTAAATATCATGGCGAGGCGAATTCTGATGGCTTTAAGCTTGTTGGTGACGTTAATTTTCCCGAGGCATGCGAAGTAGCAGGGACTGTTACACCTGTGCCCGGTGGTGTAGGACCTATGACAATTGCCATGCTGCTGCACAATGTAGTTGAAGCATTTAAGCGCAGAATGGACATTGGAAACAAGGGTGTGCTATGAGAAGCAGGGTTTTGTGTTGTCACTTGTGTATGGATGTATGAATGTATAAATGAACGTGTGGGAATGGGGTGTTGGTGAGCATGCGTAAGAGTGTCAATACTGTGAATAGTGTGGATTGTGCTTGTATAGGACTAGGGAGGACGAAAAATGTTTTTTTTCTTTCTCCTTGTACGTGTACGTTAGCAATATACTTGGCGGAACAACTCGGCACGTTTTTACAATCGCATGTGTAAATTGTAGACGACATATTGGGAAGCTTGTAGACGACATATTGGGAAGCGCTGCAATGTTTTTGAAACCACTAAGGACTCCGCGCGCTTTTTCCACTCGGCTTCGGTGTATATTGCTCGTTCAGCCACGTAAAAGTGCTTTTACGCTGCATGTTGACGAGCAACTCCTATAGCGAATGTTTTTATGTCGCGAAGCCACCAGTACAAATGAAATCACAGGTCAAGACGATAAAAAGGCAGGGTCATGTTCCAAATGCACACGCAATCGCGCACCAAAGTAGCGAAATACCGCGTGAAGCACGGTTGATGCTGCTAGAGATCTGCTAATCTTGGGTACAACAAATGCATTACGGACAGTTTCTTGCTACCGCGACATTAAATGTGCATTTGCATAGGGCACTAAGAATAACAAAGTCTTGTATCCGTGCACGCCAAATCACTTCTTTGTTCCACTAAGGCTTGTGAGCTAAGGGTGCAGAGACAACATAGAGCAAGAATTTCGATGTCGACAATGTTACCAATACTCTAGTGCTTCTTACAGCATAATAGGCTTCAATGCCTGCAACTTGCGCTCCAGCACATAAAGCTCACATTCGGGCAGCTACCATGCATGCAAATTAATTCAGCAAGCCTGCTCGCTTGCTAATTAAGTAACCTGTTGTTCACACGTCATTTGTAAGTAGTGATCTAGCTTGACAATGCCCGTATTCATTTTTCGGATCGAAAATTTCTGTTGAGAGCCTAACGTCGTCCTTGATTGCGGTACAGCAACGAATGTTGCTTCATGAACTCGTGCCTTTGGCCATGTTTGCCATGAACATTGAATTACTAATAGTTTGCGCCGATGACAGACCAAATCAATCAATTGCACCCCTCCTGCTTTCTTTTTTGTGAGTTTGGACTGGACTTACATCCAGGAGCTACATTGCTGCCGCTCAACTTCACATCACTCTCGGCCACAGTACAAAAGGCTTTGTCACGGCGCAACCGCTACACGTATCGTTGTCGTAGCACAACATCTTATGGAAGATTTGCGCAATAGACCAGAAATATTATTTTCAAATCTGGAAGAGCACCACTGGTTGCAGGATGAACGTGAGAATGTGAACTTTTTGTACCTAATGATAGTGTATTGTTCCATTACACTTTCCACGATTACTGTTTCTACGTTTGTGCTGCAGATATCTTAACTATAGACCAATAATGACGTAGCCACTTTATTAGCTGTCAGCATATAGTATAATGACATGTTTGGTTGTGCCACCTTCGCACAGTCAACATGTCATTTAATAAGGCAAGTATCCGCTTTAATTTTTGTAATGGTGGAGCATGAAATGATCAAAACGTATACGCAAAAAGTGTTGTACAAAAGCTTTTTAAGCAAAGCTAAGTCAAGCTCACGTGTGCACTACATTAACATGCAAAAGCTTCGACTTTGAATACGATAGAAGTCTGCAAAATGCGAATCTACGTGCATGGTTGAAAAAAATCAACCTCAATTGTCTTCGTCTAAGGCGTGTGCAAAGTTGCTTGTGCCACTTGTCAACAAATGTACGCCGACGATGTCTTCGTTTCAGTATACTGTGTAATATTCCTTGCTGCGTGCGATAATGAAGCCGTGGGTCACGCTGTCACTCGAAAAGCGCCACCTAACAGTGACGTGGTAGCATTCAAACGTTTTTGTGAGCGCAGAATCAACCGTCGAGCAATCATTGAATAACACCCAGAAAATATATCATCACCAGCACTGATGAAATAATTTTTTTTATGCAAATTAACACAAGTAATGAACTTACACGAAACATGCAAACGCTTCGTCGTCCAAGAGCTTAATTAATCATGGTGCTTTTGAACTATACAACAAGTAATGCAGTTCCTTAGTGCTGAATGATGTAGCTGTCAGAAAGGTACATGGTAGACTTAGGGCTAGAATACCAAGAAAGTACGATAGAGCTCCGAGCACCCACATTATTTGGCAGAAAAAGCTTAGCAAAAAGTTCGAACAGAGCGCTGCGCATCTTGGCACCAAAGCGCATGATCCTTTCCATCGCTGTCTAAGTGTGGTCACATCTCCGTAACAAGAGTCACACGCCTTTCGCAACGTTAAGCTAAAAACTAGTCAAGGTATCTTTGTGAGACAACAATGTCGTATGTACAGATTTGGGTTTCTGCCACTGTAATAATAATCAATTACAAGTGGAAACTCAATATCCTCTGACCGTCATGTTAAGCTAAGCATAATGATAAGAATAAGCCTTAAGGTTTGTACTATTGCCACGTCCTTGAAGGTCGTTAAACGATATTGATGATCCACATTAACGATCTGTTTCAGTTGCTACAGTCTTTGATTGGTTCAAGAAACCGATTCAAGATTCACCCCACGTCGCCGGTATCAAAATTCATTCGACCAAAAAGCAGGTAAACATGACAAACGAATATGCTAAGCGCCTCAATGGCTTTGACAAGCCTACGGTCTGGCACGAATTTACTTCTCTGGCTTTGGAGCATAAAGCGGTTAATTTGGGACAAGGATTTCCAGATTGGCGCTGCGAGGGCTTTATAAAGGAGGCGGCTAAGGACGCACTAGACGCCGACTTCAATCAATATGCGCGTCCTCAGGGCCACAAAAAGCTCGTCGAGGTGCTGGCAAAGATATACTCCAAAGAACTGAAACGTGAAATTAACTGGGTCAATGAGGTTGCAGTGGGTGTCGGCGCAACTGAGACTATCTATGCAGCCCTTAACTCGTTTGTGGAGCCTGAAGACGAGGTGATTGTGTTTGAGCCGGCCTTCGACATTTATGCGGCTCAAATTCAGATGACTGGCGGTGTGTGTCGGTTTGTGCCACTTCATGTGCGCATGAGCGAGAAAACCGGCACCATGTCGATTGATATCGATGAGCCTACTCTAGCAGCGGCCTTTTCGTGTAAGACCCGTGCGATACTCCTCAATAATCCGCACAATCCGACGGGCAAGATGTTTACGAAGGATGAGCTAGAACTTGTTGCCAAGTATGTCCGTCAGTACCCGCGCGTGATCATTATCTCCGACGAAGTGTATGAACATATTGTGTTTGATGGTAACAAGCATATACGGATTGCCAATATGGATGGCATGTGGGAGCGTACGCTGACGATATCGAGCGCCGGAAAAACCTTCTCGGTGACTGGCTGGAAGGTTGGCTGGGCCATTGGGCCTAGCAATCTCATTAAGGGCGTCTGCCTCGCCAATAACTGGATCCAGTTTAGCGTTGCAACGCCACTCCAAGAGGCAGTCGCTAATATGTTGGAGCTTGCCGAAAATCCGTACAAGGAATTTCCGACCTTCTACGCTTTCGTTGCTGACCAGTACAAGCAAAAGCGTGACCGTCTTAGTCGTGCGCTGATGGATGTAAATATTATCCCTATCACACCTGAAGGTGGCATCTTTCTATACTCGGACATTTCTGCAGTAAAGGTGCCCAAAGATTTTATACGGACTAAAATGACGTACGACTGGGCATTCTGTCGCTGGCTGACTATCGCCAAGGGCGTGACAGCGATCCCGACCTCAGCGTTCTTCTGTCATGCAAACCAAACAAAAGGCAGTCGATGGGCGCGTTTTGCGTTTTGCAAGACTGACGAGGATATCGAAGAAGCCATCAAGCGTCTTGCCAAGCTCCACGATACGTAAAGATGCCATGCCAGCATACCATGGCTCATAAAGTTGCGATATGTGTAAGTCAGCAAGCGCTCAACTGTCGATCGATGTTGTACGTTAGCACAACAGAGCCACATTTCACCCGCGCTAATATACTGTTGGTATTTGCCGACCACTTTCTCGTTTCGGCAATATTTGACAACATATTCCATTGTTGTAATGCTCTCATATGTACTTCTCTTGTTTGACGTTCGTTCGCGTACAATCAGTCTCGTCTCGCGACAGCCAAGACAGCATTGAGTGAACGACACAAACATCGCATTTCCGGCTTCAATGAGAATAATAAAGCGCAACTGCTCGCAATCGTATCACTTGCAAGAAATACATTTTACGAGCAGTTGCGACGGTGACAGCAAGTCTTCAGCTTGACTCACGTTATTCGATACCAAAACGAAAGCTTTTGTATTAAAAAGGTAGATCATGAAGGTGCATCTCGAAGTACCACAACGTCACGAAAGAATTTACGTTGTCATGACATCTGATGATTGCATGCAACGTTACGAGAATTACCTGCTGTCATACACGATCGTATTTCAGATGCCATTGTGTATGGGCAAACGAACAAGGACAGTGTTTGAATTTAGTGCTGCTCGACGTTTCTAAATTAATCGCATGGACTTAAATTCGACAGAACATCCACAGATACGTGTTGTCGAAAAAAAAATACATCAAGTTGTCCGTTAGATGCCTGATTAGATATGATTCATATGCTGCCGTAATGTTGTTGTACTTCCCAAAGCGGTGCCAAGCCAAGCCAAGCTGATCGCACTTGCCATAACTTATTGCAGCTGGCATCCTATACGGCACCCTCCTCGAACTCGAGCGGAATCAGCTTGATGTCGCAGCCATCCCGGTGCGGTTTCAACTCAATAACAGTGTCTTCGTAAATCTGTAAGTGTGGAACCTGAGCGGCCTCACACCCAGAAAAATAGCCCATGAGACAACGCAAGATGGACTCACTGCAAATCACCAACACGTCACGCTTTTTGCGCTCGAACTCTAGAATCAGTGAACGCAGACGCGAGATCACGTCAACGTAGCTCTCACCACCCACACCAGGGTAACGATAGCGTAGCTTGTCCTGGAGCCGCGCAGCATAGTGTTTTGGATAAAAGCGTTCAATCTCCTCGTACGTAAGACCTTCAAAGTCACCGCCTCCCAGCTCGTTGAGCAGCGTAGTAGTCACGTAGCGTTTCAAGTTGCGAGTGGGTAGATAACTGGCCGTTTCTCTAGACCGCTTCATCGGACTTGTCCATATCTCCATTGGACGCTCGAGCTCCAGATTTTCCACAAAGCGCATAATAGCATACGCCACCCGGTGCCCTTTTGGCGCTAGATCTGTATCGAGGCCAAGAATGCCCTTGCAGCTCGTGACACTTGGTCCCACGCGCACAAGCCAGATTCGACGTGGGCCTAAGTGGATATTTTGAAGGAGCGACACGATCTGGCTTTGGAGAAAACCCTGACAGTGTCGCGCTTGAATCTTTTCGCCGGCGTTGTATACCTTGACGTAGCACGCATTGCCGTCATCCTCTGTGTCTTCAATGGTCTCATAGACCTTTTCATATTCCTGCACACGCTGCATGAAATCAACAAGGGCCACTTCGGGTTCTTTATCCTTATAATCAGCATTTAAGAGCTTTCTGTACGCACGCATTATACAACGCAACAAGTCAGCTTACATATGCAAACGCTATCATCCACACAAGATGATCAAGCTTGAATCCATCTTAAAAGATTACAGCATACCGATGGTAGTTTGCCTCAAGCAGCTCCTCATTGTCGCAAACACTTTCTACGAACACGACTCGAATATTGCGGTGCAAGCTCACTTTCTTTAGTATGTGTTGCCTGCAAGATTTACGACAGTTCCAGCTTAACACTTTCTCAAATTCCATACCCACATCTTTTATTTCATTGCCTACCTGCGCAGCTTGGTTGTATTGGTCGCATCGAAGACCGCCACGTGTCCCTCCGTCTCAACCCACTCAAGCAATTCATCAAGCGCATTCATAGCCATCTCCTCACGCAGTCGCGTGGCGTCCGCGTTGTTGGGACTGAAAAAGTTGGCATTCTCCCCTGCCTTGCCCAATTTCCGCCGCAAGTTGCCCACATTGAACATGCGCGTGGGAAAGCCTAGCCACTCAATGTATCTCATTGTCTTGTGCACCACAAAGCTCTTTCCACGAGCAGGTAGTCCCACCATGACAAGCACAATCTTCTTTTGCGAGGTCATGAAGCCATCAGTACTGCTTGTATCCTCGGCGTTTGCCTCACTGCCGCCACTTGCCATAGCACTAGAAACCCCTGACCCTTTCTTCCACATCCACTGAGACTTGCGATCGTTGCCAAGACTGTTGAGACGCTTAAGCCGTTGATTACCAAAGCGACGGTGCATTGTTTTGAAAACTAATAGGCGCTTACGGCCGTCGCGGACAACATCCTGTATCGTTTTACGGTAAATCAACACCTGCAATGCCACAGTTAGTGCCAGTGCAATGGACATACTGGTGCTGTTTGGACTCGAAAGACTTGGCACGTTGAGCTTCATGCCGACTGAATAATGATTGGAATTCTCTCGGAATGCTGACAGTATTTCTTGCACAATAGCAAGGATCTGTACTTGTTTGAGCAAATATTTCGTTATTATTGAAAGTAATGTATAATCAACAGTATGAATGAGTTCGGCTTAGGCTTTCAACTACTGAAGCAACATTCACTGTGCAATAGGCGAAAGCAATATATACACCACGCTCTGTAAATGCACATATATCTATCTCGCAACAGTATGACCACTTGTCTAGCGTGTATCTTTTTCCTGCCAGCATTGCATTCTCCAATGTTCATTTCGGGCGGGCATACAGGTTACTAACGTCAATAACTACCAACTACATGTAAGATATATGGAAAGACGTATTCATGTGTGAGACATCTCCGTCACGTTCGAGTTTCACAGGCAAATACCACCTTAATCAAGTCGCATCATGCTTAGAAGCGCATATCGTGGACACGGTCGTTCTTGGTCAGCGTGAACTTAGCATTCAAGTATGCGCACAAGTAAGGTTCATTTGCCAGTTTCTGCAACAATAAAGCGTCCACTGTTTTTTGGTCCTTCTTGCGCTGCTCCGCAATCACAGGCGACGTCTGCGTAACACCAAAGCTAGTGTCAGTAAAACAAGTCAATGACCCTTATGGCAATCTCAAGTGCATTTTTCAACTCATCATCGCATATCCAATTTTTACAAGAAATCATACAAACACACATTGACTCGTCAACATACCACCGTTTGATGCACCGCAAAAAAAAATTCTTCCTTGTTACTCTTCTTGGTCGGCTTGTCCTTCGTAAAGTAAGTATCATCAATCTCTGGTAAGTCCACATCTGAGAGATCGATTCGCGTGGACGTAGCAATGACAAAGGCCTGGTTCACACGCCGTAACGGCACACCATTAACCTTATAAGGCCCTGTAACGAGCAACGTGCCCGATCGTAATTGGTTGAGAAAAACCACGCGCTTCCCACGAAAGCGTCCGGAAAGAAGAATGAGGATCGTACCAGGTGTTATGGACTTACGGAGCTTGGCAGTCTTGATGCAGTTGCGTTTGGTCTTGGCGGATGGCAACGGCTTGGGAAGAAAGTCAGCCGGGTACCACTTCTTGGCCGAATGTAACAAGGTCTTTTGGATTGTAAACTGCTTCTTGAGAGAGCTGTGAGCAAACACACGGCCGTTAGACTTGGCCAAACTATTGGCGGAGATGGCGTTGATTCCTCGTGCGAGCTCGAAGTTTGCACGCTTCGTGGACTCCTGGACGTCCATTTTTGTGATAATGGAGTGTAGCAAGTATCAACTAAAAATAAATGAGAAAGAAGAGTATAACACACACTACAGACTGACATTGGTACGAAGTAGAAAGCGGTATTTGGGGTGTAAAGGACGCATACAGGCAATAGCATAAGCTGCTTACCTGTTTAATCATGGAGTTGGAGGCGCATGGTTCAAAGAAGTAGTTTCAACCAATAATAAGGTACTTCTGACAACTGTTTCCGCCAATGATACATGTTGGCTTGCGTTCATGCGTCTATCCATTGTTTATTTGCAAGTAACCAGCATCTATTGACGAACCATATAAGCATTCAATGCATTGTACGTCTTTTTCTTTTAGCTAAAAGCCTATTTACTCTTATACTTGTCATACAATGACTTTTGCTTCAGTTGCTCCTTGACCAACTTTTTTGTTTGACCCTTGCTCAATGGCTCGCCAGCTGCATCATGCGTCGGTAAGCCCTAAGAGATGTTGAATGCATAAGCACATCATGTAAGCACATTGTAACAATAAGCAAACATCACCTCATTCACAGCAATCACTTACGTTGTCGTCGAACTTCGAATACTTGTCCTTCATGACCAAAAACATGTCGCTCGGAGGTATCTTGGCCTTTTTAACAAGCTCCGCCTTCTTGCGGGCGTCTTCTTCTAGTCGCAAGCGTTTCTGCTCCTCTTTTTTTAGCTTCTCTTGCTTTTTTTCTCTCATTCTCCTCGAGCAACTCATCTTTGTTGGCCAACTTCCACACAGCAGCGCCAGTAGAGCGATCCTCCAAACGTACACCAGCATGCGGTAGCTTATCATCACGCACTTCGTCGCACAAACGCAGCACCGCACTAGCCAGAGCCTTCGCATAACCGTCTTCAGCAGCTGCAATGCGGGCAGCCTCTCGAATTTCGTCACGAAACTGTGCAAAAATGTCAAGCACTGGAGTGAGTATACTCTCTTGATCAGCACCGCCTGTGCCACTGGAGCTGATCGGGAAACCAATGTCTGTTGCCGACGTGACGAGGCCAAACACCGACAAGATGCGCGTAATGTACTCCGCGCTAGCACGAATTACCATCGACACCTGTTGTTCAATGTCTCCCACCATGTAACGATTCACCTCCTTGGCTAACAGCTGCAGGTGTAGCAGCGCCAACGGCGTGTTGATGTCGTCGCTTAGCGCGCGAAACACTTTATCCTTGCAGTCAAGCAAAGCAATATGCAAGGCCTTCTCCACAGGTGTCCACTTCTGCTTCTTCTCCACGCCAAGCTCACGAAGACGCGCTTTAACGTTGGCGAAAAATTCCGTAAAGAAACGGTCAACACCCACGGCCTCGTCCATCGAGTTGTCGTTGTAGTCCATGGGCATGTTGTACTTGTGAAGCAAGAAGAGGAAGCGCAGTTGGCGTGGCGAGTTGTCCAACAGCGCTTCCTGTATTTTTACAAAATTTTTCAAACTTTTCGACATCTTCAAACCCTCAATGTTCAAATGGCCTGTGTGCACGAAGTAATTGACCCATTGCGAAAAATCAAAGTACGCCTCGGACTGCGCAATCTCGTTGTCATGGTGTGGAAAACGCAGGTCAATACCACCAGAGTGAACGTCGATTCTCCCGCCAGCAAGGTGCTTTAGCGCGTCACTTGCCATAGCTGAGCATTCAATGTGCCATCCTGGCCGTCCATCACCCCATGGCGAGGACCAGAACGGCTCACCGATCTTAGACTTCTTCCACAAAGCAAAATCGCTGGCATTGCGCTTGTCCGTCTGCCCGGTAGACAGCACACCTTCACCTTCCGCGAGCAGCTCCGACTTTCCAACATTTTCCGGTAAAAGCTTACCGTATGCCTTACCTTTTGAGCGTCCAAAAGCCGCCGTGTCAAAGTAGACAGATCCATTGCTCTCGTAAGCAAAATTATTCTTAATAATACCCTCAACAAACTCCACCACCTCTGGCACATACTCACTCACACGAGTAATGACAGTGGGAGTCTTGATATTGAGTGCTGCCATGTCGTCCAGAAACGACTTTTCCCAGAACTTGGACAATTCGCAAGTACGAAACATATTATCCTCAGCAGACTGTTGTGCAGCCCACTGCATAACAAACTTGTCTTTTTCGTCCTTATCCTTGGGCAGCTCCTTGCCGGGGTTCGACGCTAGCCAGCCAGTCTCCGCAGCACGTAAAATGATCTTGTCGTCAATGTCCGTAATATTCATGACTAGCTCCACCTCTAGACCAAAATAGTCCTCCATAATGCGACGAACATAGTCAAAGCATGTATACGTACGGCCATGACCTAAGTGTGTCTGGTCGTACACTGTGGGGCCGCACATGTACCAGAGAACACGTTTGCCCTTCATCGGTACGAAAGCGTTCTTGGTGCGCGTCATGCTATTGTATAGACGAAGCGGGTAATGCGTTTCCCAATATTCTGTTAGGCCTTCAATGGGGCGTGGAGGAAACCATGTAGGCTGTTTTACAGCGGGAGCTTCAGTCATCGTATCCGTTAGACTTGAATTGATTGGAGTCTAGGTGATAAATGCAATACAGAGAGCAAAGTGATTGGCTAGAATGACTTATTTTAGAATATAGTAACTAATACCATAAAATTAGTGCTCAAAGATCAAGATTTGATTATCAGTTTTATACCTGCTCTGTGATAGCTTTTTTGTTGCTAAAGCATAGTCCTTGTATCTGTGATATTGGTCTCATTAAGACGCACTTTGGTGCAGCCAAAAGGCACAAGATTGTAAACCAACCTTAAAAGTGTTGTTAACTCTTAGACGTAAAGCTCCTGAAGCTTGTCCTCCTCTGCAATAAGTGCATAAGTAGCTTTCTACGGAAGCTCTGCTACACCTGGTAGCGTTTTGGAGTCATCAAGCACGTGGGATGTGACTACATCTCTGAGAGGATGGACATTAAAGGCATGTTCGCGGTTAGGCACAACAAGAAAGCTTGCAAAATCCGCTCCCTAATCTTGGAGTGAAGAGCGTGCCTTTGCTACAAAGCAAAAACGATATAGGCGCAAGCACCAGACCGACTCCGTCGATGTGCTGGACATCAAAATGTAAGATCTCGCGAGGTCTGGTAATATTAAGAACATGAGAACCGAGCTATGCTCGCCGACTCTAATTTGGTGGCACGTCCTCAGCTAAGTGATCATCATTTCAATGACAAATTGCTGATTGTCACGAACGACAATGTCGGATAAGAGCCGAGTAATATTAGGTCTAGGCCCCTCTGATGCGTGTGTTGCCACGTTATTCACTGATTGATGATGCTTGTGACAGCAAATCACTGCATGCCTAAGACATTGCCGGACGAAAGCCAAGACTTCAAGGAATCGACTGCTCTGATGTGTGTGCTGTGGCACGTATTCCACTGCATGATAAATTTGGTACGAGCGCATCGCTATTAAACACGATCGGTACTATCGGTCAAAAAATTAGAGTCAAAGGCATGACCTCTGTGATGTATGTGCAGTGGTAAGTGAGCCATTGGTAAGAGATTGTGAGCTATGCAACCTTTCATCGAATGTTGGATGTAACATCGGCTCGCTTATGGATCAACATTAGGCTTGACCTGTCAACCTTGGGGGCATATCAACCGCAAACCATTTGGAGGGGGGTTAGGAATCTGCAAAGGGCCGGTAGAAACGCCAGATGGCAGCGTCAAGACGCAAGACGTCTGTCATATCTCATTGAAAATGAGCAGTTATATGCACTCGTTGATGTTACTGCTGATGATGTCAATTATGATCTTCTCAAGGCTGGCGCCCGCTATATACTCTGCTACCACACAACAAGATGTCGGTTAAATGAGTTAAGGAAGCCTTACAAGCTAAAAATTTGGTTGACACGGTTGTACATCCGGCCTGATTAGTAGTTGAGCTTGTCTTTTCTTATGATAAAAGCAGTTTTAAAGAACATTTGAAAGACACTTTGTGTGCATAGTCGATCAATATTTAAAGACCTTTTAAGACTTTAGTAAAAAAATTAGTGAGTGGTGATCGCAAAAATATCTCTGTGATCTTGACCTCCTACTGGCCCCCGAACTGTCGAATAAAGGACAGGGTACCCCAATAACGTATCCTAGTCCTTCATCACCTTGTGTGCTCGTCGAATGGGCGTGTTGCACTCTCCTCCGTGGACTTGCTCCTATCGTGATCGTGATGGGGTCTGGGTCGAAGGGGGTGGATTGCGTTGAAATTTTTCATGCGGCCGAAGTAAACACTGGTGCTAAAAGCTGCCTCGATCCACTCTGGTTCTTCCATTATCCTTTCTTGGTTGTCTCCTTGATCCGTCTAGTAAATCTTCTGGCCACTTGAGCCGTCTCGTAGAGACCCCTTGCTTGAACGCTGCGTCCGATCGCAGCTGACTTGATTTGAGTATACATGAACCCCTGGCCAAAATCCTCCAGGGGTGATCTGCTGTTTGTATGTGACCTCCCTCTATTCAACGGGTGGCCAAAAATCCAACCCGGAAGAGATAAGAACACGTATACGATCAGATGTTACCTATGTATTAGTCACTAACCAATACCTATGCCAGTCACTAGCCTAAGGTACAAACACTACCTATAGCTAATCTAGCAAATCCAATACTACCCTATGTCCAATATTCCCAAAAACTACCATCTTGCCTACTTGTATTACAGGACCAACGCCACGCGTCGCGTCAGCAGCAACTGCGATCCGGGGTATGTGGTCCATATTACGCGATCCGATCCGCTAAAGGCTCGATCCGCGATCGCGATCCGACGTGTATGGTACACACCACGCGATCCGATCCACTGAAAACTTAACCTGCGATCGTGATCTATGATCCACACCACGCGATCTAATCCGTATACGACTTGATCGGCTGGTCAATATCGCGATCCTTACTGCGTAGGCCACACTGGGCGATCACTTTAGTGACCAATCACGCGTGATTTAGACTTAACACAACTATTGGATCGCCGAACGACCGCAAAAAGCCATTTCCATAATCTTTACTCCTTCAAACCGTCGCCTGCACTGTTGATCGACATCCAGTGTCAAATTACCTGTGCATTGAGGTATTGACGAAATAGAATTCATGGCATTAGTCTGTAACGGGAGTGTAGCCTGCAAGTTTAAAGGTGATTCGCCGCGGATCGCAGGGACCCTTTGCAGGTTTACAATTCTGAGGTACCAGACGTTCGAGATCGGACCCGACGGGACGGCGGCGCGTAGAGGCCGGCAAACCGCGAGTTCGCGTAATTGCACGCGAAGCCGATCGATAGGAAGGCTGAGAGCGAATTGACGCCTGATTTGCTAGCTGATTATGGAGTATATTGTGATCGTGGATCGAGTCATCCTGCTCTGCCTCAATACGAATGACCTGGACCTGTAATCGACTGATGATGACGTCACGATCCGCGACTGTGTAAAACAGCCGATCGCATCTTGCCTTCATATCGGTTGTGTTGGCCTTATCGGCCTGCAACTCCTCGATCTTATGCATGGAATGGGACCATCGTCTCTTATACTTGGGTGCTTTTGACCCGATATCTCTGAGATCAGACAGCTGTGGTAAAGCATTTTAAGAATTGGTAGGTCAGAGGACCGGTAGGTTAAAGCGAAGGGCACCCGCCAAGGAGGAGCGACCGTTAAGTAAGGGACAGAGAGACGGGGCGCTAAACAGGGACGAGGAACGACCGTTGAATGAGGAGAATGTACGGTTTAAGCGTGCTCCATTTAGAGGACTTAGCCGCGGTTAGGCCGATGGACCGCGGCTCCTCGAGGTGGACCCCGGTCTTCCCAAGTAGACCCTGGTCGATCATGGGTAGACCTCGGTTTTTCATACAGGTAGACCTTGTCCCTTCGGTCGGTGGACCCTTGGCCCCTGTCCCTAAAGGTCGACTTTGGTCCTGCATCAATGGACCTTCGTCCCTCGGTCTCTGGGTTTCCCAGCCCATTGCTTCTTTGGCCCCTCGGCCCCTCGGCTAGCAGAATCAAGAATCAGTTCTCGGGGGTAAAGATAGAGTAAAGAAGTTAAAAGATAGGACTATATTAAATACTACTCAAATTATGATCTACATAGCACACCTCCGTCGTGCTTTTAAGGTACTGACTAAGTCTAACCACCTGTTACGGAAAGGGATACATTTTGCCCCCCGTCGAAGACAGTTGTGTGGAAAGACATAAGTGCGATAGGCCCCAGGATATATTTGGCCTGTCAGTTTTCGGATTAGCACCTTCGATTAACCCGCTATCGAAAGCGGTCTTCCTACCCTACTAATCCTGGAGCAAGTAAAGGACAGGTGGTTAACACCCTTGAAATATCAGTAAAAGGAAGGAATAGGCCAAAGTTGAGAATCTCCCCTGAAGAATTTGGTTATAAGTCCACCCTCGACCTAGTCGACCGAGTGGCCACCTATCCGCCTACCGAGTGAAAACCTACTCGAGGCACCCCAAGGTCGACCTCTCGCAAGGCCGACATCCCATCGGAACCAAGTCCTCCGAAGAGTGAAACCCGCCAGCCGACGGGTACATAAGGTGACAGAAGGTCTATACGCGGCATCAAGGTACCCCCTCCGGCAGTCGGCAGTCCAGCACAGTGAGTGGCTTGGGGTCTCATTACTAGTTTTGAGAACCCACTCCACCACGCAGCCGGCATTGGAAGGTTTTACAATCCACGCGACGGAAAGTTTACTAAAGTGATCTCGCAGTGTGGTCTACGCAGTAAGGATCGCGATATTGACCAGCCGATCAAGTCGTATACGGATTAGATCGCGTGGTGTGGAACATAGATCACGATCGCAGGTTAAGTTTTCAGTGGATCGGATCGCGTGGTGTGTACCATACACGTCGGATCGCGATCGCGGATCGAGCCTTTAGCGGATCGGATCGCGTAATATGGACCACATACCCCGGATCGCAGTTGCTGCTGACGCGACGCGTGGCGTTGGTCCTGTAATACAAGTAGGCAAGATGGTAGTTTTTGGGATTATTGGACATAGGGTAGTATTGGATTTGCTAGATTAGCTATAGGTAGTGTTTGTACCTTAGGCTAGTGACTGGCATAGGTATTGGTTAGTGACTAATACATAGGTAACATCTGATCGTATACGTGTTCTTATCTCTTCCGGGTTGGATTTTTGGCCACCCGTTGAATAGAGGGAGGTCACATACAAACAGCAGATCACCCCTGGAAGATTTTGGCCAGGGGTTCAGGTATACTCAAATCAAGTCAACTGCGATCGGACGCAGCGTTCAAGCAAGGGGTCTCTACGAGACGGCTCAAGTGGCCAGAAGATCTACTAGACGGATCAAGGAGACAACAAAGAAAGGGTAATGGAAGATCTAGAGTGGGTCGAGGCAGCTTTTAGCGCCAGTGTTTACTGCTACCGCGTGAAAAATTTCCACGCAATCCACCCCCTTTGACCCAGACACCATCACGATTGCAGCAAGTGCACTGTGGAGAGTGCAACCCGCCCAGTCGACAGGCACACAAGGTGATCAAGGCCTAGTATACGGTATCAGAGTATACTTTCCGTCAGTTGATAGTTCGAGCGCCAGTGGGAGGCCGGGATCACAAAGGTTTATTTGTGATCACTGCTTTACCACTATATTGCTGCTCGCTATAACCTGTGCGATCGAGTCATGAGACGCATGTACAAATACAACGGTGTTGTAGATTTCTATAAAGAGGTAAAGTTTGATTTGGCAATAATACTTTATCGATCACGTTGTACTAATCTAAATTTTAATATGCCTTGTCTCTTGTGTGATTTCTCAAGCCATTGTTCGAGGTCACCTCTCAAACTGAAGCACTTGCGATTGCGTGATTTCAAAGGAAAATTTGGACTTCTTTTTTATAGTCACGCGTGCAACTTCGCGACTATCATACAAATTTGACGTGCTTGCAATTACCTTCAGCTTAGCAGTTGAAGCGTGCTCTCCTATTTTATATGTGTGCAGGTTCATGTGTCCGCAAGACCTTGTGGTGCAACCTGTAAATGAAGTAGCTGACCTGGATATGAAGATGTCAGACGGCTTTGCATGTGGATAAATATCATATTGACACGCGATAATAGGCACGCACGCTAATACAAATACAATACGTATTCTTGCTTTGACAAGTTGAGTAATATAAAGTGGTTATATCCTGTACGGCCTTGTACACGAAGATGAGTAAAAACATGGCAATTTCAACTAGTACACGTCACAGCCGTCCTCCTCCTTGTCCATCATAAGACTATGTCCACTCGACAAACTCGATTTGTCACAAGCTTAAACTCTCGATAGCCCATTTGATAAAGCACATAATCACTTAGTGTGAACCTATAAAACTATGACACGCATGCTTGCATGGTTGCCAACAGTGTTGCTTCTTTTGATGGTCTTCGCCGTTGCTTCTGTTGCTAATCCTCCTCCACCCCGTCCTGCATTCATTTCGCGTCAACAAGAACCAGAAGACGTGAACGACTTTGAAAAGCGTGAGATCGAAAATTCCGTGCCATACGACATTCGCTCATCCATCGTGGGCTTACGTGCTGTCGTGGAATGGGCGACGCGGCGCACATATATCCGAAGGGTGAAGCTACAGAAAGCTCAGGACCACAGTCCCGCACTCGCTAACCCATAGCGCTGTTGCCACGACGTTTCCGCTGACGTGGAAGTGCGCTATCGTCGGCTAGGCGATAATGATACAATGTTTGTCGGTAGAGGCTCAGAGGAACCTTTTTCTAGGAGGGAGGCAATTACGCACACTTTAGACGGAGCTACGTTCACTTCGCACCCAGCGTTCATTAACCTGCCAGAAGGAAAGCAAAATGTGGCGTACGAGTTTGTTGTCGGCTCGATGTTCCATGGTTGGTCATCATTGCATCGACTAGGCATCAATGCTTCATTTAGAGGAGATGAGCAGAGCGATGTCGCCTAAAGCACGTTCACACAGCATACGGCGCAAAGCTAGGTAGCTTGCTGTGCAATGGATGACTAAAGAACTTCGCGGTGAAGGGAATGCTCAATTGCCGCTGGTGGAAGGGTATCATGCTTATATTGAGGTAGAAGGGCCCTGTCACGGCCTGGGCTAATTCGACGCTGTTTGAAGATGATGGCAGGAAGCAATCCAAACGTTGGTTGCATGTTGTAAGGCTTGAAGGCTTAAAGCCGGATATTCGGTATACATACGTTTTCGGCAATGCATACTACAAGTCGTGGTCAATTCCATACGTCACTAAGACTGCACCAGCCCGCTTGTGTGCTGAAAAGAAGCCAGAACCTACGCTATTCTTGGTTACAGGAGATATTGGCTACCAGAATGCAGCCACATTGCCAATGATGCAGTCTGAGGTGGTAGAAGGAGTCGTGGAGGGTGTTGTGTCAGTCGAGGACTACGCTTCCGATTTGAATTTAATTAACGGTCACGTTGGAGATATCTTCATGCAGGAGATTGAGCCAATAGCTGCAAGTGTACCCTTCATGGTGTGTCCTGGCAACCACGAGACTCACAACGTGTTTAGCCACTACTCAAACCGCTTTCGACTCATTCCAAGCAATAAAAATAAAGGTGTACAGATTGTCCACACTGGCGGGCCCTCGAAAGAAGCGTATTCTAAGGAGGGGCCAAACAATTGGTTTTATTCATTTGATGTTGGACTAGTGCATTTTACGATCATCTCTACTGAGATTTACTTTAAAAAAACCCTGGACATAGATGGAGACATGATTGCACGGCAGGAAGCATGGCTGGAGCAAGATCTTGCGAAGGCGAATGCAATCCGAGAATAAACTCCTTGGGTCGTTGTTATTGGACATTGTCTTATGTACTGCGTCTGATAGTACTAAATGCGGTAAGAAGGCTGCAACGCTGCGGGACAAGCTTAAAGAAAAGTTTTTCGTCCACGGTGTGGATCTGTATCTATGTGGCCATCAGCACAACTACGAGCGGGCTTTTGATGTGTTTACGTCTCGGACTTGGAAACGTACGCGCAACAGGCGCGCTACGACGCACATCTTGACAGGTGCATCAGGCCAGTATTTGACGTCCATTATGCCAAGTCCTTTGAAAGACCAGCTGAGGTCTGGGACGCCTTCCGCAACTCCATCTTTGGTTATTCACGTATAATGGTCACAAATGCCACGCATTGCACTGGCAGCAAGTCGAAGCTAACTTTGAGAACCCAGCAGCTCGAGGGCTATACGGCCAAGTAGTAGACGACGTGTGGCTCGTACAGGAGCAACACGGTAGCTTTGCGTCTGTCAGAGCAGCGCCATAACAGTGTTCAATGAAATTGCTATAGATTGCTAAATTAACCAATACTACAATAATCCTGTCTTGGGATGCTCGATAGTTATATTAAGAGGAGCTCTGTTTGCCACGCCCACATGCACGTACTTGGTATTGGTGGCTACGTTGATATTCATACATGTAGAAGAACCAATTTGATTGCAGGCCATCTGACTTAATTTGCGTATCGGGTGGTAGAACCAAGCTATAACAGACAACATATATCTACACTCCAAATAATAACATGTTTGCAAAACATGTTGTTACTAAATTTTCCAACACTTATAAGCCATGCTAATTCACGACTGCAAGTTCCATATCAGTCAGGCCTATTCTACGTTCAAAGTTGGCAACTTCGTTGTTATAGTTACATGGTAATGAAGTAATAAAAAAGAGCAAATGTCACTGTCCTGCGTTGTTCACAAAAGAGCAGCCTAGCGTTGTAGCGAGCAGAATTGTACACTGCGTCATGCACATTCCATGCTTCGTTGAGTCAGTGGTGCCGTGTTTCGTTTGAGTTTTTTCACAATGACTTTTGTGGTTCAAATTTTGGAAAGTTGAAGCTGCACAAGGGATTGGATGATATAAAAAGGGCCAGAACTGCGTTGGATTGATAAAGCTGAGCAGCTATTGTTCTCATGTGACAACGATCTTCTCTAGCGACAAACCAGATTAGATGCTGTCGCTGATTTGGCTGGATGGGTGGACCAATGGGTGTGACATGAAAGACGGTGTGGTTAGAATCCATGAACAATGTATCCGATGAACAATATATCCAATAAAATAGCCTCGCCAAGACATGTATTAATGTTGCTGGATTCCTTGTCCGCGTAACAAAGATTGACGTATTATGCCTACTTGCTAAGCGTAGAACGCTCGCGTACTCACGGTCAGCCATGATGGAACCCTCTCAAGATTGGGATTTGTTGCCGTTCTTTTCAAACCCTCATCGGGTTAGCATCGTACTTTTAACATGACAAGACGCAGAACACGTTAATAATCGCACTCAGGCCATTGAAGATCGAGAAAAGATTGGGCGAGCTATTTACTAGAACGTACCTTGCTCTGGCTCCGGACTAGATTCGCGGTATGATCAGGCTGGCCTCCAAAACGAATGCTGGCGGCATTCCCACCGGTTGTCGCTCTTTGCAAGCCTCAAGGTGCTTGCATATAATAGTAGACCAGAGACATTGTGCAGCAGCGATTGCGTCGGTTGTTAAGCTTAAACCGTGTCTAATTACAATCAAAGACGTTAGTCCATTCTACAATCGTCAGGACGACGCGAAATCCTTGAATTTTAAAAAAAGACGGACCCGAGTCTAAATGGCGCTTAATCGTATAGCTCGTATCGCACGGCTAGCGTGCGGCGATCAAACGGTGGGTGCAACTCTTGCGCCAAAACAATGCTGTCGTCACTGGACCGTCTTGAACACCGCCGGCGGCCGACGAGGATCAGCGCGCTAAGCACAATTCCTCTGCGTTGACAGCGACAGCGTCACCTCGTCTACAGTGCGAGGCGAGGAATTTACGACGACCAGAATGTATGTTGCTCATATGGAGCCTAAAATTTGAAGTACTACGGTAAGGACCACGATGAAGCACCGTACGAGAAGTAAGTTTGGATACGCCCCACTTGCAATGCACACGTGTTGTAGAGACGTGATATGCAAAGATAACAATTGCGATCAAACACACTGAAAAAAAAGAGTTTTCAAGGTGACGATGGGAAGCATATCCTGCCGTGCGGCTGTGTATTGACATTGTGAAACACATGGCAAATCTGCAAAATAGCAAGCTTACTAACGCTGAAGATGCGGCCGGCAGAAGGCGCTGTAAGACCATCTGTGCGCGAATCGGGAGAGAGCCGATCCACAACCTGGCTATACTGCAGCCTGCATGGTGGGCTTCAACCATCCACAGCACAGAGCTGATGGTAGCAAATCCCTGTGGCGAGTGGTAAACTGGCCCGGTGAACTGAATACTTTTCAAGATACTTTTGCTTTTGGTCACGTCTTTTGGGAATAGCCAATCAAAGCCGCCCATAGCCAATCTTCTGCTTATCCATCATCGCATGGTCTTTCTCTGGATAACTTATCTGGTTCCTAAGGTTAAGGGGCTCCGTTTGCAACGCCCGCATCGCCTCAATGTAATAAGGTAGGGCCTATCTACATCCCGTAATCAAGCACCTGCCTAAATCTCTGGGGGATAGAGCTTCTCCACACCCCAACTTCTACGCGCTACTCAATTAAAAACATCCATCGGCCTTCAATCTATACCTTTGTACACGATGCCATTTATTTTAATTAAGGTAAAATACATCTGGCCTCTGCTGGAATTACAATGGCCTCTGCTGGAATTACAAGCGCGCTTCGACACTGTCGAGTCGACAGGCGACAGTCCTCGTGCTGGCGCGATCTTCTCCATACGACGTCGCGACATGCCATCCAGTGATGTTGCAAACGCCTGTTGGCCTGGCTCTGTTCGAAACCTTCTGCCCTAGTCGCAAGAAAACTGGATCACCTCAAAAGAAACTTGAATTTATTATTAAGGCCAGCACACGAACGAACGCTAGCGAAGTGAGCCAAGCCATCGAGGTCGATCTTGTCGCCGCTCAGACCACAAAGCTTAAAAAGCACCGAAAGAGCGGAACAGAACATCGACGAGAACGAGGTTTCGAACCAATTTGGACCACAACTTTTAGTAGGTAAGTTCTTGACTGCATTTTATGGTGATGGTCCATTGCCCCTCTTCTTCAAGACTCTAAACACACGCCAGCTGTGTGTTTTGGTTTGCGGTTCCTTTATTCAAAAAAATTGCTATTCCAGCACGTTCTCCGTCACTTGAAGATCCACCCTCTCATTTTGACTTTTTTTCTTGTTGCAGCATTCTTCCCAACCTCAACGGCTCTTTACTAACTTTACCACCGCTTACGACATCCGCACAACGTTGTTCGTGGTATTTTTAGCCCTTGGCCTTGGACACATACATTGATATCATTACAATGGACCGGATCACGCAAGAAGGCTACGGGGATGATGAAGATAGATACATCCGTCGACGAGAAGTTGACGTAGCTTCATTTAAAAAGGTGCACGATTACCAACAGTAAGCTAACTTTAAACCGTATTACTTGCTAATTTGCTGTGTTCTATCTCGACCAAATAGGAATCGAAACCGTGGCGTGGCTCCTCCGGTTTTGGCATTGCGAATATTCTCAACCGTAACACTTCTAGCATTCCTCGCAGCACCATGCCCGCTATCAGTCTACCGTCTTTTCACAGCTTTGGGAAGCCGCTGATTGCGAAGCCAGAGAGGCACATGGCCTTGTATAATAATTACGAGGAAGAGAATCAACAAATCTCTATACGCCAGCAACATCAACACGGTAGCGCTGACTCTTCTCCAGCTCGGCAGTCGTCGCCCACTTTGCGCCACATTGTCGTGGCACCTGCAGATGAAGACGAGGCAGACCAGGAGATGGATAGCACGGCCGCTGATACCCATGGCGGTATCGCCACTCAATCAATTCGTGGCGGCCGTTGGACGGTAGATGAGCATGAACGTTTTCTTGAGGGATTTCGTATTCACGGGCACAAGTGGAAGCGCGTGCAGCATGTGGTACGCACAAGATCGGTGACCCAAGTTCGCACACACGCCCAAAAGTATTTGTTGAAAGTGGCCAAGCTTAAAGCGGAAAAGAAGCAATGTGGCAAGAGTGTCGACATGACCACTTTGTCTGCCGAGCGCTCGAGCAAACCTACTACTGTAGAGTCTATTGATGGCGGTACTACAGAATCGTCGTCCACACCTGAGCAAGGTGGTAGCAATGATAGCCCACGCAAGTGTATACGAAAGAAAGTGCGGCGTCTGGATCATGGGAGCTGCGATCCAGTGGACCAAGAGTACATTGCCGCTGCTGCTACAACGTTGTGCTTTCTCATGAGTCAAAAGATTGACTCATTGATTGACACGAGACACGAGCTGCAGGTGGAAACCAGCAAAGATTATGAGCCTTATGACTGCTACGCGCCGCAACCAGCAGAATTGAATGCTGAGCACGGTGGGTCCCGCAAACGGTCGTACACGCACTATTTGACGGATCAACAGGATGACTTTGGGTCATCCTTGGACACTGGTCATGGTGAGCCTTCGTCGTACACATTTGAAGGCAAGAAACTTTGCTCGTAATTGACGTACGAGCAATATTGAAGCACCACTAATTCTAGCCAATGGGGATGAGCAGTACAGAGCCCATTGCTGGAAAAGTGGTAGACACAGTTAAGCATACCAAGCGCCGCGAAATCCTCTTCTCTCCAACAGAAGTGATTGCGTGCGCGCTTGTAAAACTTACTGAAACGCATGTATCTTATGTATATACGGAGGCATCTTTGTCCGTGTGATGTGGAAGACAATGAGGCGTTGGCGGCATGGAAGATTGTCCGGATCGGGTCGCGGCCGAACCATGGCATTTGTAAGTTAGTTGCTATAGTATATCGATTCCACCTCCCTCGCTCCTTACCAGGAACCCGTAATTAATATACCTGTCCAAACTCATTTGCTTTCATTACGCCATCTTTTTCTTCTCATTTGTCGCCAATTATTTTGGCTCGAAGCGTCAGGTGCTTGAAGCATAAAATGACCTGTAACTTGTCTGCTTCAACTAAATGCGCCGCCTCTTCATCATGTTTGTTCAATACTTGTTTTTGCTTTATTAGCAGCTTCTCAATATCCTTACGATCACTTGCTATTTCTTCTGTCTCTACTCCACGATTCAGCTCAACAGCCTAACATACAGAAGTAAGATAAGAACAAGCAATGTGTGCCAGCGCATATGCACTTCCAAAATACTAACCTTATCAACAGCTCGAAGTGCTAGTGTAAGCTCGCCAAAATTTAAATGACTTCGAGCAAGTGTAAGATATCCATCGCTCCACAATGGCGCCAATTCAGTCGCTGTCCGTGCAAACTGAACGGCCTGAAAGTCTTCGTATACTGCCATCGAAGCTTGAGCCAGTAGCTCATACAGTACTGCATTATTCGGGTCCAAACCTAAAGCTTCTTTCCATCGATTCATTGCCGCTTGAAATCTTCCAGCTTCCGCAAGTATATTGCCTTCATCCTTTAGACGTTTAACTTTCACTTGAACATCTTCCAGTAATTCAACTCGATGGTTAACTTGTTTCACTTTATTTTTTAATTCTTCTTCAATCGCCTTGATGCTATCAAATGCATTGCACAATCTTTTCTCCTTCTCCTTGTTCTCATCTTGTCGTCGTCGTCGTTTTTTCAACGGCTTTAGTGCGAATTGAATCGGTGCCATCAATTGTCAAATGATAAACTTTTGGGCCGGTTTCATAATTTTGATCGTATCAATACACCCATATGTGAACCACATAATTCAACCAACCAGTGATTATTCACATTACCAACGTCAGCAACACGACCAATAGACTTGACACGGCCTACTATGAAGCTCGACGTAACTGCCATGCGCTATCTGACAAAAGAGCATTTTCGAGTATTAACAGCTATTGAAATGGGTATGAAGAATCACGAAGTGGTGCCCGTGGAATTGATTAGTACTATCGCCAAGCTTCGTCACGGTGGTGTGCAGAAAATCCTGTCACATTTGCTTCGCAATAAGCTTATTGCACACGATGGCAATGTCTACGATGGATATCGTCTTACATATAGTGGATATGATTTTCTCGCGCTGCGTGTCTTCTTGCAGCGTGGTTATATTACGGGACTAGGTCGCCAAATTGGCGTTGGGAAGGAGTCTGATATTTACTTGGCGACACAGGAAAACGGCACGGAAGTTGCGATTAAATTTCACCGTCTTGGACGCACATCATTTCGTGCCGTAAAGTCGAAGCGCGATTATTTGAAAAATTGCAAGTCTGTCAGTTGGTTTTACATGTCGCGCCTTTCGGCTATGAAGGAATATGCTTTCCTGAAGGTATGTTTGCGGTGAGAGAAGACAATTTGAATAATACAGATTAGTGCATGTAATTTTAGCTGAAGCTTACGTGTTGTTGTTGTGTTAGGCATTGTATGATCGCGGCTTTCCGACACCAACGCCCTTTGATTGCAACCGCCACGCAATTTGCATGAGCCTTGTGGATGGCTACCCACTTAATCAAGTGCGCCATCTTGCCAACTCAAAGGCGACGTATGATACGTCCATGTCGATTGTTGTTCGTCTTGCGGAGTATGGATTAGTTCATTGTGACTTCAATGAGTTTAATATCATGATTGGCGACGATGGTAAAATTACCATGATCGATTTTCCGCAGATGATCTCAACGTCACATCCGAACGCTACCGAGTGAGTGCAGTTTGGTTTTTCACATCACATCGACTATAATACTCTAGTTACACTTTGTTGGTTGCAGACTGTTTGATCGCGATGTGCACGGACTCGTGAAGTTTTTCTCGCGGCTGCAAGGTGGTGCCTACACACCAGACGTAAGTACTTTTAGAGGGTTATAAAAGCTGCGTCTTAGTGTAATGGTGTGGAATCCTAGCAATCGCTAACCTTGCTTGCTTTTTACATCTTTAGCGTGTTCCAAAGCTGAAGGATATTGTTGCAGACGAAAACGTCCGACTTGACGAGGATGTGGAAGCTAGTGGCTTTGACAAAGAGTTTGGCGAGAAAATGCACGATGTAAGTTATAGCTATATCAATGATGTGAGTAGGAGACAGTGGCTGACTGGTGGTTTGGAATTTGGTCTACTACAGCTTTCAATCTTCTCGGCTCATCAATATATTGAGGACGGCGATAGCGATGACGATGATTGCGAGAATGAAAGTGAGAGTGAAGAGGAAGCTAGCGGAGAGGAAGTACTACATCTTGTGCAAGGAGTTACAGACATGACGCTTGACAATCAGGTTCATGTGTCTAATGTAGATGCTGCGGATAGCGAAGACAAAGCACAGGATTCGTTTGCCATTGAGAATGAGATCATCAAGCAACGAGTGCAACGTGACCGGCAGGTACGTCAAAATGTAGGCAAGCGCCGGTCACGAAACTCGTCTAAGCTTAGCATTAAGGGCAAGCTTTACCATAAGAACGATTGGTAGAGGTACTGAAGGATGTTAGGACAGAGGAATGTTGTTGTGCATCAGGTGTAGACTAGTGGTCTCTTAAATGAGATTGCTTATTCACAAGCAATATTTTGCACGGTTGGAGCTCTTCATTTTGTATCATGCGATCTATTCGATTTTGTGGCAAGTTCCTTGCAACTCCAGATAGACGCCCAATCTTGCTGACCATATTATCAAGCAACAAGCACGCCTGTTGTTAAGGCTCTCGAATTAAATCAGCGAAGAAAGAACAAGGTGCTTTGGCTGCGGTAAATTTTGACAATCTGCCAAGGCTTGCGCAACTATCGACTAGGAAAATCAGTATACGTGGGTAATAGACTTTGGAGCGAGTCGGCACCCTGTTGGTGATGAATTCCTACTTCATGATGCTATTTCGAGTGAAGTTAATAATGGACTCACACTTCCAACTGAATCAACGTCGCGGTTGGAGTCGTCATATTCGAGAGATACGTCGATGGCAAAATCACGAGATTACACTTTCTGACGTTCACTTCGCACCTTTGCTTTCTTGAGATTCGCGTTTCATCTCCTGTGGACGCCTAAGGAAAACAAGCTGCCAGTTTGTGACTCCACCGACAGCAAAGGTAATATTGTGGAAGGAGGTATTTTAATCTCGTATGGTTCACATGCGCAGCAAGAAGCATCTAATTACAAAGGACTTGCTTGTTGGTATGGTACTTTCTGCTATAGAAGAATTAGAGAGCTATTAGCGCCACATGTGGATGCACTGATGCAATTCCACTCACGGCTTGGTAATCAATCTTGCGTTTGTTTCAATCGAGCGCATGGCTAAATGCCCTAACTCAGGAATCAAGATAACTAATCACGAGCGCTTAAAATGTGTACTTTGATCTAAAGAAATGGGCACACGCACGGCTCAACCGAAGAAAGACTCAGGTGCAAACACTCCAATTGACAGAATCGGAGGAGTCATCTGTAGTGATCTCAAGGACCCACTACCGCCGCAGGACAAGCACGATAACGGGTTCATGGTTACCTTTATTGACTACAAGTCAAACTACGTGCGAGTATTCGTGGCCACTCATAAGAACGAGGCGGCCGCCAAGCTTAGATGTTGCTACCTGGTTCGAAGCTGAGTTTTATTGCCGAATCCGCGTCCTGAGGACGGATGGAGATGTCGAGTATGGAACAATGTCGGTGGACCTGTTTTGCCAAAAATCGCATCAAACGGCAGATGATAGAAGCCGGAATGCCGGAAGGCTGAGCGACTAAATCGCACCATCTTTTAACAGGCTCGATGTGTGCTATTCGGATTTGGTGTTCCACTCAACCATTGAAGTGATGCTGCCGAATATGCGGCTTCTATATTCAACCGCAGCTCTGCACGTGCCAACGTCAACCGAGCATCCCCACAAGAAATTTTCACGGGCGAAGCTCCCAATCTTCAAGACATTGTTGTTTTCGGTTCACCGTGTCAAGTCTGGCGCAACCCGTCTAAAATGAGTGTAAAAGCTCAAACGGAGGGTGGTTTCATTCTCGGTAAGGACGAGATGACCAAAAGACAAGGTATCAATCACTACGTAATGACATCTCAGTACACGCGACGCGTCATAGTTTAGGCATTAAGACACGTAATGAATTGACAAACAAGCTTCTTTTCGATGCACTTGAATGTGACAATGATGCTGATTTAGACACGGCAAATATTTTTGCGATTTTCACGCAAAAACATCAAGACGCGGCGCGATCGAAAGAGGTATAAGCCAGGACGGTCGTCAATCTAAGAAGCACGAACCGAGCCATTTTAATGACGCCAAGTACAATTAATGCTGTATCAAAGCGTACTAAAAAGAAGTCACAAAGGAAAGCTGAAGCGTACGGCGGGATTCCGCAACAAGATGCTCAGTCATCCGAAATTATTGCGACATATCTTTCCGCTGCACCACCATGTCAAGCGTCACCCCCTCTAATGTCCTTCGCAATAACGTCTCCATTAAACAAGAATCAAGCGGCCGGTCGATGAACCTGACCCTCTAAATTACGGCCAGGCCTGTCGCAGTGCAAATGACGAGTCGTGGAAGGTCGCCGAGCAAGTAGAACTGCGATCCTGGAAGCGAACAACACTTAAAACATCGTAAGCTTTCCAATGAACGCCAAATCACTACCGATAAATTGGGTTTACAAGACCAAGCGACTTGGAAACGATGGCATCGACAAAATGAAGGCACGCCTGGTGGGTCGTGGTGATTTTCAGATCAAGGCCGAAAACTATATGCTAACGTACTCTGTTGTCATTTAATAGTCACAAGAGATGTTATTTTAATCTTTTCGATTCTTTGGCGCGTCCCGGCAAGACATGCATACGTACACAGTGTTTGTGAAAGCAGCATGAAAGGATGATTTTATGAAATATCTTCAAATTTCTCCCGGTATGAAGACTACCGATGCAGCACTTCAAATAATTTGGTGTTTATAGTGTCGATGAGCTAACGTTGAAACTGGAGCGCAGCATTATTGGGCTAAAGCAACCTAGCTGTGTTTGATTTTGCTGCAGCTGGTGGTGTTGAGATTCTAGGCAACAACGAATAAAGAAGATCGGCATGAAAGTCAAGAAACCTTTTGTTTTGCGTATCAACAATAACCCATCAATACAACATATCGATCACGAAGCATCGTCTGCGAAGGGAAACAATGCTGACAATAAGCTCAAGTTTCTGCGTTACTACTGTGCTAAAGGCAATATGATAATCGAATTTACAAACACAAAAACCATAGTGGCTGACCTAATGACGAAAGCTCTTCCAGCGCCTCGCGTTCACGAATTAAGCAAAGCTCTCGGACTGGTGCTTTTTTTAAATAAGGCAGCAGAAGTATTGAAAGGGTAGTAGTTACCTTACTTGAAGTTGCTGGTGCGCCTCATCGCAAGATGCACCTGAGATTAATATTTCCAAGGGATACAAGCGACCGTTACGAAATCAAGGTAAGATCGTAAGAAGGTATTTACATCAGTCTAACAACATTTATATATATATCACTGCCATTTCTTACCTGCGTGCATTCCAAAACAGGAACTTATATCCGAACAAAGGCTTCAGTCGTTGTTAACAAACACGAACAAAAATACGATGCTGGAAGGTTGTAACGGGTTACACGAAGGTGTGTGTTGTACATTCACGCCTTCCACACCAATGTGGTGTGGCTGCACCTTGGGTACAAAAGTAGGCTTGATGTGACCGTACCTGAAGTACGAAGAGTTGCATCGTGGCAGAGAGCCACGTGGTCACTATACTTATTTAAAGTATAGTGACTATGCATGCTTGTATAATTGTAACAGGCTATAAAGCCAGTAAATAGTGACTAGCACTAAGGATAGAGTAGATGCTTCTTTATTTAGTCTTAAAAGATAAACATAAATATAAATCAGTTTCAAACCTGCTCTATAAGCATCACTGCTTGAGCGTTAAATTCCTCCTGAAGAGTTAAGTATCTTGATACTAGTCTCTTTGAGACACGGTTACAACAATCGATAGGCACAAGCTTACAAGCCAGCCATGGAGGGTTAAGCACCCTAAGACGTAGAAGCTGTCTGATCTTGTTTTACTCTGCACATAGTGCATAAGTAGCTTTGCTACAGTAGCTCAGCTACAACTGGCAGCACTTGTAGTCAGTCCTGCACCTGTGTTTGCGACAACTTCTTTGTTTGAGAAGGAAAATCGATGAGATGTCCGAAGCTGGCCTGTCACTAGCACAACATAAAATGTTGCAGAATCTGCTCCCTATCCTTGGCCCTAAGGGCGTGGAGTACCTCATCGCCCAGGACAAAGAAGAGGCCAACAAGCGTATTCATATGCTTGATGAGTATGATAAAGCTCAAGTCGAGCACGTAAAGGCACAGATGCCTTCTTCTGCGCCTTCGCCCATGGCGACTATGGCGCAAGAAGTGGTCCACAGACCAAAACCTATACAAATGGAAGTCGATAAGTTCGACGGCAAAGAAGGTGACAACCTTATGCTTTGGTTCCGACAGGTTGAGTCGGATATGTTTGTAGCCAACATCACGTATGAAATGTACCGTATTGGCTTTGCATTGTGAAAGTTGGGTGGATTAGCCAAGCAGTGGGCATCAACATGTGGTGCATCACTGCAAGATGCATTTCCAACATGGGTCGATCTGAAAGTTCAGATGACCCGGCAGTATGCACCGCCAAACCAGCACACCGTAATCGGTCACGATTGTTGGCGTATTGCCAAAGCAAGCGTGAGCTTGCGGCATATGTGCAAGATTGAGAACTTTCATTGCTGCCATGGTCATAGACCTTATGCCTGAGGCAGTGACCGTCACGGTCTTCATGAGGGGGGGATCCAAGTTGGCGTTGCCAGAACGGAAGTCTTACGGGTAAACCCATCCTTGTTCGAGGAAGCTGTTGGAGTGGCATGGAATGCCGAGACCAACTCTAAGGCCTCTAGGCCTGCCACGTATAACTGCTCGTCTGATGGGTCTGCTGTACCCATGGACTGTAGTCAGGTGGAGGATAAAGAAGCTGAGCTTCGTTCTGCGGGGGCAATAAATTGTGCGCAGATGTTATATCTGCAAGAGCATAGGCCATTGGATGGCAAAATTACCATCAAGAAAGGCATATTTGGCCTCGAAGGGCCAACGACTCATGGGTGAACCTTCTGGTTTACCACGGGAAATGGCGGAGCCCAGTAGGCGCGGGGCGCCCTACTGGGGAAGAACTAAAGTCTGCTGAACCTCTAGGAGGTAGATAGAAGTAAACAGGGCCCAGCTCCAAAGAGGCCCGAGCTCTCAAAAAAGGAACGAGAAAAAATGCAAGCCAGGCTTGCTGGTTGTCGAAGGGACGGTTAAGGGCTATGATAAGCCATGGATCATTTTGATCGATTCGGGGGCATCGGGCAATTATGTGCGCCGTGCCACCGTGGAAGGTAGTCAGCACTATGCTGAAGCGCTTATAGCGCGTGAGAGTGACACAGTCACAGTTTGCTTAGCGACAGAT